ACATGATTTCAAGATTATACTGCTTAATCTGAAAAGCTCTGTTAGTCGTGCAGTCAGTGAATCAGTAGCTTGGTGTTGTGACTTAATATGTACACTAGTGACAGGTTGGAGTGATGGCTACTGCTAAACAATGCACTGTAGCCCTCTGCCTTTATTACACTCTCACTGTATTCAGAACAACCCTGTCTTCATTTTTGTGTTTAATTACTGATGTTTTTCCAAGCAAACCAGAACCAAAACTCAGTCAGGCTGCAACGATTAATTATGATAGATTTTTAGTAAATTATTCAATACATTTATGGAGCGGAAGAATAATCTTTGTTGGGCTGCAATGATAAATTCAGTTACTCGTCGACGAAGTGAATTAATGTAAATTATAAAAAAACGTTGTTGTCTACTTTTTGTAAAGGTTCTCTATAATGTTCAAGTAATAACTTGCAGTAAATCAGACAGATTGCAGTTCACTGCAGGAAGCATGGGGTGTAATATGGCTGCTGCTGTTTTGCTCCACCATGAAAAGGCTCACATCCTACATTTTTCTTGTATTTTTACTTTTTTTCTTGAGCTCCCCTTATGATGTTTGTGTGGTTTTATGAACCAGAAACATTCCCAATGAATTTTTACACGACCATTTTCCAGTCTCTTTTTACACCTTAGAATTAAACAAGCTGTGTTTGTTATTGTGCCTTTGAGCCTGATATGTGTCAATGAGTTCAGTTCTAAATGGCTGCCCTGTATTGTGCCTTATTCAAAAGCAGTCCAGACTGAAACTCTCCTTATAACCTCAACATGAAAGAGTGGAGCTACGGTGTTGTAGGCTGAGTAGGTGGATATACGCCGATCAGGCATAACATTATGACCACTTTGTGCACTTTGTAGTTCTACAGTTACAGACTGTAGTCCATCTGTTTCTCTGCATACTTTGTTAGCCCCTTTTACCCTGTTCTTCAGTGGTCAGGACCCCCATGGACCCTCACAGAGCAGGTACTATTTGGGTGGTGGATCATTCTCAGCACTGCAGTAACACTGATGTGGTGGTGTGAAAGTGTGTGTTGCACTGGTCTGAGTGGATCAGACACAGCAGTGCTGCTGGAGTTTTTAAACACCTCAGTGTCACTGCTGGACTGAGAATAGTCCACCAACCAAAAATATCCAGCCAACAGCGTCCTGTGGGCAGCGCCCCGTTACCACTGACAAAGGACTAGAGGATGACCGACACAAACTGTGCAGCAGCAGATGAGCTATCATCTCTGACTTTACATCTACAATGTGGACTGAAAAGGTAGGAGTGTCTAAAAGAGTGGACAGTGAGTGGACACAGTGTTTAAAAACTCCAGCAGCACTGCTGTGTCTGATCCACTCGCAGCAGCACAACACACACTAACACACCACCACCACATCAGTGTTACTGCAGTGCTGAGAATGATCCACCACCCAAATAGTACCTGCTCTGTGAGGGTCCATGGGGGTCCTGACCACTGAAGAACAGGGTAAAAGGGGGCTAACAAAGTATGCAGAGAAACAGATGGACTACAGTCTGTAACTGTAGAACTACAAAGTGCACCTATATAGTAAGTGGAGCTGATAAAATGGACAATGAGCATAGAAACAAGGACATAGTCATAATGTTATGCCTGATGGGTGTATGTAGTTGCTTTGGGTTTCGTGACATCACAAAATCAGTTCAAAATGGGTTGGTTTGCAGCTTTGTTTAAATAGAAAGTACTGAATGAGTAATAAACAGTATGTTTTGAAACTTTAATAATGTTTTCATACCTCATCAAACTGTTCTATTAAAAAAGTAAGAAAAATTTTATTTTCCGTGATACGGGCCATTTAAAGAAGAAGCCACTTTTTGTACAGACAGACCTTTGATGGTGGTGCAGTGACAGGGCAAAGTGAGAGGAAAAGCAGAGTCAATTTTTTGAATAGTAGTTAAACAGATTAACGGCTTGTAGAAATAATTATTAGTTACAGTCCTACTATTCAGGGCCAGCCTAAGATCCTTTTGTGCTCTTTGGCACAAACACATTGATAATAAGTTTTTAATAATAACTGACAATCAAGATTTTTGCTGAAAAGGTCTTAGGAAGATTTGGTTGATGTTTAGCTGGTTCTAAACTGAGCCAGAGTTAATTCTTGAGCTAAGGCCTTGTTAAGATTGGCTGGATATGCCAGAGAGTGGGCATCAGCTTACTCACAAAGATCATTAATGTCACAATGCACATCAAATAAGATGGCAAAATGAAAACGATCCCATACAGACTTCACTGTCTGCCAAACGTATGGAATGATAATATGTGTTTTGGATATTTATGGCTGGATTAATAGACTGACTGTTGTGGTATGTGAATAGACATACATTAAATCATAAGATCATTAAAATCGTTTACATTATGCTCTTTTTTGGAGTAACCTTTTGGTGGCCAAAAGTATTGGGTGCTCCTGGTCAGTCACCCAGCTCACCCCTACGGTGGATCCAGTCATGCGACCATTGGGTTAGGTGTGCAAAGTTTTTAGGCTCAGTGTATGTACAGACTTGTGTACGTGTTAGTACGTGACCCTGCAGTGGAGCATGTATAATTTTACATTTTCTGCGTATTTCATGTGAACGATGATGAGTGTGTATGTAGAATTAGAATGTTTGCACATGTGTGTATTTAGAATTCTACCAAGGTGTGTTTTTAACTGTGATAGCAAACAACACATCCGTGTGTGTTTTTTCTTTGACTTGGGCAATGAGTCAACCTGTCACAGATCACAGGCTGTGTAACTCCAAACATGCAGCTGTTAAAAAAGAACTGCCACTGAAGACTTACTGTAAATATATGGTTCAGTAGAACTTAATAGATTCTTGCTAGATAACGTCATTTGAATGATACGTGGGGTAATTCTGACAGATTCTGAATAATAAAATGGATAAAATTGCACAGCTGAATAAGTGAATTAATTGTTGTAATATACAAATCATTGTAATTATGTACTGTATCACACAATCATTACAGCTGCACTGTATACGTTTGCTATGGTAACGCTGAAAGAAGTAGCCTTACTGAGTCAGGAGGAAAAACAGGCTAAAATATGGCACGTGTGCTGCTACGAGTCCCGCTGTAAAGCCTGAAATATCAGTTTAAAAGTCAGAGGTGTCGAGTTGGATTTTGCAGGAGTTTATCAGACCACGTTATACGTCTTTACATATTAACTTCACGTGAACAGTCATATGCAAAAGTTTGGGCACCCTGGTCAAAAATCACGTTTTGTTGATTAGTAAAAAAAAAAAGGGAACACATTCTTTACAGAGAACACACTTCTGCACATTTTAATGCACAATTACAGTTTATGTGCTGAAGTTAACATATTGGAAAAAAGAAAAAACATAAAATGTGACCTATGCAAACGTTATGGCATATTTTATAGTTTTTGTTTTTATCTTTTCTAGTATGTTAAACTAAATAAATCAGTAAATTTACCCATAAAATGTTATATTTAAGTGTGTTCTTTGTAGAGGATATGTTCAATTATTTTCACTTGGAAAATCAACCAAATATGTAATTTCACGGATGGGGTATTCAAACTTTTGCATGGGACTATATATGCCAATATGCACACATATGCACATATATTTTAATACACTATATGGACAAATGTATTGGGACACCTGCACACATTACACCTACAGGAGCTTTTATGAATCCCATTCTAAATCCATAGGCATCAATATGGAGTTGGTCCTCCCTTTGCAGCTATAACAGCTTCCACTCTTCCGGGAAGCTTTCTACAAGATTTTGTCCATTCATCCTGAAGAGCATTCGTGAGATCAGACACTGATGTTGGATGAGAGGGCCTGGCCCACAATCTCTGTTGTAATTCATCCCAAAGGTGTTCGGCGGGGTTGAGGTCAGCGCTCTGTGTGGGCCAGTCAGTTTCCTTCACACCAAACTCACCCAGACAGGCCTTTATGGACCTTGCTTTGTACACTGGGGCTCAGTCAGGCTGGAACAGAAAATGGCCTTCCCCAAACTGTTCCCACAAAATTGAAAGCATACATTTACTCAAAATGTCTTGTTATTCTGAATCATTAAGATTTCCCTTCACCCGAACTAAGCAGCCTCGGCCAACCCCTGAAAAACAACCCCGTAACATTATTCATCTTCCACAAAACTTTACAGTTGGCACAATGCAGTCAGGCAGATAACGTTCTCCTGGCATTCGCCAAACCCAGACTCGTCCTTTAGACTGCCAGATAGAGAAGCATGATTCATCACTCCACAGAATACGTTTCCACTGCTCCAGAGTCGAGTGGCGGTGTGCTTTACACAGCTCCATCCGACGCTTGGCATTGTGCTTGGTGATATAAGGCTTGCATGCAGCTGCTAGGATATGGAAACCCATTCCTTGAAGCTCCCGACGCACAGTTTTTGTGCTGATGTTAATGCCAGAGGAAGTTTGTAACTCAGTTATTGACTCAGCAGAGTGTTGGTAACTCTTATGCACTATGCAGCTAAGCACTCTGCGACCCGCTCTGTAACTTTATTTGGTTTTACGTGCTGTGATTCCTAAACGCTTCCAGTTTTCAAGAACATCACTTACAGTTGACTGAGGATTATCTAGGAGGGAAGAAATTTCATGAACTGACTTACTTTAATGGTGGCATCCTATTACAGTACCACACTCAAATTCAGTGAGCTTGATTTATACACCTGTGGCAATAGGGACTGAATGAAGCATCTGAATTCAATGATTAAGAAGTGTGTCCCAATACTTTTGTCCATATTGTGTATATTGAAATCAAGGTAGGAGGGCGAAGGCCAGTATGTCCTTCTTCTTCAACACACTTGAACTCTATCAGCTAATGCTGTTATGTCAGCTAGCAGACTACCATATTGGCTTGCCATGGGCTGAGTAATAGGAACTGAATTTTGACATTTTTTTCTTTGCAGAAAAAATATGTTTTCAGTGGAAAAATTGTAACTTCTATTTATCTATTTATCTTTTTGCAGGGCCTGACTGATTGTAAGGTAAACCCAGGTAAGTCAGATACGTTTGCCTGTAAGTTTGTACATAACAATTAACATATTCAACAAAGTGATATTACTTTGTGATTCTTTGTCAATTTTTCCATAGTTACTAATAGCAGATTGTAAGGTTATGCTAATTAATCGTAATAAAAGTTGCTAATGTCTCTAGTACAGTACTTCTGAAACATGTTTTAAGAGACCTGGTTTTGTCATGCTGTTTTAGGATGTCCACTATATGGCCAAAAGTATGTGGACACCTGTCCATAACACCTATGTGAGCTTGTTGGACACCATGCACTATGGGCATTAATATGGAGTTGGCTGCATGTGTCTGTGGCAATTTGTACCAGTTCATTCAAAGGAGCATTTATGAGGTCAGACACTGATGTTGGACAACTAGGCCTGGCTAGCAATTGACATTCCAGTTTATCCCAAAGGTGTTCAGTGGGGTTGAGGTCAGGGCTCTGCAGGCCACTGGAGTTCCTTGACACCAAACCATGTCTTTATGGACCTTGCTTTGTGCACAGGGCTCAGTCATACTAGAACAAGAAAGGGCCTTTCCCAAACTGTTGCCCTAAAGTTGGCAGCATTTAATTGTCTAAAATGTCTTTGTATGTAGAATTAACATAAGCCTTCACTGGAACTGAGCTCAAACTCTGAAAAACTGTCACAGACCGTTATTCGTCCTCCACCACACTTTATTGTTGGCACTAAATATTTCAGTCGCTATCCACCAAACCTAGATTCATCCATCAGACTACCAGATGGAAAAGTGTGGTTCTCTCTAAGGAACACATTTTCCTGCTCTAGAGTCCAGTAGTGGTGTGCTTTACACCACTCCAGTCGAAGCTTGGCATTGCGCATAGTGATCTTAGGCTTGTGTGCAGATGATTAGCCATGAAAACCGATTTCATAAAGCTCCTGACACACATTTGTTGTATCCAGAAGTCTGGACATCTGTAGTTAGAGATACAACAGATGATTTTTTTTCGTTGGAGTTATCACATACTTTTGGCCATGTAGTGTACTTTATTCATATACAAAAGGTTGAGCTTGTATTATCGACCAAATAATAAATTGTATTAACAGCCAAATCCAAGGCACAACTAAATTAAAGCATTTTGAAATGTTCCTTTATTCTGTCCTTTTCCCTGTATAGGTGATTTTTGTGTCGACCGTGATGACAGAGTGTATGTGAGCAGTCTTGCTGCTGTTGCATTGCTGTGCCACAGTCATAAAGGTTGGCTTCCATGCCTGAGAATCCAGCTTAACATCACATCTCAAGGTAGCTCTCATAGTGCAATTGTAAATAGTTTTGCTGATTGTTATTGTTTTAATATTATGCAGTTTTCAGGTTGGGAGTCATTCAGAATTTTCTGTCTATGTGTATATCTATATATATATATATAATATATATATATATATATCTATATATATATATATATATATATATATATATATATATATACTAGAGGCATATACTATTAATTCTACAATTTGTACTATTGTAAGAAAAATGTCTTTGTGTATGTTCACATGTCTAATGTAATATCAATGAAGTTTTGACTTTCTTTTCATTCAGGATCCCATGAGGACTCAGGTGTGTCTGGGGAGGCCATCCACGAAGATGAAAGAGATGAAAGTAAGGAAGAAGAGCATGGAAGCAGTCTGGGCCATTTCGCCGCTGTCTCAGATTCAGCATTTGTCCAAGTGTGCTACAGCATCCCTGATTTTTCTGGTTCAAAAGAGCTCACTTTCACACCACACATATCCGCTGACCACCCAACACAGGTAATACATCTGCAAAACACTTTTTTTGTACCTGTGGCATGCTGTTATTTACTAGTGATGCTTCTGAGTCAATACATATTGTGCCTCTTATCTCTAAAACAGGAAGCTTTATAAGAGAAGCGAAAACAATAGAGGCAATCTGACATTGGTCAGAAATAACCAATTCACATTGTTTTAATAAAATCAATGCAACAATAACAAATGCATTGTGTTAATGCTATTTTATAAATCTTTTAGAACAATATAATTAAAAAATGTCACAATTCCAAAAATAATTTTGCTTTATGTGGTATGTTAGCTTCTACTGTCTGTTTATATTTATGCTTTGCTACTTTGCTAGAAACAAGAGTACGAAATAAGAGCATTATGTAGCAAATTCGGATTTTATTCAAGGAAATAACTCAGGACCCCTCAAGTTCAACTTTGTATCTCTGATCAGTTTAATCTAATGGGAGGACCAGGAACCCTCAGCCACCTCTGAATTTGGAACTCTATAGAGATAAACATTAAAGCTGCATAGTGACGGTGTTTGTTTTTTTGTTCTTTGCTGTCAAAATGTTTGTCAATAATGAGTGGTTATGTGAATTTGTGATTTTACCACTATCATCATACGTTTGTAAATATATTGTAGATGTGGATGTCCTTGGTAGTAGAGCTGAGCCAAGCTCACTTTGGCAGTAAATTCACCATCTTCTCTTCAGCCACTCACAACTTCAGCGAACAAGTGAACACACTGCCATCAATAGACACAGGTAATCCCTCTCACACACGCTCACACTCACACTTTCAGAGGTAAATATAACATACAAATAGACATTATATTCACCAATAACAAACTTACCTGTTTCAGTGTGTTCCCAAGGCCTGGACATTCCTCTGTGTAATGGTGAGTTACTGTTACCTGATCTGGAGCATGAGTTTCTTTTTTCACTGATCTGAATTTGTTGATCTGTTTGGAATTCTGTTTGTTCTGTGTGATTTTTTTGCCTGCTTCACATTTCTGAAAATTTGAGTTGATTGACTTCACAGTGTTTTCTAGAAGAATTAATTCAAATGATCTGCTCATTTACTCTGATTGGCAATTCCTTTGATGTCCTCCCATGACTGGCTGTTTTTCAGGACCCATTGTGCACAAAGAAATCAACCATGCGACAGGAATGGTCAAATTACACATAGATGATGCAGGCAGGGACATTCTTAATGAACTACGAGCATGCCAGAAGATGGAGAAAGAAGGGGAATGCTATAAACTAGAATGGGTGTGTATTGAAAAAAGCACCATATATATTACCATATACATGTACCTGTGCTTATATACATACATATATAAAATATTTAGGTTTATCATGAGTTTCATTTTAGATTTATTTAAAAATATTAGAATTATCCAAAAAATGCTGTCCCATGTTTTCTTGTCACTACTAAAACACAAAGAGTTTAAGGCCATAGGTGGAGCCTTATTTTAGCCACACCCCTGCATTTCAGAGCAGAAAGTGAGACTGCATCCCCATCTCTCATGGTCATATTGTGAGCAGTTAGATCCCATTGTTTTGAAGTAAATGTGTCCCAAAGTCTGAAAATCAGTGCATAACATTAAGATTTGTCACTACTGAAACACATATTTTCTTCAATTAAGTAAACCTTTTTGCATTTTAATGAAAGTCATTATGACTTATCGTGTGCACAACAGTTTGAAGCTGTTTGCTAGTCATGAATTCTGTTCAAAATTAGCTAATATTGTCACTACCAGAACAGTCAGTAGAAAAACATTTGGTAAAGTTTTGGTGGTGTTATGATTGTTTTCTTAGGGCAGAATGGAATGTTTAGAATGTTTAATCTGTTATTTCAATAAAATAATCATAATTAAATGGTCATTCAAAGCAAAACGCAAAGGGATTTTGGCCTAAAGTCCAAGTCAGTTAAAAGTCCTAAATGTGACTGATTTCTGCTTATATTATAAATGTTAAGCTTATTGTCACTCTCTTTCTTTTTGTGGATAAAAGAAGGAAAATCCACTGATGATTCCCTTGAGCGCTGCTGCCCCCTGCCTATGCTACCAGGTACTGTCTGAGAATGTGTACATTTCTTTACCTGTTTTTTCTACATGAAAAGAGGATCGGAGAACTGAAAATATAATTATCACAGTGAACACTTAACAGGGGTGGTGTAGACAGTATTAATGTATGACTGGAAACGTATCTGATGCCAGTTTACACTTCAGATACAATAACTGAATATAGTCTGCACTTACAGAGATTTTCTTGAATTCAGTGGTCCACGGTATTAGTCACCATGACCTGCTGTGTCAATCAGTAAGTTAATAAGTAATACACTCTTTTTTGAGGAAATGTTTGGAAGCTGCATTAACCCTTTTATCTTCCAAGGGATTCTGGAATTCTATTCTCGTTCATTTCACTCTCAGATCTCTCAACTTATATATTCGTTATATGAATAAGCTGCAGTACTTCTGAAATAAAAATGAGCCTAACTGAATAAAACAAAATAACTGAATAAAAACATGGACTTTAAAAGGGATGAATTGTTAAGGCATACAAATTTGTATTTTTGCCATGTAGGTTTGGTGGAAAACCTCAAAAGGTGCACCTCGAAATGAGTTCTGCCCATTTAATGATACAGGTATGTCACAGTTACAGTACTCTAAGAATATTTAGTTACACATGTGCAATTAAAGGGCCCATTTTTCTTGTATGTTTGTTTTTTCCCAAGGTCCACTTATTTCATTTGTGTGGTTTTATGTACGAAAAACAGCCATAATTAATTGTTACATAACCATTTTCAAACCTATCTTTATCCCTTAGAACTAAACAGGCTATTTTTGTTACTGCGTCTTTAAGAGTGATGTATGTTTAAGACCTCTGTTCTGATTGTCTGCTTTGTTACTGTGCCTTTTTCAAAATACAGCCCACACTCCTTATGAATTCAGAGTGAATGGGCTGGCTTTAAGATGAAGAGACACACATGCTGTGACATCACAGAAACAATGACTAAATAAACACTGAACAATGACGTCTAATACAAACTTGCCCAGGTCAATTAAAAAGCCATTTCTCTCTCTTTCTCTCTCAGCTCTTTCTGGCTCGAATGTGTCAGTGTCTGTGGTGGAGCAAAGGAAAACTCATGATGGATCCATTCATAGAAACACCACTGCTCTTGTCTGGAACATCACTGCCCCCTGCAGGCTGGAGGCTGAAATTCAGCTCTGCAAGAAAAGCTGGTCTGACGCAGGCTGCCATGAAATACGTGACTTAAGAAAAACGAGGCTTCATATACATAGACATCATTATTCGAAATGGAGGCAGCTCAAACAGCAGTGGGTAAGATATAATTTATCGCTGTTTTCAGTGTTGTTTGACTATTCTATCATGGGCTGGTACCATTTTGAAAAATCACTAAATCGGGACGCAATTAGTGATTAATGTTGTCATGTCGTGTTAAAAATTGCATGTTTTTGTCATTCATAAAATCTCTAAGAGAAACCTGGTGGAAAAAGTCACTGAAGTAAAACACCGACTGAAGATGGAGAGAAAAAAATATAAATTGCAGCTTTTGATTTGATTTCATGGCCATTATCGATGGTCCCACAACTGATTCTATCTGAAAACTGTTGTTTATGTTCATCTTCTTATTTTGTTTTCTGTTGTTCAGCTTCAGATGTGTCTGTTCTTTTCTAAGACATGATTAACCTGTTGTTCTTTTCCCCTCACTCAAACATCTTAGGCAACATAAAACAGTAGTAATAGATCAGTAATAAATAAGTTGTTAGGGGGTTCCCTTGTGGGTGTGGGGCCCTAAATAGCTGCTTATGTAACTTATTAGGTAGAACAGGCACTGCATGTAGGCATTGTTTTGATTATTGTTTTGATATTGGATCTAATGAACCACACAACAAAGTGTTCCTCTTCAGTGCACATTTTTAGCTTTGTACTAATAGTGAACAGCAAATAAATAGAAATGGCGCATTAAAATTTGACTAGTGGGGTTTAACGTTGGCATACAACTTACAACTTACACATTCATAAGATAGAAAAGATGCAATAAAGAAAAAGTTGTCACTAAGTAATTTGTAATGTTCTCTTTTATGATAAAAAGCCCTCGGTAGGGGTATCAGATTTCAGGACATCAGATTTCTGAAACAGGGCAGACTTTTATACATGATCTCTTCTCTTTACTGCAGCAGTTTCAGGGGGAGTTTGCTGAAGTGGAACAGCACCCTTCACTATGCATGCAGGTACAGTATGGTCAGAATGGCTGTGTTTGTGAGTGAATTTGTGGTGTGTTGTGTCCTTATGCAGGAGTTAATATTAGGATTTAGGAAGAATGGAGCCTTAAACAAATTAAAAAAAAAAACATTTGTGGTGGAGAGGTTGATGATCAGCTTCTACCATGATCAACATTACATAGAAACTTAGAAGACACATGTAGGTTCACTGGTGGTTTTGGATAGTAAATAAAATGACTATATTTGTGCTGTAGATGTTGTGACCCCTGGTTCCTATCAGCACCACTGTGAGTTTGTTAGTTTCTCTACAGTTTCAAATCAGTTTCAAATGACTGAATAACTTTGTTTACATCTAAATGACTGAATTATGTAGACATTTTTAAAAATCAATGGAATTATTCTTTAAGCTCCCCTTGAAATTGTAAGTAAGCCAACTTCAAATAAAACACTTTCTAAATGAAATGGTTTTGAGGCTTAGCTTCCAAATGTCTTTTTAAGAAGGCTGGCCTTATACTTTGACTAGAACGCTGCTCACAAACTTATAACGATTAAAACCTTGGAGCCACAAAGAATGATCAAGCTAGCTATTAACTGTAAACTACATTAAACTGTTACGTGGTTACAACATTTATCTCATGATATGATCCATTCAGTAATTATTGAATGGTTCATCACTGAATATCTGCCATTTTCTGTACTTGTGAGTTTTTTGCTTTCAACAAATATATTTTTACATTTTTATTTCATTTGACAGTGATGTTTCCATTACACCCTGATGAACCCCCATGTAATGCCTCCATGAGCCCCACAGGGTTCATAATCCCATGGTTGGGAAACTGTGGCCTACTGTATGAATACTGTGCAAACTTGCTTTCAGTGTAACACTATATTTTCAAAAATAACGTCACGGAAAAAATCAAAGGCAGTAATCTAGGCTACCTTGAGGTTAAGGCATAATTAGTTTTCATGAAGATGTGCTTACGTGTTTCATTCTTTCAGAGAACGCTTACCCACACCTTGTCTCTCCCCTGTCTAGATTACGGTGAAGGGACTGGAAGGACATTTTAAGCTTTTCTGTCCTTTTGAAGGTAGGAGCCCCTGACATACTTATTATTTCCATTCATGTATTAATAAGATAACCTTACGAGGCCTAGTTAATTAATGCTACATCTTCTCTGCCTCTTTGTTGGATGAGTAGAAAGAACCATCTTCAATAATTTCTGATTATGGTCTCTCTGTCTCGCTCTTTTTCTCTCTCTGTAGTGACCAGAACTCACTGGAGCTTTGTTTTCTTGGTGTGTGTGGTGCTTATATGTTTGACTGTTTTGGGAGCCTATGCAGTACAAGGAACACTCAAAGGTGAACACATGCGCTTATATATTCATAGAGATGAACACAGACAATGTTTTTGGTCAGAGAGAGAAATTAAAACGTGCATATTTTACACTTATTGTAGGTTGGGTGTTCAGGTGGCTGAAAGTGGATGACATCAAAGGTGAGTACTGCATTGTCTGCACTGCTTATCACCTCTTCACTTTCTTTCTGTAAACAGTAAAGCGATAGTTTGGCAAAAAAGTCTAACTTATACAATTTTCCCTCTCATTTAAAAGTTAAAATTTAAGTAGTCAAAGACATTTAGGTATCTGAGGTTTTCTGCATTGGTTTTGCATTGGATGCTAATGCAAAAGTACAAACAACGTTCAGGATTCAATATGCAGTTGTACGCAAAAGTTTGGGCACGCCAGGTAAAATAACATGTTTTGTTGAAAATAATTAGGCATCTTCTACAGAGAGCACACTTCTGTACATTGCGATACACCATTGCTGTTTGTGTACTGAAAACATAAAGCATAAAATTGTGGCTTCTGCAAAAGTTATGGTACATTTTGTATTTTATGTTTTATTATGTTTATATGTTTTAGTATGTTGACCTCAGCAAATAAATAAAAATTGTGCACTGAAAATTTGCAGAAAAATGCCATATTTAAGTTTTTTTTTCCCCCTGTAGAGCAGAAGCTCACAACCCTCCTTTTGGAGATCTGCTTTCCTGCTGAGTTTAGTTCCCATCTGTATCTACCAAGCTCTTTACCTAAAGCTAATGCATCTGTTCCAGCCAATCACAGACTTAAAAATAAGTTAATTAGCTGGCAGATTGCAATTGGAACCAGACTCTATTGAAAGGACAGGGTTGGTGACCACTTTTGTAGAGGATATATTAGCTTATTTTAACTTTGCAAAGATTACCACAGCAAAATGAGTAAAGAGTAATCCCTCATGTCTTTCCAGGAGCAGTAGGAGGCAGTCAGGTGGTACTGCTGTACCCTCCTGATGCGGATAGTGGTCTGGCAGAGCTTGTGTGTCGCCTGGGCTCAGGTCTATCGTCTCTGGGCTTCAATGTGTCTCTGGACCTGTGGAGCCGCTCAGAGCTCAGCGCTTTGGGCCCCATACCCTGGCTGCACTCACGCCTCGACCGGGTGCAGCGCCACGGGGGCAAGGTGGTGCTAGTCCTCACCCAGGCAGCCTGGGCACGAGCGGAGGAGTGGGGCTGCCGTGCTGGAGCCAGAGAGGAGCTGAAAATGGAAAAGGACAAAGAAGACAGCGGCCCTCTTGTTTCAGCTTCACCCTATTCTGACGTTTTTAGCGCCTCGCTAAGCTGCATTCTTGCGGACTACCTGCAGGGCCGTGCCGGTGAGCGCTTCGTTCTGGCCCAGTTCGAAGCGCAGCCGGCTGGACCACCAGCTGCAGGGGGACCTTTGCCTGAGCTTTTCCGTGGACTGCCACTGTTCACCCTGCCCTCACAGAGTTTGGGCTTTTTGACAGAACTCGCTAACGGGACTCAGAAGAGACAAGCAGGAAGGGTGGCGAACAGGAGGATGAGGGCTGGAGTTTTGAGGGCAGGGTCACGGACTTTGGCTGAAGCCTTGCGGGGGCTAAGAGGGGGAACGGGATACAAGCTGGTTGGGCTTTCTCAGGGGTTCAGGACAGAGGATCTGTGGGAGAGCATCCCTCTGCAGCAAGGGCTTTCATCCCCAACAGCCAGTCCTGAACTACACAACAAAAGCAGCACAGTCAACTGGGTCTGATTTAAAGTAAACTCAGCTATAGAAGCCCGGCCCACAGCGTGAATGTATGGATGTATATAATGAATATTGTACACTAAGATGGTTACAACCATCAGAATCATGCCGGTTACTCTTAGACATACACGCACATCCCTGTGTATGCACTTCTGAGCAGCATTTTTATCAAGCTAAGTGCTCACTAGTCACCAGCAGCAAGTAGGTGCCTGCTCTGCACACCATCACAGTGAGTCTTTCAGAGCAAACGAAAGTCACTACATTGAAATGCTTGTGGAGTTCATAGAAGTTCAGTTATCTTTAAAAGGTATTTTGTTTGAAGTATCCATCAAGTAAAAGAGCTCTCCTAAAATGTTGCCAATGTGCATACCACTTTATTTCATGCAGGTCTGTTTTTGTTGCTAATATATATCCCAGAAAAGGCTCACAAAAAACAACAGCCTGTGGTTGGTCACTTCTGTATATCACTGAAACAGCCTCTTCCTGTGAAAGTAGGCCATTCTGAGCAGCGACACCAAAAATATACAGCCATATGCAAATGTTTGGTCATGTTTTGGTTGATCTTTCTAAGTGTAAATAAGTACATATCCTCTACAGAGAACACACAATTACTGTCTGTCTGCTGGTTTCAACATATTGGCTATTCAATAAAAGCAAAACATAAAATATGGCCTGTGCAAAAAATATAGCATATTTCATATTATGTTTATTTTTTTCCAATATGTTAAAGCCAGAAACTGATATCTGTGTATGAAACTGTCAATAGCCAGATGCCTTAGAGGGTGTAAAGTGAGCACCTTCTGTGAAGTTGTTAGAAAAAGGAAGAGATGTTTATGGCTTAAAGAAATGCACACACTGTGAAAAGGTGCAGAAAAATAGGGCATCTATCTCAGTTAAAAATGTCACATATTTTTCACCATGTGAGTAAAAATCTTTAAATTAGCACTCTCAGTGTAAAGTTTTTATTTGAATCTAGTCAAAAGTTACGTTCTTAAATCCCTGACCAAAAATGCTGAGTGCTGAATTTAGTTAAATCCCCAAAGCATGGACCAGTCACTGTGTACCAGTTTGCACATAGTGATTTTCATAGTGTATAACATATGATGTTTTTCAAAGTCCTTTTAGGAAGGTCTGTTCACTCTGTGGCCATCTTGGCAACGTCACTGGGCAGTTATTTCTAGCCATACAAGACCAGGCTTGTATCTCTTTGAATGGAAAGAGATCAAAATACTTGAAACTGAAGGTCAAATAATGGTTTGAAACACATATTTGAGATCATTGATAAAATCTGACAAAAATGTGTTGTGTTTAACTCAATAACACACAAAAACATGTTTTTTCCGGTTGTTCTGGCTACTTGTGACAATGAGGGGGGTTTTACCTTTTCACAGTGTAAACAGCAAGCAGCGAGCTGATTGGCTCTCTTTCTTGAAGGGTGGGATGTTTTCTGCAAAGAGACACCATGTTGAGCCTTACTTTGCTTTCTCATTCGTATTTCAACCATTGACCAGTCTCCTCCTTTATAACGACTCAGTCTAACTCATTGATAGTCTGCTAATGGTTTGATACTGGGATGTTAAAGGGACACTCCAGCATTTTTCAACTTAATCTCCATCTGCCACATCTCTGTCATGTGGTTGATTACCATGAACAATAATTTTGATGCATTTCCATGAACAGAAGACCCACTGACATTAAACGCACTTCTGATAAAAGCCAATGGGCAGGTCCTGAAGCAATTGAAGTGATTCTAAAGGAAAAATTTTGAGTAAGTGGGTTTTCAAACCTGTTGTCAAAACTATTGCCGATGGTAACAGACCATATGATTCAGCAGATAGAGAAGCTTGAACTACACTGGACTGTTTCTTTAAGGCTTGGTGACTGCAAGTGGTCCATATTTGGGTGGGATCACCTCCTACAGTCGAATGCAAAAGTTTGGGCACATTCATTACTTATTTACATTATTAATTTCTAAGTAAAAGTAAGTACACATCCTCTGAAGAGAACACACTTCTACACATTTTAATACGCATTTGCTGTTAAATGGCTGAATTAAACATTTTGGTTGGGGGGGGGGGTATGCATAAAATGTGGCCTGTGCAAAAGTTATTGCACCCTTTATATTTTAGGTGTTATTTTTCCCCCAACATGTTAAACTCAGATAAATAGAAATTGTGCACTAAAATTTGCTGAAAAAAAAATGCCGTAGTGTTTCTGTGTACCCTGACCGCAAGAGTATAATGGACCACTGTTGGCCCGTTGATGGCACAGATGGTGGTCCACTGGCATTTTGCTCAGGCCCACCGGTGGTTAAGCAGAGTCATCCACAGTCCAACTTAGTTATTTTTCCTTCTTTCCTTTCTTTGGTTATACTTTGTAAATTAGTTCAGTAAATAGTTTTAATCTAGCACGGTGTCAGCGACAATGTAAATGATTCTATAAAATCATTTTATATCAGGCCTAGTCATTATTTTTTTTCTCTCAGTTGTTTGTAATTAGTTTATTATCTAAAATAAAAGGCTCTGGTAGGAACTACTTAGAGCTTGTGTGCAGGACAATAATCTGAGTGGTCCGAGGGTGAACCAGCAGTGGCAAACAGTGGACTGATGTATGGTTGCGATCTGGGTAGATGATGTTTTAACTTATTTTCACTTAGAAAATCAACACAACATGTCATTTGACTGGGGGCTGTTCTTCTGCATGCGACTGTAAATGGGCCTATACTGCAGGTGACTTAGAGACAGGGGAGGCACGTTGTAGCAGGCGTTGGTGGTATAGTGGTGAGCATAGCTGCCTTCCAAGCAGTTGACCCGGGTTCGATTCCCGGCCAACGCAACTCCTTTAGTATGCTGGGGGGAAAAATGTAACCGCGTTGTTCACTCAGTCTGTACACACTGACAGTAATGTACACGCGAACTTATTGAACGGACTGTTTTGTTAGACGTCTCAGATTACAGTCCTCTCCTCACTAATTCGACTGTGTGAGTTAGAGGGAGAGAGAGAGAGGGAGAGAGAGAGAGAGAGCTAAAATGGTGAACTGTTCACTCGAACAGCATATCCTCATCAGAATGTGAAACATCTTCCTAGGAACTATCACTTCTATGGAGAAATGCTTTTTTTGTTGTTCAAATGTGTGAAGTACCATTGTACATACACTACTACGTGTGTTAAGTGAACCGAACAGAATACATAAGGAGGTTAAAGGGCATTTGGATCTGTCTTACATCATTTTTGTGTGCTATTTCTCACATGTTCAGGAACCGTAAACAGATTTTTTTCTAATGTAGCATTTATTTCACTCGAAGCTTGTAAATAGTGTTGAATTTCTGTGTGTTTGGTTTTCATGTTACTCCCTTTTACCTTGTGTTTACATTAAAATTAAACCTCTTTTTGATGAGATCATTTGGGTCGGTGTTTTTAGTAAGATTTACACTATTGGTTCTATTACAGTGCTCTTCTCCTACTAATCAATTAATTGATTGAAACTGATGCTACACAGGAGCCGCGCCTTACCTTTTTGTACACGGCGGGCTGTGAGTGGTTCAGCTGCAACTCTCTTTATTGTGATTGGCTTACCTTGCCGGTGGGCGGGTCTATTATGATACAGCTGCAGCGCACACAGAATGAGCTAGAAATCCAGATGGCACAGCGTTAGCGGCGGCTAACAAAGCACTTTTTACAAGCCACGAAGGTTAATTCTGCGTTTGAAAAAGAAATTTGCGTGTGACAATAATATTTGTGGCGAAAGGGACCGAAAACCTCTTCTCTGGCCATACGAAAAAGTGTACCGTGAGTATGAGAGGATGGTGTGAGGATGCTGTTCGGGGCACCTCCGTCGACGCTAACTGAGCCGCTAGCTTTGCTGCAAACATATTACCTCATTGGGTCTAGATAAATGGATTAAAGACGAACGGGACGGGTCCAAGCACAGGTTTATGAATAGCAGCAGTTTTCGTGGCCGTGTTTATTTGTGCTCTTGTCGTGTCTTGTCTCCCGTCGGCTGTTCTGCTATTGTGTGGTATAGTGAGATGCTGTGTGAGGTAAACTGGCAGTGTTAAGTGGCTAAGCTAGCAGCCCGACAGGAGCCTCAGCACTTCCTCACAGCACAACAGCCTTCATCACTAAAAAAACAACAAATAATGATGAGTTAATTTACCACCAACACAGTTTTTCGTTAATATGAGTCAGCTGTAAAAAGACCAACGCCAGCATCACTTCACATGCTCTCCGTATCCTTTTAAAGGAAACTCCACCGATTTCTCAACATTTCTGTATAAATAAATCCTATATATGATGTAAACGAAGTCATTCGTAGTGGTTTGGTGTGAAATGCGCCATTCTAGACAAACTTACCGTCTCAGAATTGTACACAGTGGTGGTGATAGGAACCAAACGGCTGAAGAGAAGAGTTTAAAGGGGAACTCCACCGATTTTTCAAAAATTCTACATGATTAATTGGTTAACATGTCAACAAAAGCATTCAGAGTGATTTTAGCTTGAAACGCTCCGTTCTAGAGAATCTCAAAGTCTCAGAGTTGTTCAGAGTGGTGGTGATAGGAACCAGACAGCTGAAAAGTTTAAAGGGGAACTCCACTGATTTTCCAACATAATAATTTAATAAATTTCCACATAATTAAATGTTTAACATGTCAGCAAAATCGTTCAGAGTGGTTTGGTGTGAAATGCTTTGCACTAAAGAAACTTGCAGAGTCAGAATTGTTCACAGTGGTAGTGATAGGAACCAGACATCTGAGGAGTTTAACACCTCTAAAAGCTCCTGCACAGAAAGCTGTTACACAAAATGGTTATGAATAAACTGCCTAATGTCAGTAGTTTTGTGATAAAGTTTTGGTCTAAAACACGTTTTAATCAGTTTATGTTAATCCATTCATGGTGGAGGGATACATTAAGGGTGTTCTAAGGCAAAATAGTCCCCAAAGAAAGTTATTATTATAATCGACGTTACAAAAAACTCACAAGATATTTGTAGAATGACTGGAGGTTTTGGAAGGTAGATAAAATGGCTATATTTGCATTGTAGACGTCATGACTTTCGGTTCCTGTCACCACCACTGTAAAGAAATCTGAGTCAGTTTCTCTGCAATTGAACCATTTTACATCAAACCACTCTGAATGACTGTTTACATCTTAACCACTAAATGATACAGATATTTTGAAAAATCTATAAAAAATTGCTCATTAATGTCTCTAAAAGCTCCCTCACCGAAAACTAATACAGAAAATGGTTATGAATATGCTGCTTGATGTCTGAGACATTGCTTTACTATAGTTTTTCAGTAAGGCCTAAACGTTTTTTGTTTTTTTAACTGTTAATGGTGGAGGGGTTTGTGCGGGGCATTGTCAGACCAAATAGTCCCCAAGGAAAATGTATTAACACTATTTTAACATTGTCAACGTTACATTTAAAAGTAGACATATGTAGGTTCACTGGTAGTTTTGGATAGTGAGCAAAATTATTACATTTTGCGTTGTAGACATTATGACCCCTGGTTCCCATCACCACCACTATAAAGAAAAGTTTCTCTACAATGAACCACTTCACATCAAACCATTCTGACTTTCTTTACATCTCAATGACTGAATTATGCAAACATTTTGAAAACATGGTGGAATTCTACTTAACTGGCTTTTAATGAGAGCTACTCAAGAAGTCTGTGAGCTGTTTTGTATTAAAATAGAATGTAACGTAGAAACTGGTATTCCTCTATTACCATTACTACTAATAATAACAATAAGTTTATTTTTTTGACCTTCATATTTCTGGTTGGTGTTGATACATGCAACAAGTGTGGCTATGTGTTAACAACATCTTTAAAACAGAAAAAATGACACAGGATTCTGTTGGTCAAAAAGAAAGGTGCGAAAACCATCTGTTAATGAATGTCTAAAATGAAGTCCTGCCTTGTACAGTGACCCCAAAAAGTTTTTGGACAGTTATGCCATACTTAAAGGGCCCAAAACATAGAAAACCAAATGTTTCTTACTTTTTTGAAGTAACAGAGTTGGACGTAGTATGTTAATTTCAACCGTAATATTCGCTCTGCGTTCCATACAGTCCATAAATGGAAACTAAGCTGCAAAACATCCCGTTTTGCAGTCATTGTTTTTGTGATATAACTTAAAGAAACTCATTTACGTCTGTCTGCCTATTTAGCCTTCAGTAGTTTAGCTCTGCCTATTCATGTTGAAGTTTTGGAATAAGGCGCAATACAGAACAGCCAATCAAACAGAGGTAATTTACATGTGTCAGCCTTAAAGGCACAGTAACAAAAATAGCCTGTTCAATTCTAAGGGATAAAGAGAGGTCAGACAATGTAAAATTAATTATGACTGTTTTTGGTGCCTAAAACCACACAAGTATCATCGGTGTGGGGTCTTTTGAAAAGGTCATAGTGTGGAAACAAAAGCAGTGACAATTATTTTAAACAGGCTGTTCAAAGAATTTTTCCTTTAGGCAAAGTATTCTTTCAAATGGTGGCTGGTGTGTTTTGGACTGTTATTGTTTGCAGAAATTACTTTTGCAGGTTTAGATCCAAAATGCCTTTGTCTACTTCTGAGTTCATGATCCCATCAGCCGTTGTAAAAAACAGCCTCAGACCTGGTATTTCCACCTCTGTGTTTTACATTACCTTTAGTGCAGTCTAGTTGGAATTCTTCTCCAGGCTTTCTCCACACAAAGTCTGCCATTAGTTTGGTGTGCCAGAAGTGTTTTTCTCTGAAACGAATGTCATTTCGTTAAACGTTTTATGAAGTAACCTTAAGAACTCCACTACATGTTTCTATTGTTTAAAGTGTCCTAATAATTTTTGGGGCCACTGTATGAAGGAACACCGCTGGTCTTTGTTTAGGGCTAAAAGGTGAATGGTTTTATATTGAAATCTCAATTTAAAAGAGTGCAGTGTTCAAATCGCAAGAGCAGCAATGTTATCATAGCTTATGTTGTCAACTACATTGTCTAGCAAGTTTTAAATGAAACCTAATAGCACAGTTTTTGAACTGCCTGTAGATGAGTTAGACCCTTTAGAAGCAACCAAACATGCATGTGCTGTGTACGACACAACCACCAACAACTGGATGTCTGACACACTCTATTTAACGTTTAAGCCTCAAGGCGGATTTACATGGTGTGGTAATCATTACATTAATACTGTCACAGACTAAAATCACAAATTGTGAAATAATTATTTGATCGTGAGTTAAAATTGATTGTCTTTGAACATTTAATGTCACATGCTTCATGGCAGCCTCTGTGGCAAAAATAGCTTACAACAAAGTTCTGGCAGTGTCAAAAATGTTGGTCCAGATTTTACATTTTTCAGCATCTCATGCAGTGTGACATGCGGTGAAAGTATACAGCCACCGTAATCGTGCAGTGTAAAGCTGGCTGCTAACCAGAAAAAGTTTGATATGCTTGTCATCATGGCCAAAATAACTTCTTTTATAGAAAATAATAGCAATTTATATTGCATTCACAATATTGGGCAGAGAAATTACAGTTAGATATTTTACCTAAATAATTTATCCCTGCCTATGATCAAGACTGGCAGTGTCACAAATAATAATTACTGAAGCAACCTTGTATTGAGAATGAGCTCAATTGGAAAATTTGGAAAAATTTGGAATTTGGAAAATTCTTAATAAAATTTGTTGTAATGCATGACAACTGTGTTTGCTGCATATTGATGGCCTTCTCTCTTCTCTGATCTAGGACGTCATGAGCTGGTCATGGCCTCTTCTCCCTGCCCTGGTGCTGTCCTCTGTCCTCTCCTTGGTAACCGTGCAGACCGCACCATGCCAGACCTGCCGCAAACTCACAGAAAACTTCATCAAGGTGTGTGCATGTTTTTTGTGCTTGCTGTTTTCATTGAGAAACTGCTCAGTAAAAGCTCCCTGTGACAGTAAGACATAATGTACTGATATTCAAAAAAACTTAGTTCGTTTAATGATTTTTTTTTCATACAAAGACTCCAAGACATGAACATAACTGAACTTTTCACATGCAGGTTAATTGGATATCCTACTTTTGTAGCGGATTTATCGAACCTGAGATATACGACGATACGATTGTTCTAAAAATTATTGTTCTAAAACTTGGCTGTTGAGCTGTCCTGGTTAAATTCACTCGAGGGGAGGTGGGGCACTGTGTGCTGTTGCAGCGAGCACATATCATGCCTGTATAAAATGTTTTGGTGTTCATTCTAGGATATCCTTAGACTGCAGTGTCAGGTTCACGGCCGTGTTTATGAGACATTTTGATATCGGTCAAAAAATGCGTTGATTTACGTTGCTGGTCAGTTTTGGGTGTGTTTGTGGGTGGAGATAAGGGAAACTGGGGATAGTTGCAACACTTTTTGCATTCCTTTCTGTTACTCAGAGAGTATTTAGACTAAGCCAACCAAATTTTAATATATTAAACTTACATCTTTCTGCTAATTACACATACTATTTAAAGATGCTTACATATGACTTATCATTCACAATATTTATTTGAATGGAAGAAGTCAGATGGTGCAACAGACTCCAACACAGGGGACAGTTGCAGCACGGATCAAGGGACAGTGGCAACATGTTAAACCTACTTTAAATTTCATTAATCAACTTTTGCTTTTTGTTTCAATATGCATATTATTCTGAAAATATGCATTGTTTCACAAGAATATTGTACAATTATTTATTTGTAGCATAATTTTATAGAATTGGTATTTATTTTGAAGTATTTATGAAATAAGTTATTGGGTTTTGTTTGTTTATGCCTAGGACGTAGAGCAGGTGTCGGCAACCCAAATGTTAAGCAGAGCCATTTTGTCCTTTCAACAAAAATGAAACCACCTTGGGAGCCACAACATTTTATGTCTGTTTTACCATCTTGGCTGTAAATAAGTCTCTGTATGTATTGATGTTCTAGTATAAGCTAAAAATATAAACGAAAATGCAGACTTACTTTGCTCTGCTTTAAGATTTAGCTCAGCTAAAGTCGCATTTCTCGCATCTCCAGCAGGAAACTTTTCCTCAAAAGTAGAAAAGCTGCTTGTGAAATGTCTCTTGATGTTCGATTTTGTACGAGGATGGAGTCATCTCATTCGCCAGCTTCTCGTTCGAATTTCCCTCTTCCACCCTAAATGGTGCCTGATGCGCCAGAATGTAACTGCTGCGCCATTTAAGGTGGAACGGGAAAATTCGAATGAGAAACTTCGACTTCAGCATCACAACATTTTAGTGTTTGACAGTTTCTTGTTGCAGATTAAGATTAAGATGCAGATTAAGCCTATTCGTTTCCAAATTATTGATGGTTGTCTTAAATCTTTCTCTTTGCTGTTTCATTGGCTACTAGCTAGACGAGATTATTGCCATTGCTATGGTGACTCAGTCTGCGTGACAATCTTCAGGGTTAAAGGGTGAATTAGCAGTTATACATTAACTCCAGCGTGTGATAACTGGGTTAGAATGATCAGCAGTGCTTTATTTTACTGCAAAGGAGGATTATTTTATTTTTACCTTAAAATCTAATTCTGCTGTGGAGCCACAACAGGGCAGTAAAAGAGCTGCGTGTGGCTCTGGAACCGCATGTTGCCGACCCAAGACTACCTTGAGTCAGTGTGCAGCTGTTACAGATCCTGTTCGATCTCTATATTTCAGTGTGAGACAGAAAGAATTTGACACTGTGCTATGCAACAAACTATTATAATTATTCAAACTAAGTAAGTTTTGAATAATTCATACAAAAACTTAAATACAGCTCATGAAAAAAAAAATACTTTTATATCACCAAAACAAGTTTTTTTTCAATAAATGCAGTAGCAGATGTTGAAAGTGTCTTCTGTTCTGGGTGGAGGGTCTAGCTGAGCATGTGCAGCATGAGTGTCATCACTCTAGCGTGTTTCTGAACGGAAGAATAAGACTTGTTGCAACCGTCCCATGTTGGAACCGTCCCCAGTCTCCCCTAGATGTGAGCTGGAAACTCATTCAAACATCTAAGCTCCTAAACAACCATTGGTTCTTGGTCTTTTTCATACAGGCAAGCAAAAAGACGTGTGTGAATTTTAATCATAACAGTCGCTGTCTTACTGTATGTTTAGAGCTGGATATTACAGCAAGTTGACTACATCGATTAGTTTTTTTCTGTATTTTGTTTAAAATCGCCGTGACTGACTGAAGTTCCGCCCACACTGTATCCTGATTGGCTGATGCAAGGATTCTAAATGGCTGCACATACATTCAACTCCACGTGACCGTCTTTCTTTTTGTCACTTCACTTTCTCACCTTCAGTTTTTAAATTGGTTGTAAAATAATCACTTATGAATCTTTTCAGTTTGTTTATGATGTCTGTCTGTGTTCATTTTAACAGTTCAGATATCTGTCATTATTTGCACTGATTTCTAAAGTTTTCCTAAAGTCTTTTTCTCTTGCTTTTGTGGTGAAAATGTAAGAAAAGCGAAAACATGCATATTAAAATCATTAATATTGGCATCAAACACTCAACAAATAAGGAATAATGTTCCAGAAACTACAGAAAATGAAGTACGTAATTTTGGACAGAATCTTTTCATTATAATTTTTTATCTTCAAATTTTCTGCAAAACTTACAGATTCTGCTGACTGTCAGAGTTTGATTCTGTTCGTTCCGGAATGCCCGCTTTTCACCATTCGATCAAATCCTGAAGAGTAAAATCCCGCCCACTATTATTACCCACCCAAATAACCTGTTTCACTTGGAAAAACATCTTGTTTAGGAACAGTGTGCTTTGATATCCGATTTTCATTGACTTTAAATGGTTTTACTTTCATAGGTTTTTACAACCACCTTGCCACTAAACCTCAGTCAGTATTATTATTATGATTATTATTATTATTAGCTGTCTGTGAATCAGTGTTTTTGTTAATAATGTTTATTGTTATATGTCTAGCATTAAATCCAGTAACAGTTTTATTATAAGAACAAAATTCATCAAAAGACTTGTAAACAAAACTTTCAACACCCAGTTCTTTTCTTTGCATATATGACCACCTGAAGGTGTGGATCTGTCAAAATGATGGGCACAGAAATGTATGTTAATTACATAGAAAAGGCTAATATTTTATATGTAAAATGTACTGATATAGTTGATGTTATTTTTGATATCAGATGATACATATTTTTTATCATCTTGTCTGGGAAACACTTATGATGGAGGCACAGCAGCATGTATGATGTGCATGTAACTCGTGGGAAATGGCTAAAAAAACAGAAATGTATGTTATGAGACCTTTAATTTGGGGTTGACATGTATTATAAATTAAGAAGTTCTGCCCATGCGCATGTGACAGTGTTTATAGATTTCTTAAAATGAACTGTTATTCATGCCATGTAATAAAGTTAGAAAATGTATTTTATGTAAAACAGTGCATAACAGTGTACAGTATTTGTACAGCAGTGCTGTAATGTTGCCTTTGGGCATTTTACAGGTTGCTTTGCTGGGCCAACATTTCTTTTATGATAAAGACACCATGAACAGAACAGGAGTAACACATAAAATCGCTGTTTGTTTTAGGGCCTGGAGCGAACAGCCAATAAAAATTTTGGTGGAGGGAACACAGCTTGGGAAGAAGAGAAGCTGGCCAAATATGCTCGCAGGTAAGGGGTGAAACTTTAACAGCACCACAATCCACAACATTATATACAGTGTGAATATCAACAACATATAAGTAACCTACAAAATTAAATTTTATTGATTTTGTTTTTTTTTTTTGGCAAAGCAAATAACTCCAGTGGTCATTTCATGTTTGAGAGTCAAACAAAGCCATCTAATGAAAGTTTCTTTTAAGTGCAATATTTAACATTCTTTTACATAAAACAAGTAGGTAAAGTGCTGAAAACTGCAACAAAAACAGCCCATTAAGTCTGTCCTTTTTGTGCTTTCTGTGATGGCATTGGTTGAAATAAAGCAAAAAAAAATAAAATAAAATAAAACAACAGCCCTTTAATAGGCAATATTAAACCTCTATAAGATCACACCTCGGAAAATCCTAAGGCTGAATCTCTGATAGCTCACTGCTTCCTATATAGTGCACTGGGTGAGTCATGAAATTTTGGCTTTTACACCCAAACATTGCCCTTTTTGTCCAGTATGAATTGTGTACTCATGGCTGAATCCAAAGTGGTTCTTTCTTAGACACACTGTGCTCTGTTAAGATGCAATAGCCATTATTTTAAGACCTATGTGCTGCACTTTGTAGGGAGAAGGGATCCATTTGAGATTCTGCCTAAAACAGTTTGCAGCAGTGTTGCGTCACATGACCCAAATACTGCATGCTGATTGGCTGAACGGATTTATCTGGTTTTGTTTGAGAACAGCACTGGCCCTTTACTTGTTCATGCTGTAAAACATGAACTTTCAGTGCCTTGACAATGGACAAAAATGGCTTTTGTGGCAAAATGTATTTAGGATTTAGAATATGCTGTTTGTTAAGAATAACTCACGAAAGTCAGCTTGTCCTTTTGAAATGATGGCGATTGTCGTTTTTCCAAATGAACTCTTATTTGGTTGTTAGACATTGGCAAGTTTTTTTAGGTTCTAATGGCTTTTAAAAAAATCTACAGGTGTGAATCAGTATCCACTTCTTTTGTTGCCCTGCCTTCTAGACAACATTCACAGTGTGTCTACTATTTACAGCAGACTCGTTCTCTTAACTGACAGTCATGTCTCTCAGGAATTTACCGGCAGGACCTTCAGGGTCACATATGCAAATTAAGCCCTCAAGAAGTTCCTTCAGTCTTCATTTACAGTGCAGCTGAACTGAGGTGACCCGATGTTCACATTTACATGGTGACATTACATCCATGGCTGTAACAGGGTCAGAAATAACCTTTTAATCTTTTTTTGATCTTTGTGAGTGCATCTTTTCTAACCTTACAAAAAAACTATGAACCACATGCGAAAGCAATCCAGTAATCATAAACACAAGCTTTTGTTTAATTCCAGTAAACATTTTAAAGAAGTTGTCTGTACTTGTAGTAGCTGCTGTTTTTATGCTATGGTTGATCAAGAGACGTATAGATTTTTATGGATTTGCCTGCCAGGTTGTCATATTGGGACCGATCTTATGTCTCCACTGGTTTTCAAGTTAATTGGTTCCTGTATGGGTTCACACGCTGTGTTCGCCTGACTTTTTTCATAAGTGGCTGTGATGTAGTGCTCACTGCTCACTTATACAAACATGGTCACCACAGTAGATATTAGATTCACAAGTATCACAAGTAATTTGACCTAATGTACCGAACTCTTCATGAACATGGCCTCAGGTCTGTAAATAAACATGTGTGATAATGCCCTAAGCCACTTCTTTAGAATTTAAAGGGCCAGCTGTGCTTTCATGCTTTCGTGTCCATCTTGCGGATCCACTCTCTTTGAACTGAAGAATAGAACCGAAAGCTGCACTTGTAGAATGAAAATGACTGTTTGTCTTTCAAGTCTTCATTAACTTAAAATGACATTTCAAAGTAAATCCATGTCACGAATACCTGAGAAAAATGTATTTCTGTTAGATAGACAGGTGTGTGGAACTTGACGTGCTTATTTGCTGTGGTTATCTGACTTTGCAGTGAAACCTAAATTGTGTCCTAGAAAAAAAATCTGTACATCCTGGTTTTAAACTGTCACAGCTTATAGGCACGATGTGTTTTGTCTTGTTACAAAATCCCGGTTTTAGAAATCTGTTTTTAATGCTTGTCACCACAATAAAAATAATTTGTATTTTTTACTTTTAATAAACAACAGAACGTTTTAGAATATTTGAAAATTAAAAAAAGAAACGTTATAACAAGTAAAATGAAAGTTTTAAGTAAATTTGTGACATGGACCATGGCAAAATTCAGATTGTTTAAATTTTTTTCCTTCAGTAGAAGCACATGTTTAGATGACTGTCAGGTGAATTTTGATCTACTTGCATTCACTCTCTCACTAAAGCATAAGGGAGACATAAAAATACTATGAAATTCTGCAATCCATGTACATATTTTAAGGATTTTACTTTTCACTCAACTTGTTATACTGATAACATCATTTCCAATAAGAAATGTTCTAAAGTAGAAAGCAATGCTAAATACATGCATTTTCACTAGTAGTCTCAAACTTTTAGACCCCACTGCATATTCAAGGCAACCCCACTGTGTTAAAACACAGTACATTTATTTTATGCCTTTGCTTTTTTATTAATAGAAACTTGATGATTGCTTGATTAGCTAAAGGCTGATGTTAAATTAAAAACCTTCACAATCAAACAGCTTCAGCTGTTAGAAATGCAGCTGCTAGAGTTCTCACCGGGAGTAAAAGAAGGGAACACATTCTTAAATCCTAACTCTGGCTACCAGGATGGTACAGAATAGACGTTAAGGTACTATTACTGGTCTATAAATCACTCAGTGGTGTAGGACCAGTGTATTTATTTGATATGCTGCAACAATATGAGCTGAGCAGAACTCTCATTAGGTGCTAGTCAGTTAGGTAAAGGCCTAAGGTTGCTGCTCTTAAATGGAACCTTTTGACGGAGAGCATTAGAAGAGTCCCGACACTTTTAAATGCAGGCTCAAAATGTTGCAACTTTCAGCTCAATTTAAAGCTCTTCTCTCCTGTAATGGCACTTTATTATCCTCATTTAAATTTTGTTTTATTTCCTCTTTTTAAATGTCTTGTTTTTATTCATGGTTTTAATTTTTATTCTCCTACATATTTTTTTTAATTTTAATCAGAATTCTTTGTATTTTCTCATTTGTAAAGCACTTTGAACGAGTGCAGTGTATAAAAAGGTGCGATGGAAATAAACTTGCCTTCAGTTTTATCTCTTTAGAAACTGTTGTGATGCTCTGTTTTAATGTCCTTCATCAGTAGTAGAGAAACAATGGCTGTGTGTCTTATTCTCTTATGAAGAGAGCTTTTTCTCTTCTGTTCTCTCCATTGATGTGTGTTGGTTTGCAGTGAGACACGTCTGTTGGAGATTGTGGAGACTGCGTGTGAGAAATCTGATTTTGATTGCAACAAACTGTTGGAACAGATAGAGGACCAGGTAGAGACCTGGTGGTTCCACAGGTAAGCATGTGACTTTGGGTGTGAAAAGTTTTGTCATGGCCTGATATTTATTTGCTATATTGTCTGTGTGTGCGGGTGTGTGTGTGTGTGTGTGTGTGTGTTAGTTCGTAACAATATATATTTGTATTTCTTAGGCAGCAGGAGGCTCCTGACTTGTTTGAGTGGTTGTGTATTGAAGAACTCAGGCTGTGCTGCCCACCAGGTCGCTTCGGACCAGAATGTGCAGGTACACACGACTAAAACGTCAATCTGTTCACGATGATAAGACATCCAGGTTAACAATAGGGCACAGCCAGTATGAAAATTATGTGACCAGTACCAGTTGTAAAGAGCTAAAGATTTCAATAACTGATATCATGAGCCAGAATACAGTGATATGCACAATTTTAAATGTCCCTAGTCAATTTGCATGTATTGTTTATTTCCTAAGTGAAAATAAATTAACACAATATGGCATTTTTCTGCTGGTTTTCATTTCTGTTTGCTGGATTTAACATATTGAAAAAATAAAACTTAAAATATACAATGTGCACTTTTTGTTCTGATATGTTAAATTCAACAAATAAACAGTAATGGTGTATTAAAATGTGCAGAAATTTGTTCCCTGTAAAGGATGTGTTAATTTATTTTCATTTAGAAAATCGACAAAACATGTAACATGCAATACTGTTAATTAAGCAGTACTTTACTGACTGATATGAATGTCACTTCTCATGTGTTACATTTCTTAAACTCAAATGTTTAAGAACAGAAACTCACAAAGTCTTAAAGGAACACTGCAGCATTTTTTCAGCCTGGCCTATATTCTACAGATACAGAAAGGGAGATACATACAGTTCAGCGAGAAGAAATGCTGGAGTCTTCTTCTAAATAATATTCTGAGCGTGTTTACATCCACTTAATAATCTAATAATTGCAGAAAATCTGATTTTGTCAGTAATCCGTTCATCTGCACTTCAGATAATGGGGAAACTCCGGGTCTACATGAGCCAGTCAGTAATCGGATTTCTACTTTGCAACTGACCAATAAACTCACAGAACAACGCGCGACATAAACGTGATGTAAAGCTCAAACGTTATGCCATGGCCTTTTTTTTAAAACATCAAGTCACTTTCGCGGAACATGTGAATACACATTGTCTAGAAGATGAAGAATATTTCAGTCTTTCGTTTTGTGAAGTATGTAGTTGTCTTCAGCATTGCTTCTCAAGTGTTTTGTTGCCATCTCAGAGCTGTGTCAAATGCTGCTTGCTTTTTCTGGTGCCATGGTCAATTTTCGCACATGTGCATACTGAGAAAAACGAAAAAAATCAGACTAAGGATACACAGGTGCAGAAAAATCTGATTACTGAGCTAAAATTCAGCTCTTTTTTGGATTTTTCAGATTTCTAGGCATTATTCCGATCTGAGAAATTAGAGTATGTTGTTTACATGACCACTTTAATAATCAGATAACTGCAAAAATCAAATAATGGATCACATTATTAAGTGCATTAGGATGCATTTTACGTTTTGTTATTTTAAGCTTTATAATGTTTTCAGCTTTACTAATACAGTCTGTGTCGTTGTAAAGATGAACATGTGAGAACATGAGATGACATTTGCCAGTAAATCTGTGGATCCTTAAGACGGGACAATACTTTAGAGGAAATATCATTTTGAAGCAAAGCAGTGTCTTTTTGGCCAAAAGAACTGAATGAAATTGGTTGAATTTGAGAGTGTTTTTAAACATATTTACCACATTCATTCTGTGGTATTTGGACTTTTAGTTCTTTCGTTGTTTGAAGTATACTATCTGCTTATTAACGATTAACGAATTGGAAAAAATAAAACATAAGATATAAAATGTACGATAACTGTTTTTACCCAGTATGTTCAATTCAGCTAAAAACTGTTATTTTGCATTAAATATGTGTTCTCTGTAGAGGATGTGTATTTATTTTCACTTCAACAAAACATATCATTTAACCAGGGGTACTGAAACATTTGCATGTTGTTTTACAGCTAACAATACTAACTTGCCCTTAGAAACTGTGATACACCACTTACTTATCTAGCGATGCAGTATTCTATAATGGGTGGGCTGAGCAGAATACAGAATGTATATATGCAGTCTTAGCTTGAGATAAAAAGGTGCCAAACTAATAACATTTTTCTTCTCTGTGCTGGTTTACGCGTTGGAGGTAGTAATGTGTTTTTTGTACATCCTTCTCAGTTGTAGAAAACAGGCAACTGAAGCTAATATGATGAAATTATGTTAGCTTGTTTTATTCTGAAGCAGTTTTGGTAAATATGTTAAAACACTGCTAATTCACCTGATGTAATCTTGCTGGTTTTGTGCTCATTTATATTGGTCGAGAGCATTTGAACCTGAAACTGTGTGTAGTTATGTGCCATGTAGAATTCTATGGGATATATTTTTACACCATACCTTAATATAGAAAAAAAAGAAAAAGTTGCATGTTTTTGTGGTTAGCATGATCAAAATGGAACAGGCAACACAAGCCTTCCAAAACTAACATGCAGGTCACGGTTATGTTTTCCTGCTCATGACCAGGGCTGACATTTCGCTCGGTTCATTAACTTAACGAATCATGTATAGGGTGATCAGTGTACTGACTTAATTATTCTGGGAATCCCCATTGATTCCCTACAAAACATGTAAATGTGGAACAAACACCTCTCAGGGTAAAAAACAGCAGTAATCAGGGATATGGAACAGGAAGAAAAGTGCTGGGAAAAAGAAGTGAGAACAAATGGCTTTGATTCCTAAAGCAACAGGTTATTTGGGACAGTGACACGCACATATGCATGAGCACACACCCAGAGGCACGACTTGTTTTTCTGTTATACTAAGCCCCTTCTGATGTAGCCAAGATAAGTAGCTGTTATCGTTGTCAGTAAAACTATGTACCAGTCATCTGTAGATAATATTTCTTATTTTAACTGCGTGTCATGTAAACACTAATAAATTACCTTCAGTATTGACTGATTTCAACACTCATGCATTCAGCTATAATTATTATGATTATTATTGTGATGAAGACGTTGATGATTAGTATTAAGAATAAGCACTTTTCCTAATTTAATACAATGAAGTATAGATGTATTATAAAACAGGTGTCCGATGATAACTGCAAGTAAATACTAGGCTGCCACAAGGAAAGATTTGGAAATGGTGAAGCGAACAAACTGACATACTTAAAATCATTACTTACTGTATTGATGTTATTTGTATTTATTCTTTTTTTAAAAGAATAAGCAAATAAATGCTTACTGACCAGATGAATAGCTTTTTAAATCAAATTTCCTCAGGTGCCTAAAACCTTCACACAGTCTGTATATTTATCAGAAAATCACACAGAAGCCTCAAAAACTATATATATCAAATGTTACAGTATTCATTGTGTCCAGCCTTTGCCTCTATTACAGCTTCCATTCTTTTCAGGAGACATGCTTTCGGTTTTTGAAAGAAATCTTCGGGGATGTTTTTCCACACCTTCAATGTTTAGGCTTAGAAGTTGGTTGCATTTTCTCCTTCTGGGAGTCAGATGTACTCAGTCCATTTTTCTATTCTGTTCTTCTCACAAGTCTCTCCTACAAATGAAGAAATTGATGGCCATTTTGTCTGGAAATGAAACAAATAAAGAGTGGTCTTTGTACGTAAAATTGTTTCCAGAAGGTGATTTTGGTTTTTTTTTGCTTTTTTAGAGTGTCCATCGGGTCCAGGGGGGGTGTGTGGAGGTCTTGGCCGCTGTGAAGGAGAGGGAACACGTCTCGGAGATGGAGAGTGTGTCTGTGACCCAGGATACTCAGGCCCGCTCTGCCAGGAGTGCGCAGATGGATACTACAGAGAAAAGAGCTCCAATGGCACGCAGCCACCTTGCTCAGGTGATCAAATATGGAAGCGCTATTATTCAGTTGTTTTACCACTAGAGATGTGCATCTGGCTAATGTTAATATCTGTCTGCATCAGATTATTGCCACATGTGACTTGTCTTTTCCCATGCCATATTTTCTTCAATGTACTGAATACTCAAACAATGATTTCAGTATTTGAGTATTGGCACCTCAAAAGGCTTAATGAGTATGTGATTAACCATGCATACCCATGGGTGAGATAAATCTTTATTCAGGAAGTTCTTGTTCTTTTGTTTTGTGGATTTAGCGTGTTATCACTCCTGCAAGAAGTGTTCCGGTCCACAGAACTACAAGTGTCTGGACTGCAAGCCAGGTTGGATTCTTCATGACAACAAGTGTGTGGGTGAGTCCTGCTGATGAAACTCGAAATGGATTTCACTAAAGATAATGAGGAAAAAAACGAATTAACTTTGGCTTAACAAGAACCAGACCCAGGCTGTGATCCAGTGGCTGGTGATCCCATTGCACACTGGAATATTTCACTTCAATTTGGTATTCATGTGCAATGTGATCCAAAGTTTTAGATTTATCATTAATGCAGATGTTTTATGTAAAAATAGCGCAGAACACATAATGTTTTACAAATAAAATAGCCTACCTGAGTTTTGGACACACCAAAACATTAACGACAGTAGGTCATTATGGTAGAGGAAGTTTTGAACACTAACAGGCCTTTCACACAAACCCTTTTACAGGTGAATTTACATTAACATGTAATGGCTTTTAGCAGAGTGACATACCTACAATGCTGCCAGGAAGAAGAGTTAGTGGTGATACTTAGATAGAAAGACACACAATACAGAAGTAAGACATCTCATATGTGCAAATACTAAACATTTTAATAAGTTCAAAATTAGTTTTCATTTAAATGCTTCACGAAGATATTAAATTATGATAATTAAACTGTAAGGACTTAAGTGAGTGTAAGCTGGAGTCAAAATCCTGGTCAGATTGACGCAACAGTTTACCTGCACAAGACCAACAGCTCCTGTAAAACTACCACGAGGGTTTGAACAGAAGCAGATACTTCACCGAGAAGGTTGAGTCATTTATCGTCTGCTGATGTTATTGCAGTCGAGAGTCCCTTGTTCTGTATCAACTCGGCAACATTGTAAATGAGGGTCACCCTCAATGTTCTCCGAGATTAAATAAAGGTTGATTGATTGAGATTTAATTTTGTGTGAGTGGAATACGTCTCGTGAGTGTATTATGAACATGAACATTTTAGTGGCATAATGCTCGAGAGAAGCAAAAAACAAACTGCCTCTTTATGCATGCATGGCTGCTTTTTGGTTTTTACAGTCAAGTTTTCAGTTTTTGCATGAAGAAAATGTCGTAGTAGTGTATTTTTTTTATAAGATTCAGAAATCAAACAGCTGCCGTTCATACTGCATATGTTGTCTTTTCTTTAATGGTAATTGAACATTAGTTGTAGAGGAATGCCAATAACAGCTTCTGACTAGAAGTGAGTCTGAATGTGTGAATATTTAAATATTCATGAAAGTTTTAAAAACTCCTATAGTAGGATTTTTGATGTGCAAATATGCTTGTATAATAAATGAGCTTAAACTAAATCTTCTCATGAAATAAATATTTTTCTTAAATCTGCGCATCACAATTGTTGGCACCCCTAGAAATACTTGAGGCCGGTTGGACACTACACGACTTTAAAAATCTTAACAGATTTCTAAAATGGAGAGCATCAAAAACTTAACGTCAGTTTGTCTTTTTTTTCCTTGTCTTTTTGTCATGAGGGCACTCACAATAGAAGACAAGGCAAAAAGAGAGCATAACACACAACGAGTTTGGGCTACAAATAACTCAAACTTCCAGATCTCCTCAGAAATCATATGACACAAGACTAAACTTACTGGACCTGTTTATGCTTTTATGCGTAGCAAAAACCCAAACTGGGGATTAATACGGGGTTGAGAAATGCTGATATCACACTGTGAGCTGGGGAAATGTTTTGCTACAAACTGGCAGCTGAGCTGAAATTGTAAAGAGAGTACCGTGACGTTTGGATCCATACATTATAACATGATATCAGCACTTATTCACCTGTGTTTTACACACAGCTCCTCTGTCTCCACTCTCCACTGTATGCAGTGTGCACACATATCTCTTCGCCTGTTTCTCCACTCTTCTAGCTCTCTGATTGGCTGTTGTTTGAATAACTCGTTGAGTAAATCCCTGACCTTCTCACACTACAGGACTCAAACTTTCAAATGTTTGATAATATTGGAGGGCCTCTGATCACTTCAGAGTTCGATTGGAGAGGTAAAGATTCACTAGTTTCTCCTCTTACACTATCAGATCATCCATGCCGTCACTCGCTTCCGATGGAGCTTCTGACCTGGGCTTGATCTTGATGGTGTTTTAATGAATCAGATGGCATATTTCTGTCAGACTGAAACTTTATGGAAACATTCTCATTTTATACCACCTGTCATTACAAACAGCTCGCTACTAACGTATACCTGTACGATGAAGCAGTTCATTAGTTACAGTTAAGAACAAAAATGACAGGTTTAATCAGCATCATAGTTCTAAGCATGGTAGTTAGAGATTTTACACTCACTGTGCAGTGACTGCTTCGCATGAGATGAGCAAGCCAGAGCTTGCTGATATTAATCAAACGATACAGGAAAAATGACTCGAAACCTGTTTATGTTGTTATAGGACAAGTGCCAAAGTAAGCAGTAGATGTCTTAAAAACCATTAAATCCACTCGAAAAACCGTTGGAAACCACTGAGCATGAATGTTTGAAAATGTATACATGTTGCCTTGGGCTCTGAGCCATTTCTGTGAGGTAAAAAAATCCCGTCTCTTAATTACAAGTCCTCTTAGTGGCACCTTTCCAGTGTTATTAGGCTTTAACTGGAATTTGTGACACTAACCATAACTGTTGTGCCAAGATAAATATCTTTCTAATTGTTCTGGAAGTTCACTGCTTTCATCAAGAAAAAGAATAGATACGGTCACCAGAACGACATTTTAATTTACCTGTAGTATATCACAGCACAGCGGTGACAGTTGGGCTGGTGATCTATGCCATCTTGGGCAAATGCCTGTAAACTGTAAATAATAAGGTGGCTAAATATAGACTCTGGTAGGCCTGAGTAATAATTATTTATTTCTGTTTATTATTTACACACTGATACACTCAACCTTCAAATAAGAGATCATTTAAATCTTTACAATAAACGAATGCTTCATGAAATGTAGGCTATAATTGTGCTCAGTGAGTCTTTACTTTCAAAAGCAAAATAAAATGAATGATGCATAATCCTAATAAGATTATATTCCTTATTAATTATTGTACATTTTCTTAAATGTGGTGTTCAGATGGTGATTTCGCAGAAAGTACACATTGCTAAAAGCTTGAGGTACTCAAGCTTCATAAACATTAAACAATTACCTGTAGAAAACTATTTCACAAATATGTGACGTGAGCTCAAGTGTTTTTCAAAATACTCAAATGAATAATTGTACTTAAGGACAAACCTGCCGGTAAATTATGTGTGATGAAATTCTGGGAAGGGGACTGAAACGTTTGACTGCACTTTTCAACTCCCTGTATCCAAATTCAAATTCAGGCCATGTTGTCATTATTTTACATGCAAGTATGAAAACATATTTGACTTAGAAAGTAGACAAGACTAAATAATTGACCGACCAGTCATCACATGATTAAATGTTTGTACATTATGAAAAAATGAAGCCAGAGCAAAAGAATCATTATGTACTGTAAAGTGTTTGCTGTGTGTAACTGTTAATTGTGGGTAACTACTGCTTGTGACATTTGGCATCATCTGCTGTTCACTCTCTAACTGCATGATCACCATATAGGTGGGCCTTTGTAGTTGTACAGTTACGGACTGTAGTCCCCTTTCACTCTATTTTTTTAATGGTCAGGACCACCACAGGACCACCACAGAGCAGGTATTATTTGAGTGGTGGATCATTGTCAGCACTGCAGTAACTGATGTGGTGGTGGTGTGTTAGTGTGTGTTGCACTGGTCTGAGTGGATCAGACACAGCAGTGCTGCTGGAGTTTTTGAACACCTCAGTGTCACTGCTGGACTGAGAATGGTCCACAAACCAAAAATATCCAGCCAACAGCATCCTGTGGGCAGCGTCCTGATGATACCTGTGATGTACTGAGAAAAGTGCACTGTGATTTCATCATAAGTATATGAAGATCCACTGCAGTAAACCTTTGCTTTTACATACAGAATTTGTTGAAGGAAAAAAAAGCTCAAGTCAAGGCAGAAAATAAATGCTAAGAATCTTAGTTTTAATGTGATATCTGCTGTTAGCCGTTTGTGGTCAGTGCCCTAATATTGCACCTTCACCAACTTGAATTGAAGCCTGAACTTCATCAGAAGGTCCAGTTACATCCTACTTACCAACATTAATCCTGTTTTGCAGTTTTTGAAAGCAAACCGTTTGCACCATTCTAGGTGCTAGAGCTGTTTTACTTTGTTCAGTATGAGGGGGAACATGGTTTCTGAGGATCTCTGAGTGGGATGTTATTACAAAAGCTATGTGTCATTGTCTAACGGTCACTGTTTTTATTACAGATGTAGATGAGTGTGGTACTGAGCTGGCGCGCTGTCCGTCCAACACTTACTGCTTCAACACTGACGGCTCATACGAATGCAGGGGTGAGTAATGCGCCGCGAAGTGTCTGAGCGTGAGACATATAAATGAGAATAAGAATAAGGTTCTTATGTTACTGAAAGAGAAGTGTGCTTTACAGCCTGACACGTGAGAATTTTGTCCTTGATGCTGATTTTAAGGAGCTAAAAATTGCAATAACTGAAAATATCTGCCAACCTAGAGTTCAGATTTTTACTGACTGTCTTCTGTTTACTATCATTATTATTGCTGCTCAACTTAGACATTCACTCCTGTTCAAACTGGCTGGCTGTGTCTTTTAGGATAGATTTAAAAGTTTTTTTGTTAGTTTTTAAAGATGTGAATGGTCTTAAAACACCTCACAGAATATCTGTCTGTTTATGTTCCAACACGTGATCTTAGATGTGGAGATTCTGGCTTTCTGCAAATACTTTTCTGTAAAATACAGAAAACATTTTTTTATCCATTATTACTCCAGTTATTTTCATTTGTTCAGTTTTATTTTCTTATTGCTGTTATTACTTTATTACATCTCCCTAAAGCACTTTGAGCTGCTACCTTTATGAAAAATTCTCTACAAATAAAGATTATTACTATTATTATTATTAATATTATTGACAACTGTGAATTGTCAAATATGATTGGCAGTTCTAAATGATCAGACTTTTTAAACTTGATATGTTGCTCAGGCTGTATTGTTTGTAGGATTTACCTGACAGCTCTCTGTGTGTAGGTTGTGACCAGGCGTGTGTAGGCTGTATGGGCAGTGGTCCTGCTCGCTGTAAGAAGTGTGCTCGAGGGTACAGACTGACTGGAGCCAAGTGTCTCGGTGAGTGTCTCGTGTCTAGTATCTTGTTCACCTGCTGTGTGTTTTAGTTAAATATTTCAGGTGCGTGGCTCGGACTTGTTTGTAAACACTTGTGTTTATTATTTAAACAGTTCATAGCCCATCCATTTGCATGAGGCTTCCAAAATCAACACTCTTTGATGTGGTCATTGGTTTTTCTCACACAGCAAACCCCCAGGCCAGTGGCTCCTTGTTTGCTGATGGTCCACAGATAGATTAATTGATTGATTAGATCAGTAGAGTTCTTTATAAATCCCAGAGGGAAGCTGTGTGGTTAGAGCAGGCGACAGGGAAAACCACATGTCACAAGAACACAAATACACATTTAGATTTTCATTTACATTTGTACCATAGGAAGTGTTGGTAAAATTAGTAAAATAAATTGCAGTGTTGGTTAGTTGCTCCCTGTGAAACAAATGTGCACATAATATGCAACATTACAGCAAACAGCAGAAATAATATACATATTGTGGTACTGGGTTGGAGCTACCCAGAATTCTTTGCAGTTTTGGTTTGTGTAAAATACATATTATTTTCTTTATTTCTCATCAGTTCTCTTCATAGAAAAAAAGTTCTTTTTTGATATAAAGTTATTTTCGTGCTAAAGGTTCAGGTTGGGTACATTTTACATGTTTTTGTTATTCTAACTATGTGTTTTTTTTTCTTTTTTCAAATTTATCTAAAAAAAATGCAAATTATCTGCACGTTATCAGCAACGTTTTTGCTGGTACTCTTAAAGCCTTGGGATGCCAATATTGGCTGACTGATATATATATCAGTCTGACTGTAATATGAATAATGTTCCACTTTACCAAGCTTATTAATTAATTTATATACATAAAATATTTATACTGGGTGATCATACTGCATTTTTTTCATGTAGGCTCATGTTGGCTCGCTGCCAACAACATGATTGACTGCTGCATGCCAGATTAAAAACTGTTAAGTAATAAAACTTGAAGGAAGAGTAAAGTAGGGTGAAAAACTGAATTAGAGATAAATTTAGGCCAAAATGTGTTACATGTGAAAGACAGTCTGTAAAAAACTACTGAGAAATCAAAGCCCAAACAATTGTTGAAGAAATGATAACCAACATGAATTATTTCATGCTCTAGGCCTGGTTAACTAACAGGGTTCTTCTTTCAGATCAGTTTTTTGCTTTCCATTTCAGATGTTGATGAGTGTAAGGAAAAAGCAATAGCATGTCCTGGACTGAATGAGGCCTGCATTAATGAGGAGGGTTCTTTCCGCTGTGAGTGCGCAGAAGGTTTCATTCGGAGAGACAGCATCTGTGTGGAGAACCTTCCACCTTGTGAGTAAAACACATATGCCTAAGTGTTTTAAACTTATTCATTCTTGCACTTAGATTTAAAGGAAAGCTTGCAAAATAATGTCACTATATATAAAGATTGCTAGTAAGTCTGTATCATAATGTTAATAAAAGTTAGTTGCATCATTTTGGTCTGATGTTTGTGAACACTGTGCAGTCATAGTCTCTGATTGGAAAAGATATCCAATCTAAGGTATTTGTGTTATTGTTGCCCTCTAGTAAGCACATTTGGTTAAGTAACAAGCAGAATAATGGAAATGGAAAATCCTGTTTTTTGTTTTTTACGTTTTATAGTGGGTTCCACTGCTGGCAGGTGTTGGAGTGTGTTGGTATAGTTGCCTACAGAAACACACCAGAGATAAATGTGCTCACTGTTCACTTTAAAGCCTCCGGGGTGGTGAGAAATTTAAGGTGCAGCACTCATGTTTCTCCCTCCGGCCAAACATGATGTTAAATTCAAGTGCAGGACAAATGTCTTTCCTCCATTTAGTCATACTAAATGGGTGCGGAAAAGATTTTCTGTAAAGTTTTGCGTGATTAGTAATATTTAATAAAATAAAGCAAAGGGATGGCTGTGGTGTAGCTGGCAAAGAGGAAGCATGGCTCCATCAAGTTAAAATGAAATAAATAAATATCTGGGCTGTCAAAGTTAACATGTTAACGTGATTCATGTTTAACACCACTCATTTTTTAACGTTAACACAATTTCTTAGTTTCACGCTTTAAATCATTTGTTGTAGTGCAGGCTGAAGCCCAGCTGCTGATCACTTTATATTGCTATGACTGAATCCTCAACTGTGGTCCTCTCATTCAAATAGCTTGCAATACAGGGCTTATAGGAGACCTAAATCAACAAGCAGCACATGAACAAAAGCAATAGCAAGATACATTTCCCCTCAAGAGCCTCCACTGTAATGAGAATCCACAAGCTGTATGAACAAGACTGAGAGGGCTACAATTGGACCACTAACTATATGACATACAATCGTTTGGGAACTCCAGGTCTAGAGATACAGCACGAGTGAACAGGACGCACATACGAAACAAACTGCTTTAGAAATCTGTATGTGAAACAACATTCAGTTCTGTTTTTGAGCCAGAGAAGCTGCTGTGTGCTGATGTGTAAACGCCACAGGTTTATCTGTTTACTGTTCAGCTCTGATTTTAACTGTTTTGCACAATAAATTTGACATTTACTCAAGCTGTTAATCATGGTTTTTATTACTGATCATATAATAGTAAATACTAAATACATACAGTAAATAAACAAAAATAAGTCTTCTTAAGCATCTAATAAATATAATCCAACACATAAATGCCAGTGTTTTTTGTGATGCAGAGCATAGATTTTACCAAAATAAAATATTTTTTAGAATGTAATTGTATAAATATCAGGTATTGGTCTCGGTACTCAGTATCGGCCAATACTAAAGGATCAGGTATCGGTATTGGAAAGGGAAAATGTGATATCGGTACAGCTCTATTTTAAAATGGGCATATCTTTCTTTGGGATCAAATTTGTACAAATAAGACATAATACTGTTATTAATCACAATGATTTTAATAATTTGACAGCACTAATAAATACATTTTTGTCAGTAGCATTTCTGTACATTTCTCTACCATTTCATTTATGTTGCATGCTAACAAAGATACTGTTTTTTATCTCTCTCTGCAGCTGGTCCAGAGAAAGGCTTATTCGATGACATGACTGACGATGAGGTGCTGGTCCTTCAGCAGATGTTTTTCGGTGTGGTGATCTGCGCACTAGCTACACTAGCTGCTAAAGGAGACATGGTTTTTACCGCCATCTTTATCGGGGGTGTGGCAGCCATGGCCGGCTACTGGCTCTCAGAGAAAGGCGACCGCATGCTGGATGGCTTCCTTAAAGGGCGTTAATGGACGAGCTGCTCAGGAACTCGAGAGCGTGGGAGGGGCTACTGGACTGCAAGCCTATCAGAAGACAGAAACTTGAAGTGGGAGGTTGACAGGAGTGGCTAAAGGAATGCAAGCCAATCAGGGATGTGGAAGATGAGCAGAGGAAGGGTGACTATAGCAGTGCTACTGTGTCAAAGGCATTGTAAGTGGGGATTATGCTAATGGATTGTACTATGCTAATTTATATGCTGTTTCCACAGTACTGTTTCCCTGCTGCTCACTGTAAGAGACTTTACTTAGGGAATTTTTAAATACATTTGAGCCAGATTAAGATATTGAAAAGCTGTTTAGACTGCACTGATGCTTGACAGGTAATAGAATATGTTGCTGTATGTTGGCTTAGGCATGACCCTTTTCAGAAAGTACAGCAGCATAGCATAAAGCTGATCACTTCTCCAGTTATAGTTTATGATTAAATGCTCAAAATGAGCTCCTTGTAGAGACCATATACACTTTGTTTTATTAGGTTTTTTTTTTTTATTCTAACTTGATTAAAATATGTTTTGAGCATACTGAGAGCACAGATGAGTGTATGTGAACCTATAGACAGAGCGATTAAAGGACTGTATGTGTGATTGTAATGACTGTAGGGATAAAAATGAAAAATATTGATCCACTCTTCTTAACAGCTGTTGAGAAACCTGAAAGAATTGCCCTAAAACCAAGAGAACTTAATTTTTTTTTTTCATTTTAGATGATCCCTCCGTCCCATAGAGAGCTTGATCCAGCAAAGACAAGAGTATGTTTTGTCCTGAAAATGAATTTTCATAATGAACAGTTCTGTGCAAAAGTCAGATCACCTTTCATTTATTAAATTTCCAGTCAAAAGTCATTAAATACAAGTTATTTATTTCCTCTTGCATAAAGAAGGTAAGGCCAGATGAAAGTTTCCAAAATTGATTAAAAGAAAATAGAGAAATTGGGGCTCCTAGCAACTGTGCCCCCGACCTGGTAGACCACCAAAACTGCCACCATCAGATAAACAGCACTGAAAGCTTTCATCTTTGAGAAAAAGATGAAGAAGCACCCCTCTTGCTTTAGATCTAAAAAAAAAAATCACAGATGTTTCTGTCCATCCTTCCACCGTGGGAAGACAACTCAACACTATGAGTCTGAAAGAATGTGTAGCTGTAAAAAAAAAGCCCTTACTGAGAAAGGTAGACAGACACCAGAGAAGAAAAGTTGCAAATTGAACAAAGACGCTGATGGTGTTCTCAGAAAGATGGACTGACCACCCCAACCCTGAGTCCAGACCTCAGCATTGCTGAATGCATTGGGGATTACGTGGATCATGAAAGGCAGAAAATACAGCCAGCTTCTAAGACTGAACTTCGGAAGTCTGGAAAAAATATCCCTGCAGATCTCTGTGAAAAACTGAAAGCAAGACTCCTGAAAAGAATAGAAGATGCAATAAAGGCAAAGGGAGGACACACTCAACACGTAAAAATTTTGATATTTAGTTGTTGAGGCTTCAGTGTAATTTTCTGTTATATATGTTTTCTGCTAACATAGATATGTTTTCTGACTTCTGCACAGTACTCTCTTCATTGGGAAAAAATTGGTTCATTTGTAGTTTTATCTAGCAGCAAGAGGTAGAACTGTAACCATTAGTATTCTTACTTACAAACTCTTTCTAGAGAAACGCTGCATTTATGCAAGGTAACCTTACATTGCACTTCATTTACTGTTGCTTTTATCTGCTGTTTCTTAATCCAATGTTAATGTCTATTTATTTATTATTAAGCAGAGCATCATTTTCTGCTGTTAGTGTTTCATTCAGGTATAAAAGTGTATTTGTATGTTCTTAGTTTCAATAGCTTTAGTTTCAGTAGTTACTCAAATGCTGATATCACTGGAGATCGAAACAGCCTCTTTTAAATTGCTCCTGCACCCTCTAATATGAATACTAGTGGAAGGCCTTTGTGTCTCGTCCATACTTTGGCCATTAAAGGAATATTCCAGTATTTTTCAGCCTAACCTCCATTTGCCTATTGGACGGACGATTACCATGGACAGTAATTTTCCCATGAGTCTCATTGACTTCTGTTGTAGATTTGTTAACTGGTCATCAGGTTTTCTGTTTCTTTTCTAAGTTCAGGGAAACGTGTCAAGTGGCTGTGGTACCTGACCGTATGATACGGATGCAGCAGATGGAGTTTAGGTTGAAAATGCTACAGTTTTCCTTTATGTTCCATGGTAAAACTTCCAGTTTTAGTTTTCAGAATCTGCATATTTATTCATTTGTATGATGGTGTAACTTGCATGAGCTTTTTATCCATACTTAGTTCACATAAGAACCCTCAAAATGATCAGTCACCAAATCAGAGTGGTGAAAAAAATGTTGCATGGAGGCATGAGTTGGCGAGCTAATTTCAACTTAAGCTAAAGAAGTAATTTGAATTAGCTTGCCAACCCATATATTCATCTTCATAGTCTACCTCCCAGTATGTTTTAAATTTTTAAATCTGCCACCTGTAAAATAATGATAGATTGTATTGACTTATCTGCTCTATGAAAAAGCAGTGGAAAGATTATTTAATTAAAGCCTATTTAAGTGACCCACAGTCTTTTTCTTTCTTTTCGTATTAGTAGGTCATTGCCGTCTGGACAAAACTTTGTATCTCCAGAATTGTTAATTTTACAGAAGTAAAAACATTCCTAACTTTAATATATGATAATGGATGGATTTTATTCCAAGTATTTCTAGGTCAATTCTGTCAGTCTGTTCTTTATGAAATGGGCAGATGACATTCATTGTGGAAATATCTGAACTGTACAGTACACTCATAAATCACATGAGGGGGATTTGAAAAAATTAAACAGGTCATTTTATTTACATACTCAAAATATTTTCACCTTTTTATGAAACGGATATGAAGAAACAAGAGCTTAATAAAATGGTTATTAGTTCCAGTCCTGGGAACCTTATGCACTGTTTTCTTTGTGTTTTGTGACTTGAAAGGCTTAAAAATTACCTAATTTGAAACAGGTTTGTGCAGTAAAAACACAGAAGTGTTGAGCGTCTCCAGGACTGAGACTGACAACACTGAGTTATCACACCTTTCACTGACAAGAACCAATAAGTAATTATATTCAGTTACGAGTAAAATACATAATACATGAATATACATTTAATATTTGACTTAGCATTTGCCTTCAACAAACGCTTATCTGAGGACAGAATATATTAAAGGAAAGGTTCACTAATTTGTTACTGTGCATTGACCTCAAGTATACGTGATCCTGCAGAGTTACATGTTTGCTTTGTCTTATGATGGGACTTAAATGCTGCCATAATTGGGGGGAAGTACTTCTACTATGTTAACTGTAAGATGGCCAAAGGATCATATTCCTAATATATTTCTACATATCTGAATGACTTGAATACATTAGTGAACAGTTACTGTATCATGGTTAAAGATGAAGGCCCGATTGATGTGAAAATTTTGTGGCTGATACCTAGGTTAAGATGCTAAACATTTTGATTTCAATATTGGCAGATATAGTTTTAGATTTATACTTTTAATTTTATACTCCAGTAGTTTTAGTTAAACAGTGCTTTCCTGACTGACAAGATTGTCTCAACTGTCACATTTCTTAAACTAAAACGCAGAAACTCAGTGAGTGCGTTTACATGCACTTAATAATCCGATAACTACAGAAAATCAGATTCTGTCAGTAGACTGAGAAATCCGAAAGAAATCAGAGTAAGAGTTCACATGCACTGAGGAATCTGATTACTGAGCTAAAATCCAGCTCTCTTTATCGGATTTCTTAATCGGATTTCTAGATCGGAGTATGGTGTTTACATGACCATTTGAATAATCGGATAACTGCAGAAATATGATTACGATCAGATTATTGAGTGCATGGAAACGCACTCTGTTAAATAATGGGTGTGGAGCTACCCAAAATTCTTTGGGTTTTTGGTATAACTGTTTGAGATCTCACCCGATTGTTGGGAGAGCGAAAAATTCGAACCCTGGCAACCCCCAAACAATAAAGTTATTTTACATACTGATAATACTTAGGGTCATCATTATCAGCCAATATATCACCCAGCCAAAATATCAGTTGGGCTCTATTAACATTATTGAAGATTAGTTCACATCACTATTTTTTGTTAGATCACAACACCTTGATCAATTTACCTACAAAACTTTCATTCAAAACATCTAAGACTAGTCATGCCGTGATCTCCCTTCATAAAAACTCAATTTCATTAGTGGACTGTCCATCAGGAAAGTTACATAATGAAATGTCCCGAGTCTCGGGACAGCCAGGAAAGCTTGTCCCCCTCAACCATTTCTAATTTTGCTTTTTGCCGCGTGCACCTTTCCTTTAAATATCCATGATGGAAGGAAAAAATCAGGGCTTGATCAACATAGACCAGGAATGTTGGAGCTAAAACATGTTTTTTTTTAAAAGGGAAACAGTTTGTCTTCAGTGTTGTTGTGGTCAGAGCCCTAACTGCTCATGATTCTCCCACAGCCAAGTGTGATAATCATTCAGCTTGTGGTCATTTGGAGTGACCTGAAAAACAGAAAAGAGGGTCCACATAGAGGAAAATGAGTAATGAATCCATTTGTTCATGAAGAAACTATTCTATTCTAAAAAGCTATATTTGCACTTTTTTAATGGATGACTACTGTCTGAATATAGCTGTGTGTGTGTGTGTGTAAAGTCTCACCTCTCTCCATTCTCCAATACAGAATATGCGGTAGGAGTCATTGCCATATTTGCCTATTCCGTGCAACTCGATAGGATATCTCCATGATTTAGTGAGGTACTCATCTAAAGGAAAAAGTGAACACATAAGAGGGATCTACGTACAGGTAATCGATCCTAGTTCTGCCATAATAATTAGCAAGTTTGCTGTAACCCTTTTAACGAGTACTTAGAGTTAATGTCTTTAACATGTAGGGCAAAAAAAAGTTATACACATAAGTTAATTAAAATGATTTAATCAATAGAAAGAACAACTGATTTGTTCTGCAAGGGTTATTCTGTAAATATAATGTTTAGAGCAAAGAACCATTTGATTGTATTAATGTTACTTTGCCTGGTTAAACTAGATGCATAAGGGGGGAAAAAAGGCTCTGCTATTGCTACAAGTCATAAAACCTATTTTGGTACTATACAGAATGCTCTTTGTTAAGAGTGGGGCTAGCTAGCATATGCTTCTTCTGGGTCACGTGAAGTGCCACTGCATCTTATCCAACTGCGGCTAACGCAATATTATTCAACTGAACGTGCTTGACTGAGAAAGCTTATTGCCAATTCTGCTGTCAGCTAACAGACACACATGTTGAATAGAATCACGCTGAGCAATTGGGGGACAGGGAGGGCCAATTATGCTGTTTTGGACTCCCAACCACAGATGGCTGCGGCATCGCTGGGGATTGAACTTACGACTGCCTGACTATTGGACTAAAGCTTGCTGTGCCAATCAGAAGCCCCATTTCACGACTGACAATAAGTTCCACATTACCGAAGTGTACATGGTGTGATGTCTTACAAACCAATGCGTTCTCTGAATTCATTAGATCAAGCTGGCATTCCAGCATTGAGAGCGAGGCCCATTATGCTCTCTTGGAATCTGGGACATGGATGACTGTGGCATCAAACTAGCTATTTCCTGGTAATAGGGTAAATATGCTTAGACCAGAGGTCTTTCAACTGAATCCAGCTTTTGGTCTAAAATTAGCTATTCTCCGGTAGTTATTTGAACTGTTTATCTTATGCAAATGTTTGCATCTGATTAACAACTCCCCTGGTCAAATGACATGTTCTGTTGTGTTTTTCTTTTGTGAGAAGATGACATATCCACTACAGAGAGCAAACTTGTGCTTTCCTGTGCTTTTAATGTAAGTCAATGGAACCAGACTTTTCCCGTCCTTTTGGGCTGTTTCTTTTGGTCTATTCATCATGACCTTTACACACAGTGTAAAGGACAACAGGCATTTTCAAATTATGTAAAAAACTGAAAAACGACAAAAATGGAAATACAAGGTTTTCTTCCGACAGCAGCGCTATATTATATACTGTGATGTAAGTTGGTATACTATTGCTCAAACCACATAGGAAGAGTATCTCCTGGCTAGCTTATCCAGAGCAGCATCACCCACTCTGTGAAAAAAAGTGTGTGTGGAAGAAAAAAAACACCCAGTTTTGAAATGTCATCCTTTAACTTTCCAAGAATGTTGCACCTAGTAAGCTTGGGATTGCATCTTTGGACACCTGAACATCTACACTATATAGCTGCAGCTATTGCTAATAACTGTATAAATTCAAGCACATAACCATACAATCTCCATAGACACATACTGGCAGTAGAATGGGTCATACTTTAAACATGGCACTGCCATAGGATGCCACCTTTGCCAGCAGTCAGTTTGTGAAATTTCTGTCTTACTAAATCTGCCCTGGTCCACTGTAAGTGCTATTACTGTGAAATGGAAGCGTCTAGGCACAACGACAGCTCAGCCACGAAGCAGCAGACCACGAAAACTCACAGAGCCGGGCGGCAGTGCTGAAGCACATAAAAGTTGCGGAGTTACAAACTATCTCTGGAAGCAACATCAGCAAAGTCGCTGTACGTTGGGAGCTTCATGCCACAGGACTCTGGAGCAGTGAAAACACGTTCTCTGGAGTGATGAATCACGCCTCACTATCTGGCAGTCTGATGGATGAATTTGGGTTTGGCAGATGCCAGAAGAACACTGCCTACCAGAATGCATAGTGTCAACAGTAGAGTTTGGTGGAGGAGGGATAATGGTCTGAGGCTATTTTTCAGGTGTGGGCTCCTTAGTTCCAGTGAAGGTATATGCTTCCAACTTTGTGGCAACAGTTTGGGGAAGGCCCTCTTGCTGACTGAATCAATATCAGGCTGACTGAATGGGCACAAATTTCCACAGACACTCTCCAAAATCTTGTGGATAGACTTCACAGAACAGTGGAGGTTGGTATAGCCATTGTTGTCCAATGAGCACACACAGGTTTGATGGTCAGGTTTCCACTTACTTACCAACCACAGCACAACTGGCCAATTTTACAAACTGACAATCAAGTTGCATTATAACTAAGCACTCACCGGAGAAGCGGATGAGCGCTTTGGCTCGGAGGGCGTTGAGGCCAAGAGGCTGCAGAAGCTCAGCCAGAGGCTTCCAGTCACTGGCTCGGGTTACCTCAGCAGACGGATAACGCTCGAAGAACTGCCACAGCGTTGGTATTGCCAACTTCCCTACACACACATACACACAGTGTTAAACACACAAAGGTAATATGAGAAAGCAAACACAGACGTACAGTCAACACACATGCTAAAGTTGTAGTTGTCACGATAACCTGATTAAACTCAATGAATTATGTAAATCATGAATTAAACTTTGTTGTGATGAATTGGTAAGGATTAGCTTCGAACTGGCATGAAAATAATGCATATTTTAAATTTTCTTACTCCTCTCTCTTACAGTCACATACAGAGACTAAGAGAAAGACCTATTCATATGCACTTTGTTGCCTCATGTTTTTGTGAAACAGTATTTTGCAATCTTTCAAGGCTATGCATTGTTTCTTATTGTTTATGTAAGGGCCTATATCCTACATTTTACATACTGAGGTCCTTTTAAGACAAGAAAAAAATGCCAGAAATTATTTTTAAATGACATAAATGCCCTAAATAGCCACCAATAGCATTACTGCTGTTCAAAATGCTATTCAGAACAGTATGTGTGTACATGTATTGTCTTATACATGTACTGTTTTATCTTTTATTTCTTCACGATAATATTGTAAACCGTGATAAAAGGTTAGATAATTATTGTGTAATCATTTTTTTAGATCAGCACACGTCTAGATCCAACTAACATCACATGTCTGCTTAGAAGTGTTTGATATTCACCGCTGGTCTTATTGAGGAATATGGTGGCCACTAGAAGCTTCCATGGGTCATGAAACAGGGTTTCCTGCACCAGCTTGAAGGGGGAACGAGGTGGAGTCCACTTTCTTAAAGCTTTTCGCTTCGGAGGACTGAGACCTGGAAAAGAGAGAAACAAAGACAGAGTGAGTTTTTACCTTGGGACATTACAACATGTTAACTTGTGAACTCAATAAAGCGAAAAAAGTTCAGTCAGCTGCTTGAGAGGTTCCAAAACAATGGTCTCAAACCCCCATTTGCGAGTAACCTACCACTGCAGGTGGGCGATATGGCGGAAATGAAGTATCACGATACTTATAGAAATGTTGACGATATACAATGTGTCGTGATATATATATATTTTTTTTACATCTGCAATGTTGGAACAGGCAAACAAAAGAGCCAGTAGTGCTACAACTAAAAATACTAATAAAAATAAAGATTTTTTATTTAATGTTTCATATACCATTGTACTAAATCCAATCAAATAGGACTAATTCTGATCTTTGTAATGAAATATAAAGTGAGTTGGTGTTCTAGAAGTATTGACAACATAACCCAAAATGCAAATTGTGACATATTGTCACAAAACTTATCACAGTAACGATGAAAACTGTCATATTGCTCAGCCCTACTTACCACCACTCTTGCTGCTGAAGTATGGACTGGTTTTCCGCTTTTCCAACAGTAACTTTGTCCCTAAACAGACAAGCGAAATAAAATAAACTGGTGAAATAAAATAAATGGCACTGAGCATCAACACTGAACACTGAAAAGGAAGAAGAGCGATTAGTACACCAGTGATCGTCCTGATAGGCCAATCTTTCAGAGCTTCATAAATCAAATCAAATCAAATCAAATCAAATTTATTTGTATAGCGCTTTTTACAACTGATGTTGTCACAAATCAATATTCCGCTTTCTACTTTGAGCGACTCAGTGAGTAGTCTGATGAATGGCTGTGCACTGCCCATAAAAAGTTTGAGGACACCTAGTTACGTCTTTACTACAACTGAGCACGTGTTATTTGTCAGTCTGCAATAAATTAACTAGACTAACCAAGTTTATTTTACAGAATCTGACACCATACATGAAAATATTTGTTAAAATAGCAAAAACGTTCATCAAAATGTTCATGTAACGGCTGCATATACTCTTCAAATGAACAGAGCAGGACTGCCAGTAGTGTAAGTAAGTATTCAGACTAAATCTGGTTTGTCTTGATGAATATATAGTGTTTTTTTGTTTAAATGTTTAGTTATTGTCACAATGTTTCGGTTGCTGCTATAGCAAAACATTTTAACCTGTTAAAATACTTCTAAAATCGCAAAAGAAAACACACAAAAAAAAATCAACATTAAATAATAGATTAATATTTACTTTTATATATTATTGTTATGCCCAAGAAACTACTAAAAATGTCAATAGAGGCGTATAACACTCAATAAGAATGCAAAGATCTATGAATATGCATGATTATGCAAATAACTCCCAAATCTAACCCCCCACCAACTACAAAACTCCCACTGTAACTTCAGTAATTTCTCTTGCTCAGTTTCGAGTCTTTATCCTCTAAACTTGCCTCGGTGAGACCTGCTGGTGGTTTAGCATTCTCGCTAATCTAAGTTAGCCTCTAGTGCCAACAAGGACATGAATTACAACCAACGAGGCGGAATGAAGCTTAGCTTAGCTTTACTGTGTGTAAAGCTGTTAAGGCCTTCTCGCTAAGTTCGCGCTAGCTTCCAGTGCTAACAAGGATATTGAAGCCACAGTAGCTTCAGCTAACAGGCACAATTTTGGTTATTTCAGTGTGTAAATAACGGTTGATCCTCACTTTTCCTTCACAACAAACAGCATAACAGGACGTAAAGCCCAGAGTCTCGCAGTGAGAGATTAATGTAATGAAGGCTCTGGTTGCTGGTGCAGCACTCAGAGGGCTGAATGGCTTTCAGCTGTAATGTTGAGTGTCTTGGTGAAGGAGCAGACACAGGAGAGGATACAGAATAACACAAAAACACATACATACATTTTAGACAAGAAGAACAGCTACATTAACAACATTATTGGGCCCATAATTCCCCATATTGCTTCATTTTTTGCTGATAGAATAGCTACGTCAGACATACAAACAAAACAACGCCAGGACTAGGCCTATCTTGTCAACATTCATGCCCGATCTTTCCTGTCTGTATCATTTTTTTTACCACCTGATTTCTGAGCTTATGGGAGCATAGGTGCGCTCTGCACGCTTATTTCCGGTTGAAGTGATAGTTTAAAAAGTTTCAAATTAATTTGATGTACTGAGAAAGCCTGTGTTTTCAATGGAAAAATGTAAACTCTGTGCTACTTTAATAAGAACATCAGTCTCTTTAATCACAATAAGCCATCCAATAGCACTTTTTAAGGGGGAGGCGCCAGGGGGGTCTTGAAGGAAAAAGGTCTATGTTCTTCTCTTTAATATAAGTTGTAACAAGATTTTTTTTCATTTTGGATCATTTCTATAAATGGTCCCCTCATCATGAAACATTCCCACACTGTAAAGAGCAGCTGAAACCTGTGTGATGAAATGGTGTGAAAAATTTAAAAAACCGATATGACTTTAGGAGGTTTTGATATGTGACACTTTGTGATTTATATCATTTCCTTAAAATAAACCTGGTTAGACTTAATGTTAAGACTTCGCCAAAAAAAGCGCTTATTGGAACAATGGTTTTGGAAAGTGTTAGACGGTGAGGTGGTACTCACCACTTTGTGTGCTTCTCACAGGTGAGCAGCTCCCTCCTGTGGCCTCATTACTCTCCTGTTTTCCTTCCTTTACCTCATCCGTTTCCTCTTTCTCCTCCTCTGCTTCATTCTCTTGTTCACTGTCTGATGCAGACTGCACTGTTAAGACTGGCACTGAAATCTGCTGGTTTTCTGCAGGAGTCACTCTGCCTGAAGCTTCCTCTCTTTCACTCTCTGCACCTTCTTGATGTTCTCCTACCTCTTTTTGCTCTTTGCTCTCTGTTTCCTCCCCATGACAACTGTCTTTTTGCCTTTCTGTCTCGTTCTTCTCTTCCTCATGTTCTGCTCTGTCCATCTCCATGCCTCGGTTTTCCGTCACTGCCAAAGCCGGCTCTGGACCGAGGTTTTCTGCAGGTTTTGCTCCCTGTTTTTTTGTTCTTCTCCGTCTCTCTGCTTTCCTCTCTTGTTGAGGTGCTCCGCTGCTGCTTTTGGGTGTGGTAAAGTCAAAAGTGTCCAGCTTCAGATGAGCGCATTCCTCCGAGAGCAGGTAGTTCTGGAGCTCTGACCTGGACCTGAAGCGTCTGCCCTGCGGACTTTCATGGAACCAAATTTTATGTTATAGTCTGTTCAGTATCATTTGTTATAATTCGATAATGATTAACACACAATAGCTATATCATGTTCTGACCTCATTTTACTTGAATTTCAAGTGCATTAGAGCATTATCACATTTTTTCCACTCACTTGAAACGTTTAATATTTACTGACATTAAAAATGTCTTATCTGAGAAGACACAGTTAAGGGTTAGTTCTAGAAATATGAAATTTGGCAAAGAGATATACAAGCATTTGTCTGCCTGTATAAATGCTCAGAAGTCACCACTAATTTTGTTGTAATTGAGTGCTTAACATAGGAAAAGTTCCAAAACACAAACATGCTAAAACCCACAGTTTGTGCTTAAACTACAATGTTATATTGACTTTGCGTCAAAACATGTGGCCTGTAGATTTCAAGATAATGATAATAAGACATGATTAGGTTACATATTTTGGCTATTTTGTGGTGCCCGGTTGGTGACATCAACTAATACTTTAGAAAGGTTATTTACATTTAACATACAACATTTGCTTTTATTTAACTTCATGTAGCAGTTTCTATACATTTTTATATCCCATTTCATGTAGATTGGATCAAAACACATGGCTCATATCTTTTTCAGTTGGAACATGAAAACAAGGAAGAACCTGGCACCTCTGTATGTGAAGTCACTATACTTTAAACATATTTCATAAAAATTTTCATGCTTTTACTAATGACTCAGCATCACTATCCGGGCACATCAACTTAACCAAAGAGCCTCATCATATCTTGTTGTTTGACTGTTATTATCTTGAAATGGTGGTTATATAAAGCATGCAGAGTCAATAGACTTCTGTGGTGACGTCTGAGCATTACAGCAAAAAAAAACATTTTAATTTTAATTTCTTCCAAATTTGCAGAATCTTATTTCTCCAACTGAAGCCGTACCCATGAGAAGACCACCTGAGTGACAGCGTTTCTACCCTGAACGATACAGTTTTTTGTAAAAGTGTGATGTGGCTAATTCCCACTCACTAGCTAGGTTTCCCCATCACACAATGCTAACTAATATTAACTGCCAATTCGGTTGAGTCAGCTAATAGACGCCCAAGTTGAACAGCGCAGTGATGGGGAGGAGGGAAGGTTTTCCTGTTGCAGCCAGAGTGTCTCTTTAAATCAGTGTTTCTCAACCCTGGTCTTAGAGGTCCTATATATATATATATATATATATATATATATATATATATATACACATACATACATACATACATACATATATATATGAAACCATGTTTTTATCAGCGTATAATCACCTGCACCTACGAATCATTGTGTTTCCGTTAGCTTACAATGAGCCCTTCATGTTTACATAAAGAGTGGTTCCTCTTTCAGCAGAGGCCGCCTATTGCGCCGCCATGTTTCTACAGCAGCCCGGAACGGACAAACCAAACAACGGCTCTAAAAAAGTGCCTTCCACATTTTTACACGTGAAGAGAAGAAGAAAAATCAGTGGTTGTTACCGGTGCTGGCTCACCATTTTGTGTTGTGAAGGTTTGGGAACCCAAATTTTGACAAATGGAGGATCACACTTATTGTTTAGCACAAAAAAGCAAGGGAGGGGGAATCCTCACCGTCAAAAAAACAAGAAAAAAAAGAAGCAAAACGAAATTGGGACCGGTGATTGCAGAAAACCTGACGACCACCGTAGGTTCTACTACAGGGAGGGCTAAGGAGGGGCATTCAGTGCAATTTGCAACCTCACCACTAGATGCCAATAATCTTACATACTGCACCTTTAACACCCACCTGATGATGTAGGTGTCTATCTTGCCTGCTGTCTTTCCCTGTTTCCTCTGTCTCGTCTCTCTAGTCCAGCCGGGAGGGAGCCCCTCTGTGGCCATCCTGTCTGTTTTCACAGGTGCTGTCTGACCACTGGATGGCAGTTTGGGGTCAGCGGACTCATCAATAACCATCTTTACTCTACAGCGTCTGAACCTACACGATGTACAAAGATGGAAATAATCAGGGTCACTCAAGCAACTTAAAGATACAATAAATTTCATTTAGGACTTTTAATGTTTTGATATATTTATCATAAGAAATAGTGACAGTTTATTGGAGGGCAGCATTCACAAGGCTACACAAGACATTTTTCATGATGACTGACATAAACCTATACAGATATTAACAGTGGCTTACTGCTACAAGCGTCAGATGGCATAACTCTGGCCGAGATGAAATGACACCAAAATGGACGAACGCAGCCTTTATGACAACTGACGCTTGTTGGAATAAGCCTTTATAAAAATGTATGAAGGTTTATGTCAGCTGTCATGAAAGGCTTATATAGGTGTGTTACTAAAATAAAAATGATCACTTTATGTCAAAAGCCCATCTCATATATGCTCCATCTGCCAATCTCAAGATATTTTACAATTCAGGGCTGGTATTCACAAAGCAGCCCTGAGTTAGAGGACTGAACTCAGTTTCCTTCGTATTTATGATGGTCATGGACATTAAAGCTGATTCTAGATCAGCACTGAAAGCAGACCACACAGTCTATTATTATACAGACCAACATACTGTCAGTAACTAGCTTGTTTTAGAAGCAGTGTTGCAACAGAAACATTAATTTTACATGATTTATCAACACTTCCATTTAATTTAATAATACAAGAATTTTTTAATTAAATACAAAATTTAGATATTTCATTTTTAATGCACTTAGTGCCCCAAGAACAGGATCTTGCATTTTACACCTATAACAGACATTTGCTATCTGATTTCACACCAATTCATTCACAGCTCTCTATAGACAGCTGCACTATATGACCAAAAGTATGTGGACGAACATGACAGTGACAGTATAAAGTGTTTACTGAAGAACTCAGTGACTTTAAATGAACAATACAGCATGTAAAAATCACATGTCCTCTTTTGCATCACTACACTACAGTTCCAAAATGCCTCTGAAAGCAACATTAGCACAAAAACTGTGAGCCGAGAGCTTCATAAAAGCTTTCCATGGCCAAGAGCTGCATACAAGACTATGATCACTATGCCAGTCACTATCTGGCAGTCTGATGGATGAATCTGGGTTTAGAAGATGCCAGGTTTGGGCTCGTTAGTTCCAGTGGAGGGTGATGTTAATGCTGCAGCATACAAAGACATTTGAGACAATTACATTCTTCCAACTTTGTCTTAATAGCTTGGGGAAGGCCTTTCCTGTCCCCTACTTGGTTGCCTTAACGAGCTAGGTTACTAGTTTCAAACTATTTCTGTGCGAAGCCCATTGCAAAGACAGCAAACTGCTTTAAGAAACGCTGTGCTGTTAAATAAAGGACTCTAAGCTGGTTAAAGATGTAATAAACGTCCATCTGTTCTTCTGGTGTGAGTTTGTTTTGTTTTGGTAGACTCACTTAACATGAATTCCCGCGCAGACGAGTTTCAGATTAAGACCCCCAGGTCGGCAGTGTTCGCCATGGAAAGACACAGAAATGCTGCTGGTGAAATAAACATGTACTATGTATTTCTAAATCGCATTTTTCTCAAGTGGAAAGAACCGCAGGTGTATTTTGGATCGCTTCTCGTCCTTCTTCATGTAATGTCTGATTGCAGCCTTAACCATCATACTGCCACCTACTGTGCTTCAAAGTGCTCGTGAAAACGAGACAATTTCAATTTAAAATCATTTTTTTCTGTGCATGCATTGTTTAAATGATTTACTATTTGCTATTTTTCTACAACAATTTAATGACTAACAGATAAATTTTCATACAAGAAGTAGATTTGCATTTCCAGAAGACAATACAGTGTTTGTAAGGCAAAATAAAAAAGGAAAATTAATAACAGTAAGAAAGAAAAAGAAAGAAAAGAAAATTCTAGAAAAAAGAAGGAACGGAATTAGACACATAATATAAAAAGTAATACATGAAAAATAATAATAATATTAATAAAGAAACATGATATAAAATAATAGACAGTACCATGAGGTTTAGAAAGATTCAGTTGGAGTATTAACACGAGAAGAACAAATTCTGAGAAAAGTATAAGTATAGATTAATATTATTGAAAAACTTAAAACGTTTATAACGTCATTTAATTACTGAAGACTGAAATAAAATAAATAAGGCTGAAAGGGTAAAAGGCAAAAAAAAGACTGAAATAAAAGTTCTCAAAATAGCAAGAATTGCAATTATTACATTGTCGTATTAAAAAAAAATAAAAATACTTTTCTCATATACTCTAATGTTTATTTTACATGACTGTTTCTTTAGTGCGCTCGTTTTCTTTCTGGCCCTTTTTAAAACTTTAACACAAAACATAAGTCGCGTGACTTTTATTTTGAAGTTTGAGCCAGCACTCTGCACAGGGGTCCGTTAGCAACATCACTGTTGTATCACACTAAAGACCTGTTGATATCAACATCGAGCGAGCGGATTTGAACAGGCTAGTTAACTTTTAACGGTAAAAACGACAATGCGAGCTGTTCCCACATGGATAGACAAAGTGCACGACCGTGACAAAGTCGAGCAATGGTAGGACTGGCTGATTTCTTTGCAGGCTGTTTGTGTTTGTGTGGCTCTCGCTCACTGGATGTGGTTAGCAACGGTGGTTACTATGTAAACCACTAGAGGGGTTTGTCAAGATATGTAGGCTAAGCTAACGTTAGCTGGGTTACCTTTATCTGGAAAGCGTAGATTATAAACTATTTTGTTTAGTAGCTATAATGTCGCAAGATGACAGTTTCGCTAGCCTCACCTTTCTAAGGCTGTTACAAGATACAGTACCAGATAAAATTCAGCTACCTCCAAATTTCCTGGTAGGCAGCCAGCAAAACTAGCTAGGGCTATGAAACATTCTAAAAAAATATCGTAAGATTAACGAAGCAATGTAGTTAAAGGGGAACGCCACCGTTTTTTTTTCAAAAAAATACATACATAATAAAATAGTTGAGATGTAAAGAAAGTCACTCAGAGTGGTTTGGTGTGAAATGTTCCGTTCTAGAGATACTTATAGAGTCAGAATTGTTCACAGTGGTGATGATAGGAACCAGACGTCTGAGGTTTTTAACGCAGCTCCCTCCCAGAAAGGTATTAACGTTACATGAAATGGTTAGATGCTGCCTGGTGACTGACACACTGTTTAATCATACAACCCCGTTTCCAAAGAAGTTTGGAACCATGAGTAAAACGTAAATAGAAACAGAATGCAATGATGTGCAGATCATTTAAAAAAAATACATTATTGGATGGCTGTGATCTTCAGGCTGTCATGCAGCGCTGCTTTCAAAACCAGATATGATTCTGTAGTGGAAATCACTGCATGGGCTCAGGAACACTTGCAAAAACAGTCGCCTCTACAGCCACAAGTGCAAGTTAAACTGTACCATGCAAATAAAAAAAACATATATAAACAGGATCTAGAAACGCTGCCAACTTCTCTGGGCCTGAGCTTGTTTAAGATGGACTGATGCGTGTGGAAAAGTGTCCTGTGGTCCAACAAATCAAAATTTGAAATTCTTTTTGGAAATGATTGACACTGCCTCCTCCAGGCTGAAGACATTTTGTACAGCATCTCAGCTTTTTTGGAAATGGGGTTCTAGTTCTGTGATGAAGCTTATTATGTATATATTTATGTATTTTAATCCGTTTGTGGCAGATGGGTACATGCACGGCAAAATAGTTCCTAAAGAAAATTTAGTGTTTCAGAATTCTGATTATTTTACTCTCATCATTACATGTAGAAACTCATGGCGCATGTAGGTTCACTGGTGCTTTTGGATAGTAAATAAAATGGCTGTGTTTGTGCTGTGGACATCTTAACCCCTGGTTCTTATCACCACCACTGTAAAGAAATCTGAGTCTGTAAATTTCTCTACAAATAAACCACTAAACATCAAACCACTCGGTATGAATCTGTTTACATCTCTAGGACTGAATGATTCAGAAATTTAAAAAAATTGGTGGAATTCCCCTTTAACATGGCGGACCAAATGACTGGAAGCTTTTTTTTGTGACCTAGCTATACTCTCAATAAGATACAGTTAATAAAGTAACATTCTAGTTTGTAGCTTATCCAACCTGTGATAGTTCATCTGTCATATGTTACACAAATCAGATTGAATCTCTTTGATTTATTGATTATTGATTCCTCTTCAATTCTCTGTGTGGCAGTATTTATGACCTGGCCTTCAAACCAGATGGCAGTCAGCTCATAGTAGCAGCTGGAAATAGAGTACTGGTATGTGAAACCTATTATACTTATGAGTTATAACTAACATACATTAGCCTTTATGTCCAAAAGTTTGTAGACAACTGCTCATCCAGGGTTTCTTCAGAAATCAAGGGTATTGATAGGGAGTTTGTCTGCCTTTGGTGCAGCAACAGCCTGTACTCTTCTGGGAAGGCCTTACTCTAGATGTTGAAACATTGCTGTGAGAATTTGATTGCATTCAGCCACAAGAGCATTAGTAAGGTCAGGTACTGATGTTGGATGATTAGATCTGGATCACAAACACCACTCCAACTCATTCTAAAGGTACAGGATAGAGCTCCATCACCCCATAAAGTGCAGTTCCATTGCTCCACATCCCAATTCTACCCCTCAAGCTGAAATTTTAGGCTCATGTGCAGCTGCTCCAGAGCTTCCTATGCTTCTGACATTAACAGGGCTTTTCTGTGAAGATTGTACAGGCTGTGTATGCTCAACTGAACACCTATCACCAATGGGTGCACCTTAAAGGGGCTGAATTCACTAATTACATGTGTCTGGATACTTTTGGACATATAGTGCAAGAAATATTTCCATTACTAAAAAAAAAGCAGCAGGTGACTTTCAATGGGGTATTTTTTTAAAACTGACTGCTGATGAATGCTGTTGTGATCTCCCCCTAGTAGCGATTTTTCTGCTCATGTAAAATGTCTGCTGCAGGTTTATGACACAGCAGATGGAACACTTATTCAGCCACTGAAAGGACACAAAGACACTGTGTACTGCGTGGCCTACGCTAAGGATGGTAAGTGCTTTCCATGCAGGTTTCTCTTCTGGTCTATGTAGTCTGTAGCTTTTGTCCTTTTAGCTTCATTTAACCTCATCCTGTGCGACTTCTGCTTTCAGGAAAACGATTTGCATCAGGCTCTGCAGACAAAAGTATAATCATCTGGACATCAAAACTGGAGGGCATTCTCAAATACACGTGAGCTTTTACTACCTTATGAGTTATTCATTGTGATTGGGACTGCTAAACTCTTTAGGCACAGGAGATAATGGATTGTGCCTAAATGCATCAATAACACTTTTCAAATTTAAGCTTTCTGGGTATATTTTATTTTATTTATACTTGATGTTATACAGCTTTTTCAATTACTATGGCATCATCTACAGCTCCATTCATTGTTCTGGACACATCTAAAATTGCTTTATTTTCTTACAGCCTCCTAGTGTTAAACTGGATTATCTGACACTGGAAAAGTTCAACAGGACAAGCATGTTAGAATCATTTTATACACTTCTATGCAACTAAATCAGTTTTATATTATTAAAAATGTCCCATTAATTCCAACCTTTTGAATGGTTGTGTACTGCAGACAGTTATGTGTGGAGGTTCAGTTATTTAATGACAGGCAACTGAAGAAAATGCATATCACTTCTGTCAGAATAAAACCTGGTATTTCTAAAAAGGTAACTTTACAGGAACAGAAAAAAATTGTTTTTAACTTTTAATAGAAATTTTTTTTTCTTCAAAATAATTTTTAACCACTTCTGCTGGTCCATACATCATGACGTTTTGACACAGCATAAAGGGCAACTGCCTTTTTCAATTTATGTCAAAAAATGAAAACCGACAAAAACTGAGATAAAGACAGTGTATGACACGCTGTTATGTTAAAAAATGGGCACAAGTATACTTTGTTTTTTTCATACTTTTACATCTCCATTGAAACGTTCCACATTTTATCTCTCACAGCCATAATGACTCAATCCAGTGTGTAGCCTACAACCCCGTCACGCACCAGCTTGCCTCCTGCTCCTCAGGGGACTTTGGTGAGTGTGCTTGCATGCTGTATTATATGGAGGTGGGTTATATGTCATACAAATGAAATGTTGACACCTCATGATGCACAATATGCATCTTGATGTATGAGGTTTGTGAACAAGCTGATACAGACAAAATGCACCAGCAAAACATTAATGGCATTTTTAAAAACTATAAAAAAAAAACTATGAGCATTATGACAGTTGACAAAAGTAAACTAGTAAAAAGCAAAGTAAAGAAATAAAAGCAAAAAATTGGGAAAAGTAAATAAATAAAATGAGATAATGGCATAATAGACTGACATCAAGTCAGCTACTTGTTGCTGTGCAGTTTATGCAAATATAACCTGGTTGTTGTTTACAGCCTCTTTAAAATTAGTCTATATCTGTCTTGTTTGGGGTACATGCAGTTGTTTTGTCTGTGTAAATACTGATGATACCCATGATAAACCCAGAAAAGCATGTTATGATGTAATTTATCCTGATAATATTGCCACATTGCCCATTCCTGTGCATGATGTTGTTCGCATGTACAGTGCTGTGTAAAAGTATTAGGCACATAAGGAAATTATTTAACTGCCATATGTCTTACAACTGTTGTATTTTATTTATTTCCATGAAATCCATGTATGGCATAGAGTTAAAAAGGATATGTTTGTTAAGACATCTGGTATATGTAAGCATGCTATTTTCTGATGGGTGGTCCAGTGTTGTGCTGCATTCAAAATGTGGTTTAGGGTGAAACGACCCTCTTAACTTATGTGTGCAAGGGCGAAGCTAAACTGCAATGGGCCGAATAGGCGAATACATTCAAACATGTTGGTTTTTGTGACATCACAAAAACAAAGATGTTGGATGATAACTACATATAATACTGAGCTGCCATGAGGAGAGGTTTGGAATGGATAAGTGAACACACTGAGATACATATAGTCACTATTTATTCTATTAATGTTATTTGTGTTTTTAGTAAGTATTTTTTATTAATTTTGCTCACTAACTATGGGAGGCAAATCCAGCCAAAAAAGAAATTAAAATTAAAACAATAAAATGTAAATGCAAACCTCTTTTTGCCATTTCTTTTTCCAAGCATCTGCGCAAATATGCTGCCAAAATTGAAAATGAAATGCCTACATTTGCGATTTCGTTCTTCACATGAGCGCGAGCCATTTGTAACAAAAACAAAAATAAATTTAAAACAGCTATTTGTCGTTTCATTTTAGTCGTTATTCTGGTATTTCATGGCCAAATCTAAAATGAACAACGCGTGGACGCGCTTTAAGTGTCAGAATGAAAAGGCAAATGCAAACGAACATCAGCGCCATCTGCTGGAGATTAACTGTTCATGTAATTTTCACAGGTGTATAAGACTTTGCATAGCACTGTATGGGGCTTCAACTTTGACTGATAGCATGTGTGCTGGGTTTGGTCTTTAGGTCTTTGGTCTCCAGAGCAGAAATCTGTCTCCAAGCACAAAGTCAGCAGCAAGATCACATGTTGTGGGTAAGTAAACAGGGGCCTTGTTCGCACTAGTCAAAGGTAGGCAACCACCAAACAAATTTAAATATTAGACAAAGATAACACAACCAAAAAATCCTGAAGGAGAATGTCCGGCCATCTGTTCGTGACCTCAAGCTGAAGCGCACTTGGGTTCTGCAGCAGGACAATGATCCAAAACACACCAGCAAGTCCACCTCTGAATGGCTTAAGAAAAACTAAATGAAGACTTTGAAGTGGCCTAGTCAAAGTCCTGACCTGAATCCGATTGAGATGCTGTGGCATGACCTTAAAAGGCGGTTCATGCTTGGAAACCCTCCAATGTGGCTGAATTACAACAATTCTGCAAAGATGAGTGGCCAAAATTCCTCCACAGCACTGTAAAAGACTCATTGCCAGTTATTGCAAACGCTTGATTGCAGTTGTTGCTGCTAAAAGGTGGCCCAACCAGTTATTAGGTTTAGGGGGCAATCACTTTTTCACACAGGGCCCTGTAGGTTTGGATTTCTTTTTCCCTTAATAATAAAGATCTTCATTTATAAACTGCATTTTGTGTTTACTTGTGTTATCTTTGTCTAATATTTAAATTTGTTTGGTGATCTGAAACATTTAAGTGTGACAAACATGCAGAAGAATAAGAAATCAGGAATCAGGAAGCAGCAAACACTTTTTCACACCACTGTATATATATATATTAATATGGGAGAGCTTTTCCCTTTCATTTCTTTAAATGTTGAAGTCTTGTGGATAAACTTGCAGACAACCTTTTACAGAAAGAAGATGACTTCAAACAGTTTAAAACCACTTCCAAGCTAGTTTGTGTTGAATGTGAGACCAAATATTTACTATAGGGTTTATATCTGGACTCTGACCAGGCAAAACCATCAGTACAAACTATTAGTATATAGTACTGTTTTGGGCTTGGTGCATTGTTTTGCACGGTAGTGTACATAAAAAAAAAGCTGTTATTTGCAATTGTAGCACTTCTTTTCAGTCATTTCAGTTCAGCTCCACCCCATAATCATGGTTATAATGGCCTCTTTAAGACAGGTAATTCAGCATTAATCTACACTTTTGGGAGGAGGTTCTTTGATGTGATTTTTTTTGGTTGTTCAGAAGGAGAATCAAAGTTATCCAGGCACAGCAAAAAAGCTAACTTTGTTTTTTCTTCAGAACAGAGTGCTGCACAGGCTCAGCAGACTGTACACGATACTAGCATTAATGTTAATGTAGACAGCTCAAGTGTTGGGGTAATCGTGTAAAAATTAACCCATTCAAAATTACTAATCACTTTTCCCAAAATATAATGTATTCTGTACCCAATTATCTCTTAATGTTGGCAGATAAATTTACTTGTTTTAAGCATTATTTCTTATTTCTGTCAATATAGTGAGATGCATTTCACTTAGTAAAGTGACATAAAGTGAAACAAACTTACTAGGTATTAGGGGTGGGACTCTCTAGGCACCTCACGATTCGTTTCGATTACGACTCAGAGGGCTGCGATGCAATTATAAAACGATTATCAATGCATCTCGATGCATCTTTTTTTTCTATATAGCATTTATATTTTCTCACTGTGTGAGCTCAAGTTTTGAGTTCAAGTTTCAAGTTTATTTGTCACTTGCACAACATGTCAGGACATTTATGCATTGAAATGCTAGTGGTGAGGCTCAGATAATAACTCTACAGAAAGTAAATAAGTAAAAATAAAAATACAAGAAAAACCAACTGAAATATATTAAATATACACAAAATATACACAGAATATAGAGACAGTATACATTTTAAAGTGACTGAGTGACTCGGGGTTATTGTTATTTAAAGTGACTTGGTACTTTTAAAGCAAAGTATTTGTAATGATCCATAATTAATTTACTTCCAATATCTTTTTGAACAAAAGATGGAGAATAGGAAGCGACTTAAGCCTCGTAAAACAGTCGAACGTTGAGAGACATTTAACTGATCTACTTCTGAGGAAAAGTTTTCTGGCGGAGATGGGAGGAAAGCGGCTATAGCTAAAGCTTAAAGCAGAGCGAAGTAAATCTGCGTTTTCGTTTATATTGTTTAGTCTATACTAGGACATTAACACATACTGAGACATACTGGACATCAAATGTTGCGGCTCCCAAGGTGGTTTGACTTTTGTTGGCTCTTCTGAACATTTGAGTTGTGACTCCTGATCTAACCTGGCTTTAATGCAGAGGGAGCCGGACGGATTTCTCGCTCTTCCAGTTGTGTTTTTGTTATGCGCCACAGACTGTCCAGGCGCTGCACTTCTGTACTTCCAAGTTGCGCCTTTTGCGTTCCGTCAACATTACGTTATAAATGAAATATATAGAAAATCCATTTTTGACGTTGTGAATCGATTCAGAATCGTTGACGTCTGCATCGCGATGCATCTAAGAATCGATTTTTTCCCGCACCCCTACTAGGTATGTAACAAAACATGTAGAAATAAGTTAGTGGCTTTTGTAGATTATTTTGCATCTTTTCAATGAAGAAACCAGCAAAAAGCACTGGATGAGTTCTTATGCTTGTTCTTTTATTTTTAATTGTGACTACAGCTGGACAAACGATGGCCAGTACCTGGCTCTGGGCATGATGAGCGGGGTTGTGAGCATCAGGAACAAGAACGGAGAGGAGAAGGTGAAGATTGAGCGGCCGGGGGGCTCCTCCTCTCCCATCTGGTCTATTGCCTGGAACCCGTCCAAGTAAGACTGCAGTTCAGAAAGAAAGAGAAACAAATAGGTCACCCACAAATGTTAATAATGAGTTAAAGCATTATATTTGAGTTTTATGGTAGTGATTCACGAACTTGGTTCACACTAGCACGGGCAGTAGTGATAGTACATTTAAGTGTACACCAGGGGGAGCTGTCTGTCTATAATTCATGACAGCGGGTTAAACGTACAGTGTAGCTGGATATGCCAGCCTGGTCCAAATGTGGTGAGGAAAGCTGGTATATGTTTGCACTAATTACTGTTATTTTTTCCAACCACATTTTTGTTTGAGTAACTTTTTACATTGAATGTTTTGTTTGTACTAGGGCTGTCATGATTAGTCAGTGAATAAATTTAAATTTATCTTCTTTATAAATGGTCAGTCATTCGTTTTCAGTTTGCACTATGATCATGCATATTTAATTCGCTTACTGCTCTCTCTAACAGTGAGAAACAGATCCTGATAGGTACACTCTTTCCAATACATAGTTAACACATCTTCAACAGGGAACACACTTAAATATGGCATTTTTCTGCAAGATTTTCTGATTTCTGATGTAACATTTTCTGATTTCTATGCATTTGCTGAGTTTATCAAGTTGGAAAATAATGAAACGTAAAATTTAAAATGTGCTGTAAGTTTTGCACAGGCCACATTTTATGTTTTATCATTTTCCAATATGTTAAATTCAGTAAATAAACAGTAACTGTGCAGTAAAATGTGCAGTAGTGTGTTCTGTGTTAACCTGTTTTCGCTTAGAAAGCATGTAATTTGACCAGGGGTGCCCAAAACGTTTGCAAACAGCTGTGTTCTTCATAGTGTTTGTCTTTTTTTAACTACTTTTTTTGAAGGCCTCGTAGTTTTTAAGAATTTTTAAACAGTTGTTTTTATTGTTCCATTAAGTCAATTTTTATTTCTTGGCATTTTTTACATAAGCAGTAGTCAAAATAATGAGTAAATTACTTGAGTACAATCAGAATCAGAATCAAGCTTTATTGGCCAGGTATTCTTACACGTACAAGGAATTTGGTTTTGGTTACAGAAGCTCACAGTGCACAGAATCAGACAAACATTTACATGTAGTAAATAAAATAAAATAATATAAGATAAAACATGCCTACCGTCACACACACACACACACACACACACACACATACACACACTCATATATACACACACAGTCAATCAGTAGTGATAGCATTTTTATCTCTAATCACTAGAGTTGTGCATCCTCAACTCAGCTTAGTTTTACTGTTATTCCGCTCATTTAGAAATATGTAATAATAACAAAGCAAAGCAATTATATTACAAATGTTGCACTTATTTCAACATTGGTACAAATGTTCGCTTTTATGCAACAGATAATAAAAGTACAATACAACCAGTGTCATTTACATTTGTGAACTGCAATGAGGTAGTACAGCAAACTGCAGTCCAGTATAACAGAATGCATAGGGTAGTGTGAGTGAATACATAAGCGTCACTGTAGGTAGTGTATTTAATAAGAAAAGGACGTTTAGCTGCACTGAAAATCATAACAAAACTAGTGAATAAACTGTGAAAACTGTCAGTAGCGATCCAGGATTAACAGTTAATGGCACCAGCATATTGTAAGGTGCGGGTGAAATTGGCCTCCCTTCATCAGAATTGGACAAATGCAGCATGGCAGAAGAGGAGGCATTGTGCCTCCTGGGAAATGCAGTCCCCAGGCAGAGCAGCCAGAAGGAGTGTGTGGGGTTGGAGCTAGAGAGACAGGGAGAGTCATGAGAGAGGAAGGGCCAGTGCTATCAGTGCTAGGCCTTCAGTTCAGGCCTTAAACATCAAAACTCAACAAAATAAGGAAAAAACTCACCTCAGCTAGCACTATGGAATTCCAGCAATATGTTGTGGCTAGCAGCAATTAAACATGGAAATTTGAATATTTTAAAAGATAATCCATTTTTTAAAACAAACATGTAACAGACCCATTAGCATATATTTTACATATCTTATGAATGTATGTATGTATGTTTTATAGCGACTCGGTAAAGAACCCTGGCATAGAGCTGCCACTGTGTTTCATTTCTAACAGCTGATTGACCTGAAACACATCGGCGAGGCTACCACTTGTGCTCACATGTATGTAGGTCATCCAGAAGGCCTAGAGTGATGGTTTTTTTTTCCTCACATAATTTTAAATCAAAATGTGATTGGTTCCACTGTCACTTCCTTGTTATGTTGGTAGTAAGGCCTTCAGTCCAGCTCCTGATGTCCTTACCAATGCGACAGTTCACGTGACTGTATCCACATAGTTAACACTGAAAAATCCTGATTGGACAGTTTTCTGTTGAGAGTTTCAAGAAGTTTTTTTTTTTAACCAAAACTTAAATATAAATCATGCATTTTTGTATTTCTTTATTTTACAGACATCGTCATTTATCTGTCTATCTATTGAGGGGTATAAAACTTTATTATCATTATGAGCGTGAAATATGGAAGATTATGTCCAGGGAACAGTGTCACATATGAACACAGATGCATCTTTTCACTCAAGTTGATTTGAAACCAAGCCTTTGAAATCCCCAAAAGGATCTTTGAAAAGCTTTTTGATCACTAGACTGTACCTTTACATAAGACCAGCATCAGCGAGCTAGTTTGAATTGTGTATATGTACCTTGTAGGGATGAACACCATGATATCTTGGCGGTGGCTGACTGGGGACAAAGGCTGTCCTTCTACCAGCTCAGTGGGAAACAGGTAAAGCCTTTTCTGATACCTCTGATCTCAGTGTTCAATTGAAATTTGTCTTTAGTTCGGTTCATTTTGGCAGGTGTGAACAGGCCACATGTTCTGCAATCAGCTGAACTCTGATTCAGTTTGCTGCTGGTGGGAACATATTTTTAAGATAGTCCACATCAAAACAAGAGAACACAGCATCAGAGCATTCCTTCTTGTTCCACATCAGCACTGTACGGTCCACGTGATCTGCCTGCTTTAATATTTCACTCTTCATAGACGCTCATTTCATTATTGCGGTGTGAGTTGTGGCTAATGATAGCAGACAAGTAATTTGCAATGCACTTGATTTTGTCACACTGAGTGCTGAACACATTTTGGATAGTTGGGGCCAGACATCAGTGACTGGATTTCCTTTGTAAGGATACTGCACAGACATCAGTGACTGGATTTCCTTTGTAAGGATACTGCACAGGTTCTCTATAGGGTTGAGGTCAGGGCTTGATGGTGGCCACATTATGATTTTTCTCATAATGAATAAAACCGTTTGAAAATTAGTCTTCATGTATTTCTGAGCCCACGCCAAATGTTTCTCTTTGTGAGCTTTGGTTAGGGGTGGCCAAAGTACAGCTTTATGCATAACTGCCAGCCAGTAGAGGATCCTGCATCAAGAGGCTCTTGAGACACTAGCAGCTTCAAATACCTGTTTTCTACTCAGCAGTGGCTTTTTTTATAGCTGCTCTTTTAATAAGATTAATTTGTCTGACAGAAACCTTCCTTAAGCCCATATCCCACATTTTTTCTCTCCATATTGCATACGAGCTGTGACTTGCTTTATAATGTGGAGCAATCTCTTTAAGTAGGTTTCCCTTTAATCAAGATCACCTGGCAAGCTAATGAACACACCTGTCTGATACTGATATGATAAAACCTACATGGATATTTTCCTGAAATCCTAGTGATGTCACTTGCATAATAATTTGGAACATATTGTACAATGATAGCCTAATGGATAAGATAACAGAGGCAAAAGTAAGGGTACCTGAGTTTTTGTATCCCCTCCAAATTCCTATCGAAGAACACCCACACTTATAATTCATTGCAGTTTAATAACTGCAGTGTGAAACCAGTGGATCCAAATTAGAAAGATACAGTGTCACGAAAGCTCTAAAAAGACTTCAGCGAACAAACTCGGTGTGAAAACAGCCTTACCACACGTTCACAATAGGAGGTGACAAGTCGCCTGAAGCTTGTCTCTTGGGGGTGAGTTTGAGGCTACTCTTGCTGTGTGTAGGCATGTACACTGTTGAGATTCTGACAAGAAAATTAAAAAAATATGCACTATATGTATTGCCACTTTGTTTAAAATATGAACCGCTTTTAAGTTTACAAGTGTACATGTTTCTCCTCCATTGGTTAAATTAACGATTCAGTGAAACACTGCTTTTATGTTTTAACAGGACAGTAAAATGATACACTTTTGCTCTTATTTGTTAGTAAGTGTGTAGTGTTACACTACATGCATGCATTGCCAAGGACATGTTGTTAAGGATGTGGTTGAGAATGTAGATTGCTAATTAGGGTAGCTACCCTAGCTGATATTAGCTAAGTCCAGAAACAGTGGAAATAGAGAAAAGGCCTCGTGAAACACGATGAGTCCTGATCAGAGTTCACGGTTGCACCACTTACGTGTCCCCTTAAGACTTCGCCTCGCCGCGTCCTGTTAATTTCAATGGAGAGCTCTGCCACATTACGTAATGCATGATGATTTGCGGTGCGCCGTTAGCTAATCGGTCAAGAGTAGACTGGTCTTCGTCACAAACGGCAAATGTACATTTCTCCGAAAGTAGAGAGGATCAACACCAACTCTTTTTCTCTTCTTTGAATCCATGATAATTGGCATAATAACACAAAAATCTGGCTTTCTACAGAGCTGTTGATTTACGTGATTTGTGAGTCGAATTATGATGTTATCTCTTAATAAAGAGTCAATATCTTGTAATTATGACTTATTTTATAATAATGAGATAATAGGTCATGATTATGGCTCATAATTTCTTAATAATGACTTCATATCTTATAATTATGATTTATAATCTAATATTTCTGACTTACTATCTCATAAAACCTCAGCTAACGTTACTGTTGTAGCCTTTTTTTTTAGCTCATATCTTTCAGCTCGAAAACAGCCAGTTTGTGAAGAGGAAGTAAACTGGTGTCAAGGGTGATGAGTGGTGTTGAAAGATTTATTGTGTTCAGTTTAAATGAGTAGAGTGTAAAAATGAACTTGAACCTGACATTTATAGGCTCTCATAATCACAATTTACTGTCTTATAATAATGACTTAGTATCTCATACTAATGACTTACTGCTTCATAATTACAACTCACTCTCTCATAAGTATGACTTAGTATCTCATACTGCTGACTTATTGTCATAATCACAATTTAGTGTCTTATAATAATGACTTAGTGTCTCATTCTAATGACTTACTGCATCATAATTACAACTTACTGTCTTGTAATTATGAATTAGTACCTCATACTAATGATTTACTATCATAATTACAACTCACTGTCTCATAATAATGACTTAGTGTCTCATACTAATCACTTACTGTCATAATTACAACTTACTATCTCATAATTATGACTTATCTCATAATAATGACATTCTCATAATTATGACTTAGTGTCTGATAATGATGATTAACTTTATCATAATTATGGCTTAGTATCCCAAAGTAACGACTTGGGGTCTCTGATTTTCAGGCATTATTATGAGGCAGTAATTCATTATTATGAGATACTAAATCATAATTATGACAAGCTTTCTCATTATTACAAGACACTAAGTCATTGATATGGCATACTGTATCACTTTTTACCCCCCAGTGGCATAAACAGGCTTTCATAGGATTCCTCTGCTTGCTGCTAAAATTTAGTTCTACTGTTTTTTTTAGCCTCTTAACACCATTACTCTCACCTAAAAGAAATGTTCGTTTCAGCCAAAGTTTCTGTTAAACACGACAAAACTACACCTCTCTTGAAGGGAATTTCTTGCCAGAGCTGTTTTCATGAGGTTTTATCCAACTGTGGCAGAAATGGAGTTGCACAGTACGTAACATGAGTGCTGTCTTATCTGTGGATTGCAGAATGATCTACAGCACTGACTCTTTCCAGTACAGTAACTCAGTACAGTTGCTGTACTTAGGAAGTGAGCGAGAGAAAAGCAAACAAAAAGCAAAAGAAACAAGATGCTCAAGACTGATTAGAGTCTTGACTTATGACCAGCAGATACTCATTCGAATCCCCAGGCTAGCACAGAACAACTGCTGTTCTGTTGGATCTGCGGACCATCAGTTTCTTCCTGCTTTTATAGCAGCGGAAAAAAACAGAATACAAGCTATTTAGAGCAGGAGAGATTTGAAATGCTATTTGTAATGACGACCCAGTACTATATCTCCAACTCCCTGTGGTGCTTGCCCCATGTGGAACGATAGAAACCACACGTCTCTCCTCCACCACTCCTGTAGAGCTTTCTAATTACAACCTGTAAGCCACCCTTCCCCCTCAGGTACTCATGGGAAGTGTAGTAATTAAGGGCAGATACGTGCTGGCCGCTTGTTACAGTGCTATAAAACATAAGCCTCCAGAGGAAGTCTCCAAACTCCATTTGCGCTCTCTCTGAACACATGCTGTTTGCGTTACACTGCTATTAATAGTGGCAAATAAAAAGTGCTGTTGTCCGAGGGGGTATTTCAGGGGAAAGGAATGGAGGCCGGCCTCTATGGCGGCCCCAGTGTTCACTGTGAAGGGAAACAGATGCTGTGTGTGAGCGTGTATATCTATATATGCATTACAGGCCAAAGGTATGGAAGCAAGCAGTGTTTTTTTTACAAAATATTTCTCAATAAAGTGAGCACCGACTTCGTAAAAATAAACATGAGATGTATTTTCACTTCATTACTCACTAGCACTTCCTACATTGACCACAGACCTATGATCTATGTCCAGAGCTCAAAAGTGTTAAAGGGGCCCTATTATGCTTTTCTTTTTTTTTCTCTCTTTCCTTTACTGTGTTATATAGCTTTCTGTACGTGTAAATGGTCTGCAGAGTTGCAAAGCTCAAAGCACACACCAGAGGGAGAAACTCTCTCCCACAGAAACCACTTTTCTCAGCTGTCTAAAACGCCTTGCTGGAATTCCAGCCCTTTTCCTTTGTTTCAAGATGACACAATAAGTAACACAATCCTTGGCACACCTTCACACAATGTACAGCAACTACTAGAGGCCGAGAAGAGTTTTAGTTTTGTAGCCATGTCGAGAAGACACTAACCTGACTTTCAGGAGGATCGACTCTGGCTCAAACTGATATGGCAGAACCAACATCATTGGAAAAATAGTCACACTGATGCTTACAGCTGCTCAGGGGAGAACTTAATAAAATGAATATTTAAAAGTTTATCTTGCTTTATAAAGTGCTATACATGTCATTATAACTATTTAAGAGCAATGAGTCATTAGCAACAGTATTATGAGGTGTTATGCATGCAGTGTAACACCTTATGTAAATGCCTCTGTAATGCATTATTAATACATGATTGAGGAGGTGCTGCGATGGACTGGTGGCCTGTCCAGAGTGTTTGCTGCCTTCCGCCCAATGACCGCTGGGATAGTCTCCAGCTCCCCCGCGACCCAGAAGGATAATTGTGTGTGTGTGTGTGTGTGTGTGTGTGTGTGTGTGATTGAGGAAGTGTTATCGAGATATCCATTGGTAGCCAAATGTCTGTAAGAAAATTTGCAGATACATAAAAAATTTCAAATTCCAAAGTTTGTGGAAAGAGACACTAATATTTGAGTACTTTTACATCATATACTTACATTTTTTAGTTAATTATCAGGATCGTTTTGAATTTTAGTTAGTGAATCTGGTCATTCTTGTTGATTGTTATAACTTCCCTCATGCATATGAATGATAAAATCATAACTTTAGTTTGGAAAATAATAAAAAAGTTTTACTGCTTTTGGTGCCAAAATTTATATCTTTTTGTTTTGTATGTGAAAATAAGTTAACACATCCTCTGCAGAGAACACATTTCTGTGCATTTTAATGCATTTTAATTCTGAATTTAACATACTGGAAAAAATAAAATGTAATATACGGCCTATACAAAAGTTATGGCATGTTTGATGCTCCAGTATGTTAATTTCAGCAAATGACTAGGAATTGTGCACTAAATTTGCAGAAGATGCCATAATTAAGTTTCCTGTAGAGGAGGTGTTAATTTGTTTTCACTTAGAAAATCAACATGTAATTTTATCAGGGGTGTTTTTGCATACAACTGTAAATTGTATTCAGAGAGTGTCACAAGACTACTTTTGATCCCCATATGTGGGACAACTGTTATTGTCCTCTTATTTTCTTAGTGGTTAACTTTTTATATATGAGTATAACTTATGTAATTTTATGTTTTTTGTCTTAGTGATTAACGATGGCCTTAAAATTTCCCAGCAGAGATAATTTAATTGAATTGAAATTTGTTCCCAAATGTTCTGTATTATATGGAAAACGCATTCATGGTCTTGTGGATAACACTGAGCAGTTTTAATGACTTGCTCACTCCTAATTTGGTTCAGTTCACCAAGCCTTCAGGAAAATCTGAATTGAGAATGAAGTGAAACTAAATGGAGACAGAAAAATCAATAGGAGCTAAACTAATAAAGAATTGTTCTTAATATCTTAATCTTAATGAACATATTAGAGTTCGTTGAGAAAATGATACACTTTTGAAAAAAATATTTCAGAAAAGCAGTTCATGCAAAGATAGGGTTGCCACCAAACCTTGGCCCGCAGTGTATATCTTATGGAGGGTTCATAGTTCTGACGTGACTTTGCACTAACGGTAACCTCTAATGTCAACACAATAGGGTCCATTTAGAAAAATGACAGAGGCCAGTGGTGGTGTCTTGGTCGGCTGCTGTCGAGACAGCTAAATGGGCTGCTTGTGGCTTTGATGTTAAAAGGCCAAGTGGGGAGACAGGACCCAGACACCATATCATACTGAATTATGAAACAGGAGCGCTCTCTCAGTTATATGCCCCACGTTTTTATCACTAAATCAGTTTCACGGCAGATTCTAGTCACTTTTTTCCCAGACCCCCCCCCCAAACAGTTCCTCAACATTTTGTTTAATTAATTCTCTCTTAATTAATTCCTTACCGAAGGCTACATGCCTTAACCTGAATTTGCACCAGACATGACACACCAGCGTCGCGTAAGCGTAGCCTAAGTGACCATGCGTCCAGTCCACACAGCCTCCGACTCTGCACCTTCACAGTACTGCTTTTTGTGGGAATATCAGCTCTTTTTTTCTCCCTCTCTTTTCTACTATACCGTTTTAAAGGTTTAAATTTTGACTTCATTAACACCAGACGTGTTTATTTTGTCAAAAGCACGCAGGCTTCCGTGCAATGAGCCTCATTCACCAATATCTTCCTAATAAATGAGTTCTTGAGAAAGTCCTTAGAAAAAGTCTACGTCAGATTCATGATGTGTTCTTAAACCACAGAATTGTTCGCACCTTTTTGCCCTTGAGTGTGTGTAGATTCTGTTTTTACCTAAGAACAAATCCCAAATAAGAAAACACTGGTCAGAATCTTCATGAAAACTGTGGGTTCTTCTTAAGGATGCTTGGTGAAAGAGGCTCATTGTTAGTACAGCACAGGAGCTGCTCTGATTAGCATCGTCACATTTTGGTAAACTGTAATTTTAAAAACAGCTTTTTGCTACAGAATTTGAGAGTATGCGACTGGATATCTATGGAGATTATATTGAAGCCCACTTCTGGCAGACAAAATTAAAATCACCATGTTTTTTTCTTTCTTTTTCTGAATTTTGACTTAGTATCATAAATTAATGATGTATTTTCTCAAAATAATGATTTATTTTTACAGAATTTTGGCTCAGTATTTCAAAACAAAGACTTGCTATCTCAAACTAAGGACTTCAGTTTAAGAAAATAAGTGATTATCTTGGGATAATAAGTCAAAACCTCAAGAAAATAAGTTATTGTTTTGACATAGTAAGTCATTATTTGGAAATACTTCGTCATCATTTTGACAGTGCTGCCAAGAAAGTGGTTTATTTTTTTTTCTCCGCTAATTGGTGAAAAGGGTTTTCCAGAAATGGTTTTCCAAAATGCCAACAAGTATTCAAAGCACTGTTTGGGCCAGACCTCCAGAACATAAATGTTGATAAATGAATTAATTACATTAATAATGTAATTAGCAGTTATATTAAACTAATTATTTATTGAGTTACTAAATGTATATTTATTTAAAAAGTGACATTTACTTATTCTTGTGTAATCTAAATCTAATATAGAGTAAAGCAACAAAAATGACTCCAGACATCTAAGGGTTAAAAGCGTGACGCACACCTGCAGTTAGTAAGAGCGCATTGAGCTGTCTGGCTGAAGAATGTGTGTGTGAAAGCGCTCGGGGAGCTGAGTGTGCAGTTTGCAGTCGCTCCGCTGTGTTTTTTCACGTTGTCACAACACGCTGTGCCACAGAATTTCTGTGATTTATGATATTCTCTGAGCTCTCAAGTGGTAACTTTGTCCTCTTTTTGTCTGTATTACGTGTGAAACATGGCCCGGTCCTCTAAGCTGGAAAAGGAGGTGATGGGATGGGATTGGCTGGATCTGTTCCAAATGGCTTTGTCCTTCCTGTCAGGGCAACACATCATATTTAGTCACTGACAGACTGTTATAGGGTTGTGAAATTTGTAAGTGCTCCTAAATCACTGTGAATAAACCATCTAAATCAATAACATTCCTCTCAATGAGCAGTTGTAGAAGTAGTGTGTTTACAGTACTTTTACTGCCATTCATTCCTTAATATAAATGTCTACCAATCATATCTGTGATTAAATGAGAGTAAGAAAATCATTTGCTGTCTGTGTGGTTGGACGATCTTCATTTTTCAAATTCACCATAAGAATACAATATCATACAGTTTTATTGCTTATATCAAGTGTTTGAAGTAACATAGTGCAAGTACTGTAATGTATTCTTAGTACTGCATGTGATTCTTAGAATCTCATTACATTTACTGGCTTTCTACTGATGCGTGATGCTATTGGAATCATATCAGTATTGGCAGATATTTCCTTAAATAAAAAATAGCGCTGGACAGATGTTTAGATTTGACCGTTATTTGATGATGTAGCTATTATACTCCGAAAGAGCATAATGTTTGAAATGCCTGGGGAAGTGCGGTAAATGTCTACATTTTGTTAATATTACTGAATTTGTAACCCTACAGAAATAAATAATAGATTTCTCTGTAACGCAAACTTTGCAGCGGTGTGTAATCCTTCGGCTTGAGAAGCCGACAATGAGCTAACGTCCATAGTGACGAGTGAAAAAACTCCTAGATGTTCAACATGAATATTTTTAGCACAGCTGTCTGCACTGCCCCCTTTTAACAACAAACAGAATCCTAATCAATACTTGTTTTATGCTGTGTACGCTCCCCAGCCACCTTATTAGAAACGCCAGCCTTCTTTTCTTGTACTTGAGGTCTGTCTACCATGGAGTCCATTAGATAATCCAATTACAATTATAATAATACTGCATATGTATACTGTAGCCCATCTGTTGTCTAAAGGTTGTAATCGCAAAGAAACTTGTGATACAATACTATCACTTGTATACAATCAGCTCCGTTCTTTGCAATTTCATATAAATGTGTGTATGTGTGTGTGTGTGTATATGTATATGTGTATATATATATATATATATATATATATATATATATATATATATATACATACATACATACATACGTACATACATACATACAGGGTGATTCAAAAACATTTATCCGATTTTAAAACGATTTACTACACTTGTAAATCATTACAGAACAATGCAGTCAATTGTAAATGGTTTAAATGAGCTTTCTGCCCAGGGGTTGCCGTCTTCTCGCAGACATCAATTTCAGAATGAACATATATTAAAAAAACAGTTAACAAAATAAACAAGGTAAAACATTACATATATTGTCTACAAATGCACTATTTTTTTCAAAAATAGGTCATAGTACATTTATAAAAGACATAAAAAAACATATGGTGCTTTGTTTTAGTCTACAGTAAGTAAAAAGCAATAGCTAATCGATGTAATAAATATGTTGGTTAATATTTTGGTTCTTCAGGCTGCATCATTATTATTTAACTGGTTGAACATTTTTATGTGCTAGTTTGTGTGTGAATAGGTTTCTAAGATGAGCGGATGGTGTTTTTAATTAACTAATTAACCAGTAGCTAGCTCATGTATGTTACACTGTGACAGGATGAGCTGCCGAATGCTCAGTAGTTTTGAAGTAGCTGCTAAATGCTTCTGATTAAAAGAAATTGATATGGTGATGTTTGTAAGGGTAACATTAGCTCATTCTGACAAATCACAGCGCGAACTGTTCATCAGAACGCCTGCATGGAGAGAAAGCTACTGTTTACTGACCGTTTTGCTGCTTCAGAATCAACACCAGCATGTTTTCTTTATCTGTACTTTTATCTGATGGATAAAAGTAATGTTGTGCTTCTGTGGAAAGTTAAGTCAGACTTGCATACGCTGTGTGTGACTACTTGATCCTTCATTTTAAGAAAATGGAAAAAACAAAAAATCACCCATGAAAATATTTGTCTGTGTTTTTTTTTTTTGTTGTTGTTAAATTATCGGTAAATCATCAGACATTATCAGTAATGTCGAATGATTTTTTTAGCCCTAGTCCTAGTCTTAGTCCTAGATCTATAGTCAGAAAGTGTTGATAAGCATGAGAAGATAGCTAACATAGATTATACCATCCACAGTATAGTCTCTGTCTGTGCACCAGGAAGGTGACCCTAAGAGATATGGGTTTCTAATAAAGTGGCCGCTCTGAATTGCAATTGTATTTAATTGAATACTGTTTTAGCTTGTGGCTTGAAATTGCACTTGCATATTTTTCAGATTGGGAAGGACAGACAATTGAACTTTGACCCTTGCTGCGTGAGCTATTTCTCCAAGGGTGAGTACATAGTGATGGGCGGCTCAGACAAGCAAGCATCCCTCTACACTAAAGACGGCGTCCGACTTGGAACCATCGGAGAGCAGAACTCGTGGGTCTGGACCTGTCGCGTCAAACCAGACTCTAACTATGTGGTAAGGCTTACGTCTAATTGCTGTTTTATACAGGGATGCTGGCAGGGCTACTCAATATAGTTTGCTAGTTGTTATTGCAATAGTAGTTCAATACAGATAGCTTAAAATGCTACAAATGTGCAAATAAGCCACTTTAATAGCTCATAAATGTTTTCGGAATGTGTGCAATGTCAGATGGTTGTTTGGATGCATCAAGGGTTGCATGTAAAAAAAAAAAGTTATAATCATTTGGGGACTGAAGACGCCATTTGATTGATCCGGTTTTGAAAGTAGAATTCTTCAGTCATACAAGTCTTCAGCTGTGCAACCATATGGGGCTTTTGTTGTCATATTTTGCACTTCATAGTGTGCCCCTTGTTTTAAGTAGGAGGCAGACAGGTCAGTCTAGCACCTGCACTCTCTGATTATGCAGCCTTGCTGTTGTAACACATGCAGAATGAAAATGATGGCGTGTAAAAGGCAGCATGTGTCGCTCCAAAATGTGTATATATCTTTCAGAGTGAATGGTGCCTTTACAGATGTGCAAGTTACCCACTAATACACCCCCATACCATGACAGACCCCGACTTTTGAACTTTACGCTGGTAAAGTGGTATGCATGTATGGAACCTAAGCTGTAAAAACAGCCCTTTTTGAGGACATTGTGTTTGTGATGCCCCCTGCGACCCAGAAGCATAAGCGGCTAAGAAGAAGTTCAGCCTACAGCAGCTTAGCTCCACCAGAGACATAAAGGAGGGGACAGGTCACGGTTTGAAAAATGAATGGGAAAGCTTGTAACGCTCACCTTGAAAAAGTTCCAAGAAAGTCCCGTCCTTCAGTAAAAAGAGCCAAAATAGCTGCAAGCGGAAACAGCTAGGCTTGTTGTGGAGACATGCACAGTAGCATGATCAAGCTGATAAAACGCATTTTTATGAGTTATTTCAGCCAAACTCTATAAACTATTTATGGTATTTTTGTCTAATTTTACGAGTGATTTAAGTTTTTTAAACATTAATTAGTGGAAAAAAATCCCTGAAGATATCTTGGAAAAACTGAAAGCAAGTCCCCCGAAAAGAATTGAAGTTGTTATAAAATGCTAATTGTGGAAATTTAAAATAACATTTCACTGATGTGGCTTCTATATAATATTCTGTTACTTTTTTATTCTTTTTTTCTTGACGCTAAAGCTCCATTTTGACTGGGCATTAAATGAATAATGTGTGGTCTCTGACTGTAGATCACGGTCCTCTAGTGCAGTAGGAGGTGCCGCTCTGGGAGCAATTTCAAAGTAGGGCCTACTTATAAAAAAGTGCTTGGACCCCAAATGATAATTGATGACACTGCAGATATGAGTCTGTAAGTCTGGTCTTACATGACTGAAAATAACTGCCTGGGGGTGTTGCCAAGATGGTCATTGAGTGGACAGACTTTTCAAAAAAGGGCTTTTTCTAAGCCCATTCATGCTGAAGTTCTAAGGAGTGTTTCAGCCCAGACTGCTTTTTAAATGAGGAAAAGAGCTAATTTACTTTTATCAGTCTTAAACACACAGTAAAAACACAGACTGTTTAATTCTAAGAGATAAATGATGGCCATTTATGCTGCAAGCCTACAGCAATTCCAATATGTAGCAGAATCACAGTGTGATTTTTATATATATGATTCAGCCCTAACCAGATTAACACTAAGGAGACTAGTTGCAATGAATTAAGTATTTACTTGGCATCTGTAGCAATTTATAACAAAGCCTGACACTTGTACGAGTTAGGATATCTAACGTTACCATAGCCAGACCGGCAGACTTGAAGTGCAAAAGCTTAATATATAAAGTGCCTTTTTTTTAGAATCTGTGAGGTGTGTGAGTGAGCGAGAGCGAGAGAGAATGTGATAAAGAGACCAACATGTAAATAATGTTAATTTATGATGAGCGAGAGTGGTATGCTGTGAATATCAAGACGATGATAAGGTTGTGAAAATTGAGGCTGTCTCTAAATCCAGCAAAATCTTACACGCATATTCTGCATTTGGAAGATGGTGGCGATTTGTTAAATTGTGATTGGTACAGTATGTTTTAGGCTTGCTGTTTTTGCTTTGGCTGGTTTTAGTTGTCCGGTTCTGCTGACTCTGACCATAGTCTAAATTTCTGGGGAGGGATGGACACAGAAAATAAACTTAAGCCTTTTCTTGTCCATCAAAACACCTTCAAACAGGCTACATAAAGGAATACTTCACATCACTACATCTTGTGCAAGGGATAGTAGATATACAGTACTGTGTAAAGTTCAAAGACCATAAGGAAGGTGAAAGTCAAAGGAAAATAAGTAAAAAAACAAGAGTTGCCCAAACTGGAAATGACCATGTTACTGAAAAATCAGATCAAATCACCAGAAAGACCACCAAACCTGTCACCGTCAGATAAGCAGAACATAAAGTACTTACATCTTTGAGAAATGGGAGAAAAATCAAGCCCCACTCTTTCTTCACATCTGAAAGAAATACAACACTGTAGATAAAAAAGAAGAACATTAACATATAAAACAAAGAAGCTGCAGGTGTTCTCAGAACAATGGACTGACCACCCCAGAGTCCAGACCTCAACATCACTGAATGTGCTTGGGATTACTTGGATTGTGAGATGCACAAAATACAACCAACTTCTAAGACTGAACTTTGGAACTGTGGAAAAATATCCCTGCAGATACCATGGAACAACTCAAAGCAAGTCTCTTGAAAAGATGGGAAGCTGTAATAAAGGCAAATGATGGAAATTAAACTGAAAGCAAGTATCCTGAAAAGAATAGAAGCTGTTATAAAGGCAAATAGTGGAAATTTAAAATTATGTTTTGATGGCGAGGCTTCTATGCAATCTTTTGTTAAATCTTTTCTTCTTTTTTTTCCCCCGATGCTAAAGCTTCCCTAACCTTCTTGCCATTTTGACTGGGCATTAAATGAATAATGTGTGGTCTCTGCCTGTAGATCACAGTACTGTAGTTCAGTAGGAGGTGCCGCTCTGGCAGCAATTGCAAAAATGGGGCCTACTTTCAAAAAGTACTTGGACCCCAAATGATTGCCGCCTGTGGCTATATGTTGCTGAACTATTTTCCCCTTTGATGATGCTGCAGGTGGTGGGTTGTCAGGACGGCACTATAGCATTCTTCCAGTTGATCTTCAGCACGGTGCATGGCCTATATAAAGACCGCTATGCCTACAGAGACAGCATGACCGATGTCATCGTCCAGCACCTCATTACTGAGCAGAAAGGTACTGATAGAATTTACCCTCACCAGTGTCAACAGCTAGTGCCACCTAATCAAGCAGACTAAATCTGTTTTGAGGATAGAGTTATAGTGCTAAGCTATTTCCACCAGGTTACTTGAATAGGTTATGACATTCATGATATAACCATTTTATTTCTTATGATGATGATGATTATTGTTATAGCAGCCATATTCCAGTAAAACTGTTAACAGTTCAAATGTCTAGTTAATTTTTTTATCACAGGTAGTAATGCCTTCTGGAGACTTATAATATTGAGTAATGTATGCGGTTCTATATTTATTTATTTTAAGGTCATCTTTGCTTAATGAAATAGCTTGATGGAAAATGAAATTTAAAATTTTCCCTGACCCTAAGCGTAGACAAACACCAGAAGGAGTTACAAGGCTAATGTAGCTAACAAACAGTGGAACCTAATGCCCTGCCAATTAGCATTGTGCAAACTGCATGCCTAAATCTTGACACAATTGCTTCAAGCTGCATCATGTTCTTAAGTAATTGCAAGTAGGTTTATATGCTGTATGCTGTATGACACTGTATGCCACACTATTATCTTTCAAAATGAACCAAGATATGTTGCATAGGTTATACCAGTAGTTGCTGTCATCTCAGTGCCTGTCTTGTATCTATACTTCTCCATTTTTATCAAAAGCTCTGTATAATACATTTGGGGTAAAATCAGGGAAGAATTGCATTAATTAGTTTTTTTCACCAACTATTTCATTAGTGCCACATATGTTAATAATGTATTCCTTTCTCTTGTTCTCTTTTCGTTTCTCACTCAGTGCGTATAAAGTGTCGCGAGTTGGTGAAAAAGATCGCCATCTACCGAAGCCGCCTCGCTATCCAGCTACCGGAGAAGATCCTCATTTACGAACTGTATTCAGACGACTCCTCTGACATGCACTACCGTGTTAAGGAGAAAATCTGCCGACGCTTCGAGTGTAATCTGCTCGTTGTCTGCTCTCAACATATCATACTCTGTCAGGTTAGTAGTACGGCAGTCATGGAATTGTAGGTTATGTGGACTGTGCAAACTTTTTGGCAAGCAAGAAAAATGATAATAAATGTGTTTCAAAATAAAAACAAACTCTGTATACACTACATGACCATAAGTACAATGTTTTGTTATCTCATGAAAACACTGTACACTGTATTTATTAGGGGTGGGAATCTCTAGGCACCTCACGATTCGATTCGATTACGATTCAGAGGGCTGCGATGCGATTATAAAACGATTATCCGTGCATCTCGATGCATCTTTTTTTTCTATACAGGATTTCTATTTTTTTACTGTCTGAGAACTTGGTACTTTTAAAACAAAGTATTTGTAATGATCCATAATGAATTTACTTCCAATATCTTTTATTAATAAATCAAATGGAAGTGATGTGGCAAGTGAACTAGAAGGGTCTCATTCACTGCTCTGGTTTGGAGCACATGAGACGCTGCTGCCACTCATCTGCGATGAAATGCGCTGTTACGGTGAAATAAGATCCAGTGGTGATGGATGTCCACGCAGCACGTTACAGCTTCTTTACCCGTTTAATTCAGTGATTTTATAACTTCAGTTTTGGTCTCGTTGTAGAGACGGGGGTTTCCTGGTACGTTAAATCTGCAGCGACAGACGGTCAAACACTAAAAAGTTGCGAAGATGAAGTCGCTTCTCTTTCAAATTTTCCTATTCCACCTTAAATGGTGCTGCATGTAGGTTACATTCGGCGCCTCAGTCAGAATTTAAGGTGGAACGGTAAAATTTGAACAAGAAGCTGGAGAATGAGAAGCAACTTAAGCCTCATAAAACAGCCGAACGATGAGACATTTTAGAAGAAACTATTGAACTTTTGAGGAAAAGTTTCCTGAGGGAAAGGGGAGGAAAGTGGCTACAGCTGAAGCTTAAAGCAGAGCGAAGTAAATCTGCGCTCTCGTTTATATTGTTTAGCCTATACTAGGACATTTAAAACATACTGGACATTAAATGTTGTGGCTCCCAAGGAGGCTTGATTTTTGTTGAAAGGACAAAATGGCTCTTCTTATCATTTGTGCTGTGACTCCTGATCTAACCTGGCTTTAATGCAGAGGGAGCCGGGCGGATTTCTCACTCATCCATGTGTGTTTTTGTTATGTGCCGTCACAGACTGTCCGGGCGCTGCTCTTACCCACTTCCAAGTTCCGCCTTTTACATTCCGTCAACATCACGTTATAAATGAAATATTTAGAAAATCCATTTTTGACATTTGTGAATCGATTCAGAATCGTTCACGTCCGCATCGCGAAGCATCTAAGAATCGATTTTTTCCCGCACCCCTAGTATTTATGCTTATATAGTGTATACAGTTCAAATAAAAACACTATACACTATGTGAACGTAAATGCTGCAATAGTTAAGCAGGTTTTCTGTTTTTTTTTTTAAAGTTATTAAAATCTTGGTTAAAAGAATACACAAATTTTGTTTGTTCCATCCTGCTGCACTTCAGTTATTGCATGTATTTGTTAAATTCTATTAATGAAGCATTGATTAGCTGAAGCAGGTATGGGATGGTAACTGTAAATACTAGGCTTCCTAAAAAAGAGGTTTGGAAATTTAACATTTTGTTTCAAGTGAAACAAGTGAAGATTTGTTGAGTAAAATTCGTAATGTTCACTGTATTTATCTGGTATCACCTTTGCACCAGTGTAAATAACAATAAATGTGATTTGATTTGTATTTATTATAAGGGTAGTGTTTCCAAATAGTATATGCTTACTGCCCAGATAACTAGCTTTATGTATCATTTTCACAGCCTTTTTAACAGTACTGTATATCAAATGGACATGATGAACTCCAGTTTATACCGTACTGAGTCATGCCAGTTAAGCATAAGCACATTAAGTGGCTGAAGTGCCTTAAAGAAGCTTTATCTTTACCCTGAGGGCATGCTTACTGTAACCATACACCACATGGCTAATTCAACAGTTTACAGCTGCATGACTGTGTGTGTATCTGTGCTTATAGTCTCAGACAGTGGGGGTTATTGAGACAAGGGTCTTGACCGCTGTCTGGTTTAATTGCCTCAGCCGCTCTGCTTTCAGTCTGTGGTTTGTGTGTGTGTTAGAGATACAGACAGAGAGAATGATTCACACGCAGATTTCTCCTCCGTAAGCCCTTTTAACAGCATGATGATCTCTTAAATCTCTTCCCCGTGAGACAAAAGGTGTTTTCTTCTGCTCAAAGAGCTGCTTCTGCTGCCGTTCTTCTGTTTTATGTCAAAGTCCCGGCGTCTGTTAGTTGAAGCCTGATCCCGACTCACTGTTTCGTCTCATTGTGACCAGATTGTAATTGCAGTGGCATTGTACTGGAGTTCAGTTCTCACTGTGTGCTCTTGTGTGCTTTTCTGTGTTGTGCTCAGCTGTCAGATGAAGAAAGCAATGCTTAATTTTTTCCATCTGGGTATATGCTTATATTTGCATGTGTGTTTAGGAGAAGAGACTGCAGTGTTTGTCGTTTACCAGCGTGAAGGAGAAGGAATGGATCATGGAGTCTCTGATTCGCTACATCAAAGTGATTGGCGGCCCACCGGGGAGGGAGGGGCTTCTGGTCGGTCTGAAAAACGGAGCAGTGAGTTTTTATCGACCTTGGAACATTACACAACCTTTGCTCAACAATGTACAATGTTTTTTTCTGCACATTAAGTTATTAAAAAAAACACAACTATAACTTTGTTTCAGTTAATTTTATACTTTATATTATGTTATATATGTCAAAATTCTGGGCTTATTACATCCCAAGCCTTATTATTTAGTAACTACAACAACAGCAATTCAAACTGACAAACTAACCCTAACCCTAACCCTCTTTAAAGAGAGTTATACATTTTTTTTTTTCTAAATTTTTACGTAATTCAGTCATAAGCAAAGTCATTCAGAGTGGTTTGATGTCAAATGGTTAACTGTAGAAAAACTTACCAACCAATAAAAAGCACAGAAAAACTTACCAACCAGTTTCTCTACAGTGGTGATGATGGGAACCAGGAATCATGATGTCTACAACACAAATATATTTTATTTACTACCCAAAACCACCAGTGATTCTACACATGTCTACTGAGTTTTTATATGTAATATTCATGTTGGTATAATAGTGGTAAACCTAAAAAAAAAACTTTTTTTTTTTTGGATACTGTTTGCCTTATAACAGCCTGCATGTACATCTCTGCCGTGAATGGATTTTTAAAAATACGTTTTAGGCCAAAAGCTTAATTGCACAACAGTGTCTCAGGCATCAAGCAGCATAACCATTTTATGAAGTAGATTTTTGTGAGGCAGCTTTTAGAGTCATATAGTGTACCTCTAATACACAGTCTTATGGTGCATATCTGCTCAAAGCGGTTTTAATTTTGATATGAGTGGCATCAGTGCTATTATAACATCATTTCAGAATCAGTTAGAATTTGTTTTACATTATTAAAAATAACAGCGATTTGAAACTTTTGAACAGTGTTCATCTAAAGGCATCTTTATGCTGTCTAGATTCTGAAGATTTTTGTGGATAACCCATTCCCCATCACCCTGCTGAAGCAGAACACATCTGTGCGCTGCCTGGACATGAGCACGTCCCGCAGCAAGCTGGCCGTGGTGGACGAGCACAACACCTGCCTGGTCTATGACATCCACACCAAAGAGCTGCTCTTCCAGGTTAGGCCCTGGCCCAAATGAGCCATTTAATCACTTCTGCTTGTTGCCTGTTCCCCTTGAGTGCTGCTGCTGTGGGTTATTGTGTCTGGTTTGCCAATTCCACATCAGAGGGTTGCAGTTCAGGCTCCAGTGTGAGCCCCAAGCTATTTAAAAAACCATCGGGAATTTCATATTGTGGTTCCATAGGGACCAGCATGCTGCCAGGCTAACATTTATTGACACTCTGAAAGCAAGAAGCAGCATTCACCGACATTATCACCTTAATTTACAAGCTTTACAGTTTTGATTGTAACTGTACAGTTTAGACAGTGTTGTACAATATTCATTTTGGAAAATAAATGAAGTGGAACAGTGTTTCTCAATCCTGGTTCTGGAGTACCACTGCGAGGCACATTTTATTTTTTTTTTAACTCATCAGCTAGTTGACTTATTCGTGCTGCACTCACAAATGCACGCTTCATGAAATGTGGCAACAATCCCTTTCGGCCTAATGAGAAATTCTGAAGACAGATCCACACAAACACAGGCTATGGAATTTCACTGTTTGTGAGTCAGTATTGCTCTTAGCTATACGTATAGCTAAGAAATAGCATAGACCTGCTAGCTGGATGACTGGTTTGTTACATTGTGACACACAATCTGGACAAGAGTATATAGAAAATCACATCCATAGCTATTGATTACTTATAGACAGTGTTTACTGAATCAATCTATGATGTAAGCATAAAAATAATGTATGGATCATTCTGTTGAATTGGTTTACAGTCAGAGTTCAAAACTCATTTCAGACTTAAAACTGATTTGGACTTTAGACAAAAATCATTTTGGTACAAATGAACTTAATTATGTTTATTTTATTTTATTTTTATTAAAATAAAGAATGGATCGTTCCATTTTCTCATGAACAAAACTATCATAAACTTTACCAAAGCTTTTAGTAGTGACTGTTTCGGTAGTGACAATTTTAACAAATTTTTGATTAAATCTCAAAATGCTAGCCAGTGTATGACTAGCAAACACAGCTTTGAACAGTTGTACACACATATCATAGTATCATAGTATTTTTTATTAAAACACAAGTTTACCTAATTGCAGAAAATATGTTTCACTGGTGACAAGTTTTAAATGTTACACACTGATTTCTAGACTTTAAGACGCATTTACTTCAGAACAATGGGATCTGACAACTCACCATGTGGCCATGAGGGACAGGGATGCAGTCTCACTTCCTGCTCTCAAGTGCAGGGGTGTGGCTAAAGTAAGGCTCCTCCTTTGGAAACTTTGTGTTTTATGTAATGACATAAAAATGTAGGACAGCATTTTTGGGAAAAAGTTTTTTATTTAAAAATTGATCTCATATAAGAAATCTAAATCTTTCAACTTCACCGTAAAGAAAAAAAAAATGTTTAAAAATATATTGGGCAAAAAAAACAAAAATAATAAATAATAATAATAATAATAATAATAATAATAAATAATGATTTTGTACATATTTAGCTTATAACTGTCTCAAATCATGCCTTGGTCTTAAATAGATCATCGTAAAAATGTTGTGAATATCTAAGGTTTGAATACTTCTTTGTTTTTTAGTAGTTTATGTGTTTATATTTTTTTACTGTGGGACCGCAGTTTGAACTATATGTCTGTTTATGCTGTGTAAGTCTTGTAAATAGGCCTGTTACAGTCATAAAAATGTAGCTGCCTGCTTGTACAGTGGCACATTGAATCACGCGAGACATGATATTGATGCAAAAGCGTCCTGGAGTTTAAAGGTATGAATACAGGCTACACAGAACTTAATAATAACAATATTAACCAGTAACAGATATTTCAAATTAACCTTTCTGTTCTGGAAAAGTTAAAGATGTTTATGCCTCCAGTTATGTTTTTGTAGAAAAATAGTTTGTTTCTTGTTACTGTTTTTCGTTTTTTTGCTCAAACCGTTTCACAGCCCTGCTGGACACTTAGCCTTATATAGTGAAACTGTAACCTAAATGCGGTGCTTTAACCTAAGTTGAATGATTTTTTTGCAGACATTCTGTCAAGCTTGTATAAACTTGCAACAGTATCGCAAGAGAAGCACTGATAGGTCAGTTAACAAGCTTTTCCTCAGCTGAACTAAGTGTATTAAAGCAGGAAAATTATTCAATTATGCAAAGTAGTAGTACTTTAGGACCAGGATTAAGTACTGCTACTCTAGAAGATCCAGTCTTTGCAAATTGCTTACATTTGACATAAACAAAATTGCCTTCAGAAATCCACAAGTGTGGCTCCCTGTTCTCTAAATAGATTAGGCTGGTTTGCCTGCCACCCTTGCATTATAGAATTGCTCTTTAAGATTCAGTTCAAATCAACCCCTTCCTCTTGTTTGTGTTTGTGCTAAAGGAGCCCAATGCAAACAGTGTGGCCTGGAACACGCAGTGTGAAGACATGCTGTGTTTCTCTGGCAGCGGCTATCTGAACATCAAGGCCAGTAATTTCCCCGTTCACCAGCAGAAGCTGCAGGGATTTGTAGTCGGCTACAATGGCTCCAAAATCTTCTGCCTCCACGTCTACTCAATGGCTGCAGTGGAGGTGCCTCAGGTAGGTCATATGTGTCTGGACATTGTCTAAATGTTTTCTCATCAAAGTTTTGAGGACACATAACTTTTCAAAAATATAAATACAATGATTATCAATTTGCAATAATAACATATTAAATCTTATCCTTGAGGAAAACAGTATCACATGTGTGAGTACTTATTTCTCATAGTCCTATCTTGGGAATAACCCACTCATTTTATCCTCTTGCTGTAGTCCCCAGCACATATCAGCATTCAGTATTTTCAACATGTGCTTTTAAGGACAGCACAAGCAACTGATATTGTGTTACATTAAGCAAAAAGGCTACATCTAAGTGGAGCTATATATGGAAATATTGCAAACAAAAAGATAAGATTTGTACAACAGTGTGCATCATTCCATAGGACAACAGATATAAAATATGCTTGTTGTACTTTCACTCATTTGTCTGTAAGCGTTTGTAAAAATACTGCAATAACACAAACAATAGCAAAACAGTACATTACATTTTGTATGAAAGTAAATGCTGAAGCAATTTGTTGAAATAGCGCTTCGTAACAGCAAGAAAAATTCAAGATATAATGAACGAATTCATTCATGACTCGCACTCACCCACATGTAGCAGGCTATGGATTCTCCACAAGATGGCTATACTATACTTTTTGTGTGCTTCAGTGAGGGAGAGGAAACTGATATAAACCCACACCAGTAGGATCACAGGAATGCATGCGTTTACAGTCAGTTTGACTTTCATTTTGGGAGTGTATGAAGGAATAGACCCTAAATGGATTTTGCCAGAAAAGCATCAGAGTGACTTTGGTCCTTGGTCAGATTTCACTGGCCAAAATTCGAAAATGCTTTTTGTGGCGTAAACCTCAATAAACACCATCCCAACAGTGTGTTGGCGAGGCGAGATATGGAGGCGGCAGCATCATGTTCTAGGGATGCTTTTCCTCAGCGGAGACTGGGCATCTCGTTAAAATGGACGGTGGAAATATACAAGGAAAAAGTGCAGGACAACCTGCTTCAGTTCAGGAGAAATTTTACCTTTCAGCATGACAATGACCCCAAACACAAGGCCAGAGCAACATCGGAGTGGTTAAACAACAAGAAGGTGAATGTTCTACGATGGCCAAGCCAAAGTCCAGATCTCAATCCAGTGGATAATCATTGTCACTGTTTGAAAATTGTGGTCCATGAACGTCATCTAACCAACCTGAACAACCTGGAGCAAAACCGCCAGGATGAGTGGGTGAAAATCTCTGCTAGTGTGGAAAGCTGGTAGAAACTTACCTCAGTATGCCTAAAGCTGTTATTACAGCAGAAGTTGGTTCTAGCAAGTACTAATCTGAAGGGGTTGAATATTCAGTTTTTAATGTTTTCAAAGATCTGCTGACAAATAATACATTTTGACTTTGAAAATTGACTTTAAGAGCATATTGGTTTGCAATAAAAATACAAGCTAAAACACTCTTTGTAATTGTAATTTGTAATCCAGACAAATCTGATGACTTTCAAGGGGGTTGAATACTTTTGCAAGGCACTGTATATCTGAAATCCTGTTTCATGTTTCAGTTCTTTGACTCTGTTCATGTTGTCTGTGTAGCGTAAATTGTAGCACCCTGAATGTTTCACTTGCAGTGTGTATGTTTTTCTTAAGCAGTTGATAACGGTGATGGTGGAATGTGCGTTAATGAGCGAGTCTCAGATCTTCATTTGTTATAATTAGCTGTGCAGTGTCAGGTTCTGTGCTTTATCAGTGTTCTGATAACTCCTCCCTCTTCTCCACAGTCAGCTCCAATGTATCAGTATCTGGAGAGGCGGATGTTTAAGGAGGCCTATCAGATCGCGTGTCTGGGTGTGACTGACAGTGATTGGAGGGATCTGGCTACAGAGGCTCTGGAGGGACTGGACTTCGACACAGCCAAAAAGGTTTGGCAGTGCGCACTTACACATACACACACACAAATTCTAACAAACATTGCATTACCGTCTGATAGCAGCAGATGGTAATGCTTGAAGCTTTCTGGGAATTGAAGCACCTCTTATGAGCCTAAAAGAGAAATATACAAGTGTTTCCAAATTTATGTGAATGAAATGCCCAAATTTGGCCACAGCGCTCTCTCTCTGTCTTTTTCTAGGCCTTTATCAGAGTCCGAGACTTGCGCTATCTTGAGCTCATCAACAGCATTGAAGTAAGTTTTTTTCACGCTCTTTTTGTGGTCAGCTCCTTCAGCGTTTTCTTCAGATGTGTGTGATATTGTGCAGGGATGCAGGAGGTGGGGGTGCTGAGGTCCCCAGAGTTCAGAATAGGCCCTTTTCACAAGAAACGGGAGTGGGTACATGGCAGGTAAACGTTCCGCTATTGCCTTAAGGACGATTATTAACCTCCGAAATACTGGCGTTCGTATGACTTCAGCTCACTGTCGAACAGTATGTCATTTCATCATTGTCATAGTTGACAAGATTGAAATTTAAGGTTGTGTCCAGAATTTTTGGAGGACAGTAAATACACAAGTGTGAATAAAGCTGAATAAAGCAAATATGCATTCTTTGTGGAAGGATTTCTTCACAGCTTTCAGAATACAATAATGTCATCTAGCATCTACAGAGTGATAAAACGATGTAACTATACAAATAGAACCAGAAATAACTATAACCAAAAGCTAGATTAGCAACATTAGCTGGAGATGTTGAAATAGCTTGCTAACAATAAACTAGAGCTACGTGCACACAGCAGGTAAAAGTGACCTAAATCTGATTTTCTCACCAAATCTGATTTTTTTTATTTGGCTGTTCACAGTATCTTTTAAGTATGACCTGTATGTGACATTAGTCTGAACACATCAGCTCCTAAACTGACCCGCATACGCAAAAGAACAATGCTTCACTTTGTTTCACGTGGCTCATCCAGAGGTAAACAATCACGGCTGCCAATGAACGCCAGTCGCTCCCGGAGGTTTCCATTTTCATCTTCACCAGCATCACAGCAGCCATCATGAAGCTTTACTGACTTACAGCTGGGCTCATCACCCAGAATGTGTTCGAGCTCGTCATAAAAATGGCACGGCCATTTCTTTGGTTCGTATTCTTTAAACTTTGCTTTCAGACTTTACTTTGATGCTGCAGCCTCGTTCTCAAAATTTGCTTTAAACATGGAGTGACTAAGATAAGTTTTTGGTACATAAACATCAGCCTAAATGTTAATGAATTCTCAGCATTGCAAAATTATGACAAATGTCGAGTTGGATTGACGTAAAAGTTGCTTTAATTCCGGTCTGGCTGTTCAGACCGAGTCTCATTGGATACATATCGTATTTTAGTACCACACATAAGTGTCCCAAATCGGAATTGAAAATGTCAGATTTCATGTTTTTTGCTGTTCACACTGCCACACAGACACTGCCACTCCAGTGCCCAACATCGACTCCCCGCTGAGCACTTGCTCTCTCAAATGCTGACAGTTTTAGAGGGGAAACATGAAAACTGTTCCACAGAAAACGGAAGATAACAGCACCAAATTTAACGCCCAGACTGCCTTCAGTGAAACGTTAGTCAGCAGCAGTGAAATGCTGACACAAATGTTTCTTCCCCTCTGTATGACTCTGTAGTTCATTCCTTTATCCTTCCTAATTGCACAAACCCATTTTTCCTCTGCTCATTGTTAGCTGAGGAGCCATCAAAACTGAGATAAGTTTGTTTTTGCTTTGAGCTCAAACACTTGGCTGAGGTGCACAAGCTCTGCTCAGCCTTCGTTGTTGTTATTTTAGCAGAAGCAGCGGAACCCTACAACAAGTGCTTCTAACAGAGAAACACAGAAATGTTTTCTAACAGCTAAAAATAATAATAAATAAACATTGAGTTTTATAATAATTTGAGTGTAGTGAAGATGCATGTGTGCTTGTTTTAGAGCTTGTATTTTTTAGATTTCATTTTTATATTTTCAAAATCTGCAGTAGCCATGGTTGAAGTGCAAAGAGAGAAAGTGTATACAGAGTTACAGGCCAGTTCTAAAGCCGCAAAGCAGCCTAATATTGTTTTTAACTTACAAACATGAGATGAACTTGTAATGCTCAGTTCATTTAATACTGAAGCACAGCCTTATAGCTTACGTTCTTTGTTTATTTTTATGTATTAGATTAGATCTAGCACTTTCGGTTATATTGTTTTTATTTATTTTTTTTAGAAAATTTATTTAGGTTTTTTTTTGAAAAGCTATCCATTCAACAAGCACTGTTGTCTTATATAGACATTACAAACAAATAAATTATTAAAAAAAAATTTGAAGTTATGTTAGCATTTCCTTCCTGATTCTGCATCAAAAATGTATTGGGATGCAAAAACACATTGTATTGTGAAATTAACGTTTTGTTATACTCCTACTGTCTATGTATTGTTTATTTGCATTGTTACTATTGTGCCCAATGAAAAGATTTTAGATTTACTTCAGTTGCTAAATATGGTTCTGATTAAAAATGAAGGGACATGTCAGAATAATACACTGTTGTTAATCGATGAAATAGGTTTTTTAAGCATCCAAAATGGTTTTATTTGGGAAAAAAATATATAAATACATTGTACTGTGATATATACTGGAACTGTCAGTAATCTTAATTATACCATGATTTAAATTTTCCATATCGCCCACTACTATTTCACACTATAATTCATATTTGAAGTGCAATAAGTGTAAGGCCTGTTTTATGCTGCACAAGATGCTGCAACTGAAGTGTTGGCTAAATTGTGACAGACTGTACAATATTAGTCATGCTCATGTGTGCTAAAAGTCTGGCGATATGCATATGATGCAGGAAAGTGACCACATTCTGCTTGTACCTTCTGTTTTTTGCTGAAATATGCGGTTGCACAAGCAAAAAAAACCTCTTTATATAAAACTGGCAATGGTGTATCTGAAAAGAAAAACGTAGTTAACGACAAAGTCTGAGAGTTTGAACCTGTTCATGGCTGGACAGAAGAGGGCAACATGGAATGCCCATTCTTTGAAGTCACTAGGCTCTTTTTTTCTGTCCCTTATGTGTTAGTTACCTCTGCCATTTTAAGGCAGGTCAGTCTATATGTGAACAGAAGGCTGAGCCTATCTAACATATGTGCACAAGTTATATAATGTGAATATATAACGGGAGCTATAAAAGATTTTACTTCTTTGCTCACTCTCTCTCGCTCTACCTCCTCTCTCACACAGACGTGTCATTCCGTGCTGCTCTCTATTGCTTTTTAGTGAAATTGCAAGAATTTGGACTGACCTGCAGTGCTGTACCTGTTGTCTTCAATCACAAAGGCACTAAATTGGCCACTGTAAATCAAATGTGTGTTTACTAATGAAATGAAGTTGACCAGACAAAACAGGAAATGTCGAGTTCATACTGAATGCATTAATATACAATATATCAGTATGCTTAATATATTGGTAGCCATATAATTTTCAGATAAATAGGAAAAAGCAACTAGAAGGGGAAAGTTTGTGAACAAACTTTAAGTTGGCTTGACTGAAGCCCTGTTCAAGCTGGATTAGTTGTACCTGAGGAGTTATTGTAATTTCAGTGACCATAAGTGAGATCCGTGATTTTAATCCTGTGCGAATCTGCAATGTCTGTAGTCTTTGCAGTTATCCTAAGTAATAATTCTGGAGCTTTACCTTCTATAATTCGCTAAATTCTGAGCTTTCTAAGGAATAGTAGTCCTGTTTGAACTGACCTCAGAGTGCACTCTCAGAAAAAAAAGGTACTAAACTGTCACAGGGGCAGTACTCCTCTTGTCAATGGGGTGGTACCCTCAATTTCAAGATATCAGTAAATTTAATGTGGCATCGAGTTAAAGGTGGCAGTGGATTTAAATTATGATTACATTTAAGCTGGCACTGAATTTAAGGTGGCAGTGGATTTAGGGTAGCAGTTTAATGGAGCACCTAGCAACACATTACCATCCACCTTGGATACTGTAGCAACTACCTAGCAACATTTTAGCAACATTTTAGCAACACTTCAACACAACAACCATCAACAGTCTTCCGCCATTTTAACGTTTTAACGCAATTAGCTGGCTTTTTCAAGCGAACTCAAAGTTTGTTCATGAACTTTCACTTTATAGTTTTATTTTAACATACCATCCCAACTTTTTCTAATTAGGGCTTGTATATAGAGAGATATAATGTGCATATATTGTGTAGTTTGTTACATCAGAATTGCGGTATGGTTTCAATCACACTTTCAATCAGTGTGTTTGAAAGAGATGTAACTTGACCTCCAACACTTGATTGAGAATTATGTTGTAATTATCATGCCTCCCTGTGGACCTCAACTTCTTCAGGCCATTCAGTGGTGCTAAGTGACTCCCTAGTGACCTCTGTACACACACACACACACACACACACACACACACGCACATACGCTCACACACAGCGTGCAATTCTGGAAAAGCTGAGGAGTTTTGAGGCTTTAGAAACTGAAGCGGTCTCATGAGAGAGAGACTTTGGAAAGCGGAACATTGGAAATGTAGAAGCATTCATGTGTTTTTGTGTGCGTCTGATAAGGGCGTGCTAGCCTCTGGGTAGCCGTTTTAAAAAAGAGTGGCCTTTGTTTCCCAGAAATGCTTTTGATGTCAGGAACTCTATATGGAAAGAATGGATCATTGAATTTCAATGGATCGTTGAATAGATGTATTTCATGAAAGCTGGCGCTGGACAGATGTGATTGAGGGAGTGTGTGTGTTTTAGTGGTACATTTGAGCATTGTGTGTGTGTGTGTGTGTGTGTGTGTGTGTGTGTGTGTACATGTATTGTATATATGTTAAGATTTCAAAGTATGTGTATCTAATCGAGGGCGCCATTAAGACTAACCACAAATCTGTGCCATACTATAGATGTAACTGATAGCTTATGCCACAGTAATCTGATATTACTTATAACTATAATTAGATGTAAACTTTATTTCATATATTCCTATGATTAGCAGCTGACCAACTTAGCTTACCAACAGATTTACTCAAAATAACGTTCATGTTCTCAGCAGGCAGTAATGCTTATGAATGAATTGCTATTAAAATACTTTGCTTTTATTTAGATTTCATTCTCCTCAACCACAAAGTGATGTATCTTACTGAAAGGTTAGCTGTCTGTCTGTTTTCAGTAGTGGATAGAGCTGATAATGATGAAAAAATGGACAGTTGGTCTTTTGGTACTTTTGGGAGGAAGGCTTTGAAGCTTTGTGCTGTCTTATTATATCCTTATTTCTTGTTGGCTACAAGCCATTATTTGTGGGTTTCCAAGAGAAAAAAATACAGTGTGATCTGAATAACAAATAGCAAAAGCCAAGAAGGACTTCTGTTTTTATTAATGCAATCATACAAAATCCTGAACCATCTTAATTTTATATGTTTTATTTAATTTTTTATGTTTGAATTCATTGATTTGTTGTATTTGCTCAAGATATTTTGCTCTTAATGTTATCAGAAATGTTATTTAAGTTTTTTTGCTATATACTTTTTTTATTGTATGTATGTTTTATTGTATGTCTTATATGATCCCAGTATAAATAAGACCTTGATCACAGTGAGAAAACCCACTCTGTTGTAAATAAATAAATGAATGAATGAATGAATACATGAGATTTGGCCACGTTTCAAAAGACTTTGAGGTGATGATTTCAGTCTGTTCTTTATACAGAAAGTGTTGCTTTCTGTCCATTTGTGTACATATGTGATGTCATTTGATTTTGGATGTTTCAGTCAAATCTTCTGGTGCATGTGCTGCATCTATTTGACTGACTGATCTAACATTTTTTGTGGCCCCAGTTTTGTCTGTATTACAGATTTTATCAGAAGTGAAAATGTGTTTCCTTTATTACCTTTTTATTTTTATGTTTAGTATATTAATTAAATCTTAAATACAACTGCAAATTAAAACAAAACCTTCTTTCGGGTTTTGAGATTTGATCAGGAGTGTTTTTTTGTTTTGATAAATCACTACTATGTTTTGATAAATCACTACTATTTTCTACTACTAATATCAGCCATTATATGGGCCTCTGTGTGCTTTGTGTATTGTGCACAGGAAAGGAAGAAAAGAGGTGAAAGCAACAGCGAGCTTTTTCTGGCCGACGTCTACGCTTACCAGGGCAAGTTCCACGAGGCCGCCAAACTCTACAAGAGAAGTGGCCATGACAACAGAGCACTCACCATGTACACCGACCTGCGCATGTTTGAGTACGCCAAGGTGCGTGCACTTGTAAACAGTCTGTCTAAATGTGTCTTGATCGTTGTGTGGCAGTGTAGCTGTCACATGACCCCTCTGTCGCATGTGTGTTTGTGTGTTTTTGTGAGACTGGGTGTGCTTGAGGTCCATGTGTGTGTTCCTGCTGCTGTACATTTGTTTTCCTTTCTTGCAGTGTGTGTGTGTGTTTCTGTGATCTGACAGCTGTATATTTTTGTCTAAGGGTGTGTGTGTGTGTGTGTGTGTGTGTGTGTGTGTGTGTGTGTGTGTGGGCCCCTGAGTGTCTGACATTGTGGTTTAGTGTGAGAGGTAACAGAGCACTGCCACTGCTGCACCTACCCTCTCCTCAACTGCCCTACTGACTGAGCACTAGATATGATCAGCGTAATTAAGACCACTTCAAGTCTGTTGGGTCTTGTTAAGTTGGCTTGAAAAAGCCAAATTACTGTTCTTCATTTTCTTTTTGCTATTATTCAACAGTCGAAAATTTGCAGCGGTACACCTCCTCATGGGATAGCATAGCAAATGCCTAGTAACACCTTAGCAACCACCTGGGATGGCGTAACAAATGCCTTGTAACACCTTAGGAACCACCTGGGATAGCATAGCAAATGCTTAGCAACACCTTAGCAACCACCTGGGATGGCATAGCAAATGCCTAGCAATGTCCTAGCAACCACCTGGGCTAGGATAGCATAGTAAATGCCTAGCAACCACCTGGGATAGCATAGCAAATGCCTAGAAACACCTTAGCAACCACCTGCGATAGCAGAGCAAATGGCTAGCAACACCTTAGCAACCACCTGCGACAGCATAGCAAATGGCTAGTAACACCTTAGAAACCACCTGGGTTAGCATAGCAAATGGCTCATAACACCTAAGCAACCACCTGAGATAGCATAGCAAATGGCTAAGAACACCTTAGGAACCACCTGGGATAGCATAGCAAATGCCTAGCAATTAGCAACCACCTGAGATAACATAGCAAATAGCTAGCAACACCATAGCAACCACCTGGGATAGCATAGCAAATGGCTAGAAACACCTTAGCAACCACCTGGGATAGCATAGCAAATGACAAGTAACACCTTAGCAACCACCTGGGGTAGGATAGCAAATGCCTAGCAACACCATAGCAACCACCTTGGATAGCATAGCGAATGCTTAGCAACACCTTAGTAACCACCTGAGATAGCATAGCATATGGCTACTAACAATTAGTGTGACACTAGCAAGCTGTAAATAAAAACCAAGAAAGATTAGATGATGAAGAACGGATTCTAAGATGTCAGAGAAAGATGTATAGGATCAGGAATAAAGTTATACGTACGTATTGTATACACGAAGCTTCCTGGTTTTTTAGGTACACCTATCTTGTATCACTGGCCATTTCTACAGAAACACCAAAGCTCATCTTTGGCTGAAGCACAGTGTGTGTTAGGCATCCTCTAGTCCTTCATGAGTGGTCACTTTCTGACCGCAGGACCACAAAGGGAATTCTTGAAGTTTTTCTTTCTTGATTTGTATAGAAGTGTTTGACTCTTCCTTGCTTTTGTTTAATGGAAGTTAAAGAACGTGTGTCTGTGTGTTTCCAGGACTTCCTGGCCTCAGCAGATCCGAAAGACACAAAGCTGCTGATGAAGAAGCAGGCGGACTGGGCCAAGAACAGTAAGGAGCCTCGTGCTGCAGCTGACATGTACCTGACTGCGGGAGAGAACATGAAGGCCATCGAGATCATCGGAGAGCACGGCTGGGTGGACATGTAAGCCATACACCACCAACCAATAAAGAGTACACTTCAGATCCAAAATGTTTTGCTGTATAGGCGTTTTTCCTCTGAACGTCCCTGAATCCTCTGAATTATAAGGAAGTTTAGGAGCTGTCTACATCTATGAAATATTGCTATTGCTACGTGCAAGCTAACACTGCTGCACACTGAGGATAAGACTGGCAACCTCACCAAAATATCCTGCACAACCTAGCAAGCTTTGTCAAATGTGATAATTTAGAGGCCTTGGCAGTTTGAATAGCTGGTGTTGGTCTACTTTCATGAAACATCATTCAGTCTGCAGGAGCGTTAGCTTGCTTGTAGCATGTAAGTAGCATTATGCATATTTTAATGTTAAACAGCCTCATATTTCATATGATGCAGTGACACTTGTGGGGGAAGGGTGAGTGGGGGGTACACACAGGACAAAATGAATCAGCTTTTGGCCGTTTAAGTTTTCGTCACAGCTGTGATTTCCCAAAATTCCGTTCATTTCTGTCACAAAGAAAACCAGCTTAGACCCCGGGTTCCTGATATGGGCATAACGTCGACTACAGAATGATGCACGACTTCAAGGGTCTATTGAAGTCTGTTCCACACCAGTTATCATTGTGCAAACTGCATGCTTAAATCACACACTTCATTACAGTAGAGATTGATCCCTGGTGATGCTACAGCCATCCGTGGCTGGGAGTCCAAGAGAGCACAATTGGCCTCGCTCTCTGGGTGGCCCCCCCTCTTCCCTATCACTCAGTGCGATGCTAGTCAGCGCAGGCGTCTGTTAGCTGACGTAACAGAACTGGCAGTTGGCGCTTTCCTCCGAGTATGTTCAGCTGTCCAATGACGTTGCGTTAGCGGCAGTTTGATAAGATGTGGTGGTGCTTCACAGGTCTCGGAAGAAGCCTGTGCTAGTCTTTGCCCTCTTAGCGCTGACGGCATCGTGTGATTGGGGGAGTCCTAACTAGTGGGTGGAACTGGATACGACTAAATTGTAGAGAAAGTTGGGCAAAAGTCTTTGCTTTGAGAATCATGGGGTGTCATGTAGCAGCTCAGTTGAGTAAGTCACCAAAGAGCTTGAATGTATCACACTATAAACTAAAATATGCTAATATGAGGACAGGGACATGGCTTCAGATACATATAGCTACAGAAGGTTCCTATTTATAGATAGATCATTTAATGTTTGAGATGTTTAGCTAAAATAGATGGTGATGTATAAAATCACAACAATGTCAAATTTATGTTCAATACACCTGTGTAGTAAACTGCCAGATGTGGTGTAGAGCTGTGTTAGTAGCAGGTGGCAGCAAGTTGTCATGCTACAGCCTCCGACACCATAGTACATGTTCAGTTGCAGGTTACTGATGCTTCATTGATGCAGATTGAAGGGATAAAAGTCTCAAATCTGAAGGAGAGAACAAGGAGGTGTTACCAGTTTGCATAATCATGCATATTCATAATTCTTTGCATTCTTAATGAGTGATAAGGATTAGAGATGCTCTGGTGCCATTTTAGTGATTTCCTGGGCATGACAATAATGCATAAAATATTTATTAGCTTATAATTCAGCATAGACAATTTTTATAGTTGAAATTATGCTAAAAACATTTGAATATAAATAACATCAGAAATAATATCAGAATCTGTATTGGTATGAAAGCACTTCCAGTACCAGTATTGAGACTGTGAGTGTCAGTCAATACCGATACAGATTCTGATTCTCACCCCTCCTCTTTCATTCCTCATTGCGCACTAGCAGCTCAACACAGTCTCAGCATTTTACACACAGAGCCAACAGTGTCCTATTTGATGTGATAACAGAGTTGCAGGGAAAAATATTTTATTTGATTATCTTAATTAAACATACCTGATTTAAATTAAATTAGTCCAGAAGTTCTTCCAGTTTCCTTTCCCATGGTGATTATCACCTTTGAAGAATGGTCAATATTATTACAATAACTCAAAAGCATAAATAAAACGGTGAAGTATATATACAAGAAACCTTTCGGTTTTCAGCCAAATGTGTCCTGAATTTCCGTTCTATGCTTCGTTTCGAATTTTAATTTCGGCGTATCACTCATTTGGATAGCATATCTCTCTCTATTTCCTTTCGTCATTGCTTCCTTTTTTCTTCTTTTGAGTTTTCTTTTGTCCTGTTTTAGCCTCTCCTCTGCTCTCTTGCGGAAGCAGTGCGGAATACTAAAGACTGCACCCTCACATGAAACTGATAATAACAACGTAGAGGACAACATATAATTAAACCACCGGCAAGAAAAGAGGAAAACAATAAAATGGAACTAATTTCATGGATCATTGGCCATACATATCGTGGAAAACAGACATAATGAACCTCCATTGTTTGAACGGCTTCACTATTATAGTTTCTATCTGTGTATCAGATAAGCGAAATTCATCTTGAATCAAAAATAACTCTCTCTTTCTTTCTCTTTTTCTCTCTCTCTCTCTCTCCCTCTCTGCAGGTTGATAGATTTGGCACGTAAGCTTGATAAAGCGGAGCGCGAGCCGCTGGCCAGGTGTGCTGAATTCTTCAAGAAGTTGGATCACCATGGTTACGCGGCCGAGACCTACTCCAAAATGGGTGACCTGAAAGCTTTAGTGCAGCTGCATGTAGAGGCCAGGCACTGGGATGAGGTATGTGTGGGATGACAGTTAGACTAATTAATGAATGGCGTATTACCAGCTGCCAAATGTGTTTTCTAGCAACGTTAAGATTCAACAGATTTACATACAGATATAAATGAAAATACAACCCGTTAATTGATTTATTATTGGCTGATATAACTACAAAGTAAGGCTGTTGGGATTGTGGTTATTTCAAGGGAGTCGTCCTGTTTTTTTTATTGTTTTTTATTATTATTATTACTATTGTTATTGTTTTTTTTAATCATGCTAAAATAGTTAATTGTTTGGACAGTGTTGGTAAGAGGCACTATTATGGGGCTGCATTGGTCTATAATACAGTAATTATAAGGATGGGTTGCCCGAACGTTTTGTTTTGCAGTGCCGAAGTTCAGTGTTTGTTGGGGACCGTAAACTAATTGAGTTTGTAATAACGTTACAGTACATTCAGTTACTAAAACACTTAAAAAATATAAATTTCAAAGGAAAATGCGAAGTTTATACTCTTATTGGGTGAGGAGTGGGCCAAAATGTGCCAAATTAGACATCATCTCAGACCAACTTATTATGTTATTTATATTATATTTATTTTTGATATACGATATTATTTTTCTGAGAGTTTTAGCTGTTTTTAGGGAAACACCGAAATTTCAGCCACTGAAACATTTCACCCAAAAACCGAGAGTGCCACTTTTGACCATTTTCCACCAAAATGTTTTAGTGGACAATATATTGGTGTATGCCTAAAAATTATATTCATAAGAGAGAAAAGACGAGGCCTAAAATTTTGCCTGAAAAAAAACAAAGGATTAAGTATAGTGGAGTGTCAAATTCGAAGCAATTTTAATGGTAATGAAAGCACAACATCCCACTCAATACATGGTAGTGAAGATCCCTGCTAACACTAACACCTTCTGCACCCTCAATAGTTGAAATGACAGTGCAGAATTGGAAAATATAACTAAAAATGAATGGAATTCATTGCCTTGGATGACCAGCTGTTCTCTGTTGATGATGTTGGATTTTGTAGCACTCTAATAATTTTAGTAAGTTGATTTTATGGAAACTGTTTTTATTTACTGTCAGCTGAAATGTGCAGGGCAGTGGTTCTCCAGAACCAGGACTGAAAACCATCGCTGTAATCTACAGGTTCTTCTCAATGTCTGACAGAAGTGAACATGTGTCTTGAATAACTGGCGTATAGTTCATAACTTGTTTTACAAAACATGGTCATTGACAATCAGTGAATAACATAAGTATAATATAAGTTACTTAAACAAGCCTAAAACCTGGCAAAAAGTTTACAAGTCTGCAATCAACACTCTTATCACACTGTTCTTTCCATTCACCCACAGGCTTTCTCTCTGGTGGAGAAGCATCCTCAGTACAAAGATGATGTTTATGTGCCATATGCACAGTGGCTGGCCGAAAACGACCGCTTTGAGGAGGCCCAGAAAGGTGAGTCAGCTACACACACAATACAGGAGTTTGCTGGAGACAGCAGTGTTCAGCATATTGTAATCTTTTCAGCTAGTGCTGTGGAGTATAATTTCACATGCACATTACAATCATAAAAACTGTGTGTGGGAGCATCTAACTCTGTTCGGCTGTATTGTTGGAAAGAGAGGAACACGAATTGTTCGGAGCTGCACTGATTGTGGCGCTGGCCGTAATCCACTATTGTGTTTCTTGCTGATTATAATTGGCAGCGGAAGAAGCCTAGTATGCCTGCTTGCAGATGAGGCATAGATGCCTCGAGACTCCCCAAACACACGCACGCCACCCTGGTAAACCCAAGAATTCATCACCATTTTGTCTGTGTGAGTGAGCGTGTGTGAATCTCTGACCTCACAATCATTAGATTAAATTACAAGTGTTTACAAATCTCAAACTGCATCACAGTCCAGTTTGATTATTTTGCTTCAGAATTATTATTTTTAAACATACATAAATGCCCATGTGTGACTACTATTTGCCCAGTAATGAAACATTGGTGAAAGGGCTGCAACAATTAGTCAACAAAGTCGACTAATCAAATAACAGTTAAAAGATTAATCAATTCTAAAAAACATTGTTAGTTAAAGCCTTAGTAGACAATAAGAACAACACACCAAGCATAATAGTTCATTTAGCCCTAATACATAATAAAAGCAGTTCATCAAGCATTATGGGTTGATTAGTTAATATAATAATAATTGTTAATTATGGCCCTAATACACAATAAAGACAATACACCAAACATTAGTTGATACATAATAATCAATAGAATAATATCATAAGAAGGATTGTTAGTTACTGACCAAATAGACAGCAAAAACAATACACCAAGCATAATAGTTTCGTATAGTTGATTAATGAAGTAATACATGAAGAATCATGGTTCGATTAGCTGATTAAATACGTATAGGTTGATAGATTAATAAATTATGGAAGTGATCATTAGTTGCAGCCCTAAGAGACAATGAAAACAGTGTACCAAGCTTAATAGTTTTAATAGTTTAAATAAATAAAAGTTGATTAATCGATTATATAAATGATTGTTAATTGCAGCCCTAATTGACAGGCAATAAAAGCAGTGCACTAAGCATGATAGATTGACTATTAAGTAATTGATTAACTGTTGATTAAGTAGATTAATTAGTTAGATAATGATCATTAGTTGCAGCCCTAACAGACAACAAAAGCAATACACCAGGCATAATAGTTTGTTTAGTTTAGAATTTAAATAGTAGTTAATAGAACAGTGTGTTATAGAATTGTTCGTTAGTTGCAGGTTTGTTTAAACAAATATGTGTGATATTTAAACAAATAGGAAATTCAGAGCAAAAGCTTTACAAACCACTGCCCAGCCACTGCTGATCATAAACAATCCAAACAACAGATATATGTTCAGGTTTTAATTTGATTTTGCAGACAATCCAGACAATCCAGAGCTCATTTGTGAATGATCTGTACAGTAATTAGATAGTAATCACATAAATACAGATACACATAAAAGGTAGTGCAGGTAGCTAAAAAGCTGCTCATCTGTACCACCTAGACAATCTGCTATATCTCAGTGTGTTTGCTTGTTAACTTACCTGCCAGATATTCTTTTTGCTTACACTATATGGCCAAAAGTGTGTGGACACCACTCCTTATTACTGAGGTCTGGTGTTTTAGCCACTCCCATTGCTAACAGGTGTTTAAAATCTAGCACTTAGCCATGCAATCTCCATAGACACACATTGGCAGTAGAACGGGTCGTACTGGTCTCAGTGACTTTAAACACAAACTTTAGACTTAAGACCATGCAAACTCACAGACCAGGGCCAACAAGTACTCAAGCATAATTAGTGCCTATCCTCTGTTGCATCAATTACTACAGACTTCCAAACTGCCTCTAGAAGCAATATCAGCACAAGAACTGTGTGTCAGGAGCTTCATGAAATTCTTTGTCCAAGCAGCTGCACATAAGAAAGATCACTACCTGCAATAGCAAGTGACACTGCAACCGGACTCTGGAGTGTGGAAACATGTTCTCTAAGTTGACAAACTGCGCTTCACTCTCTGGCAGTCTGATGGATGAATCTAGGTTTGGCGGATTCTATCAGAATGCGTAGTGCCAACAGTAAAGTTTGGTGGAGGATGGATAATGGGCTGTTTTTCTGGGTGTTTCAGGGGAATCGCCTTTGTTGCAGTAAATATTACTGAAGTAATTTGACTGATCCAGTGTTTGCCTGAGAAGTATTGGTGGGAGTCTTTAGTGATAGTTGTAATACATTAGAATATTTCGTAAAGAATCACATTTTAGTGTACTGCATTGTGATGTGGGTCCTTAACCACACAGAGTGCACACTGTGGACCACCATACGTGTTTTATCGTGGTTTTTGCTCTAAACTTGCAGCTGAGTTGCACACCAGCTCGCTTCAAACCCCGTCTGATAAATGTGCCACTCGAAGCACCTCAGCCCAAAACGGCCACGGCTAATGGAGGCCCTGCCCCAAAAATGGCTTCCTGCCCAGGGTCATTGCGGGGGTTGCTTCGCTGTAAAGCTGTGTTTGATTAGGTTTGAGGGCCTGGTGCTCAATCCTGCTCTGGTTTCTAAGTGCGACTGTGTTTGACATTCACTAATAGCTCTCTCATTCTCTCTCCCTCTCTCGCCCTCTCTCTATCAGTCTGAACTGAGTTACATCAGGAGATTAGGCTCTGAGAGAGGAGGTTGGGAAGACTTGTGTACATTAAGAACAAATTGCCTTTGGCATGTGGGTGAGGTAGAGAGTTCTGGCCCAGTTCCCTGCGTGAGGCTGCAACAGCTGGCAGCTGGAGGAGAAAAGCGGAAACAAGGGATTTTCCTCTCTCATGGCCAAACTCGACGAAAGGTTCTGGCCCAACATCATTTTAACGCCAAACATTTGGCTAAATCAAAGTCTGCAGTGAATTAATGAAAGATATTATATGCAAGGGCCTCACTGATGACAGAGCTGAACTCAGGCTCCAATATTGATGATCGTTTGATTCAGAGTCTTGAGCGTGTTTTCAGTCCATTGGGACCAATTGCTCAGATCAAAGTTTTAACTTTTAATAGTTTAGATGTCAGAATTTCTGTCAGTCTTAGGATTACACCAGATTTGAATAATAAGCCCACTATTGCTATGAGAAACGGAGAGGTGACAGAGCGAGTGAGGCAGCATTTCCCCTGAGTACAAACCTAATTCTGAAAAAGTTGGGACATATACATAAAATACATATATAGAAAGCAGTGATTTATAGATCTACTTTGACCTGTATTTGAACAAAAACAGTACAAAGGCATGTAACAAAATACAAAGATATGTAATGCTTTAACTTATCAACTTTGTTTTTTTTGTAAATATACATTCATTCTGAAATTGATGCCTGCAACACATTCAAAAAAGTTGGGACAAGAGCGCTTTAAGATTAGGAACATTGTAAAATGTTCTAAAACTTCTTAAACGGGCGATATGGTTGGACATTAAAGAAGCATCCAGGAAAGGCCGAGTCTGTCGTGAGCAAGAATGGGTTGAGGCTCGCCACTTTGCCAAAAATGCTTCAGCAAAAAATTCAGCAGTTTAAAAATAAGGTTCCTCAGCCATAAATTGCAAAGATTTCACCCTCCACAGTGCATATCATGAAAAGATTCAGGGAACCCAGAGAAAGACAGAAAACTAAAGTGAATGCCTGTGAGTTTTGACTCCTAAAAAGCACTGCATTAAAAACTGACAGGTCAACCTTTTTGATTTTTTATGGGAATAATGGATGTCATAATCTCTGGGCCAAAGAAGAAGGAAAATCAATCCAGATTGTTACCAGTGTAAAGTTGAAAAGCCAGGATCTCATATCATGAGGGGGTTTTAGTGGGAAACCTGCACTTCTGTGAAAGCTCTATTAGCACTCAACACATTTTGGAGCAGCATAGGCTGCCTACTACAAGGTGTCTTTTTCAGGGACAGCTATGTTTCTTTCAACATGACAACACCAAGCCACATTCTGCAAGTGTTACAACAGCATGGCTGTGTAATCAGAGAGTGTAGGTGCCAGACTGGCCTGCCTGCAGTCCAGGACTGTCTCACATAGAAAACATTTAAGTTTAAGATATTACAATAAAGGCCCTGTACGGTTGAAGACTTGCATAACAGAAAAATGGCAAAAAAATTATGCTTTTAAACTTAAATCAGTTTGTGTCTTCAGTACCCAAATTTTATTACATTTATTTACAAAGAAAAATTATTTAACACTGTAGAAAAAATGCTCCCGTCACAACTTTTTTGGAATGTGCTGCAGGCATCAAATTTGGTAAAGTTCATAAGACAAAACCGAATATTGTTTGTTTTTTCTGGTTTTCAATTTAATACTGGTCAAACTGAATTTACTAATCACTGTTTTCTGTTTTCATTAGCATTTCACATACTCTTTCAACTTTTTGGAATTTGGCTTGTACATGACCCACCACACTAAATGATTTTTAAAATTGTTTTCCTTTTCGTTAAAGTGGACTAATTCCACAGATTTTCCTAAATAAGTGGTTAAGGTGTAAACAGCATAAAAATGTTATTCAGAGTGATTTGATGTGAAATGCTTAGGTCTAGAGACACTCACTGAATAATAATTGTTCACAGCGGTGGTGATAGGAACCAGACGTCTAAAGTGTTTAATGCATCTTAAAGCTACATCACAAAGTTTTACATAAAATGCTTACACTGTTAGAAATAAAGGTTCTGTGCAGGTACATTTTTAATTCATTATGGTACTAACAATGCAAATGTACCCTCAGATGTACAAAAATGGTTTTAAGGTCCAATTGTGAAGTTTTTCCAGGTGAAAAGTATTTGTATCTTTTCATAATCTAATATTTAAAACAGAACAATAAAATGAAAAGCCTAAAGAAGAGACGGGGTGTGTGGAGTCAATACAGCTTAGAAAATATAATTTCAGTGGCTTATGGTACAATTATGTTCCCTGACTAAAGGTACTGAAATGTACCCTTGAGGGAGCCACCCAGGTGACAAAAGGGGTACTGCCCCAGTGACAGTTTCGTACCTTTTTTTCTGAGAGTGTAGGAGTGCGCTGCCTGAAGCTTGAAGTTAGGTTTCTACTTTGAACTCTACTTGTTTCATATCTTCAGACTGTCTCTGGTATTCCCTGGAGGAGAGGTGTTAAAAACGTAATGTCTGAGATACAAAAGTTGAGTAACTGGTGTTGGAGTGACAGAAAGCTAGAAGATATCTTTAGAACATATCTGAGAGCACAAAGTCAAGTGACTGGTGTTAGAGTGAAAGCTGAAACTGAATGTGTTGTGTATCCCTGATGAAGAAAAAAAAAACAACACAGACTAGCAAGCATTTCATGATGGTCTAACCTGGTCTATGCTGGTTTATGCCAGTCTAGTGCTGGTCTGGTTCTGCTTTAGCTGGTCACCCCTGCATAATTATGCTGGTTGACCAGCATACCAGCATCAAAACGGTCTGTGTATACTAAGTCATTGAAAATAAATTTTAAGTAGCCATCGGCTGTACTTGATGTCTTGCTCATACTGTCCTAGAAGCACTACAGGTTCATCATGGACTCTACCTATATCTCCCTTTCTGTAATAAATTACATTCTTTGGATCCCAAAGGAATCTGTAAAATGAGGAGGCGTCAGGAGAGGAGAAAATGAATCTAGCTACATAGATCACGATAACAGCAGGTCAACAAAACAGAACGACAAACAGCTGTTGCATGAAATTTCACCATGTAAAGCCACCATGAGACTTATTCTTCAGCGCCTACTATACATTATTTGATTACTGCTGTAAAAGTAACATGTAAGTTATGTAGTTTTCAGAGTGAGGAAATGAAGTTGGGCCATAGTGCTTAAGCGGTTATTGATTGTCAGATTTGTAACTAGTAGTTAAGTGTCCAAGTCTGTAGAACCGTCTTGGACCTTTTGGAACCTAAATTATTTTTTGTATGTTTTCAGCTGCAATGGCTTGAACCTTTACGTTGCTGTTTACATTACCTTGGTATTACAAATTAATGAAGCTTTGCCACTGTTGACTTTGGGTTGTCAGTAGTAACAAATTGCTCAGTTGGCCTTTTTCCCCCCTAATTAGTCACATGGATAGAGCTGGACCCTCAACACAAGAAATGGCACCAGTTGATCTATAGGGGTCACAGTAATAAGTTCTCTAATTAAAATGGCTAAGGTCACCACCCTGTGGTCTCGTAGAGCTAAAAACAGTTACAGTCATTTTTAATTGATTTTCTATGTTTTACTATACAGGCAACCTTATATTAAATGTCATGGTTCATATTTCATATTGTTTCTCACTGATTTGAGTTGGTTGAACGGTGTTATGTTACCGACATCTGTAGGTAGAGAGAATAAATGGTAACACTTTATTTGGAGTGGTCCTTCGTAGACAATCAAAAAACTCTTTTATCAGTAACACATCAACAACATATCAGTGAAGTAGCAGTAGTGAAGCATATAAGTACATTGGAGTAAATATCTTGTAGATGTTCATACATTGCTTACATTAAGTAGATGTATTGTTAATATGTTACTTCCATTACGCAAAACCTAACCTTACCAACCTTACCCAAAACCTAACCCTCACCCTGGCCCTAATCCTAACTCTAACCTTAACCTCAACCCAAAACCTAATCCTAACCCTCACCCTGGCCCTAATCCTAACCCTAACCTTAACCCCAACCCAAAACCTAACCCTCACCCTGGCCCTAATCCTAACCCTAACCTCAACCTCAACCCAAAACCTAATCCTAACCGTTGACATGTTACTGAGAGTCCGTTGAGTGTTTGTTTAATCTAAAAGGACCACTCGAAATAAAGTGTCACCGAATAAATTAATAGGGTCTTAGAACATCAGTCAGAGACTCTGTTGTTAATGAAACTAGCACAGTGTGTTGCATCTCTGTGAGCCAATAACACACAGCCTGCAACTGTCCATTCTTTTCCCTCAGTGAACTGCTTGGATCCTTTGGCAGTCTGTTTTGTTTCATAGTGAACCACCAGCCAGCCATTCTATTATGAATAAGCAGATGCGATATTTTGGAATGCTTCTGCACTGCTTAATTTTTATTTGGATAAACAGCTCGATTTTATTGTTGGTGCATCTTACAATAGACATTGTCGTGTTACAGTAGACATGTAAAGAAATCTGGGTCTGGTGGCAATAAAAACATAAGAAAAACCAAGACTCAAAAGAAGATTCCATTCTCTTCTGATTAGCAGCAGATAGTGGAATAATAAAGATGAACCACTTTGTTATAGAGCCCTGCTTAGCTAGTAACATGTTAGGAATCGAGTAATCTACCAATTTTTTGACAATTAATTGTGTATTCAGTATTTTAAAAAGGCCAAAAAACAAAAAAACTGACTTATGTAAGCAATAACAAACTATAGCCTAATATTCATAGCCCTTCAAAGATTCATAACTGCTTTATTGTAAAAAGATAAACTAGGTTGCCTTTGAAATGACTTCTGAAAACCTTCACTGAAGGGCTGCATTCATAAGCCTACATGAAACCTATATGGCTTTAATAAAACCTTATTCCCACAAGCAGTTGTCATAAAGCCTGCTTTTGTCCGTTTTGATGTCATTTCACCTCAGTGAGTGTTATTACAATTGATGATTGGAAAAGGTTTTATAAATGTCTGTATACGTTTATGTCAGTTGTCAAGGCTTATGTAGGTGTCTTATAGTCCTAGGAGTGCTGCCCTTCAGCAAAATGTTACTAAGACTTCATTATAAAAAAAGAATGGCTGACATTTTATATTTTTGAATCGAATGATCAAGATTAATTCAGTAGTTGTAATAGTCCTTGTGACTAGCCAAGACACTACTTCCACCATGCGTTACAGATGACATAATATATTTTCAATTGTTTGTGTTTTTTTTCCTTTTTCATCCTTTCTGTCACCTTGGGAGAGGTTTATCGTTATTATAATGTTTCCATAAAATGACTGCAAGCTTCCTGTGATCTCACATCCTGTCTCTATCTGTGTCTCGCAGCTTTCCACAAGGCTGGGCGGCAGGCAGAGGCTGTTAAGGTTCTGGAGCAGCTCACCCACAACGCCGTTGTGGAGAGCAGATTCAATGATGCCTCATACTACTACTGGATGCTCTCCATGCAGTGTCTGGACATAGCACGAGGTGTGTGTGTGTGCCTGTTGCATCACATCATTCACATTGAGTGGTTGTATTTGTACACTGTGTATTAACTTTTCTAAGTATTGTTCTTTTTTTTACTACTTTTCAAGTAGATAAGAAAAAAAATGCAAAAGGTTTTGTTAAAGTCCCAGAGAACACGTGTAAAAACTCCCTGGATGTGGCCTAGTATTCTAATAAGCATGATTGACTGACATCCCTTTGACCAACACTCAAACAGACAGGCAGGTGAGGTAGTGTGCGGGCTTGGTTTTGCTGGCTGGGTCAGCTTTTGCTCTCTTGTTAGCTTTTGTTCACTGAGTTGCTCAGACTGACAAAGAGGAGCAACTCGAGGACTGTGTAATTTTGCGTTAATAATCAGCCTTGTGATTAGTGACGGTAATGTTTACACAGTCTTTATCCAAAATTTGAGCTGCCTATTTTACACCAAAAGGGGAAATTTGGTGAAATATACTGGTCATTTGTTAAAGATTGGAATGTTATTTTTAGGATGTGCTTTGCAAATGTATCATTTGTGAACACAAGAACAAGATTAACCAAATTAGAAAGAAAACACAGATTTAGGTTCCCTGAGGCTTTAACATAAAGCAGTTGTTTACACGTTTATCAGAGTGTTTTCTTTGCTACAACGATTTGACTGTTTTCTCTTCTGAGGTATACTAACAATAAATCTCGTAATAAATACATGGGGTATACCGTTTATCCCAATGCAGTGCCTGTGTAGTCAGTTCTGCAACATCTAAACAGGTTTCTACACTCCTCGTAAAGGTACGAAACTGTCACTGGGGCAGTACCCCTCTTGTCACTGGGGTGGTACCCTCAAGGGTACATCTCAGTACTTTTAGTCAGGGAACATAACTGAACCATAATCCATTGAAATTATATTTTCTAAGTTGTGTTGACTCCACACACCCCGTCTCGTCTCCAGGCTTTTTATTTTATTGTTCTGTTTTAAAACATTAGTTTATGAAAAGATACAAATACACACTTTTCCACTGGAAAAAGTTATTTAAGGTTCACAATTGGACCTTAAAACCACTGTTGTACCTTTGAGGGAACATTTACATTGTTAGTACCTTAATGAACAATAAATGTACCTGCACAGCACCTTTATTTCTAACAGTGTACAGTGCTCAAAAGTAGTGTTGTGACACCTCTATTGTCATTTGTTTTTTTAGATGTATTTGCTTTGTTGAAGTATTATGGAAGGTGTACTTCACTAGATTCAAAACTACATCATTTTACACTGTTACTTATCAGTTAGCACTTTGGGTCCATCTGCACAGTAGCAAACTCAAAAACTTTCTCCTAGACCCCCATTTTACAAAAAAAAAGTATTGGGACATTATTTGAAATGCAAACACATGTCTATTTCAAAGCCGCAATCTCCAGCGCCAAAACACCTCCGAATTCCATTAACATTCTGAAAGATATTGCTTTTGAAAATGTAGCGTAGGTTTGCCTTTCTGATTGTTTGGATTCCAGCTTGTGCAGAGCAATTTCTATAAAAGTCTCATTCAACTTTATTATTTGGTTTGCATGCATATGTTTTGGTGCTTTTCTTTATAGATAATGAGGAGAAGAAGGAGGAGATGTTGAAGAAGTTTCACAGTTTTCAGCACTTAGCTGAACTGTACCACGTCTACCACTCCATCCATCGCTACATGGTAAGCCCTCCTTTCTTATAAGTAATCATCGTTTGTGTATTGCAAATGTCTCTAACATCTTTATGTGATAGTGTTGCAGCATGAAAGCAATACAACTGTTGTTCATATTCCAAGTCTTCATCAAGGCTGTCTCCAAAACACATTTGTTTCTGTTTCTTCAATGTTCAGTCACAACTCTGGTTTTAAACATGACAAACCCAAGACAAACACATAAACTAGCCACTAGTTGTGTTTATACTGTGTAAAAAAGCCAATAAAAAGACTCATTTGCAGATATCCAACATCTCCCTGCTCAAACACTGGGAAAGAGGAAAAGGTTTTATTTAGTAAATGCAATGTTGAGTTTGATGGAAATGTTTATAGTCTAGTGCAGGTTTGATATTTCCTCACGATGGCACCAGCATAGCTATTGAACTTCTACTTTGGGAACTTCTTTAGGTTTTTTCTTCACTCCTTTGTTCCAAGTCATTATTTGTTGTTTTTAAGCTGGTATTCAGGCAGTGCTCGTAAAGTGGAGTATAAACAGACTGACCATGTTTCCTCCATTCAGGCCGGAGCAGGAGACTGTTCGGCTCTCTCCTGTTTATCACAGCCGTCACTTCAAAGCATCATCACCTGATGTAATCAAAGCAGCTAGCCAAGCAATTGAGAGAGACAGAAAAAAATGCATATTGAAGCTGAAAACATTGGTACGGGGTCACTAATTGAGGCATCATCTTTTAGTTATACATTTTAGGCATAAGCTATCAGTGCACAACAATGCAGAACAATGTTTTTTTGGCCAGAATGTTACAGTGGTTGGAGTTTGTACAGTCTGGTGTGCGCTGCTTCCCCCTGACTGTGATTGGTCCCAATTATTGGGTCATCTGTTCTGAGCCCTCCCCCTGACTGTGATTGGTCCTAATCACTTGGTCATTTGTTTTGAGACCTCCCTCTGATTGTGATTGGTCCTAATCACTCGGTTGTCTTTTCTGTGACCTCCCCCAATTGTGATTGATCATAATCACCATATCATTTGTTCTGAGAACTCCTAACTGTAATTCCTTCTAATCACTGTGTTATTTGTTTTGAGACCTCCCCCCGAGTGTGATTTGTCCTCATCACCATGTCATTTATGACGCTTTTGACAGCATGCTCAGTGGTAGTTTAATTTCGTTTAGCACTTTCGTCGTTTGAAGTATTCTGCCAACTTGATCTAGATCTGGGAAACCGGCCCCATGTGTATATTGTTCTTGTGAAATTATACTCGTATGTTGTATAAGGGTGTAAATCTCTGACCTCACAATGATTTTATTGCTATTTCATGAAATATTCAATTAAATTCAATTAAATTATATTGGCAGGGTTTTAAATGATCAAAAAATACACAGAATAGACAATAAATATTACAGCATGCTTCATTTTTATGTTACCCAATGATATAAATAGGGGATTTAATGATGCCCTATAATTTGCTAAATGAACATGGGGAGAAAAACGTTGGATGGAAAGCCTTGTGAAGTGTATTAAGGTATTACAGGTTTTGTAGTGTAAGCAATAACTAACTGTCAGGTATTTTTGCAATGACATTGGATTTGGTATAATTTCACTGAAAAACTGATTGGGTTTCCACACCACACACGAAGGATGAAGCCAGTAAATCCCACCTCATTATGTCTTGGAAATGATTTCATTCACTAGAAGAAAATGACTCACTCATAAATGTGTTTTGTTTCACAACATTTTGTCTCTGTATGTACAGTAAGCATCTCTGTTTGTGCAGTGATGTCATTTTCTGGAAATCAAGATTTGTGTATCTGTTAAAATGGAAATATGTTGATTATTGGAAAATAGTTGATCCATTCAGACAATAATGAAGGTCTAACAGTACATCTCTATTTATTTGCTGAGTTTAACATATTGGAAAAAATAATAAGCATACAGTAAAAATAAAACATACATACATCATCTAAACTGCTTATCCCTCTGGGTCACGGTGGGGTGCTAGAGCCTATCCCAGCTGTCATTGGGCAGAAGGCAGGATACACCCTGGACAGGTCGCCAGTCCATCGCAGGGCAGACAGACATACATACATACATACATACATACACAGTCACACCTAGGGGCAGTTCAGCATGTCCCATCGGCCTGACTGCATGTTTTTGGACTGTGGGAGGAAACCGGAGTACCCGGAGGAAACCCACACAGACACGTGGAGAACATGCAAACTCCACACAGAGACGACCCTGGTCGCCCTGTCCGGGAATCGAACCCAGGCCATTCTCGCTGGGAGGCGACAGCGCTACCCACTGCACCACCGTGCCGCCCTAAAAACAAAAAATAAAACATAATGTATAAAATGTGCAATGCATTTTGCACAAGCCAAATTTTAATTTTTCCATTATTTTAAATTCAGCAAATAAACAATAATTGTGTGTTACAGTCTTCAGAAGTGTATTCTCTGTGTTCTCTGAGGATGTGTAACTTATTTTCACATAGAAAACCAACAAAACGTCATTTGACCAGGGAACCTAAAATTTAGCGTAAGACTGTTGATGAATCATACCTGTTCTATGCCCGTTTTTAGGTGTTTATGTAGGTGTATATATTCTAATCATGTGAACACGAGCTTCTAACAGTACAGAGTGAAATGATAAAATGAGACTAAGTGTAAATGATAAATTAGTGAGCGGTAAGGGTGATGTTTGGAAACCAGTGTCTGACTCAACGTGTATATAACTCTCTCGCTCTCTCTCTCTCTCTCTCAGGTCGAGCCCTTCAGTTCAAACATGCCTGAGACTCTTTTCAACCTATCAAGATTTCTCTTCCACAACTTGACCAAAGACATTCCACTGGGCATCTCTAAAGTGTATCCTTCATCAGCACACTCACACACTCTCTTTCTCTCTCTCTCCCTCTTTTCCACAACTTGACCATTCCAGGGGGTATCTCTAAATCTCTAAAGTATGCTTCAAGAACATACACGTACACACAAACTTTCTGTCTCTCTCTCAGACTCTCTGCTCCCTCTCCCTATCTATGTGCCTGTCTGCCTGTCTGTCTGTCTACAGTACTGTGCAAAAGTCAGAGATTATCCTTAATTTAAGTTACTCATTTTCTGTTTAAGAGGAAATCAGAAAACATATTTAACAGAAAATTACACAGAAGTCTTAACAACTAAATAAAATATCAAAATATCAGTGATTAGTGTGTCCAGGCTTTGTATTTATTACAGCTTCCATTCACTTCAGGAGACTTGTTTTCAAAGAAATCTGCAGGGATTTTTTTCCACATCTCCAAACTGCAGTCTTAGACGTTGGCAGCATTTTCTGCGTCTCATGATCCAAATAATCCCAAACACATTCAATGATGCTGTGGTCTGGACTGTGGGGTGAGCACTGTATTGTTCTGAGACCACCAGTAGCTTCATTGTTTAGAGACTTCCCCCTGTAACGGCTTTTTGACAGCTGCACATCCTTCAGACCCATAGCACTGAGTTGTCTTCTCACAGTGGAAGGATGGACAGAGTGGAGCTTGATTTTCTCCTCTGTCTCAACTCCTGTGTTTTCACTCATTTTCTTTGACATTCACCTTTTGTAAGCGGATTTTTGAAGTGCAGTATCTTATGTCTAATCTCCACAGAAATATCTCCTTTAAATGCATAACTTGTACATGACTGATTAAATCAATGAAGGGTGGTCTCTGACGTTTGCACAGCACTCTATCTATCTATCTATCTATCTATCTATCTATCTATCTATCTATCTATCTATGTGTCTGTCTATAAAACACACGCACACACAGCACAAACAGCTCTTAATGTTTGGAGGGTCTCTGTGGAAGCCTCTTGGTCATACTGCATGTTTTTAATGAGTGTTCACTTGAATCAAGTGTCCACATAGTTAAAATGCACCCTCCTCGTGTAAGTGTGTGTGTGTGCATGTGATCAGCATCGCTCCGTGAACTGAATGCATATTAACTCTTATCACATCACCTTTAGAATTCAGAAGTCACATGAAGTGATATGAGTGAAGAAACGCTCAAGGAAAGGGTGCTGCTTTGACCTTTTCTTAGATCATAGAGAGACGAGGAGAGAGAGTGAGGAAGTGAGAGAGAGAAGGTGAGAGAAGCAATGAGAGAAAGCATGATGGTGTGAATGTGAAGTCTCCTGTGCCACTTTAATTTGGCTTGCATTGGGGCCTGTCCTATACATCTCACTTTGTCTCTTTCTCACATGCACGCTCTCTTCATCTCTCTGTTTAGTTCACTTTCTCACTCTCACCAGCACATCGCTCATTGTCTTTTTCCAGCTCTTTCTTCTCGTGAGCCACCAGATGTTCTTGACTTAATGTACGGCAGCTGCTACCTATTTGACATGTGGAGTGTGAGAGAAAAGGGTGGAGAAAAGGATCAATAGAGAGGAAGATAGAGATATCAGAGGTGAGAGAGTAGACTGAATGTGAAGGCCATGTGAAAAATTACAGTTTTTGTTTGTCTGTGACTATTAGAGCCGGGACTAAATGTCAGAACTTGATTAAAATGAGGAAAAAATACTAATTTCTGCCAGCACCCCTATGGACTTTTAGTAGTATTTTAGCACTAAGCTAACATTGATTCACATGAACATTTTATGTTGTATCCATTCTAGAATAAACATGGACATCTGAAGCTTCTAAAACTTTCCATTTCTAACATCTGAGTGAAACATGAGCCAGTCTGCCACTCTATTCACAGTGATGTATCTAGCACTTCCAGAAGTTGGTCCTCACAATTGTGGTCCAGCACATTAGTCAAACATGATTGGTTGATTTCAGTCAGTTCCTAATTACTAATTATGCTAGTGGGTGATCTGATACATTAGGCCTTCAGTTCAGCTCCTGAAGTCCTGACCAATGGGAGAGCTCATTTGGCTGTGCCTACCCAGATACCACAACGAAAAAAAAAATTCTGGACAATTGTTTGTGGTCGTTTTAAGAATTTAACCATTTTTTTTCCAACCTAAACTTAACTATGAAAGAAGAGTATTACAACAATGCTTGTAGAGTTTAAATACAACAAGCATGATGACTCTGTTACATAGAAAACTAACTAAATATTCAACTCCACCAATTTTTTTAAAAAATTTCTGCACAATTCTGTGGTTAAGATACAAACAAAGTCAGTCAGAGTGGTTTGATGTGAAATGGTTCATCATAGAGAAACGTACAGGCTCATATTTCTTCACAGTGATGGTGATGGGAACCAGGGGTCACTGTGTCTACAATGCAAATATAGCCATATTATTTACTATCCACAACCACTAGTGAACCTACAACTGTCTTCTGAGTTTCATTTGCTGATGATTGTAAAATGGTAGAAATAATATGTTTTCTTTGGGGACTGTTTTACCTCACAATGTCCTGCATATACCCGTCCGCCATGAATGGATCCAAATAAATGCCTTAACAAGGTGTTTTAGGCCAAGAACCTATCGCAAAACTATCATAAAACACTGTCTTAGACATCAGGCAGTTTATTCATAACCATTTTGTGTAATAACTTTCTGGGAAGGAGCTTTTAGAGGCTTTAAACTCTTGAGACGTCTGGTTCCTATCACCTCCAATGTGAACAACTCTGTTAGTTTCTCTAAACCAGAGTGTTATACACCAAACCACCCTGTATGACTTTGTTTACATCTTAACCATTTAATTCTGTGGAACTTTTGAGAAATTGGGGGAGTTCCCCTTTAGGTAATGATATACAATTAGCAATATACAGTTGGGCACACCTGGTCAAATGACACATCCTCTGCAGAGAATGCACATCCACACATTGTAATGTACAACTACGTGTACACTGTATGATTTACTGTTATGTTTAAAAATGGATAAAAGTACAGGTAAAATTCATGCTTCAAGATGGCTATTACTACTATTTCTTGCTACACTATGTGGCCATAAATATGTGGCCACACCTCCCAGTTATTGAGTGCAGGTGTTGCAGCCACATTTATTGCTAACAAATGCATAAAATCAAATACACTGGCAGTAGAATGGGTCATACTAAGCCCAGTGACTGTAACCGTGGCACTGTCAGAGGATGCCACCACTGCCACAAGTCAATTTGTAAAATTTCTGTACTGCTAGATCTGCCCTGGACAACAGTAAGTGCTATTATTGTGAAATGGAAGCATTTAGGAGCAACAACAGCTCAGCCATGAAGCAGAAGACACCCAAACTCACAAAGCGGGTTGCTGAAGCGCGTAGTGTGTAAAAATCGCCTATCCTTTGTTGCATCACTCACTACAGAGATCCACACTGGCTCTGAACTGTGCTTCGGGAGGTTCATAAAAAGAATTTCTATGGCCGAGCATCTGCACACAAGCCTGATATCGCTGTGCACAATGCCAAGCATCGTCTGGAGTGGTGTAAATGCTAAAAGCATACAAATACGTTTTAGACAGTTACATGTTTTCAACTTTGTGCTGTCTTGACTGAATGTGCACAAATTCATACACACTCCAAAATTTTGTGGAAAGCTTCCCAGAAGAGTGGAGGCTGTTATAGCTGCAAAAGCGAGGCTAACTTCAGATTAATGCCCATGGTTTAGGAATGGGATGTCCAACAAGCTCATATAGATGTGGTGGTCAGGTGTCCACATACTTTTGTATATGTGGCATACTCTTGTAAAGTTTTTACAGATAACAATATGACATATGTCAGTTCATGGACATACATTTCCATTGCTCAATAGCTACATTTACATTTTGGGTAGAACAAAAATATGATTTTTGCCAGGTTATTGCTTTAAGTCCTTGTTACACACACACAGAGTGTGTCAGTGCAATCATTGCTGGGCTGTGGCGACGTATATATTGCGGTTGGTCATTAAACAGGTGTGATTTGATCTTTGACACACAACTCAGGTACACTCTGTATGCTTTGGCTAAGCAGAGTAAAGCTCTCGGGGCCTATAAAGTGGCCCGGCACGCCTTCGAAAAGCTTCAGGGCCTCAAGATTCCTGCAAGATTCCAGGAGAGCATGGAGCTCAGCTGCCTCACCGTCCGGTCTAAACCCTACCATGACAGTGAGGTGTGTTTGTGTGTGTGTGTGTGTGTGTGGTATTGAATGTTTCTGTTTCCAAGACTATTGACCAATGATTTTTTGGTTGTTGAGTTGTGTGTACAGAGGGGTACAAAAGTCCAAAAGGGACCACTCTGAAAAACTTTAGTTTTTTCAATTAAACTGATAACAAACAACAGAAAGTTTTAGAATTTTAAAAATGGTACACTTTCAATTTCTGTTTAGTTCAGTTCGAGATTTATTTATAGAGGGTGTTGTCACAAAGCAGCTTTACAGGCAATCCAGGTCCAAGCCCCAAATGAGCAATCCAAGGACGACAATAAAATCAATAAAAATCAATAAAAAAACACCCTAAGAACAAGAAACCTTAAGAGGAACCAAGACTCAAAAGAGAGAACCCATCTTCCTCTGGTCCACACCGGATAGTAAACAATATAATAACAAAATCCATAAGAATAGAGGTTGAGATTTTAAGATTATCATACAATATTAAATATAGGAAAAAAGAAATGGGCATGCCATTGGATAGTATTTAAATTAACCAGTAATAACCAATGACTGCTGTTACTGTCTCTGACTGCTGTTAGAGGCCTGTCAAAGTAATAAATGAGAAGTAGATCTATGAAACCCAGTGACTAATGTTAGAAGTTTATCACAGTAGAAATGTGAGTTAAATCCATGAAAACCAGTGGCTACTGTTAGAAGACCATCACGATGACCTGTTAGTATGAATATGTGAAGAACTCAATGGATATGAATGGTCAGGAGGTTGAACTGGTCCAGAAGGCAGGCGAGCAGGGGCACCTGATCAGGCAGATCTTGCCTCAAGCTCTGACAAGTAAAAGGTGGGATAAATACTCAATATTCTGCAGTATTTCTAAAATTTTACTTTTTACTTACCTTATTATGTATATAATATCTTTTATAGTGAAAATCATGCAGAATGCAAAATAGAAGCATTTTCACTGGTGGTCTCAGACGATTGAACCCCACTCTACATGTAACCTGCGGATGTTTGTTTACATGTATGTGTTTGCTTTGTAGGAACTGATTCCGATGTGTTTTCGATGTTCCACCCACAACCCGCTGCTGAACAACCAGGGCAATGTCTGTGTTAACTGTAGGCAGCCTTTCATATTCTCAGCCTCCTCTTACGGTGAGTGACCAAAAGATAAAGGGTATTAGTAAAGAGTTTACCCCATTTTTGCTGCAGTAACAGCCTCTGCTCCTCTGGAAAGGGTTTACACTAGATGCTGGAACATCGCTTTGAAGAGCATTAGTGAGGTTAGATACTGGTATCAGATGATAAGTTCTGGATCACAAATGCATCATTATATCCCTCTAGCTGACGCTTGGCCTTGGGGGGGCTTATGGGTGTCTGCTCCAGAGCTTCCTATTCTCCTGGCAATGCTCTTCTATGGAGATTATACGATCTCTCTGTACACAGTTGAACTCCTGCACCTTAGAGTAGCTGAATTCACTAATTAGAAGAGGTGTCTTGATACTTTTGGACATATAGCATATCATTCACTGCAAAGAGGGCGTCCCCAAAGGTTGGGCTCATTTTGATCATTTATTTGTATTATTATCCCATAATTTTAGAGGGACATATTACTATAATCACAGCTAGGTTTAAGGTCCTCATATAGTGAATATGACTGTGCGTGTGTGTGTGTGTGTTTAGAGGTTCTTCCCTTGGTCGAGTTCTATCTGGAGGAGGGGATCACTGATGAAGAGGCCGTGTCTCTGATTGACCTGGAAGTTCCTCGAGTGGACAGGAAGACAGCCCGCTGGCAGGAAATGAGCAGCGGGGGTATCCTTTTACTAATACATGCACTACAAAAACAAACTATGAAAATAAACATGAAAGATTTTTTTAAAAAAGAGAAGAAAAGAGTTTGACTTAACGTCTGCCGCAGTAGAGCACACACTGCCAAAAATGATGTCTTGCGTCTTAAAATGAGTCAGTGTGGCTATGGTTTCTAATTTTTAGATTGTAAGAATATTACAATTAAGATTATTTAACATGTTTCTAAATGTTATTTTTTTATATAAATTTTATCTTTTTCGATTGACAGATCATTTAGTTTGTTTCAAAGCATGAGGCGGAAAATTTAGCTTGTTTTGAGAAATGATAGTTGACTTTTATACTTGTATATCAAGTGAAGTGAAATGGTACTTATTCTGCTGGCAGATAATGTTGGTTGTTTCAAGCATTGTTTCTTTGATACAAACAAAATTATCTGCCATAGAATAAGATAAAAGTTGTACCTAAAACTTACTTAAAGTTTATAACATCTCTAAATAAGTTGAATGATATTTTAATCTTTTTTACAAACTCAGAATGAGAAATACTAAATATATCGACTTGATTTAAAATGTTTCACTTATCCAGATGTTTTCTGATTCGTCATTAGTTTAGCTCCCGGTGATTCTCCTGCTGAGTTTTATTGCAGCTCTAATCAGATCCACCTGATTCTCCGTTCAGACTCTCCTGGAGGCTTGATGAACTGAATCAACTCTGTTAAGCTGAGAGTTTGTGAGGAATATACTAAAGGAATTAGTATGAAGCCTTTCCCCATATAATAAGTTACACTGCAAACCAATTGTATGTTGTGTAAAAACTTCTTTGTCAATAATTGTGTTGGGTTACTTTTGGCCTGTAGCGTAGACACACTCTTAGTGTGTTGCATGTTGGTGTCAGGAGTGCGGGAGTGTGCGTAAGAGCTTGTGTCGAGTGTATTAAGATTCTCAGTGTTGGATTAGTGTAACTCAGCTCAGCTTATTTACCCTAATCAATCGGTTTATGTGTGTGAAGGACGATGAGCTTCATCAAACCCAGCACTTAAATCTAGCCATATAATCAGGTGAGTTACAGTGCTGACCGTCCAGGATGGTCCATCATGGAAAGCAGCTCATGTCCCAGAACAGCTCCCAAAACAGAACCATGTTGTATATTAATGTGGTTGTGATTTGAAGAAGCCAGTTAAAAAGCAAGAGGTGCAGTCGTGATTGTTAGTCATAATTACTTGTTGGTGTTACTTAAAGCTGCACTATGTATGTTTTTAAAATTGAAAGAAGTAGCATTACTGATTATACAACCCCATTTCCAAAAAAGTTGGGATGCTGTGCAGAATGTAAATAAAAATAGGATGCAATGATCTGCAAATCATATAAACCATATTTTAAAATGGAAAATACTACGAAGACAACATATCAAATGTTGAAACTGAGAAATTTTATTGTTTTTTGAAAAATATATGCTCATTTTGATTTTGATGCCAACAACACGTTCCAAAAAAGTTGGGATGGGGGAATGTTTACCACTGTGTTTCATCACCTCTTCTTTTAACAGCACTCTGTAGAGTTTGGGAATGGAGGAGACCAACTGCTGTAGTTTTGAAAGTGAAATGTTTTCCTGTTCTTATTTGATATAGAATTTCAGCTGCTCATCAGTTTGGGGTCTCCTTTGTCATATTTTTCATTTCATAATGTGCAAAATGTTCTCTGTGGGTGACACTCTGGACTGCAGGGAGGTCAGTTTAGCACCCGGACTCTTTTAATATGGAGCAATGCTGCTATAGTACATGCAGAATGTGGTTTAACGTTGTCTTACTGAAATAATCAAGGCCTTCCCTGTAAATGACATCATCTAGGTGGCAGAATATGTTGCCAAAACATGTATATATTGTTCAGCATTAATGGTGCCTTCACAGATGTGCACGTCACCCAGGCCATGTGCACTAATGTCCCCTATACCATCATGAAAACTGGCTTAATACTGTTTATACAGACCACGGTTTTCAGAAGTGTTTCTGAGCCCATGCAGTGATTTCCACTACAGAATCATGTCTTTTTTTTAATGCAGTGCTGCCTGAGGGCCCTAAGATCACGGTCAGCAAACACTGGTTTTTGGTCTTGTCCCTTGCATACAGAGATTTGTCCAGATTCTCTGAATCTTTTAATGTTATTATGTGCCGTAGATGATGAAAAGCAAGAGTTCTTTGCTATTTTATGTTGAGAAACGTTATTCTTGAATTCTTGCACTATTTGATCGTGCAGTCTTTCACAGAGTGGTGAACCCCTCCCCATCTTAACTTCTGAAAGCCTCTCTGAGATGCTCTTTTTATACCCAGTGATGTTACTGACCTGTTGCCAATCAAGCACCAGGTGTTTTTTTAGCATTACACAACTTTACCAGCCTTTTGTTGCCCCGTCCCAAATTTTTTGGAACATGTTGTTGGCATCAAATTCAAAATGGGCAAATATTTTTCAAAAAACAATAAAATTTCTCAGTTTCAACATTTGATATGTTGTCTTTGTACTTCTTTCAATTAAATATAGGGTTCAAACGATTTGCACATCATTGCATTTTGTTTTTATTTACATTTTGCACGGCATCCCAACTTTTTTGGAAATGGGGTTATACATACTAACTTTACAAGAAACATAGTTTTAAACAGTTTTTTTAGGTGCTGAAGACTTTTCACTGGTCTGTCTGTATATCTTAAGAACAATATGAAAGGATAGGACAGAATATAAAGGAGTGTGAGACTACAATTATGGGACAGTGTGAAAACACGAGTGTCAAAGTGTTTGAAGGAAAGTAACAGATGGTGAAGGAGGTGTGTGTCTGTGTGTGTGTTTGTGTTCCTCTCCTTAACAGTATGTGTTCAGAATCTCAGTCGCTAAAACTGGATGATGATGATGATGTGGAAAGAACTGAGGTGGATCCCTTTACTGCCAAACTGAGCTTCGAGGTGAGACAGTGATGACAGACAGACAGACAGACAGACAGACAGGTAGCAAGAGAACTGAAATGTTATATAGTACATAAAACTGCAGGTTTGATGAAATTTTACACTTGACCTAATTTCAGGACTGGCCCTGTATGATCCGCCATGGTCACAGTAATGTATACAAACATTGTTCCTGACTTTTGACTGTGTTTATTACAGCAGGGGGGGTGCGATTTTGTTCCTGTTGTGGTCAGTCGTGCAGTGTTGAGGTCCATGTCCAGAAGAGACGTTCTAATAAAGCGCTGGCCAAAGCCACTGAGCTGGCAGTACTATCGCTCTCTGCTGCCTGATGTCAGCATTACCATGTGTCCATCCTGCTTTCAGGTAAACGCACAGACACAAATATGAAAACTAAACTGCAAAAACAGACCGTTTTGACTTTGTCATGGCTGTGATGTCAAAACCCTGAACACATACAACCACCCATTCAGCCTAAAGCAGTTTAGTCCACTCATTTACCCTGAAGTGATAAGGAGTGTTGTTACTGCAGTACAGTGACAGAATCACAGCTTGTTCCACATTTCAACCCAAACTGCTTTTGAATGAAGCACAGGGCAAGTGATCAGAACAGAGGTTGTTTACATGTATCAGTCTTAAAAGCACAGTAAATAAAATCTGTTTATTACTAAGGGATAAAGAGAGATTGGGAAATGGTCATGTAGAAATGATTTACGACCATTTTTGGTAAACTAATGACAGCCTGATGCCATTTTTTCTTTACTTTACTCTTTACATTTGAACCTTTTAAATTTATACCAACACCAATGTTTTTTTTCCTTTAAAAAACACGTAACTTGAAAATGTTTAACATTTTATATTTCGCTGCTGTCTGACCAAAACCTCATATCTGCATTTTGTCGTTTTTCAGTTTTTGGCATAATTAGAAAATACCTAGTGTCCTTTGTATCGTGTGTAAATTTCATTAAGAATGGACCAAAAGAAACTGCCCCGAATTACTTGAAAAAAAGTCTGGTTCCGTTGACTTACATTGAAAGGAAAGTATGTTTTTCCTTCTCCTGCAAAGTTACCATTTTCTGTTTTTTAAATATATGTATATCATATATAAAGAGAGATACTGACTTTTATGCTGGAATTATATCCTGTTTATATTGTTACTGTCTTTCTCCTTGTGGTTCATCCTAATTCCTGTTGTTTTAAACGTCTTCCTCTCTGTTTCCTGCTGTCTGTCTCCATGTCTCTCTCTCTGTCTCTCAGATGTTCCACAGTGAGGATTATGAGCTCCTGGTTCTGCAGCACAATTGCTGTCCTTACTGCCGCAGACCCTTCGACGAACCCGAACTAGCTTAGCATAACAAATCTATGAGGCTGCTGTATAGATGGCATATTTACAGGATCTATGGAGATGTGGTCTCTGTGGTGGTCAGTGAATGTGTGTGCGTGTTGGGTGTTTGTGTGATGATAGGGTTTAGGTGGTGATGATTCTGAAGCCGTAAGAAAAGCGCCACCTCAGCCGATCACTCTGATAGGATTAAAGGGATCAGAACACTCAGCAAAAGGAGATTACAGCGTTTGAAAGGTACTGGAGTGTGCAAGATCTTTCACCAAGACTCTTTTATAGGGACCTTTTCTCAGTCTTAAAAACATTTTCCATTGTTTTCCTTCAGAAAATGAAAAATGAGTGCATAAAGGCCTTTTTGTGTGTGGTTTATGTGTTCATTGTTTAATCTGAAGGGTTTTTTAATATCTGTTTTGAGGATCTGTATGAGGAAAATGCAGAACTACCTTCCATGTATTTCACTAATATACTTATACTATTGTATATTAAATGTTACCTTGTAATAAGCTAAATGTCTGTTCCTTAAACATTCTACTATTTTTGTAATTTATTCAGTTTCAATAAAACCTTTTTTCATATGAAGATTGTTTTGCTTCTTTTTTAGTGTGTCAACTGTTCAGTAAGTATTAGAGTTGAAAAGGGAGGTTAAACAACATGATAAAGAATTGTAGCAGAATTTCAACACAAAAAAAGATCTAAAGTGCAGATCTTGTGTATCATTTGACATACACCATATATTTTCAGACATGGAGAGAGAGCTGTAGCGTCTTAAACAGGCACTCTGTGGAACTTCAGATACAGACTATATTAGCTGGACTAAATTATTATATTTGGTAAAGCTCACGCTGCGATGTCCTCTGTCCTTGAGCATCTCTGGAGGATTATTGAGGCTCTGCGCTCCCTCTGACCTCAATCTGTCTTGCAGCCCATTCCCCGAAATTACACCACTTCACCTTAATCTCCCGCACACTTTCAGTATGGTTAATCCCACCAGGAGGGGGGCTTATAAGAGAGCCGCTCGGTGTCCTGGGGAGTTGATCACTCTGCTCATTTACGCACTTGTTCTCAGGGACCGCTTCTTTCTCCACTTCATCCTCATTTTCTCAGTTCTTCTGTTTTGGGACAGTTTGTTTTCTTCTTTCTCTCCTGCACTTTTGGCGCCCAAGGATTTCTTCATTTGCCATCTACTTCTTCTGTTATTTTTCCCCTCCTGTGTTTCTAAGTCACCACAGTCATCATGAACGGGACAGAAGGTCCAAACTTCTACGTACCGATGTCCAATAAGTCAGGCTTGGTCCGCAGCCCGTTTGAAGAGCCACAGTATTACCTAGCTGAGCCGTGGAAATACTCTTTGCTGGCTGCCTACATGCTTTTCCTCATGATCACCTCCTTCCCAATTAACTTCCTCACCCTCTACGTAACTGTGCAGCACAAGAAGCTCCGCACACCCCTCAACTACATCCTGCTGAACCTTGCTGTGGCTGACTTGTTTATGGTGATTGGGGGGTTCACGGTCACACTCTATACCGCCCTGCACGGGTATTTTGTCCTGGGTGTGACGGGCTGCAACATCGAGGGCTTCTTTGCCACCATGGGAGGTGAGTAGAAAAGGTGTACAACAGGGTTCTGTTTTAAGGCCATGTATATTTTCTGATGGTATAGATATTTTCCTTTAAATTTACTTTTAAAGTACATTTAGTAGGGATGTGACAACATGGGTTAAAAAGGTTTAAAGTAACTCAAATCCCTTTGAAATCGTATGGAGATTTTCATGTAAGCGTATGTAGAAGTGTGGTGCCAAAAATATGTACAACATGGTTTAGCCTTTGCACAAAAGTACACAAATGTACTTTTAAGGTAGATGAAATTATTCACTTTGATACTGAATGAGCTGGAATGTCAGTTTGAGACAAAAACTGAGCATTTTGAAACCTGCAAATGTACAGTATGTAAGTTTTAAACTGATTAACAATGTTGTGCTGACCTTTTTAATAATTGAAGCTTCAGTATTTAGTCTGTGGTGCAGTAATCTGTAGATCAGTTTAGATTTGCCCCTTCCATTAAAAAGAATGTTGATCTCTCTTTTAGGTGAGATTGCTCTGTGGTCCCTGGTGGTCTTGGCCATTGAACGCTACATTGTGGTGTGTAAACCCATGACGACGTTCCGTTTTGGAGAGAAGCACGCCATCATGGGGGTCGGCTTCACCTGGGTTATGGCCCTCACCTGTGCTGTTCCACCACTGCTTGGGTGGTCCAGGTGAGCCCAATAAAACAATATCAACACACTAAAACGCAGCTCAGAGAACTCCTAACTCACTTACCTCAAAAAAGAATGAGGGGTCAGAGAAAATGTTTTGGTGTTTAGAACCTAAATATTTGTGTGAATATCATAGCGTCCCCTCTTATATTGTGGTCTGTGCTGTGGTGATTGTTTTATAAAAAGAGAGAAGAAATAGGATCACTTTTCTGAAAAAATGAAAAAACACCTTTCAAATTGTGTTTTTGTGTCTGTGCTCACGCAGGTATATTCCAGAGGGGATGCAGTGTTCTTGCGGAATAGATTATTACACCCCAAAGCCTGAAATCAACAACACCTCATTTGTCATCTACATGTTCACCCTCCACTTCTGCATTCCTCTCTTCATCATTTTCTTCTGTTACAGTCGCCTTCTCTGCACCGTCCGTGCGGTGAGTCACACACACATGCACTTTTTAAACAGATGTGCATTACACAGTTTCTTCTTACTTAAGCTTTATATAAATAGAAACCATTCCTACAGCTGAGATTATCCAGTGTTATATGTGTTATATCTGCATTGAACACATGCTGTTATTTGCGTTCACATTCTTCACAGTATTAAAATGTGATTCTATTTGAATCACAAAGTGTTGCACAAGTATGCAGGTATGCACACAACGCACAAACCAGTTTTCATTCCTTCGGTCATATATGTTTTTGTGCTGTTTTCTCAGGCTGCAGCCCAGCAGCAGGAGTCCGAGAGTACACAGAGGGCGGAGAAAGAGGTGACCCGCATGGTGGTTGTCATGGTGATCGCATTCTTGGTGTGCTGGCTGCCATACGCCAGTGTGGCTTGGTACATATTTGCCAATCAGGGTACTGAGTTTGGCCCCGTCTTCATGACCATCCCCGCCTTCTTTGCTAAGAGCGCTGCCCTGTACAACCCTGTCATCTACATCCTCCTCAACAGACAGGTACACTGGGCCATGAAGCATGTCTGAAAGTGATTTAGCTCAAAGCAAAAGCCAACCAAGAACCAAGTTCTCAATCCTCTACCGTCCTTCAGTTATACAGTCTCTTCTCATACTGCAACCGTATGCTGACAGCTGGCTGAACTCGCAAAGAATTTTTTGATTTGAAAAAAAAAACAAACATGTACTTCTTATTTTATCAATTAATCGATTAGTTGTTTGGTCTATAAAATGTCAGAAAATGTTGAAAAATGCTGATTAGTGTTTTCTAAAGACCAAGATGATGTCATCAAATGTCTTTTTTTTTTTTTGTCCACACCCCAAAGCTATACAGTTTGGTGTGACAGAGGAGTAAAGAAACCACAAAATATTCCAATTTAAGAAGCAGAAATGAAAGAGATTTTACTTTTTTTCTTAAAAACAATCACTCAAACTGATTATTCAATTACCAAAATAGTTGGCGATTAATTTAATAGTCACCGATTAATCAACTGTTGCAGCTCTGGTACTTGAATATTATCTGGATATTGTCATTGAATCAATTAACAATTTCCACAACTGGTGCACTTGAATCACCTTCATTTTTACAGTCCTGGTCTTTAGCGATGCTCTTGTTTTAAGTATTTCTGTTCAGTTGCGTATCTAATATCTGATGTTTAGCGCTATTTTCTCTTGTAGTTCAGAAACTGCATGCTGACCACTGTTTGCTGTGGAAAGAATCCTTTCGGTGAGGAAGAGACCAGCACCACTGTCTCTACTAAGACTCAATCTTCTGCAGTCTCCTCCAGCCAGGTGGCCCCTGCCTGACCCATCATATCAGACCTCCAGCACACCCATCAACACCCAGCACACCTGGGAAATCATCATCAAGTAGCCTCCTGTTGGCCAGATTTGGAACTTTTTAACCTCCATTTGGCCAATCGTCTATTCTCTACTTTGTTACCGATTGTTGTTAGTCTCCAATTGGCCAGCTGCTTCTGTACAGTCACTCTGGATGTTTATAATGTGTGATTGTAATATACACACCAAATGAATGTCATGCTTTCTCAAATTATGTTAAAGGAATTCAAGATATGTTCAGTTGGGTAGCAGAATTACGTAGAGATGTGTATCTAAAACCGTCAAAGAATCAAGCTGCAACTAGACTTCAACCCATAGTGTCCCCACAGTGCGCTTATTACCAAGTTGTCAGTGAATTAAATGGATGTGTAATGAAATGGTTTAGGCTTTTAGAGAGAAGATTGAGGCCCTGCTCCCCTGCTTGTCCTCCGTGTCTCCCGGTTGTGACGAGCTGATGATGTGCTGGAATGGGTAGATTCTAACAAGCAGACAGATGTGAGCACGTGCAGTTGGGAGTCATGAGAAACATCTGGAGTCTCGTTCACAAGTTTCGTGTGCCGTCTTCGAGATTCTGTGGGAAGTGTGGAGTTTTCTGCGTGTGAAAAACGATCACTGTCAGTCGCAGTACTAAGATGGAAGATGTGCTTTGTGAGTATAAATGTAAATTCATCTGCAACGTGAATAAAAGAGAAGAAAAAGCTAACCGTGTGGCGGCTCGGCTCTCTTGTGTAAAGGAGCATGTGGAAGCAGTGGCTCTCAATCCTTGCCATGAGGAGCTCATGCACTGCATATTTTTATGCTTTCTCTGCTGTAGCACACCTGACTCAGCTCATGGAAGGCTTGGTAATGACCCGATGAGCTGAATGTGGAGCTTTAGAACAATGAAAATGTGCTGTGTCTTCAGTACAGGCGCAGAGAACCTCCAAATCAAGGGAGACCTCTTTTCTGTCTTTGGTATCTAAATGTTCTTGTGCTTTGGCTAATAATGAAAATTAGCACTCATTGAACAGACGTTGATTAGTGAAGTTCATAGGTTTATTTGATAAAATTTCCCTCTTTCTCCATGAAAGCAACACAATAAACTTACAACTGTATCAGCGGACTAGCCAACACAATAACCCATGATATTTCTGCTTAGTTTAGACTCAGTCAAAACTAGTCAACATTCTAAAACCTTTAAAACAGTCCGCAACTTTGTCCTCCTCACGGCCGTGACCTGCATAATCACATAGGTGCTTGTAATCATTAATTTGAATCTTAAGCACCAAAGGTCAGACCACCAAGGTTACATTGTACAGGCCATCAGATGTGAATTTATAATTCCTTCTGATTTATTTCCTTGAAGATTAACAAGGAATTCCATTTAAAAAAAAAATGTAAAATGAGCATGAAAAAAAAAAACAAACAAAAACATTTTAGCAGTTTGTAACCTCTGAGCAGTGCAGGTTAGGAGGACTTTCCCATATCTTTCGCCTTTCACATTGAACTTAAGCTATAAAAATCATACACAAAGCTATAAATATTGCTGTGGAAATTTTTTTTACTATACAGTCCAGTGCATCATTGGCTCTTCCCCAGGGTGGGGTCAGTGCGTAAAAATAATGGCAGGAACCCCAGGTCCCTTAAGTCCACATTTAACAGCCTCCCAACACAAAGTGACTTGAAATTAAATTAGCCCCCGTCTTGTGTGGACAGGCATTAATGTGTATTTGGATTGCATATGAATTAAACACTCTCACAAGCCAGCCATAGCGAGAAGAAGAAGGGCTGATAGTATCAGCTACGAAAGATTATTTTTGTTTCACTTAGATTTTGCAGCTTTGAGCTTCCCTCCCTTGTTTTTAGATTCGACTACAGGAATGTTCGGTTGCTGTGTTTTCATTGGCTCACGACCCCGAGGCTTGGATTGTGATTGGCTCAGACCTGTGGAGGCCTAGTTTGGATTGGCTGGTGTTCAGGCTTCGCTGCAGCACTCGTAGATGTTGTCTTCCACCAGGGCAATGACCTGCTCAAACTTGTGCTGTAGCTGAGTGCGCCGGGCCGTCGGGTTGGAGTCCAAGGCGTTCACCACCTGTGTGGGAGAGAGGGAGGAAAACATGAACATGCATGGAAGAAGTGACTAAGATTACTTGATGAAGCTTGAAGTTCAAAGAATATCAGTGAATCAGTGATTAGTGGTCAGTTTGCATGATGATAATTCTCCTACTGCTCTCTCACTGTAACACTTTCATTTATGTAGATTTATTTGCCACAAAGTGTTTTATAGTCTTTTCTAAGGTTTTCTGCTCATTTTCCAGTAAAGCATTTTGGAATCTCTGGCACTGTTTATACCTAGTCTTAACATCTATATTGAGTGGTGTTTTTTTGTTTTTTGTTGTCCATGTGTTTAAAATACATCTCCAGTGACCACTTATGATCAGATTTCAGGACTGAAGGAAGGGTATTGTACACATTTACTGCATCAGTCTCTCACTGCATTTGTCGTCAGAGAAAAGTGTGTTGCAGTCAGTGTGCAAAATCCCCCCTGGTATTCTGGGGGTCCAGTGTTGGCTAGTTACTCCAGCATTGACTGGCTGGTAACACATTTGCTACTCACGGTAGATTTATCATCAACATCATCATCATCTTAAACCAATTAAACCAGTAGCAGTTGGGAGAGCAAAGAATCCCAGACGACCCTGTCCTCCACAACTTCCAGCTCATTCCAGGGGACCCCAAGTGGCTCACACTCTAACTTGGCGATCCTAGGATGACCTCAGGGTCTTGTCCCTGTAGGTCGTGCCTGGCAAACCTGCACCGGGAGGCGGCCAGGAGCGGCATTCTGATCAGATGCCCGCACCACCTCAACTCACTCCTCTCATTGTGGAGGAGTAGCGGCTCTACTCTGAGCTTCTCCCGGATGACTGAGCTCCTCACCCTGTCAAGTAGAGTGTAGCCCACCACCCTGGCTCATTTCCGCTGCTTGTATTCGTGATCTCAATCTTTCGGTCATTACCCACAGCTCATGACCATATGTGAGGGTCGGGATGTAGACTGACTGGTAAACAGAGAGCTTTTCCTTATGGCTCAGCTCCCTCTTCACCACTACAGACCAGTACAGTGACTACATTACTGCTGCCGCCTGTCCCAGCCTGCGGCCAAGGCTACTAGATACATACATACATACATACATACATACATACATCATCTAAACCGCTTATCCTTCTGGGTCACGGTGGGGTGCTGGAGCCTATCCCAGCTGTCATTGGGCGGAAGGCAGGATACACCCTGGACAGGTCACCAGTCCATCACAGGGCAGACAGACAGACATACACATTCACACACACTCACACCTAGGGGCAATTTTAGCTTGTCCAATTGGCCTGACTGCATGTTTTTGGACTGTGGGAGGAAACCGGAGTACCCGGAGGAAACCCACGCAGACACGGGGAGAACAGGCAAACTCCACACAGAAACGACCCTGGTCACCCGGCTGGAAATCGAACCCAGGCCATTCTTGCTGTGAGGCGACAGGGCTACCCACTGGCACTACTAGATACAATAGCAACAAAATCTTTGGTTCAAATTTTTTTTTGGAATTGCTTTTCCAGTTCCCTGAATTTGTATTTGAGCTTCTGTTTTTCCCCAATGGACAGCATAATTGGTTGTTAAAAATGTTTAGACTGCATGTGTTGCTTATGCAACAGGGAAACAAACAGGAGAGAAGAAGAGGAAAGAAACTACGCTGCTGTTTTCATCTCTGCTGTGATGACAGGGCTGATCAAGACGGTCCTTTTTGCAATCGGACACAAATGTTAAGTGGTCATATGTGTCCCTGACCACGTCCTCCTGAACCACGTCCACGCCTGTACTTAGTGCTGTCCACTTACGACTGGATTCCCCAAGCTGTTTGTTAATGTCTGGTTAAACTCTATGAGTAGAGTCCACTTTTATTGTTTGGCCTTTTTCAAAAGTCTTAATAACTGGCGTCTTACTGCTACGGTTACTGATTTAAGTAATAATGACAGGTGTGTCCGCGACACGGTAGAAGAAAAAAGCTTAGTAATGAAAGGGTGCCATTTTTTTTCAGATGCATTTATGCTTTCCTGACCTTCACCTTGCTTATACAACGCTACCTCGCCATCTGGCTATGTGGCAAGAGAAGAGAGAAACCGGGAACAATTTGGCCACTTTACACACGCACGCACCCACAGCGTCACACACAGTGCACCCTCACAATAAGCAGCAGTTCCAGCTAAGCTGCTGTTTTTCCAAACCCCCATGCAGTTCCTCTTTCATGTCCCACAGAGCCCATTCACTTAGCACTGCGCCCACAGAGAATGAGCTCAATCACACGCGCTCGCAATCAGCCCTGTTTCACTGCGCCGCTCCAGCCCTGCTGCGCCTGAAGAATGGGCATTAAAACAGCCCTGCGGATTAGCATCAGGGTGCCAGGACACACACACACACACACACACACTGGTTTTACTGCAGGTGAGATGGAAAGAGGGCACACTTTCGGGCATAGTGCGTGTGTGTGCATAAGTTTTTTGTCAGAGTGTTATAAAGGTCTACTGTCTGAACCATAAACCCTATGACTCCTCCATTTCACTCTAGAAAGCAAGTTGTAACAATGCCGTACCTGAGTGCGGTATCTCTTGGCGTATTTGTAGATTTCAGTAAGGGCTAAGTTGGTGTTGAACTCATTCCTGTATTTCTGTTAAACATAAAGAACACATAGATAAACAGTTAAACAGAAGCATTCTCTACCATTTGATTCTGTATCAAACTTATAAAGTTATTATGTATAATAATATTTCTGCATAATTAAATGGTTAAGATGTAAACCAAGTCATTTTTTCTAGGGAAAGTAATCGAGTCAGATTTGTTCAGTGGTGCTGACAAAAACCAAGCCAGAGCGTTTAATGCTACAAGAAGTTCCCTCACAGAAAGCTATTACATGAAATGCGTATGAATATGCTGTTTTACGATAGTTTTGAGAAAACTTTTGGCCTACAACTTATTTTTTCAAATCCAGAGATATATTTAAGGCATAATAAGGCAAAATAATGCCCAAAAAAACACGTTTTCAGAATTACAACTATTTTAACCCAATCAACATTACATATAAAAACTTGTGAAGATATATTCACTTGTTGATTTGGACAGTAAATAAAATGACTACATTCACATTGCAGACATCTTAACCTGATTCCTGTCACCCCCACTGCAAAGGAAATTTGAGTTTTTATGCACTTTCCCATCAAAACCACTCATTGTTTACATCTCAATGGAATTATGCAGAATTTGCATGACATTCTACACAGCGCTTGTGTTTCCCCCTCAAAAAACACCAATGTGGTTAACAGTGTCAGATAAAGGCAACCAGTTTGCAGAAACCCATTTGCATAAAACTGGACTCCTACTAGTCGTTATTTATATTAGCAACATTAGCATTTCTGGCTGTCTGTTAATGTGAAAGCTTTGCCATGTGCTCTGACACTCACCCGTGACTCCTCGGCTAGGTGGGCGTTCATCTCCTGCTCGCTGAGAGGTGCCATCTCTTGGATCTGTTTGTAGTAGCACTGCACTCTCTTCTTATACTCTGGAATCTCTTTAGCATACAGCAGCTTATTGGTGGGAGAGTCCTGTGAATACAAATGTAAATGCGACCAATTAGTGGCAGATTTGTGGTTTCTCTAATCTACAGTTTATTTCCAGCTCAGCGCTTTTAATTCTCAGTATGTACTTCTATGAAACTGGGAAACGAGTTTTGCAGGCCAGATTTGTAAGTAACGGATTCCAACACACCTGCAGATCAACACGTTCAAAAAGTATAACTGACCAAAGTGCAGAAAGGCTGGATTCATTTCAGTGTTATGCTAATCAGATATTCAGTTGGGAGGTGAAGTGATGTAACAGGTGACGTTAATTCTGCAGCTCCTGTTTTTCCAAATGGAGGTTTGATCAGTGAGATTGTGGAGTCACAATCTTCACATTAACAAAGTGTTTTTTTTTCAGTGTTGGATGCTTTTCATGCTTCTGTGTTGAAAAGCAGGAGGTTTATTAACCCGGAGGATGACAATTAAAAATGACTTATCCTTGAAAGAGCAATCTTTCTGCAAATGCACTCTCTCTATATCTCTCTGTCTCTCTCTCTCTATTTTTCTTGCTTTCCTGTTATCCACCAATTCACTTCCTGTGCGATTTCCATCTGTCTGGTGACCTCTAACCTTTGACATTGCTCTCTTTCCTCTCTCCTGCCTGCACTACCTTTGAGAAAACACTTCACACATACACACACAGCTAATTCTGCTCATGCACAGACTTCACTATCGCTGATCTGATCACTAAGAGAGGAAGAGAGACAGGACTGCGTGTGTGTGTTTCAGCGTGAAGCCTCTGTTAGAAGAGTGTTTTGGACTCGGGAGATGAGAAGTGAGACAGTCAGGAATCCAGAAGCTGAAGGTCAGTCTGAGTCTGAGTCTGTGTGTGTGTGTGTGTGTGTGTGTGTGTGTGTGTGTGTGTGTGTGTGTGTGTGTGTGTGTGTGTGTGAGCGAGAGAGAGAGAGAGAGAGACAGGCTGATTTAGGAGACTAAGACTGTGAACATGAGAATCTTCATGTTGGTGACCTTGAGCAACAGACATCAAAGATACGGCTCAAATGATGTGTGTGTGTGTGTGTGAGAGAGAGTGTGTGACAAATAGACCTGTTGCAGGACGATTCCACATTTTTGGGGTGAAAAGCTAACAGTACACTGACAGATGAAGCTTAGAAGCAGAGGCGGGGTTTCTCTTTTCATTACATGGGGAAGCTACTGAAAAAAAGAATGTACATTGTCAGTGTCTGAAGAAAACGCTGCATGTCCTTTACTGTCATTTAATTTTTCCCATAATTCGAAAATTCAGTTGAACTTCTCATTATATTAAAATTTCAAAATGAATAGTCCAAAGTTACTTGGAAAAATATCTTGTTTTATTAACTACCATTTTAGAGATATGCGGTTTTGTCCCAACATTTAATTAACTTAAGCTATAACAAAAACAAATTAGCCATAAGCGGCAGGCCTGCAAAGTCACTTTCATACATTTCATCTTTGCAAACTTCTCAGTTACTTTTTCAAACAATATTTTATTATTTCTCCTCGCTGAGCTGACATGAGTTAGCTTACCCAGCTGCACTGCTCTTGCGCTGACAGCCCTTTTATCACCTTTTTAAAAATATGTAAGCGATTTTATATTCATGGTCACTCATATCTGGTAACTGTAGAACCACAAACCTGCAACTCTCCTTCTGTCTATGTGAGTAAAGTTAAATGCTAGCTAGCTGTAGCCAATTTTATTGTAACCTTGATGAGTCTCCATGCATTTGCATTCTGTCTTTTGAAAATGTGCTGCATTATTTCATGGAAATGGACCTTTTAGCCAGTGCAGAACGTGAGTAGAATAAGACTGTTGCCACTTTCAAAGAGCCAACTGATGAGCTCTTTGATGCGCAGCACTCATGACACCCATTGAATCTCAGCTAAGTCTAGGAGCTGTGGAGCCGTGTAGGTTGACAGTACTGAGGGAATGAGGAGTTTATTTAGGGGGTGAAGGAGTGAGCGGGTTATTTAAAGTATGAGGGGTTAGAGGCTCTCTTGGACACACACTAGAGCGACTGACAGATTTGAAGATAGATGTTAACAGAGATACCTAATACTAACTTTGCCCAGGTGCAGGAGCAGACATTGCATGTGTGTGTTGACAACAGTTTGAGAATGGATTCCAGATGAGGCAAGGCGTACCGGAGTATTGTGTTATATGTGTGTGCGTGTCTCTTTACCTTCCCCAGCTGTAGGTCAGAGATGGAGCATGCGTCAATAAAAGCCTGAGCTATGACAGAAAGACAAGCGTCCATGTGATCTGTCTTATCAATGTCAAACACGAACTGGGGGTTCTTCAGAATGTTCACCCAGAAACGCAGAGGCAAACTAGACAGAGAGAAAGAGAGAGAGAGAGAGAGAGGGAGAGAGAGAACATCAGTCAACTTCTCACCACCTCACCAAAAAAGTAATATACACTGGTGTCATAAATACAGTCCCCCTTTGGCCCACATACTCGAAGCTTTTATACTCTCTTGAACTCACTTCAACCCCACCTAAGCCTGATTCTCTGGAACTCTACCTAACCCTAAACCTGAATTTAATTTCTTAACCCTACCTTATCCGAAGCTTGAATCTCTTGAATTCTTCCTAAACGTGGGTCTCTTGAATCCTACTTAAGACCCAGTTTACACCTGGTCACTTCATGTGACCTCATTGTATGAGTATCCTCATTGTATCCTGATAAGATTTTAGCCACATGCATTTACACTTGGTAGTCAAATGCGTCTTTGGTTAGTCGGACTGAAATCTGATTGCTGTGTGGGACGGAAAATGCAAATCTGCTTGTTATGCGGCAACAAATTACCAACTGTTTATTTAGTCATCTTCAGTTTGTTTTGCACAGTAGTGTCTCTCCATACTGCTGTTAAGCATTTTGTTTCATCCTGTGTCTTACCATGCGTCCTCCATGTTTATCGTCCACTGCATGGGAAAGAGTTTCGGTTGTACCCGGCTGTGTCTTGAAGAGATGGATGTGTTTAGCTGCTATAACACGTGGCTCAAATGTATTGCAGACCACCTCCTGAAGTGGCAACCTTACCAAACCATGAATTGCTGGAACCCTACCAAACCCTGAACCTCTGGAACCCTACCATTTTCTGAATTTCTATAACCCTACCAGGCCCTAAGCCAGAATCTCTGGAACCTTAACAAACCACGAATCGCTGGAACCCTACCAAACTGTGAATCTCTGGAACCCTACTAAACCAAGAATCTCTACAACCCTACCAAACCCTGAATCTCTGAAACCCTACCCCTCTCTGAATCTCTATAACCCTACCAAGCCCTAAGCCAGAATCTGTGGAACATTACCAAACTGTGAATCTCTGGAAACCTACCAAACCCTGAATCTCTGGAACCCTACCTAACCCTAAGTCTGAATGTTTGTGATCCCACCTAAGCCTGAGCATGAATCAGATGAGCCCTACCTTAGGCCTAAGCCTGAATTTCGTTAACCCTACCTTACCTAATCCTTTTTCACAGATCTATCATTATCTAAGCTCTCTTAACAAGGCAATTAAATGACTAGCTTCTACGCTTCCTGGCAAAACTGAATGGTCTATACCTGTTGGTCTTCCAGATGTGCAGCGTGTCCAGGTCTGTGATCCCCCGTTTGTCTGCCTGTTCTTCTAGGAAATCAAAAAAATACTTCACGGCCAGTGGGGGCCTTTCTTGCGGGATGCTAAGGATAGCCTGGAAGAGGTCGTCCAGGAACTTTTGAAGTGTTCCCTGTGTAGAGGCAGCAATGAGAAACTGGATTTAAACTCACATTTTATCAATGTCTGAATAAGCATTGCTATTTGGACTGACTTAAAAAAATGGTTTGTACATTATGTTGCATCTTCACCCTCTTGTCTTTCATTTCTTCTAAAATCAAATGCATTTGTAGGTAGTTGGCCCTTTTTTTGCTGCAATAACAGCATCTACTCCTCTTTTAAAAGCTTTCCCCTAAATGCTCAGATTTGATTTCATCCAGCCACAAAAGCAATGCTGAGGTCATGCGCTGACGTTGGCTGATTAGGTCTGGCTTGCAAAACGGTGTTCCAATTCATCCCAGCACTGTTTGAAGGTGCTTCATCACTGTAGAAAACATGTTCCCACTGCTCCACTGCCTAATGGTAGGGTCTAGTCAAAGCTTGGCTTTGTGCATGATGGTGCAGCTGCTCCAAAGTGTCTCATTCTGCTGCCAATACTTTTCTATGGAGATTGAACGGCTGTGTATGTGCAATTGAACACTGTGTCAGTAATGTGTTTGTGTGCCTTCACTAGCCGAATCCACTTGTTAGAAGGAGTTTCTGAACCACTTTTCGACCAACAGTGTATTTGAAACATCCTCCCACTTCCAGAAATTGTTTGTGTCTATAGCATGAGTATCTGCCCAAGTGATCTGCCTTAATATCTCTGTAAAACAGACATATTCAATCTTACTGAATTTAATCCTTCTTGAATCTTACCTTAGTGGAAAGTAGACGTGTCAGGTAAATCTCAGGCAACACCTTCTTCCTGTGACTGTGCCTATGAGACTTCTTGGTTTCCGCGAGTTCATCGTGCGGTGGGACCTGCGTCCGTCATAAGACAGTGAAGATAGGTAAGTAAAGATGCTAAGAATTGTGGGTAAATGAATAATAAACTGAGAATGATGACCAGAGCCAGTTAATGAGAAGCCTGGCCACTTCCCATTTCCCCTTTTATATTAAAAACATGACTGCAAAATAGCAGAGGGCACCTGCGAGCAAGTCCTAAATGAATGGGGCTGAATGGCGCTAACAGCTAAAAACGAAAAGTTAAAAAACTAGATAGTTTCTTATGACTTGCCCAGAACTTTCCTTTAAATTTAGAAAATAGAAGGATGTATTTCACTAAAAAGTGAAGGAAACTTGCTGGTATGTTTCCTTTTTTCTACAGCAAACAAGTTTTGGGCAGCAGGATGCAACATTACTGCTACTGAGTGCTTATTGGTTGGCAAGCGGAGCCGCTCATTGGCTGTTCGCGCTCTATGACTTCATGAACTCCTATAACTCGAGTTCAAAAGCTCGTTTTAGTGTTCAGGAAATGATTGTAATCCTTAACATTAAAAATGTTTTTTTTTTACCCGATTTTCTCCCCAATTTAGTCATCTCCAATTCAACCCGCTAGTTAGGACTCCCCTAATCACACGATGCTATCAACGCTAGGAGGGTGAAGGCTAACACAGACTTCCTCCGAGACCTGTGAAGCCAACCACTGCTTCTTTTCGAACTGCCACTCACGCAACCTCATTGGACAGCCGAACGCGCTCGGAGGAAAGCGCCAACCGCCAGATCTGTTACGTCAGCTAACAGACGCCTGCGCTGACTAGCATCGCGCTGAGTGATGGGGGGAGAAGGAGGGGCCATCCTACCCACCCAGAGAGAGCGAGGCCAATTGTGCTCTCTCGGACTCCCGGCTACGGATGGCTGTAGCATCACCAGGGATCGAACTCGCGATTTCCTGATGATAGGGCCAACGCTTAGACGGTTGCACCACTCGGGAGCCCCCGACATTAAAAATGTTTGAGTATTTATAAACTGATTTTGCTCAAATGCTCCTTCTTAACCCATTCATTTTGGACTCGCTCGGGAGCGCCCTCTAGCATTGAAGAAACCTGAAAGACATTACAGAATGGTACTTCTCCTCTCTACAAGTTCTCTGGTGATGACTTTTAGTAGAGCTGTTTAGTGTAGTAACTTTTCAGCTTATGACTTTGAGTTCAATGAAAGGAAACTGGGAAATAAGAAAGTGTGTTATTGAAGTGCTAGCATGATTTTAAAAAGATTTTTTCTGATGCAAAAAGATTTGAGGCAAATTCATGATGTCAGTTGAAAGTGAACTGAATCTTACAAACTATTGTTACATTAGTCAAAGCATAGTCTACTAAGTCTGTCTCTCTCCCGTCTTTCTCTCTCCCTCCTTGTCATCGCTCTGAAGATTGCAATTACACAGCAGTACCTCAAGGCTTTGTGGAAAACCTGCATAATCAACCACAGACCTCAATAATACTGTGTGTGTATACGTGTGTGTAAGCGAGAGAAAAACACTTACCAGATGAACATACTTCTCCGTGTCCAAGTCTTTAGCTGCACAGAGAAAAGTGCAATTACTCAGTAAGCCAGACTTAAGACATAGAGACAATGATAGAAAAGAAAGAATATAATTAAAGGAGAGAAAGTAAAATGCTAAAATGAGGGGAAGGTTAATGACAGAAAAGCTGAGGAGTCCATGTGCGTCGGTGTTTCATGTGTGTGCGTGCGTTAACGAGGTCAAGAGAGGAGACACGCTGATTGGTAGTGGAGCCGGTCTAATGAGCTTTAGTACCTCACCATGATTACAACAGACATTGACTTTCTCTGGTTTACAAACATTACCAAACAAGAGCAGATTTTTGTATGTAGCCTCATTATGAGGTGTGTGTGTTTGTCTGTGTCGGTCTGGCCTTCAGGAATTTAGTGCTTCCTTTGTTTAGATTTATTCAAAGCTGGAAAAGTGACATATATTAGTGTGTGTGCATCCACTACGGTTAAATACTTATACTTGTCATATTTATAACTGCTGATATTTTATTCAATAATAACTTATACAATGTGGACTGAAATACTATAATTTAGACCCCAGAAAACATTGTAAGATAATTTTTTAATATTTCAAGTTCTTCAGGAATATGAAGCTGAAATATATATTGTAATTACCCATTACAACACTGCAACCCAACCAAACCCTGAATCTCTGGAAACCTAAAAAATCCTTAATTTCTGAAACCCTGCAAAACCATAAACGTGAACCTCTGGAACCCAACAAAACCCTGAATCTCTGGAAACCTGGCAACCCCTTAACCTCTGGAATCCTGCCAAACCCTAAACCTGAATCTCTGGAACCCTCTCAAACCCTAAACCTGTATCTCTGGAACCCTCTCAAACCCTAAACCTGTATCTCTGGAACCCTCTCAAACCCTAAACCTGAATCTCTGAAATCCTCTCAAACCCTAAACCTGAATCTCTGGAACCCTCTCAAACCCTAAACCTGAATCTCTGAAATCCTCTCAAACCCTAAACCTGTATCTCTGGAACCGTCTCAAACCCTAAACCTGAATCTCTGGAACCCTCTCAAACCCTAAACCTGAATCTCTAAAATCCTCTCACACCCTAAACCTGAATTTCTGAAATCCTCTCAAACCCTAAATCTGTATCCCTGGAACCCTCTCAAACCCTAAACCTGAATCACTGGAACCCTACCAAACCCTGAATCTCGGGAAACCTGGCAAACCCTTAATCTCTGGAACACTACTAAACCCTGAATCTCTGGAACCCTACAAAATCCTTAATCTCTGGAACCCTACCAAACCCTAAACCTGAATCTCCTGAACCTTAACTAACACTAATACTGAATCTTATTCTCATTGCTTTACACAGATATGTAAGTAAAACACTACACTCCAACTGAAATAACAGCACAATTACAAACAGGAGCAAGCCAAAGCGCTTCTAGGCACATGCTAGCCTAAACAAATATGTTTTTAATCTAGATTTAAAACACATATCAAGCGTGCATTCCTACAATTCTGTGAATTTCTATTACAGAGTTTAGAAGCAATATAAGAAAATGTTCTTCCACCAACTGAGCTGTGAGAGACCCTTGGAGTTTGCAGTAAGCCTGCCTCAGCGGAGTGAAGTGATCTAAATGGACTACAACGTTTTGCTGGATTTGGATCTATATTTTAGGGATAGCATACGTCTTATTTTGGACATTTTCCATAAGTAATAAAATGCAGTCTTTGAGATATTTCTGATATAGGACTAGAAATGTAGCCACTACTATGTGTAATGTAATGTGAAATAAAGAAGTAATCTCTGTTTGAAAAAGCAGGTGAGGAAGAAGTTATGAGTCAGCAGAGCACATCCATCCAGCTGGACCTGACAGCGACATACACATATGCAGTCATGGTCATTACCTCTGCCCAGTGTGTTCTCTCTCTTGTCTTTCATGCTCATGGCAAGTGACGCCCCCTCAGGAATCTGTACAGGGTGAAAGGACAAAAGGTTAAAGTTCATAAGGGCGGGAGACATTGCGCTCCACTCAAGTGAGAAAGCACTCATTAAGTTGAAGAAGTTTACACACTGGGTAACGAGTTGGACAGCTTTTTCACTGAACCAACACTGCATGCATGGACACCCACATACACAACAGACCATTCACAGCTCGTTCTCTGTGGCAGCTCTCAAGGTAAACAGTCACGCCGCTAAGAGCGCTAAGGTCACGACTGTTTACACACACATTCTCTCGTTCAATCTTGTCCTCCCTCTGTTTCTTTTTGTCTCCCGCTTCACGCTGGGAGGAGATCTGAGAGGGCTTAAATCTGAAAACTGACATTTATTGTGGCTGACACACACACCTTGTAGTGAAACACGGTGTTGAGCTTCTTCCTGCCGTCTTCCATTACAGAGGTGTTATCCAGATCCTGAAGAATTCTGCTGCTGCAGCCGCCCCCAGGAAACCACTCTGGGGGGGAAATGAGAAAATTACAATGGTTTTCAAAGACGCCGTAAAACTCTGTATTGGCCGTTGAATACCTTTGCAAATGCCTTTTGTTATTGCCTTTAAGTCTCCTCACAAAGTAGGCAACTCGCTCCTTGTTCTTACAATGGGCACAATAAACTCACTCAAACACTTTTATCTGAAATTACATAACTCTTCTCAAAACAAGTGCCGGGAAACATCCTGAAATTCATGGCCAAAAGATAACATTTAATAAAAGTTACATTTATGGAAGTTACAGAACTTGGCCACCAGCTACTATGACTAATTTTGCACCACAGATAACATATTTCTTTGTTACTATTTTTTAATGTTTTTAAATTTGTTTTTATGTCTCTAAAGCACTTTGAACTACCCTTGTCTAGACTTTGTACTTTCTTTTAATTATTTGTTTTATTTCTTTAAGCAATTGCAGTTTGTATCTTTTTAGGACTTTTATTATCTTGAAAGCTGAATGCTAGCACTGTGATCCCAAGGACTGATTAATATCTTAGAGGTTATATTTTACTTGGAAGAATAACTTGATCATCTTTCTGGCTTAGTGCTGGAAAAGGCCCAATTATAAGGTATCAGTGCATTGATTATATTAGGTTTAATTCAACTCTCAACTTTCAATAGTTCAACTCTTTTGGAGGGTAAATGCTAACACTCTTCTCTCAAAGACTGCTTCATATTTTAGAGGTTTTGTGTGTTGCTTCAAAGTATAATCTTGTTATAGCTGCCGCTCATCTAGTGAAAGCTATAACTCTGTCATCTTCCTCACTCAGGGTGCTGGAAAAGACTTGAGTACAACTGATATCCAAGTTTCAATCAGTTCTCCTGGAGTTTAAATGTTATCCCATGGATTGACTGATATCTTATAGTTGATGATCTTATTTAGGGTGCTGGAAAAGACGTGACTAATACTAACAATTTTACTCTTAATTTTTATTGTTTTTCATTCTTAAGCACTTTGTATTCATTTTCCTGCTGAAACCACACTGAATTGCCTTTGTATATGCCCTGCCTGTATATTTCTGAATAAGTATTTTTACTGCGCACAAATTGCTGAGCACACCCTGATCTGTTTAAACCTTCAGTTCGTTAGCCGTATTTTCATTGGTCAGGCTGTAGCCAGGAGTTCTGTGATGAGTTGTTTGTTTACCTAAGTCAACATCCTCTTCCCGAGGCCACTGGGAGAAGGGCAGGTTTTTATAGAAAGCTTCCAGAATCTTCTCCTTCACCTGACAGATGGTGTCTGTATTCATCACACGCACACTCACCGAGTCCATTCCGAAGCCTTGGAACGACACGTTAATGTTCTGGAACGCATACAACCAACATGTCAGTACAACAAGCAGCTTTAAAGGCTTTACCTCAAGCAAGTTTCAAAATGCTTTCAATAATGTAATCTGTAGGCTACATACTTAGTCAGCATGCCAGCCTCAACTATTATGTTCAAAGCAAAGCTGTAATGAGATACATTCAAGTGTCACAACATTTATCACATGAACTATGAACCAACTTCCTGCAGGCATCACTTGCTGATCAGACATCCTGTCCAGTGCCTTAAGGAAGATGAACACACAGTGTGTCAAGCTGGCATTTTGCTAGACTGGAACTGATGTCATCTTTGAGCATCACCCAGAAGCTCACCAGAGGTTTGGCCTCGATGTTCTCTCTCAGGAGCCACTCCTCGTTCAGGGTATACCGCGCCTTTCCCGTGATAGCATCTATCGAGCCCTTGTTGATCTGTTGTTTGATGGCACACAGGAGGAGGAAGAAAGGCTCACCAACTGTCTCCTGGAAGAAAAACATCATGAGAAGGCTTTAACAAATAGTGCAAAGATGCAAAAAAAAAATAGTGTGAAACTAACCATAATATATTTCAAACTCTAAATGCATTTACATCAAATGGAGACACTTAAAAATTCAGAACTAGGAGTATGTAGTTGACCAGTAGCAGAACAGTTTTCAAAGCAATACCCCTGGCGTTGAGCCCATATCTGTGCTTTAATTGCTTGACTCTTTCTATCTCTCTCCCTCTCCCTCTTCCTCTCACCTTGAGGTAGCTGTACATGCAGATGGACATCCAGTTGGTCAGCATCTTCTCAACGACAGACTCGGTGCGCCGCAGCATCAGCTTGGGGTTCTTGGAGGCCGAGGCGTCAATCAAATCCACCAGCAGCTCCTTCATGATGCTGGTGTAGTACTCCAGTTTACCGTGGAGGGCGATGGTGAGCAGCGAGGCCAGATTACATCTGGACAAACAGATGGGCAGACAGACAGGACACACACACACACACACACACATCAAAAGGTTGCAGAGAGCAAGACAGGAAGGAGAAAAAAAAGAAGAAAGTCATGTTAATCAACAAAACATGGTCATAAAACTAGCAAAATCTCCCTATAGATACAGCCATGAAGGAAAAATGGTTGGAGCTGTTCCACTGACAGTATGAGGTCTTAGCTTTGGAGAGTGGGCGCAGAAGACTCTGGGAATTGTGTCAGTACAATGCTTCTTTTTTTGTGTGTGTGTGTGTGTGTGAATCACAGGACCCAGAGACTGTGGTTGAAACTGGGGACTGAGATTCTTTGAGTCGATTCCAAGCGTCCTTATTACATTTGAATAGCCATGTTGTGACTTCTCTGATGTATATCAGACTACTCCCAGCATGCATCAGGAAATTACAGTGTCCATTCTACTGTAGATATAATTATTTAAATACAGACAATAGAATTATGGGAAGAACCTGCTAGTAATCAAACCTTGTCAATCAGTACAATATATGTCAATCAAACCAAGCACTTCTGAATCAAAGCCTATTTTGCACTTCTGTATTATGACAAAGCAAAGATACGGTTTTCATGAACCACATGAACATTAATCCTTAGAGGGAGTGGCATAACTACAGAAAGACCAGGCAGCGCAATCCCACCAGGTCTCATAACATAGCTTGTCCCCCTTATGTGTCTACATACACAATAATAAAAAGTTGTGATAATAATATACTTTACCCATTAGACCTTTAGGTTAACCATTAGATTAGAATCAACTTGCTTGAGACATTAGCAATAAAGTAAAACTAAAGTAAATAAAGTAAAAAATAAGTTTTTTATATTTATTTTGATGTCAAAAAATTAAAAAATATCTTCTACCTACAAATACCAATGTGGTGATTGAACTGAGGGCTATCATTGGCAATAAATACAATGTCCAAGCGTAAAGAGGTGATCAAAATGACAAATGGCATGTTATTTACATCTAGTTGGATGTTTTTGGGGAGTGCTGTGTGTTATGCTTTTTGGAAGACTTCTTGGCTACCTGTCTCGCACAGCGAAGTCCTTCTGCTGTTCCAGCGCATGAACGAAGGTGATGAGGAAGTGCTTGTTGTTGAGAAGAGTGGAAAACAGAGTAATTCCTTCTTCCATGTTGGGCCTGGCAGTGTTGGAGGGCTGAGAGAGAGAGAAAGAGAGAGGACAATGGGATGTTGAATCACCCGCACTGAGAATTGGGTAAACCAGTCTTTTTTAGAAAGGGCTGAGCCTTTCGAAAACTTCCAGTGTTTTGCAACATCATCTTTAAATCATATTAAGGCAAATGAAGCAACCACAAACAATGACACATAACCCTTATACTCATGCCTCATCTGCCCACTGTGCAAAGCAAAGACGTTAATCTTTGGCTTCAAAAGAGCAAGCGTAACGAATCGCTGCCAAAAGATGTACATGCAAGGCAAGGCCTGTTACGTTAGGCAGCTTTCTGCGGGCGTTCTGCATGATGAGCAATGCTCAATCCAGATAAAATAAGAATGTGAGGAAAAACAAAATGTTTGTTTGTGTTTTCTCCTACAAGATAATGTGCATCTCAAACAATAATTAAAATGAATCTGATAATCTGTTTGAACTGCAGAAATCTCTGGAACGATGCCATGGGAGAAACCACTTTCGGTTTCTTGAAGAAACCTTCAGTGTAGGGTTCTTTAAAGAACTATTTTTTGTAGATCATACGGTATTTTTTTAAGTCTAACTCCTTAAATGGCCAGTGACCACCAGCAGGCCCAAAGTTGCATTACACACTTCTATAACCTAAGAACAGCTCAGCCAGTTTCCACATAAAGTAAAGGTTCATCCAAGCAAAGAAAATGTAGGAAATCTTTATTTTTAAGAGGGTACACTCAATACAGCAAAAGGCCCTATACTAGTGAATGGGTTCGTTCTAAATAAGCCTGTGTAGGTTCTGTAAGAGTTAAAATATTGGATAACACTTCAGTGCTACATAACATTGGCATAACTATGTCATAAACATGTCATAGCAGATGTCATATGCTGTCATGAGTCATGACAGATTTTGCTCATTAATACAGCCAGTAATTGTGATGATCATTGTCATACTGTTTGTCATAACATGCTATAATTTTTGTTGTCATGACAACTTGTCACATGCTAATTTATGTGTACTCTAGTGTACTCTCGTTAGCTGTCATGACATCAACCATTATGACATATGACAATTAAGATAACCTTAGTACCTTGACAGCATGTGACATCTGCCATTACATGTTTATGGCATGGTTATGTCAATGTTATGCATCAAGGGTCAAGTAAAGTGTTTCCAAATTTTCATCATAAAATAGCAAAATTCGATGACTCCAAAGCCCATCAGTTGCTAGAACGATGTACACCAGAGAAATATATGTCAGATTGATAGATGAAAGGTATGTCTGCAAGCTCCCAAAACCTCAAGCCTTAATCGTTTTAATTCCTCTCGCTCCGTTTGACCCAGTGAACGGAGTTGCGTTGTGAACATGGTAAGAGTTTAACAGAGCTGTAATTGAGTGGTCCCCATGGATGTTTTCCATATGCTCACATTGACAGAAACGGAGCGAGAGTGAAACAAAGACGGATGTGGGCGTGAAGATTTATGCTCGGTGCTGTGAATTAAAAAAACTGGTATGCTTCCTTTAAAGACGATCCGCTGCGTAAAAACACTTCATCACTGTTAAAGATGATCCCCCCTGTCTCCTGACCTGAAATCTGTGTGTAACACACACGAATGCATGCATGGATACACGCGCACACACACAGGCTGCGTGCAGAGGCGTACATTAATCATGGCATAATGGGGTACTGTGTCACATGACAGCCGTTTCTCCAACAGTTCATTATCTCCAAAAGTTAACTTTGCAAGAGTATTCCCTTCTGCAGCAGCTCAGGGAAAAACTGCTGAAACCTACAAACGCAGCAGCATTACATTCATGCAATGCATGTATGAGAGACTATTGTGTGCCTTACCTGCCAGTCTTGCAGTAGAGGGTGAGTTTCAGGCAGAGCTCTCGGTCCCTGAGGGTCATTTTCATACACCGGCTGAACCAGGCTCCTCTCGTAGTCTGAACACATCTACATACACACACAGGAACATAATGATTCACTGATTAATGTGTTAATATTTATAACAAATACATAATTATACAACAGACAGCTCCGGCCCTAAATCTGATTGGCTGAGGAACATTTGAAGCCATTGTAAAATACTCTATAAACGCACAACTATGACCGCCTCAAAGCAACTAAATTCTGTATTGCGCCAACTCACTACATACTATAGTGAATGGACTGGTATGCTGCTCATATGGACCACCAAGTGTACTGAACCTGGCTTTTGTTTAAACTGAGAAATTGACAGTTTGTTATCTTAACAACTACACTAAAAGACAGCAAGCTAAACAGACAAAGATGACCAACAATCTTTGAATTGAAGTATTTACTGAAGGATTGAAGTATTTACTGAAGGATTCACTCTCAAATTGCAAAATATAAAGTAAAGAACTGCCTGCCAAATGCCTGTTCTTCCACCCGACCTGAGCCTGAGAGGGCCAGACAAAATATTTTTATATATATATATATATATATATATATATATATATATATACTTTAAGGAATATATTATACTTTAAGGAATATGCCTATGTAAATTTGGCATGATCTCACAAATGTGATTGAGTGTTTTAAGCTTTTCTGTAAGTAGCAGCAGTAGCGTGAGAAACTTCTGTGCTGCAGGGTTAGCAGTTGATCAGGGGAAGGTAAATTCCACCATAATATACTAATACTAAATATATGAATATCCATAAGAATACACAGATGAGAAAAATACCAGTTTATCCCAGCAAGGCATTTTCTGTCAATCAACTCATGTGCTAAGCTCTGTAAAACCTTGCCTGCGCTAATCCATCTGTTACCGCATGTAAGAGGGTTTGGGTTTCAAATTCAGCAGGACGTATTTTATGCTCATGAAGACTTCAGATGCAAAGCCTCTCGTGGCTTATTGCTTCATTATCAATATAAACATATAGTCAATTACATATTTTATGAATGTCATAAAAACTAATCCTTTAGAAGAAGGAAGAAAACATTCTTTAATGTACATTAATGTAAAGAGAGTCCAGTCGTCGTAAGATGTTCACGCAATGTAAGGAGTAGTCGAGTAGGGCGAGAGTGAGGAAACAATAAAAAATGAGCAGAGAGAAAGCAGAGAAAGCAGAGGGAGTAGAGAGGAGAAGGGAGGGAAAGGGATGGAACGAGGGGGAGTGGAAGAGAGAGGCGAAGGAGGATTGTGTTGCAGGGAGTTTAATATCCCAGTAGACTGGCTGGGGAAAGAGAGCTGAGGTCACAATAAAAGTATTTATGTTTCTATTCAGGCTACTTTTCAACACCCAACATGTACACACAGACACACACACAGCGTGTTTCCATCCCCTTACAAAACATTTGCTACTACAGGCTTTGGCCTACTTACATTCTACTTACAACGAGACCACCACGGTCAGTGTGTGTGTGTGCGTGCGCGCGCGTGTGTGTGTGTGTTTTGGGTGTATCCTTGGTTTTCTTGTCTGGGTTCCCACTATTGTTCAGACAGTGCTGATGGAAATTATAATGCTTGTGGCTTTCAACACAGAGAAAAGACACACAAACGTAGCTTGTACCTTTGGGGAAAAAACCCTAACACCATACAGACTGAAGCACACACACATGCATGCACATATGCACAGTTTTTTTTCCTTTAATATGAAACATTCATCTGGAAACAGATCTGTGTTTTGTGCTGAAAAACATGCTCAGGACCATTACCACACTAATATTACATTTATATGCAGTACTCTGCTAATATTACACAACGTTGCTGTCCAAAAAACATGTATCTCTAAAAGAGTCATTTTACAGGAGAAGGCAAAAAACGTCTATAACTTTAATGTGTCCTTGTAAAGAGGTGTTTTTAGAACATATCTAAGTGATTTTAGAGCATATCTATTGCTCTATGCATCATGAATTTTTTACACAAATAATTAAAAATTGACAAAAATCAAAATACATGTTTTTTTGTTTTTTTTTGACAGGAACAATATGTTACATTCAAGTCAAGTCAAGAGGCTTTTATTGTCATTCCATCTATGTGCAAGTACACAGTGGAGTGAAATTACGTTCCTCCAGGAACAACAAGGTGCAACAAGGAACAAAAAGTACAAAGTGCGAACGTGCAGACATAAGTGTGCCAACAGAAAATTAAGCTAGAAACAATACAATAAATATGATAAATTAAACAGACATTAGACACAGTAAACAGACAGGACAGTGCAGCGCTGACACAGCAATCATTTCTGAGCATGAGTTAGTGGAATAAGGTGCAGAGATATTTAACATGCTGTGATCTGCGAGTTTACACAGTCGGATAACATACGTGAGCACAGCAGTTACTCAGGTAGTAAAACAGTGTAAAGCACAGTATTAGCAGATTAGTGCAATAGTGCATCAAAAGAGGTGGGTGTGTGTGTGTTTGGGGGGGGGGTTTAGGTCAGTCCTTGTGAATTTAAAAACCTGATTGCTTGAGGAACAAACCTGTTGCAGAGTCTGGCAGTGATGGCACGGATGCTCCGGTACCTTCTGCCAGACGTCAGCAGTGAAAAAAGTCTGTGTGAGGGATGGATGGGGTCGTCCACAATTACTATAATTGTAGAGGAATACAACTGCACTTATATTTAACCAGGGCCTAAACCTAATCCAGAACAGTCCCTGACCTGAAGCATAATCCTAATCCTTTTCTTGACCTATGGCCTTACATAATTATAACTCCAAACGTATTCAATTACTTTAACCAAAGAAATAAATCATACACACTTGGTCCAGTCATTGCATGTTGGGATGTTACTCATATAGCAGTGTTTTTTACACCTATTTTTCAAAATGTTTGCATAATTAAGTCATTAAGATGTAAACAAAGCCATTCAGAGTGACTCCTTCCTAAAGAAACTCATGTCAGAATTGTTCATAGCAGTGGTGACAGGAACCAGACATCCAAAGAGTTTAATGCCTCTTAAAGCTACATCACAGAAAGATATTACACGAAACAGTAACACAATACACTCCCTCATGTCTGAGTGATCGCCTGTTTCATTATAGTTTTGAGATAAGGTTTTGACTTAAACATCCAGTATCCTGTAAAGGCTGAGAGGTACATTCAGGGCACTGTAAGGCAAAATGGTTCCCAAAGAAATTGTATTTTTCAGATTTACTTCTATTTATAATTTTTAAATTTACATACAGTAATTCAGAATATGTATGTGGATTCTCTGATCCTTTAGGATAGTAAATAAAATGGTTATATCTGTGTTGTACCCCTGGTTCCTTTCACTACCACTGTGAAGACAGTAAATGTCTCTACAGTGCAGCACTTCACATCAAACCACTCTGAATGACACTGTTTACATCTCAACGATTGAATTATGCTGACATCTTGAAAAATTCCCATTTCATTCTGCTCTGAAGGGGTTGAGGCAAGAAACAGCTGGAAGTGTGCTGGGCAGTGAGTCCCCAGGATCAGGACTAAGAAACGTCACATAGGGCTCACATGTACCCAAATACAAGTACACATATATGCCCTCACATACTTTGTGTTAGCTCTTACCTTCGGGAAAAAGGTGCGAGTTACAAACTGTTTGTACTCGAGGAAGGGGATGCCCTGGCTGCGGTTCAGCTCTTTAGTCAGGTCAGTCATGTCCGTCTGCAGCTCCGCAAACCCTGTTACACAAACACACAGAAACACACCTTCTTCGTCACTGACATAAGATCACACATGTATACATCCAATGTGTATATCTATTATTTTTCAAAAGTTTGAAATCACTCTTTTCATTAATATAAAACCAATTTTGCAGTTATATGTATAAAATGATTATATAAGATGTTAATACTCTACAACTTCACAGGCTTCAACTAATTAGTAAGAAGCAATAAAAATAAAATGTTATATGTGTCCAGAATTCCTTACTGATAAAGCTGCATAAGATTTAGAATGAGGTTTTCATTGAATAACTAATTGATGTTCCTGAAAAATTTTAAATATTGACTAAAACGTCTTCAAATAGCTTCTTGGTGACTAAGGCATTTCAGTCTAAACTGTATGAGCTATTAATGAATAAAATAACAGCAACCATTAACACATTTAAAATTGCACACACTTTTTCTTCTAATTCACAGCAAAATACATGACATAGGATTCTAGAAATGTTACTTTTGAACATCATCCAATTTCCCTGACCAATAAAACTTCACCCAACTCAACCCCGATGATTTATCTGCTCAAATCACACAGCTTTCAGTATGAACGCTAATTCATTTGCTCATAAGAGTAATTTATGTTAATGTTTTATTAGCTTGTATGCGTAGTTCATTTTCCAAGTCAGCTGCCTGTCTATAAATTTATGGCTACATTATTATGAAAAGAAAACCAGAAGTACTTTGGGCTGATGTAATTGAATGAGCATGAATTAATCTTACATTACACACACAATATACATTATGTGGAAACTTGTGGTTTGTTCGATGTGGAGAAAAAGAAAAAGGAAAAACAAATATGAAGTTAACGCGACCACAAACCAATGGAACGTGGTGTTTGTGAGCATGTGTGTATTTTCTCGCCAGAGATTTCCAAATCTTTTCCAATAAATTCTCCCCAAGCTCTTTATCCTGTGCATATATCCAACTCGGTAAAGACGGCCTGCTAAAATAAGAAACTCAGATGTCTATACCATGTGTGGTGTATGTGTTCACAGCTAAACAAAACAGCCAACAGGGCTCTTCGTGATTTACCTAGCTAAAGTCTTACAGCATCTGCGATAGATACTGAATTAAAGTCAATAAGCAAACACAAACACAATGCATTACAGCTCAAAAGCTGAAGAAGAAAAACTATCAAACAGCCAAGTCAGCTATATTGATCAGAAAACACTCACACACTTACTCAACTGTGTAGGCAGAGCTGTTTTGATTCAGTTTCCATGAGCACAGTAATAAGTTGGGTCCTTTGGGGTGATCTTAGGCCAGTTTGGGCTTCTCTCTCAGAAAACTGAGTCTGACACAATTTCCCACCCTTACCCCAAATACAGTCCATCAGCCAAGACATGCTTTGTGTCTGAAGTTTACCCCCTTAAGGCCTTGGTGTACTTTCAGTGAAACAAAGCTAACGTGGGTTGCTAGAAGTATGCGGTTTCATCTTTGAACGATGGCACACCTCTTTGGCTACGTTCACACTGCAGGTAAAAGTGGCCACAAATCTGATCTAATTCTTCATATGTGACACAGAGTTTTTTTTGTGTGGAAAAAATACACTGAATCAGATGTTTTTAATTCACACTTGTCCTGAAATCCAGTTCACAGCAATGTGACGTCTGTCTGAACAGTCAAATCAGAATTCCTGCAACTTGTACATCAATTCACGTCAATCTTTATCATATTTTTCACATGCAGGAATCATCAAAGCAAATGTTACTATGGTTACATGCTTCACATCTTCCGTTCTGGAGAAGCGAGACAAGCAGATGCAGTGTAAACAAGTAAACAGGAACTTTTTATAAAGAGAGAAGCAAAAAAGTTAAAGGAACCTCACACATTCAGACAGACCTTTTTGGCAGAGTTTGCGTATTAACATTCTTCTCCACCGCAGGTTGGACAGTTGTGTATGTTGGATCAGCGTGCCACATGGATTTTGGGACTGATGTTATGTATAGGTCACATTAAAGCTAATGTGAATGACCACACAACAAAAAACAGATTTTGTCCATCAGTCCAGATACTGGGCTTCCTAAGAAAACAATACATCCTTTACAACTGATACAAAATGCATCAACACGCATCCTAACAAAAACGAAAAAGAGGGATCACATCACTCCCGTTTTAAAAGAACTGCACTGGCTACCTGTATCTTTCAGTCATTTTCTTATATCTTTCAGTCATTTTCTTATATGATTCTAAATTAATGCTTATAATTTCTTGTATTACTGTTCTTCATCACCTGTGTGTAAAGCACTTTGAGCTGCCACCGGCATGAAAAGTGCTATATAAATGAAAATTCTTCTTCTTCTTATTATTATTATTGTTTGGGCAGCACATCCACTTTAGGCCATTTTACCTGCAGTCTTAAAAGCCCTTTGCACCAGACAATTATGGGCATTTTCGCAGTGTGTTTGTCCATGAACAGCAGGCAAAGTCTCTGTGCTGCGGTTGTTCATTTTCGTCACAATTATGTCATATTGTTAAAGAAGATTTAAGGCAAATGTCACCTCCCAATAAAGATACTGAGGTCTTTACTTTGCTGCAGCTACGAGGCTAATGTAGCTAACAACTAATAGAAACTTACAGCCCACCTGTTTGCATTGTGCAAACTGCATGCCTAAATCACCACACACTTGTCTCAAAGTGTTATTAAGTATTCTAAAACAGACTTGTTTTTATGTTTTTGGACACTGCATTACATACTGTTACCTATAAAAAATGGGGGCATAAAAGTATGGACAAAATTCAGCCTTCAGCCTTTTTTAGCCTAATTATGTACATTTGTCCATTTTAGTGCGCCGTACAGTGTCAGAAACCACACAGGCATGTCCAGTTGAGATTACTGAACAACTCAACATGGTTTGAGGAAAGTGTGTGATGATTTAGACATGTAGTTTGCATGATGCAATTTTGTGTACATAACTTGTTTGTACATAACTTGTTAGCTACATTTGCCTCACAGCTCTCGTAAAAGGCAAAATCATGTTGAAACATACATTTATAGACATCAATTTAAAAAAGAAGCAAACTTCAGACACCAAACATGTCTTGGCTGATCGACTACGTCTGGGGTGAGAGGAAGATTGTATAAATTTAATAAAATATCCATCTTATTACTGTGAGTATGTGTGTGTGTGTGTGTGTGTGTGATGCAGAATCAGCAGTGTTGAGAAAGCAAGCGTGGGTGCTCTTCGGGGGGAGAGGACAGGAAGTGAGCGCTCCTCGTATTGTTTTCAACACAGGATGCACAAAAGCGCGTGTTTGTGCGTGTTTGCAGACCCTGTCACCGTGGAAACGTGCCTGACCGGATGGTGGGGGTTAGGAGGGGGTCGAATCACAGAAAAGGGTGAGAAAACACAAGGAGGAGAACAAGTCTCATTATCTTGGACACAGATATACACATCCACAAGGGTGCTTGGGTTTAAGGGGGCCACTAAGTTTCATTTCTATTTTCTACTGACCACACTGGTTCACACCCTGCCTTCTGCTTTCAGTAACCTCATTCTACTGTCCTAAACCCAGACCTCACAATCACAGCACACACGCGAAAGCCTCATAATGGCACCACAAACACGTTGAATTTACTTAATTCAAATACTAATTTACTTGTCACAAACAGTCCCCATTAATTAATATCAACAGAACTGTAAATGAGCTAAAAAGGCTAAATTTCATCTGTTGTTCCTTTATCTGTGGTAAAGAGGCAGTGCATCACTCCATGTTACAGATTTCACATATGTTACATCAACATTATTTCCAAATGTAAATAAATTACATAATAAACTGAAAGACAAAATCATGTATATATACTTTAGTGGGGGACTGAATCAATGAATCATATATTTTGGAAATTAATCAACAAATCATTTGAATCAAGTAAATTCTTTTTTTTTCTTTTTTTGGATTTTCCCCCCAATTTAGTCGTATCCAATTCCACCCACTAGGTAGGACTCCCCCTATCACACGATACCACCAGCGCTACTTAAGCAGAACTAAACACAACAGCACGAGCATGGAGAAATGAGTGAAACAGGCACGTTTTTGGACTGCATCTACTTACTAAGTACACTGTTGCGTTTTTTTTGTGGCAGAAAAGGAAGTGCTGGCATACTGAACAAATGAATGAATAAATGGACAAAAGACAGACAGACAGACAGATGGATGGCTAGCTTGGTGGTTAAGTTATGCTTGCTAGGTTAGCTTTTCCCCAGTTATTAGCATTTGCTTGGATGTTAGTTGTTTGGTCTCGCCCCCCACGTCTCTCAGACTCAAGCCAAGAAAGACCGTGGGTGAACACAGTTTTGTTAAAGCTGTTTGGGCAGGAAAACCACATCAGCCTTGTCACTGGTGAGGGTACTGTTTATGCAATCTTTACTATGCAAGAGTAGGACCTTCGCCTCTATGCCCATATCTCTTGATTAGGTCCATTGTGGAATTCAGGCGTGTGTGCTGACCGTTCACTTCCTCTTTCCCTTGTCATACACACCTCGGCCATGCTCACACACACACACACACACACACACTCTCTCTCTCTCTCTCTCTCTCTCTCTTCCCCCCCCTCTCTCTCTCTCATGTCCTTGGCATCTCTTCTGGTTATAAATCTGTCAAGGCACACTGAGGCCTTCAAACTTGAACATTATACCCCTCGGAACACTAAACACATACAGACACACACACACACACACAGACACACACACACACAGACACACACTTTTCTCTATGCCTTTCTCATCTCTTTCCACTTACGAGCACCGGCTCTTTTTATGAACCGAGTTACGTGCACACACACGTTCATCCACATCTCCTCTGCTCTCTTGTAAACATAAGTGCCTGAAATGAGATTTCCACTCTTTTAAGACTCTCTTCAAGAGCCTGCTTCTACACTTGTGTGTGTGTGTTACCTTTGCGTATCTCCTCTCTGATCTGTGACTCCATTTCCTCCATCTGTAAGAGGGTCTTCTGCCAGTATCGCTCTGCCCTCCGGCTCTTGGTGCAGTATACCACCAGCGCTAGAGAGAGAAATAAGAGTACAATGAGAATATTGGTTTTTCTTTCACTTAAAAAGTGATTTAACTTGATTCACATGTGTATATCATTGCCACATTAAAGGGCCCATCCTACATTTTTCTTGAATGTTTTACTTTTTTTAGTTTTATTTTCACCCTTAAGTCCACTTATGATGTTTGTGTAGGTCTTAATTCATTTTTACATGACAATATTTCAACCCCTCTTTAATCCTTAGAATTAAACTTGCTTTTTATGTAGACACTGTTAAAGTTTCAAAACCTACTGTACACTCATCACTGCTTACAGTCCATATATGGAAACTGAGCTGCAAAAACAGCCCATTTTGAATTCATTTGTTTTTGTGATGTCATGTAACTAGCTCAATTGCATATCCCCATCCATTCGGATGACAGCAGTTAAGCCTGCCCTTTCATGCTGAAGTTATAAAGAGAGTTTCAGCCCAAACTGCACAATACAGGGCAGCCCAACGGAACAGAGCTCATTTACATATACCAGTCTTAAACACACAGTAACAAAAATTCTCAGGGATAAGAGGTTGAAAAATGGGAATGTAAATGACTGTTTTGGCACATATAACCACACAAACAATGTAAGTGTACCTTACAAAAAAATTTAAATTGATAAATGTAGGATAAAACGTAAACAGGTGGAGCTAAACTGCTGTACACTACAAAGGCAGATGTATGCAAATGTGCTGGTTTTTGTATCGTCACAGCTCAGTTTCCAAATATGGACCACATGAGGAGTGAAGGGTATGTTTTGAAACTCTAACAATGTTTACGTGTTTCATCCAACTCTTTTACTAAAAAAAAAGAAGAAAATTGAATAAGGGCCATTTAAAAAAATTACATTACATCAACAAAATTATTGTGCTGATGTAATAGACTTTATTCATGTGGAAACGATGTACACAGCTGAATCAATGCATTACTGTTTTCAGTGTATTACTTCTTGTGTATTGTTTTTGTCCATCTGCTGCGTCAACAAAAGCCCGAGCAGTGGCTCAGGTCCACACTTCCAGTTGACTGTTTTATTCAATGGAGTCTCAAAGATTAAAGACCTACAACAGACACCACAGAGAACAGTGGGGGCTTTGTGTTTGCCAGTGGATGTGTGTGTGCGCCAAATGCCGGGAGAAGCCTTGACCCCTCTGTCCCCCCTTTTATCTCGGCCACATCTGGAGCATCTGTCTCCACAACAACAGACTGTCCATCACACACAGATTCGCACACTTACCCACAGTGCATAGCAGCAGGAGGACACAGCAGACTGCGACGGTGACGATGATGGCCAGTTCACTGCCACCCATCTGAACCACTGCTATCTGTTTATGGAAATTGCCAACATGCACCTGAGAGAGAGAGAGAGAGAGAGTGGGGGAGAAAGAAAGAGAGGGGGGACAAAAACATTAATAAAAATGGTTACTACTATAAAATGCATTTGCACATTATAACACATAGTTTTGCTTTGTTATAATTTATTTGAGAACTGCTTTTAATATGACAAATCGAAAATTCCCCAGCATATTGGCCTAATCCTGACTGTTCACAGCCACAACAGATTGCTTTTAAAACTGCACACAAACCGCACACACAGAATAAAATGAGTGGTGTCACTGAGTGTAAGCAGTTTTGTTTCTGCTTTCTAGAAATTCCTATGTGCAGTCACGACCAAAGCTCCCACGTCTTTGTCCTCCAGAATCACAACCACACTTCTTAAGTAGAGGCATGTTTTTATTTACTTAAGCATCTTAAGACTCTTTAATACTGGTTAACCAGTTTTGTAATTACATATTTGAAGGGCCCAAATCATGAACAACCACATTTTCCTCTTTTTATTTTCTTTAAATTCTGGAATTAATATGTAAGGAAGTAATATATAAACATGTAAACAAGTGTCAAAGCATATCATTCACTACACTTTACTTGTCAAGTAAAATTATCTTAACTCTGGTCAATAAATCTAATATTTCTCCTGTTGAGATTGTTGTAAGCTTATTTTAAGATTATCTTACTTAATTCTAAACATTTTTTACTTGTATTTTAGTAAATTTAAGTAAATTATATACTATATTGGCAAAATGTGCTTGAAACCAGCAAAATTATCTGCCAGTACAGTATAATTTTTCTTAATAAAATCATTTAAAACTGGTAAAAGCGTCTAGAAATAAGCTAGATAATCTTATAAAAAGTGAACAACCATCTCAAAATATGAAATATTACATAAATTGACTAATTTCGCTTGACAAGATACTATTTTTTACCATTCTGTCCACATATGAAAACTATTCTGAAAAACAGCCTGTTTTGAATCCATGGTTTCTGTGATGTCACCAGAACCCTTTTACATATATCCACCTATTCAGCCTACAGCCTAGAGCAGTTTAGCTCCACCCACTCAAACCATTATAAACAGTGTTGTGCTTTTTGAATGAGGCATGAAACAGGACAGTAACAAGAGTAGCCTGTTTAGTTCTGAGTGGTAAAGAGAAGTTATATGTACCAATATTGGTACATATAACCACACAAGTCAACCTGGAAACAGGGAAACAATAATATACAAGAAAAGCAGAATATAGACCCCTTAATTAAATAATGAGGACCATAATAAACTACATGTATATTCCAAAATCTTTCTGAATCAAGTTTGACATTTTTCTGTTTGCTTTGATGTCAAGAAATGATAAAAACATGGCAAAAATATATGGCATGGTTTTCCATTTCTCAAAACATGTATTCATATAACAGCACTGACTGAAAGTTTAGTATCTACACTTTGGACACATTTTCTCTGCTTGTTTCACTGAGATATGAGTGACACATAATTAATATCACATTGCTTCATGCTTTTACTATCACCAGCGATAACTGTGACTTCAAACGGTTAAGAGGCTAATGAACAGTGCAGAAAGCACCGGTTTTCTTCTTTCTGTTTCGGCTCCAACTTCAAGGATTCTCTTGATCCCTCGCCAACAACTGCTCTCTCCCACTCTCTCACACTATCACACACAAATATACACTTTCTCACACATTTATAAATAGCCTCCCCAAAAATGAAGAGTATTAAACAGCAAGCATGAAGCACAAAATATTCTTCCAGAGAGTTTCTCTTCATTGCATGCACAGTCTCTCTAAAAGAGGAACCAGAGGAACTCAAACCTCAGGACAATCTCACAATAACGTGTGTCCATTAAGGCTGTGACTATTGATTACATTAGTAATCAGGTAATGTACTGATTATTTTGCTGATGAATTGAGTAATCAGAACAAAGAAGGTCAAAGAATAAGAATGGACTTAACAATAACAAACCATGCTATTTCAAAGACTCCAAAATAGTTTTCGTAAGGTTCATTTCATTTTTTTAATTATTTATTTTAACTGTGTAATGGTAACAACTTTACTGTCAATACTGTGGCTGAGTGTGGTCTCCATGGGTATAAAACTGAGGCCCAAACCCCACCCGTACCCATGACTTTGAGACCCAATTCGACTAGGCCCGACTGGTACTGCTAAATTTAAGACCTGAAAGTTTTACAGTGCTTTGCTTTGTTACTAAGTGCCTGTGTTGACAGACAGAAAATAAACCAAAAAACTCCTAAACATTCAGCTGAAAGCTGTGCTTTTGCTGTAGCTGATGCAAGCAAGTACTCAGACACTGACATTAGCCACGTTTGCAGCCTAATAATCTGTTAATAATCCAACTAATAGCTTAATCGGAAAAGAGTATGTCCATGTATATACCTCAATCGGAAAGACTAGTCCGATTGAGGCCATTCGGTATACAATTTCTATCTGACTGAACGAGGTGGGTAATCCTGTAAATTATCCGTTAAATAGAAGAATAATCATGATTACATTCCCAATTGGAAAGTTTATGTACGTTCTGCGCATGTGCGTTCGTGTCATAGCGAAATCTTATAACATTCAACATGGCGGGAGCAGAAACTGGTCTGCAGAGGAGACGGAGTTTATGCTTTGAACTTTAAAAGACGGTGGTGGGACGGGTGTCCAGCTCATGTGTCTCAGAACACAACGTCTTCCTCTCGCCCTTCTTTAATAAGTACATGTGAAATACGTTTTCCTGAGTCTGACATCATTTTAAAGTAATTAAGAACACAAGCATTGCCCACTGCTGCTCATCTCACTCCGACTGGACTCACGCTTGTTGTCATGGTAACGTCTACACTAAGCGGTACCCTACGCATTAGCGTAAATTTGGATCGGACTATGTAAATGGAGATGTAAACGGCGATTTTCCATCAGATTGAGTGAACATATAAACACCTCAGTCTTAATCAATAATCGGAACATATTCAATCAGACAGGCAAAAATCTTGTGTGTAAACACAGCCATTGGCTAGTAGCTGCTGTGGAATGTCTGCACGCTCAGTAAATGCGTCACTGAGGAGCTCAAAATACTAATGCAAGCTTGACAACCCAGTGAGCTTCTTATTTGATGTAGTGACCAGGTCATAATGTTTTGACGGTAAAGACACCCGTCACTTATCTGTAGTGGGCTTTGTTTTTATTTTGTCCATCCAAACCTGGTGATCAGGTTTGATCAACCCAGCAAACATCCAAACTGCGCTCCATCTCTATTACTTTGATTTGACAATCTTTTGAGTGATAAAAGGTATGTCCACATACACAACAGCTATTAGCAGACACAAACCCAGAAAAGTGTCTCTAACAGCGGCTCTAAATGCTATTACGGTTAGCTATTGCAGCAAGTATATGTAGACTAAACGGCTCTAATTTGTAATCATCAAAATTTCAGGGTATTCTAAAAGCAGTGGTCAGTAACGATTTCTTCAGAATTAATTTTTGTGAACTACTAACATTAATGGCTCATAAACAGTTTTGATGTTGCTAAGGACAAATCTAATAACACTTGGAAGAGCTACATTGGTGTCAGAGTTGGATATGACTGGCTTACAAACAATTAAGTCTGATTCAATTGGTCAAGCTCAGTGTTTTTTTTCCTCAATTTCAAATTGCAGAGGACTGTTTATGTTTATGTTACAGAAAGTTAGAGAGGCCGGTGTGTTTCCGCATCATCCACTGAGAAGAAAATAATGAACCTTGTGCAGATGGAGTCTGCCCCTTGTCTAATTAAACTGTTAGCTCTAGCATTAGCTCATACTGATTTAACCTACAGTGGCTAAAAGGTGTCACTTTGCTTTTAAATGACAGACGCAGTTTAATTTTTTTATTAAAAAACAATGCTGCTGAATTCATTAGTAAAAGTAAGTGTATTTCCAGTGGAAATTTACATAAGGATTTTCCCTCAAATACAAACAAGTTTACTATACAAAACTGTCATTAGAAAACAAACTTAAGCCTAACATGGGCCTGATGTGAAAAATGGCCCTGAACCCAGCCTGAAACGTGATATTCCGTCAGGCTCCGTTGAGCTTGGGGTGGGTAGCAGACCTCTAGCGTCGAGCTGGGCATTCCCGAGAACACACACAAACCGCCTGTCTTATGAGATTTCACTTGACCTCTGACCTGCACGTCTCATTGGCCTTGTTTGCTCTCTCGTGTCTGTATGTCGGGCTAAGTACACGAGTTTGGAATTCCTCTCAGGCGTTCCCTCTTTTGTCCGCCACTGCTTTCTCATACTCTCTCGCTCTCTCTCACACTCTCTCTCTGGCCTCTGGTTAACTGTATCAGTGTCTGCCCAGGTCATTAGCAGGCTGGTGGGTATTAGAGTCAGCAAGGTTAAATATAGCTGTTTTTCTTTCCCTAATAAGCATAAACAATGGAAAAGAGGCACTGACACACACACAGTCGGAAAGGCCTTGATATCACTGCACTGCTGAAGCTGGCGTGGCTTTGATTAGCTCTTATTTTGATGGTGAAATTATCTTTCGAGTCAAAACAGCAGCAACTCCACCAGCGCCTGCTTCCAGCTGCTCAGGCAGACAGGGCTGCGAATCAGAGGAGGCAGGATAAAGGCAGCGAGATAAACGGGGGAGATAAAAACCCCGGAGTGGTTTACTGTAGCACTGGGTGTGTGCTGTCCTCCATGTCACTAAAACATGATGGGACAAGTTGATAGGGTTCACGTGTATGTGTATGTGTGCAGTGTATTCCAGCTTGATGGGGGTCCGTTTCTGTGGGCTTTAAAAGCACTGGCAGTAGTGCTTCTCACAGGGGAGCGTGGGTAGTGTAGTTTCTTGTTCTGCTGCTGGTACCGCTGCCCACATTAACCTCATGAGGGTATTCAGAGCTCGTCTCATGCTAATTAGCAGGATACCTATAAGGGTTGTTGCCCAACATAACAACAAAAAAGTCTAGCAGTTTGTCAAATGTCTGCAGTAGGACTGCCATGGTAAGTCGATTAAACTTGATTTTAAATTAAATTAAGGCTTTTTAAAAGTTGTCTTTGTATCTTTTTCCAGTATTCAGTATTTGCATGCAGGGTTTGCTATCGTAAGTCTTAAGTCTTCATTTTTTTTCAAGAAACCCCTGATTACTCAATTTATCATCAAAATAATCAGAAGATTCTTGAATTATTAATATATTCTATAGAGAATAAGACTACTTTTAAATGTTTAATACAATATATTTACTAATATGTGTTTATCAGCGATGCTAAACTAGGCCTCACAAAAGGTCTACTGTGATAATGAAGTGGGATTTCTGACACCATATCTCCACCATATCCCAGGTTCTGGACACCAGTATCCCTCACTTCCCCTACTTGGAAACTTGAAATCTAATCCCACTATTGACCAACGAATTCATTTTTAAATAAATTTGGCTGATGTAAGAAAACCTCCATATTTTTGCTGTTGCAAGAGTTTTCTTTTACTTGTTGTCATTTCATACAGTGAATGTGTCTTGTGGTGTAGTTTAACCCCTCAAATGGCCATTGGCAGGCCCAAAGTTTTTTACACACTTCTATAACCTAAGAATAGTGCAACCAGTTTGCATTGAAGTCCCTGTGGTTACTGAATAATAAAGATGTGAAAATCCCATGATTTTAAAGAATTAAGCAAAAGATCATTATTAATGAAACTAAACTCACAGTAACGGGCAGCTCTCCTGTCCTGGAACTCAGTGTTCTGTTGATGGTGCAGTAGATCATCTGTTCATTATTGAAGGTGATGTCACAGAGATCAGAGCCAATCATGACGGAGTATTCCTCCTCTGTTAAATCCAACTGGCTTGGCCCTTTCTATCAGAGGCAAAACAAAGGAAAAACACTGGGTTAAAATGACAGTTTGACTACAAATGTTACTGTGGTTAATAAAGATGAAAAAATATGCAGAAATATGGAAAAGTTTGAATACCTATGGTCAAATGACTTGTTCTCTTTGTCCCTCTACAGGGAACAAACTTAGTGGACAATTTCTATTTATTTACTGAATTTAACATATTGGAAAAAAATAAAACATAAAACACAATATTATCTTTTGCACAGGCCACATTTTGTGTTTAATTCCTCCAACAGTCAGCAAATAAACAGTAACTGTGCAAGTAAGTGTGTTCCCCGAAGAGGATCTGTACTTATTACTGTATTACTGTATGGTGACACTCTTATATAAACTCAATGACCACTTTATTAAAAACCTTTGCTGTGTACTTACACTCACTGCCCACTTTATGAGCTCCATCTACCTTACAGATTCACAGCATAGACTTACAATTACAGCCCAGCTGTTTTCATGCACAATTTGCCAGCTATTGTTTTCCTCGTTCATCACTGGTCAGTTTTGGGCTTTAGGATGGCCAACACAAACTGTCTATGTACACATATCAAAGCACAAAATAACAAGAATATTCACAGAACATTTTGTTTGTGTGTTTGTGTCTGTATACATAACAGATGTTCTGTCTGGCTCCCTCAAGCAATGTGTATGTGTGTGTGTGTGTGGACAGGGCAGCGTCTGAAAAGGAAGAGTTTTCGGAAGCTCTGATTAAACTCTAGGAGCTGTGTGCCATTCCCTTCACCAACCACCCAACAACAAACACTTCCTCACGCACACACAAACACCTCCCATATCACTCAACAAAATACTTCTGATTCTATGCCTTTACTTTTCACTCTGAAGACATAACGTGCATGTACGAAAGCGCACACACACACACACACACACACACACACACACACAAACACGCATTATTTACATCCACCGAGTCATCACAAACACATATTTACATCCTCTTTGTCAAAACAGGAATGCTTTAAATGACATCCACATTCCAGCAAAATCAAAACTGGAACCGAGTAAACAATTTCTTTCTCTCTCTCTCCCACACACACACAAACACTCTGAGCTTTTTACCACACGCACTTTGCTGGCGAAAGGAATTCTGCCTCAGCTTTCATTTTAATGTGGTAAGAGGACTGAAAACCAGTTGACTCAAAAGACATTTATAAAAGAAGCCAGTGGGTAGGTGCTTTACCCGTGTTTCAGTTCGACAAGTTTTCTGTTCTTTTGCATAGTACGGGGAAATTACTGTGTGGGGACTGACTGTTTGGTACAGATGTGGCAGATGGAGATTAGGTGGGAGAATCCCATAAAAGTCCCATTATGTGCACATTTCAGTCACATTAACTTGCATGTTCCACTGTCTATGTCATGTCATGTGACTCTGTGATATTGCATATACCCAACACTGTGTGTGTGTGTGTATATATATATATATATATATATATATATATATATATATATATTACTATTAGTTACAAGTTAGTTAGTTACTATTAGTTACAAGTGATTTTAGAGCATTTGTAAATATAAAATATTTTTATACAAAAGTTTTAGATACCCAAGAAAATTAGATTTGGAAAGCTCTTCATTTGGTCAGTAATAAGTAATATAAGTAATTATTTTATGTATGACAATGTATTCATTTAACCATTCGTAATACCTGAATTGGCTAATCAATACTTCATTATGTTAAATCAAGTAGGCTTGACAGAATTTAACAAATGCAATAGATGGGAAAAATCTGGAACCAAACTAGCTCAAATTCTACTGAGCTAATACTCATTTTCTTTATTTTTATGGCATTTCTGTTTATATGCATTGATTCTAATAGCTTTAGATAATGTGCTTAGTTGGACACTGTGCAAAAGTCTTAAGCCACGGTCACATCAGACGTGAGTAAAATGTGTCTGGAAAAAAGCCATTAGTCACTCGAACAGCAAAGGACAGCAAAGGAATGCATGTAGCAATTCCAGTACTTCCAGTAGAGGTTAATTTTGCTTCATGTCGAGTTCATCTAGGTGAACTTTAACCCCACAAATTTTCTCAGCCAACTTAATGTTGCTTGTCAGAAAAAAAAAATAGTTAACCAGCTAATGTTAGCCATATACCAAACTACTTTCCCCAAAAACAACCTCTCATCAAGACGCCTATACTGACTCGATTGTTGCTCCACCCCTGCAAAAAAGGGTATCAGGTGTGACCGCAGCTTTAGGCTGTTAGAAAAACAGATTTTGTTCCTGACTTTTCGGTGCACTTCAGCCATTGCATGGATTTGTTAAATTCCAATAGCATCTGATTTTATTAAAAGAAGGACTGATTAACTGAAGAACATTCTGTATGGTAATAATCCACTAGGCTTCCTCAAAGGAGAGCTCAAATTCGCACACATAAAATGATAATGTATTGTTTATTTGTTTGTGTTTATTCTAATGGCACTCAGTATTTATTTTTTCAGTTTGATATATAAAGCGCTTCCTCAGATGCCGAAACCTTTTGCACAGTACTGTACACATGCAGCCTCTCAGCTAAGAACACCTGTTTTAGTGATCAGTGGAGAACAGTTAAATAGCCTTTTCTGTCTGGCTGAATGAATGAATGCATCCTCTCTGGCTCACACCTCAGATGCACCTCCGCTGGAATCCACCCTCTACTTCATCCTTCCTTATCCCCCCATTCTTTCTGCAGGAAATAACCAGCCCGACCCCTGTTAGGGACTTCCTCTCAGACCTCCTCAAGACACTTGACGCGCCCGACCACACGGATCCACACGTCTCTGCAGCTTCCTGATCAGCGAGTGTGTGCGTGTGTGCCAAACTTGTGTGTCTGCAGGGGTAAGCAGTTTCTGTGGGGATCCAGGGGTGCCCTTTTATGTTGTTATTGCAGACGTGAGGAACATGTGTGTGTCAGACACAAGCAGACACACACACACACACACACAAAGCATCTTATGTCAGCTGAAAAGAGGAGGTCATAATGAGCTGGCTGGCTGCTTTAAGCAGGAGATGGTGTTTGGCATAAGAAACCTCTTTAATGTAGGTGTGGGTAAGGTTGGGCGATATGGCAAAAATGTCTTAATGCGATACTTGAAGATGATACTTTTCATGATATGTACAATGTATTATTAGTGCCACATTTAAAAACAGCCATCAATAGCTCTGGTACAAAGAGTCTCATTAACATTTCATATACTGCACTACAGCAAATACAGTTAAACAGAACTAATTATGCTCTCTTTGTAACAAAACATGCACACACACACACACACACATACACACACACATACACACACACACACACACACACGTAATCACTCACACATATACACACACCACGCACACAGGCTCTAGATGACGAGTGTCTTCAGAATGTGGCATACAGTTTAAACTCACATTGATGACGAGTAAGAGAGGTTCACCAGGATGGTGCTTGATGAGTTTCTCTTTGCTGGCTGTGTAAAACTGAGGGTCCTCCACATACTCGAACAGGAAGAGACCTGCATGAGTCCCCTCCTCTTCCTCCAGGTCCAGCCCAGTGGAGGCGTGGCTTTCCCCTCTGTACAAAATCCCATTCAGGTAGAACTGAGCTGTGACTTGCTGTGATTGGCTGGCAGCAGGTGAGGGGCACTCAAGGAGATTAGGTGACTGGATTCTGCATTTCTGCCAATCAGAAATCACATACAAGTCACACTGGGTAACTAATTAAAGATACAAACAATCTCATCCTCCTTTCTAAAAATAACAATCTCTATAATATTATGGGTTTTTTTGGAGAGTAGATAGATCCAGTACAGTATATAGCCATCAACCACTTTATAGTTACAGACTGTGACTCATCTGTTGCTACATATTTTGTCACATTTCATTTCATTGTTGTTCAGTTACAGACCACAGGACTCCTGTTAGTCACATATTATTTGGGTGGTGGACCAGTGTATTAGGTGATATCCAGCCAGGAGTTTCACCAGATGGGCTACAGCAAAATACACCCGCAAGGTGCAGCCACAAAGATGTTTCCAATAAAGTGGCCAGTAAGCAAAGAGATCAGGTTTTAAACAAATTATCTATGTTTTGCTTCGAGGAAGGAAAAAATTGTATTTGCCAAAGCACTTACCGACTTACCAACACCCAGCACCTCCATTTCGGCTTTCTGGACCAGATCAAAACTTTGACCAGTCACAGAGATGATGCGCCCACCACTGAAACAAAAACAAACCCATTTGGTCACCGATGGGGGCTTCACTCGTTTGTTTTCGCAGACTATATCAAAGTGGTATGTGTGTATCTTACCTCAGATAACTTTTTTTTGGTTTGATGTCGCTGATGGTGGGATTATTTTTGTAAGAGAACATACTGCTGAGATGTTTCTCACACGGCTTCCCATCATACTCCACACACACCGACACGTCCTCGGCATGATCGGGCACAGCCGGGGGCATCCAACACTCGATGATGTCACCAGACAGCCTGTAAAACAAAGGAAGAAAAGTAGAGACGATGATGTCATGGTTATAGAGCAGATACCAGTATTATGAGAGACAGCTGCAACTGGACTACAAGACATCCTGCATAGAGGCAGATTTAGTGTTTGTGGGGCTCTAGGCAAAAAAATAGGAATGGAGCCCACTGTATGCACATTTGTAAATTAGTTGAGGCTCTGGGCTTCTGAGTGGCCATGTACACCACAAAAAAAATAATCCTGGCAAGGGAAATCATCTAAAATCAAGTCAATATATATCTAACATTTCCCATTTTGAGATTGTTGCAAGAGTATTATAAGATTATTTAACTTATTACTAGACTTTTTTTTTACATGTTTTAAGAAATAAGCAACATTATTTGACAACACAGTGAGATCACTACAACTTTACAGCAGAAGGAAAAAAATCTACTTTACTTTTAATGTAAGTCAATGGAACCAGACTTTTCTCCAAGTCATTTTGGGCCATTTATTTTGGTTCGTTCATCATAAAATTTACAGACACTGTAAAGGGCAACAGGCATTTTCAAAGTACATCTAAAACTGAGAAATGACAAAAATGGAGATAAGAGGTTTTGTTACAACAGCAGTGACTAGTAATTAAAATCTACAAGTCTGTAATTCTTTTTGCTCATTTTTATTTAATAGAATTATCAGACTTCATGTATTTAAACTCAATCATTTTGGTACTACTGTTATTGCAATCTTTAGCTTTAGTTGGAAACAAAAAGGTTAAAATATTAAAATGGAAAACTGTCCAATCAGACATCTTTCCACCATCATTTCTAGTTAGATTCCACCAAGATAGCTTTCCCATCAATTAGGACTTCAGGAGCTTCAGGACATGATACATAAACTTCCAACATAACTAGGAAACGACAGTGCAATCAACCAACCATGTTTTGATTGTCAAAGGGTGGGACCAAGTATGTAAGAAAAATGTCAGTCTTGGCCTTCTGGAAGATCTAGATAGGTTTGTTAGAAATGGAAAACAGGGATGGCTCTATGCAGGGCTCTTCACTGAGAGTCACGCTAAACCTGCTATACAGTACAATATCCAGTAGGTTCTTACACAAGCTGTAAATGTCAGTGTTCAATCTAGAACGGTAAAAAAATGTTTATGTGCACCAGTGTTAGCCTTATGCTATAGGGTACTATTAGAAATCCCATAGGGACGCTACTGGGAAATTAGCATTACCGTAGACTTATTTTTTCTACTTTTTGACAGAGTTTTGACATTTATTGCCCAGACTGAAAGCATAGCTCTAACAGTCGTGGGTCGTGACTGCTATAAACAAATGCAGAAGCACACACTCACTTGTCAATTTCGCAGTCCTGAGTGCTGTTAACCTTCACTTTAACCGCAGATCCAGTTTCCAGGGATGTCCCCGTGATGGTGAGTCGTGTTCCCCCAGCGATGGGGCCTTCTTTGGGTATCAGATCGATCAGCCTGGGGTCCTGCAGTGTGGAGGACAGAGCACAGTGAGCTTTACTCTTACCCTTTTCCCTCTTTTCACTCTTAAATCTTATTTATGTCATTTAGTTGTTACCTTTAAGACGTATCATTCGGTAAATAATACAAATTATTCAGTAACTACTACAAAACTAGCATGTAAGTTAGTGTAGTTAGTAGAATGAGAAACTGAATTGTAGGCCCACATATGGGCCACTTAGAGTTTGAGGAATATTCTTGTGTTTTCTATCGTTTATGTTTGATTTATTAACTGCTGCATCTGTAGTATATGATCAATTACCACAGACAATACTTTCTGTGGTAAAACTGCTGAAGCATCCGCTCATTGTTTTCTTTTATAAAAGTGCTTCTATAAATGGTTTTCTCTACTCTTTTTCTAAGAACAGGCAATTGCATCAAAACTGTCCACGGTAGTCGATCAGATGCGCAGATGAGCAGACAGACATTAGATTGAACACCAGTATGTTTCTGTACACGGCAATATCACCACTAGTCCACATGCTGCTGTGAGACTTCTTACACGTACAGGAAAGAGGGATATCTCTCTACAGGCTACCTGAATCCTTTAGAACTGACGGATTCTTCTTTCTCATTCTTTGCACGTTATCCCCTCTTTCTCTCTCCCTCTTCCTTGGTTCTCTCTTTTCCCAACTCACATTACTTGTCAATGACCTTATTCTCCTTTTTCAAAAATACTGTAATTACTAGTTGCCAGTGTAAACATGTAATTTATTTATGAATCGTCAGGATGTGGCAGTAAAATAACAAATCACTGACATGACATTCATTCTGCCCGTACGTGCTTGTCTGTGCTTAGGTTGCCCGCTATTCACCATCAGTTAAAACTCACAAAATGATTCATTTTCATTTTCTCCAGTCTGCAATCAAACCTTATTGGTGGCTGTGATGGATTTTGAAAGTAGTCCAGAAAAGCACAGGACTTTTCACCTGTGACTGCATTTTTAAACTAGCCCAATTTGGTGGAAATGTTGCAACCTGGCATAGAGTTGCAGAGCTAATAGATGGCGAACAGTCCATTGTGGGAGAAAATGGGAGAGAGTGAAATTATACTCTAATGATGAAAACAAAATGATAATAATAAAGAGACTTATACAGAAGACCTGTTACATACGATGGGGTCAAAAATGTAAGACCACTAGTAAAAATGCTTCTATTTTGCATTCTTTGCAAAATTAATACAAAGCTTTTCATTACAAACAATATTTTTAGCATAACAAGTTGAGTGAGAAGTAGAATATTTGAAATTTTAATACGAATTTCAGAATTTCTTAGCATTTCTTATCTCTCCCTTTTGCTATAATGAACATGCACTCAAGCTGCCTCAAAGGTTTGTGCAAAAGCTTCTGTTGAGAAGACCAAATTTACCTGAGAGTTGTCTCAACACGAGCTTGAATGGAAGGAATAAGACTCAAACAAATCTCACCAAAGGCCCTAGCATGGCTACAAATTTGCTGAATTCTATTTGCTTAATTCTAAAATGGTCTGTTGTTTCCAGGTTTAAATGAAAAAAAGAAATCAGTAAGGTCTCAGACTTTGGGATGCCTGTTACAATCGCTTATATTATTAACACTTATTACTCGTGTTTAATATGTTGTATTTTATTTTTGATCATTGTTTTTGCTCTGTTTTCTAGGGGGATCCCATACTTGTGAAGATCCCCATTGGAAATTTACACTGAGTACATAATTTAAATACGGCACACTTGAAAAGGTAAATAAGGATTAATAAATGGTGCCACTGAACAGAGTATAATTGAATGTAAAAGTTGAATTAAATCAGACGTCACTAAGGCAGAAAGGTGAAGCAGAGGGGGATGTAAAAGAGCACTACAGAAAGAAATAAAGTAGAAAAATAGACAAAAAATCTGACATTTCTAATCAGATTTCATATGAAGTCACTACCGAGGAGGGTCCACATGGGAAAAAAGCCGCTCTGTGTGTGTGTGTGTGTGTTTGAGAGCTTGACTCTAATCAAATAAAGAGAGAATATATCTCCAGCAGTCTTGCTGGTCTGTGCTGTCGCTCAAAATCAACGTACCGTGGAGGTCTAACACCAAGAGTGCAGATGTACAAACACAGAAAGAACACACACACACGCACACGCACACACACACACACACACACACACACAGCAAACTCAGTAACAGGCATATTTTATAGCCCCATTTCAGACACACAAACATGAAGGACACACAACTAGCTGAATGACATCACTTCCTTTGTGCGTGTGTGTACATAAGTGCTTAAGGGAGTTCGTGTGGGGTCGAGAGTCGGGGCGGGGGGGCTGAAGGAGGGGGACTCTTTTGCTCTTGTGTTTCTGAGTTTCTGTCTGTGTGAATGTAGAAACTTAGATTAAGTTGAGGATGTAAAATATCTGGAACAGCACAGAGTTTGTGTGTAGAGGCAGTCGGGCAGATGTTTCCTGAGCTTAGTGAGAGCGTTAAGGATTTTGAGGAAGGACGTTTGAAGGCTTACATCCTCTTCTCTTCTGGGATAGATCCTTCCTTTCCCTTCTCTCTCCCTCAATCTTTCTCTGACTCTCCCTTTTGCTGTCTCTCTTTTCAGGATTTGCACCTTACTTGAGTATTTAGATTTGTCACAACTTTCACTTACTTCACTACTTATCTGAACCAAAAAAAATACTTTTAACTGTGTACACTCTTCCAGGGAGCCCTCGCTCCTCGCTGCATTTCATTTTTAAAGTTTGTACTGTGCTAAAGTCAGAGACCATACTTTGTTTATGTAGTTTCCAGTCAAAACGGTACGGAAGTCCAGAGGGACCATGAGCTGTTGCTGTAATTTTCTGGATTGTTATCTTGAGATAACAAGACAAGTAACTTGTTATTTCAAGATAACAATTTTGTTATCTTGATATAACAAGATAGGTAACTCATTATTTCAAGAAAACAATTTTATCTTGAGAAAAGATAAATAACTTGCTAACAAGTTATCTCGAGATAACAAAAGTTGCTATCCTAAGATAACGAGTTAATTATCTTGTGATCTCAAGATAACAAAATTGTTACCTTGAAATAACAAGTTACTTATCTTAAAATAACAAAAGTTGTTATCTGAAGATAATGAGTTAATTATCTCATGATCTCACAATAACAACTTTTGATCTCATGATCTTGAGATCATGAGATAATTAACTTATTATCTTCAGATAAGCAACTTGTTATTTCAAGATAACAATCCAAAAAATTATAACTATAACTATCTAACTAGCTGTTGCTATAATTTTCTGATTGTTATCTTGAGATAACAAGATAAATAACTTGTTATTTCAAAGTAACAATTTTGTTATCTTGATATTACAAGATACGTAACCCAATATTTCAAGATAACAATATTGTTATCTTGATATAGCAAAATAAGTAACTTGTTATCTTAGGATAGCAACTTTTGTTATCTCGAGATAATTTGTAGTTTCAAGATAACAATCCAGAAAATTATATGTACCTCATAGCCTCTCTGGACTTCCGTAAAAGGGTGATAAAGTAAGAGTTCTTCATGTTTCAGTGCCAGGAAAAAAGCAGAAAACTTTAACAGAAAACGACACAGAAGCCTCAACAACTGAATATAATGTAAACATTTTAGTATTTAGTGTGTCCACTTTTTTACAGCTTCCATTCTCTTCAAGAGTCTTGCTTTCAGTTCTTCAAAGAAATTCGCAGGGATATTTTTCCACACCTCCAAAGTTCAGTCTTAGAAACTGGTTGCATTTTCTGGTTCTCATGATCCAAGTAATCCCAAACACTTTCAGTGATGTTGAGGTCTAATCTGGCTCATTTCATATCCTAAAGGATTTTAATTTACAGTATTTAACCAGACACTTTTGACTTTTATTAAAGTAGCATCTAAATTTATGACTTCAAAATTTACCCCAGTACTATTCTAGTATATCTTTACTTCGACTTCTGGCATTTGGATGCTTTTCCACTGGACAAAAAGAAGTTGTTTATTTCTACTCAGATATATTAGACGCAGTATATTCACAGACACACACTCTATTCCTGCACATGCAGCAACCACGTTTAGTCGAGCACAAAATGACTCACTCTAACTGCTAACCCACATTTGAGATGTACAATGCCAGAGAAATCCCCTCTCTTCTCCCTTCTCTCCATTACCGAGGAACAAAATCTCAGTCCAAACTTGCAAACAGATGATCTATGACCAGACCTCGCTCAGCCTGCTCCAACCAAAGCCTGACTAAGGAGTCCAACTGACCTGAGATCAGCGTTCTTCATGTAGCAGGGCAGTCGTCCACATCATATTTTTTTAGCAGGCACAACTCCAACCTCAAACTTCTCTGGTGGTCAGGGGATTTTTAACTTTAACTGATATTGTATTTAATAGCCAATAATCCATCAGTTTTATTTAACATTGCATTTTGAGTACTTAGTAACGGTCTGTGAGTATTTGCCAGATGTTTTCACATACAATCAGTGAACATTTATGAGCAGAAATTGCTAATGTAAACCTATGTTAACAATCATTATCTGATACTAAGGTTACAGTAAAAAGTTACTGAAAAACTCCACTATGGTGATGTAAATTGCAGTAAATTGCAACTATCATTTAAGGTTACTATTACTCACCAGGCTAGCTTAGCAACTGATTGTAAGCTATGCTAAAGCTTCAGCTTCAAGGCTCTCAAGGAAATCATACATAAAGAAGCTTGTTACCACGTCATAGCAAATGCTATTTAGTTTTGGAGTCCACAATTGATTACTACGACTAATTCACTCTATTAAGAAACTGAAGGACACTCTGTTTAGAGTTGCAGTAAATTATAATTTATGATTTTTATGAAGTTTAAAGTGCTACAAAGCTAGCTAATCAAAACTGTTCAACAATGAGAAATTTGCTCCCATGCTAATGTTAGCTTGTTTGCATGGTAAAAAGCTATGGTATCACTTTATTTGGAGTGGTCCTTTGTGGATGATTAATATACTCTTAACAGATTATCAGTAACACATCAACAACATATCAGTGAAGTAGCAGTACTGAAGCATCTGAACACATTGAGATAAATATCTTGTAGATGTTCTGTTGATACATTACTTACATTAAGTAGATGTATTGTTAATATGTTACTTCCATTATGCAAAACCTAACCTTACCAACCTTACCCAAAACCTAACCCTCACCCTGGCCCTAATCCTAACCCTAACCTTAACCTCAACCCAAAACCTATCCCTCACCCTGGCCCTAATCCTAATCCTAACCTTAACCTCAACCCAAAATCTAATCCTAACCCTTACCCTGGCCCTAACCTAACCCTGACCTTAACCTCAACCCAAAACCTAACCCTAACCCTCATATGATTTTGACATGTTACTGAGAGTCCGTTAAGTGTTTGTTTAATCTAAAAGGACCACTCGAAATAAAGTGTCACCAAAGCTACACCTAAACTTTTCAGTGTGTGACCATGTCATACATGCTTACACACAGACTCAAAGGCCATTATTAAATTAATGAAAATACAAAGCGCAATTACACATTTCCACCAGAGAGTTTCCAAAATTTCCCCAAATCGTACACAACATAGCAGAATTTGTTCACTAAAAAAATTTAAATGTAATTTAATGAAAAAAGAAATCATTTTTGACAAGACTGCTCTGAAAGCGAGTCTGCGAGTACGTGCATGTGGGCATTATTTGTGCCGCAGACACAGGGAAACCCTATAGGCTGCTTAGGCACTTATTCATGGGGTCGAGGTCAAGCAGCACAAAAGCTCCACTTCAACTAATGGCTATGCATTCGAGCGGCCCACTCGCTTGTTTTTGCTGGCACGAGCCAGAGGATGACAGAATCGCTTAGATGGAGTTCTGAGGAGCGCTCTGTGTTTCAGTACCTCCGTCACACAACACACACACACGCGCAAGCACACACAATGGCACATAGCGATTTTTTATTTCTCGGATGATTCCAGCATGCCCGCATGCCTGAATATCATCAGCATCTGTTAGCGTTCAACACAGACGCAGTATTCTAAACACACACGCAGACAGTCAGAGAAACTGAGAGCGAGAGAGATGGAGGGTAGAGAGATACTGCCAAGGCCTAAAACACTGATGAAAAAGAGCAGAAGAATGACAGAGTGTGAGATGTGTGGTGATGACACAGAAGCCAGATGTGTTAAAATTGACAGAGACTGTGTGTGGAGAATCAGGAATGGCATAGGCAAAAGAAGAAACAGAGAAAGCGTGAGAGAGAGAGAGAGAAAGAGAGCACTTACCACATAGGAGAAAGCCTCGGTCGAATGACCCATTCCATTTTCTCTCACTCGGACTTCAACCTTGCTCTTAAGAGTTTTTGGAGAAGCTCCTGTTTCACACACCAACCTAAAGAACAAAAGGTTTAACTATAAAAATTCTACTATATATTCACACATTGATGTCAATCACAGGCTTCATAACAAACCTCTGAAATGGTAACATTATAACATGAAAAAAGGTTATAATGCGAAAAAATATTTACTTCAAATTGCCATTTCAGCTTAAAACTGTTGAATATATAAATGTATTATGTTATGTAGTATTCTGTATCACAGCATTGCTTCCCTCAGCCTATAATTCATGATTTAATACTGTGTTAATGTTTTTGTTCATCAGTGTTCTCTCACTAAAATATTGAGCATGCATTACACAAACACATCATATAACCACTGGGAATCCCTGTGGTGTCACTGAATTATACCTGCCAGCCTTGTTACTGACCTATAGACTAATAAATACCACCATGCTAGCATTAGTGTGGTTGCCGGCACTGTCACAACGATCATCAAACAAAATCAAACAACAAATAAAACAAAACAACAAAAAAAAAGCTATTTGATCTTTCTAGCACAAATTGGACACCAGAAACAAGTTCTACCCTTGGAGCCAGAAAAAGGAGGCAAACTAAAGTGAGCTATTTAGAAATGTAGAAACTTTAGCTATAAGCTTGTTGTGCTCCTCATCTGACTAGACGTTTCTGTCCTTCAAATAATCAATTCTCTCCACTGTCATGAAGATTAAGACAGCTGCTACAGTTACAATAGAATTGGCTATCACTGCATTCACCAGCGAAAACAAAGAAAAACAACAGCCTACCCCTAAAAATCCACCCAAAGCAGTAGATTTTCAAAAGTTCCTCTCATCATCATCAGAAGGGGGTTTTCTAGTCTTTAAACCACAAATACCTCACTTTTGAGACTACAGCAGCACTGTGTAGAAGGTAACTAAACATGTTTACAACACATTTTGGCTGGAGTCTTTCTTTAATGTAACAAAATTTTATCCTAAGTAATTTTGGTCTTTTTATACAAGGGCACCGACCTCCAAATGGTGTAAAAAAAGTTTACAATCACTGTTATGAAAGTTTGGTTTTACTAAAGAACCCTTGAAGAACCATCTTCTAAGTGTGTAGGAAAGAAGCAATGTTAGACGTGTCTACTCTAGAATGAAGAACCAAGGTGTACACTATTCTAAAATGAATCAGAATTGCTGTATAACATTCAGAATTAAGAGTATATATAATAATATATAATATAATAAAACTATAATAATTAAAGTTTTTTATTTCATTTTATTCACTTCTTGTTCACAGAATTTTTGAAATGTTGAATAAAATATCTAAAAAACATTTGGTGAATAGTATGGAATATTGAAATCCATGTTGAATAAGTTATTACTGTAAAAAAAAAATATTAATATGACAAATGATTCCAAACTATACACAACCAAACAGAGTGAAGGATTATAACACTGTGTAGACCCTGAAGCTACATAACATAACATGGCATAACTATAATCTGAACATGTCATTACAGATGTCATATGCTGTCATAAGATGTTACGAGAGATTTTGTTCAGTAAAATAACAATGTCGTCTTACATTACCAGTAATTGTCACAACAGATGCCATAATGCCCAGTTATGACAGCTTATGTCACATGCATTTTGCTCTGTACTCAAACATGAAATCTGTTATGACACTGTTATAACAACTCATGACTGCATATGACATGTGTCATGACATGTTTATGGCAGTGTATTGTCAACCTTAAGTAGCAGGTTTCAAAGTAATGTTACTATGTTTTGAATGATTGATAATAGCTACACACACACACACAGACACACACACACACTTGTAACAGCCAAGGGAGCAGGATCCAAATATTTGTTTTAACACCCTGAAATTGAGACCAATTAAGATTTAATGACATCAGTCCCAACAGCACTGAGCAAGCCGTGTGTGTGTGTGTACATTTACACAGCTGTAAGTAGGTGAATAACAGTGTGTTTAAGTAATACACTGGGGTATCCTGGCCATTAGTACATGCACACACACACACACAGGTGCACACTGCTGATTTATTTGGTCAGGTGGCAACTATACCTGATTGAAGATCTGTTTCCTTAAAACAAACGCACACACACACACACACACACTCACTCACACAACCTCAGGGCTGCTTAATGTGGGGCTGGAAAACATTAAATGCAGTCAGCTCTGCGAGGGTGTACGTGTGTGCATGTTTTGGTTTTCAGCGGCTTGTTTTGGCTCTATTTAACTTTTTTATATTTATTTATTTTATTCATTTTTTCTTTCTCAATACCGATACCAATGTTGATACTGAAACCGTGAGCATCGGCCAGTACCAGCCCCTTATTTTTTCTGTAAAATAGCTGTCAAGGTTAATGCGTAAACAATGTCATAAAATATTACCATGTTCATTTTTAATGCCATTTATGCATCTTCCTAGTTTGACCACTCAAACCATCTGCAGTGTTAGCCTGAAGCTCAGCTGCTCATGTTCTTTTTCTGTGAAGCCCTCTCATTAAAGTACAGCTTTTGAATGGCAAGAAGTTCCATTGGTGGCTCTCAAGATATAACCAGTGTTTTTTCTGCAAGGCTCTCATATCATCAAATGACATCAGGTCTTGGGGAGGTAAGACACAGCACTGATGCCAATAATATCAACAACATCAGTAACTTTAGCATTGGAAGATGCCTTCAACAGATTACGCTGGACAGTGTTCGCAGGATGAATCAACAAGCAACAAACTAACAAAAGCAACAGAAAAGCATAAATCTCCAGTTCCCCTAGAAGTTGTATTCTGTAGAAATCGTGTGATTTTCATGTTCAGGTGAGAACCCTGCACTCACATGATTAAAAAAAATAATGGTACTTAATCATTCACAGAAATAAATGCATTCTCATGAAAATGTTGTGTACAGATGAAGCTGAAACAAAATGTGCTGCTTTTTAAATGTAAGAAGTCTTGGTCAAATTTGAGCAAATAAGAAAAATGTGATAAATAATGTGATTAACCATAATTAATCATTTTTAACTGTTTGACAGACTTTAAAAACAGAAAAGGGCCTGTAGCGTTTTGGGCTGGTTATTGTATATCTGTAGTAATTTAGGGGGTAAACCAGCCACCCTCACCTCAAGTAAATGATCCACAGTTTGCTGATTTTAATCTTGTACAATCTTGAGTCTTGTACAGTGGATACATATTATATGAAGTAGACTTCTTATTCTTATTTCCCGTTCCACCTTAAATGATGTTGCAGTTATATTTACATTCCTTGTATGGATGCTAGAGTGCAACTGCTGCACTATTTAAGGTGGAAACGGAAGTTTGAATAAGAAGCTAACGTCAGCCTTGAGAAATCAGTGTATCAAATTCAGTGTGACAGTGTACATCATGACTTTATTGCATTACCAATGTAGCAATTATTTTTATTTATGAATGAAGCGAAGACGAAAGAACTGCAAAAAAACAGGGTGGCACTAAGAGGGCAAGGCGGAAAAAGCTACTTAAGGAGGATGAGGACATATCAGAGCAGGTGGACAGTAAGAAAAGCTGACCTTTACTCACTTAGATACTAGTAATTTGTAGCATACTGACAATCAAAATTATGTCACATTTAAGATTTTAAGTCTTTGCCAGTTTTTACCACTAGCTAGCCACCTTGGTTATCTCAGCGTAGCATATAAATACTAAATAAGAGTAAGAAAAGAGACGAAGACGAAAGGCACAGATTTCAGAAAAGGCTATTTTATACAAAGGTAATGCTCTGTGTGTGTAACAGGAAAAAAAGTTCGAATTTGGGGTGTGCTGGTCTGCTTCATGTAACTTCTGGTCTGAAATCAAGTCCCACTCCCGCCCTGCCAATGATATCAGATTGGTGCCATTTCTTATTTGTATCCTAAGGATGTTAAGTTGCTTCCTTAACATCTTAAAATGCATTTAATTCACTTGATTCTAATACATACATACATCATCTAAACCGCTTATCCTTCTGGGTCACGGTGGGATGCTGGAGCCTATCCCAGCTGTCATTGGGCGGAAGGCAGGATACACCCTGGACAGGTCGCCAGCCCATCGCAGGGCACACTTGATTCTAATGTGTACATAATTTCATTTCTTCATGAATAAAATGTACTACATCACAGTTATTGCCAAAGGTAAATACACTGAGAGACAATGGCTGTATTGGTGTTTTTTACATGGGGAAACTATGTAAATTCAAAGCGTTTCTTTTCTCAGTGTGGGTATATCGATGTAAACTGAGATGCCACATTCACACATGCATGTGTGAGTCACCACATCAGTGTTATGACTGTAGCATCGGGGACTTCCACTCTAAGAGCGCTTCTACACAGAAATCACCAAGATGACCACATTAAACCAGACAGCAAATCAAAGGGCTGATATTTATCAGCAGAGTGAAATCTGAGTCGCTGAATGTTCTGGCCCTTCAACACAAAATCTCACAATAACAGGTCGACAGAGAGGTGAAAACCGCAGTGTTTTACCTTCTACAAACACTAAGAGAAGTGTTTCCTTCCAGCAATTATCATGTTCATGAATGAATAATGTGCCATATGAGTTTTCCAAGCTCATAAATAAATGGAGTAGTGTGGATATGGGCTCTTTTTTTAAGAGTGTGAAGCATTTTCTACATAATGGAAGGAAAAGTAAATCTAAGGCTGTGTTCACACAAGGTACTTTTTCTGCCAGTGCATATTTTACGTTTAATCCAATGGGAAGTGGTCAGAATGCGGCTGCTTTTCAAAGCGCAACCTCTAGCACTTTTCTCATCAGAGCGGAACGTTTTCAGAAGTTGAAAAAAGTTCCGAAAAGCTCAGAGTGTTGCCAAGCGTTTTTATCAGCTGACCAATCAGGTCGCAGCTCAGTGCACGGAGGGTGGAGGGTGCATGGATGGAGGGTAGAGTGCCGGTGGAAAAACTAGTATTGCCATTTGAACTCTTCTCCTCTCGATTTTCTGCCTTTAAAACCAAAGCTAAAGCAAGTAGCCTCCTCCACGCAATTGTTAGTCTAAATGTTGAGAAATGAATGTATTCATTATTATTAATAGTAATATATCTAAATAAACACTACAAAGGGGTTCCATAACTACTAGAATGGCCATTGACTGTTTGAAACTTACATGCTTATTCTCTTAATTTTTCAGTTCTGTAAATAAAATGAGCTTGTTTTTAATATTCAGCTTCCCCACTAGCCAGGACTCTTTCCATCATAAAATCCTGCTAGACATTTTCCTCTTGGCTACACACTTACAGATGGCTTTGGCATTGCTGGGGCTCAAACTCAAAACCTCCTTTTACGGGTGACAGCTTAGTCCGCTGCACCACTCAGGAAAACGTGAAGCACCTGAGATTTTTGTGTATACAATTGTTTAAAGCACTGCAGAAAATATTAGTTGTTTTAACTTTAAAGCCTGGCATAGTCTCATTGGTGCAACTGTCTAATAATTTATCCTGACATCAGGAGATTGTGAGTTTGAATCCCAGCAATGCCATAGCTGTGCATATCCAGAAGCCCAAGAGGAAGATATGCCAGATGGGACTGTGTGATAGAAGGAGTGCCAGCTAGTGGGGAAACTGAGTAAAAAAGATGCAAATTCAGTCTTGTTTATCTAACTGAGATGCAGACCTAGAAACAGTAGCTGGAACAATTTTTTGATTCAACTAAGAAGTTTTCCTCAAGTTGAGTCAACACAAGAAAAGTCATGTAATCAGTTACTAAATCATTTTAAATTGAGCAGACTTCTCATTTTTTACAGTGCTTGTATAAGAACTGAAGGTGTATAAGAGCTGTATGCGAGATTCCAAAGGTATTTACATACGTCAATGTCTCTGCTCGAAGGTCTTCATATTAAACTGGACCAAACAAACTACATGGAGCCCATCTTGATGCACGTTTGATTCGACTGAAGCCATGACAACACAGGTCTTTTTTGATTTTTAACACATCCATACAACGCAAAAAAAATGATAACTGTTATTGTTCCAGTGTGCACTTCAAAGAGTCACTATTTTTTCCCTTCAACATAAAAACCGCAACCGGCAGTCATTATAAAAACATGACTAGTGAGAATACAGCCTAAAATGCTTAAAACAATCTACATCTTTTTTTTTCATAGTACTTTCAGAAGAAATTCAGTAAAGGTTGAGGTTAATATGAGCCCACTGAATGTAACCCACTGTGCATATTCAGACATTTTGGACGTCCTACGCTTGAGCCAGTATGTAATTTGCTGTACATACAGTATGCTGTAATTACCATATCATTTACCATGATTATAATTTCCTTCAGTATAATTCAGATGTGCTGTAAGATACTGCAGATGAAGTATAAAATATACAGTGTGCGTGTAGACTCACTCTACTGAAACGGTGTAGCTTTCAGGCACCAGGTTGCAGGGAACGTCCCCGATATACACCTCCACGTCCTTAGCCTTGCGCCCCAGATTTCTTCCCTGAACTGTCAGAAGAGTCCCACCTCTGAGTGGACCACTGAGTGGCCTGACCTGAAGGAGAAACAAACAGAAAGTTAGAACCAAATACATAACTCTAAATTCAGTGGTGTAGTTCACTTAGACAGTAAGAGTTAGAAGAGTCAAAGCGGAAGCGGTCAGTGATTTCTGCTGTTTGTTTTCACTTCCTGACCACAGCATTGTAGGGTGATTTCTGTGTTTTATATGCATGAGCCAGAGCATGACCAAAGCCTTCGTGTTTTGGTTCAGGCTAACAGACACAGTCTATGAACTGTGTGCGTTCTCCGCACAAACAAAAACATACACACACACTCAGTCATTATAATTGTCTGAAATACTTCTTTGCAGACTGTGAGTGTAAGTCTGAGAGATGGAAGAGAGAGAGAGAGAGAGACTTGCTGTTTCTTCCACTATTCTTTGACTTGTTATTTACATTCACAGCTCATTTGCGGCCTGCTCTTTCTTTTCTTCCATCTCTTCATCTCTTTCCTCTGTTTCTTCTTGTCTTTTTCACTGAAGCAAGGCCCGCTGCCCTCATATTGCTGCCGTAACCCTAGCCGCCCTCACGCTGCCGTGGTAACGGCTGATAACCATCGTTATGCGGTCAGCTCAGTCTAGCAGCAGCTACTGCGAGAGCAAAGAAACACATGACTATGTCTGTGTGTGTCTGCATTTACTTTTGCACATTTTTAGGACACAACATCCTGACTTTGTAGGAAAAGCAGAGAAAAACAGGAATAAACTACAATATCAACACCAACATCACACTCCTGACACTGTAAAGCGTCTTTTACAAAAGCGTCAATGTAAAACTCTTACACATATAGGTAGTTAAAAATATATGACTCATTCTACCAAACTGGTTCAAAGTCACAGCTAAAAACACATTTCGGACTTGTAACTGACCAGACTAAAATCGTTTTGCTTGGAATCACCCTATACCAGAGGCCAGTAACCCAAGAAGAGCCATTTTGTCCTTTCAACAAAAATCAAACCACCTTGGGAGCCACAACATTTTATGTCCATTTTACCATCCTGGCTGTAAATATGTCTCAGTATGTGCTAATATACTAATATAGGCTAAAAATATAAATGAAAATGCAGACTTACTTTGCCCTGCTTTAAGCTTTAGCTCAGCTATATCTGCTTTTCTCACATCTCCAGCAGGAAACTTTTTCATGAAAGTAGAAAAGCTTCTTGTAAAATGTTTCTCAACGCTCGATTTCTCACAAAGCTGAAGTCAGCTTCTCATTCACCAGCTTCTTGTTCTAATTTTCCTGTTCCAGGTGGAACCTGGACTTCAGCTTTGCAACATTTTAGTGTTTGACAGTTTTTCATTGCAGATTAAATGTATTTAGTACCATTTAGACCATTTAGTCTCAAAACTGTGTTAAAACAATCAGCAGAGCTTTATTTTACTGCAAAGGAGGATTATTTTATTTTTACCTAAATGTCTAATTCTGCTGTGGAGCCGCAACAGGGTAGTAAAAGAGCCGCATGTGGCTCCGGAACCGCATGTTGCCGACACCTGCTCTATGCACCAATTATGTTTACGTTATTAAAACAAATGATTGAACATCCCAATATTGCAGCTACCAAAACTTTAAGAAACTGATTTTTTCAGACTTTGGGACACATTTACTACAAAACAATGGGGTCTAACTGCTCACCATGTGGCAGCATGAGGGACAGGGATGCATTCTCAAAAACGTGCTGCTGGAGTTTTTAAACACTGCGTCCACTCACTGTCCACTCTATTAGACACTTCTGTATTGTTGGTCCATCCCATAGATGTAAACTCAAAGACAGAAGCTCATCTGTTGCTACACAGTTTGTGTTAGTCATCCTTCATCAGTGGTCACAATACACTGCCCACAGGAAACTGTGGCTGGATAAGAATGGTCGGTGGACTATTTTCAGTCCATGTGTTTAAAAACTCCAGCAACGCTGCTGTGCCTGATCCACTCATACGAGCACAACACACACTAACACACCACCACCACATCAGTGTCACTGCAGTGCTAAGAATGATCCACCACACAAATAAATGATCTGCTCTGTGGTGGTCCTGTGAGGTCCTGACCATTAAAGAACAGGGTGAAAAGGGATAACAAAGTATGCAGAGAAACAGATGGACTACAGTCTGTAATTGTAGAACTACAAAGAGCACCTATATAATAAGTGGAGCTGATAAAAAGGACAATAACTTTAGGAACAAAGAGGTGGGTTTAATGTTATGCCTGATCGATATATATATATATATATATATATATATATATATATGTGTGTGTGTGTGTGTGTGTGTGTGTATGTGAATATATGTATAATGTGTGTGCATATATTACATAATACATATACGTACATACGTATGACCTGTCCTCCTTATATTGTATAAAAACAAGCTGTGTGTGTGTGTGTTGCTGAGTGCTCAAGTGTCTATTTTTAAAGGCTTTGAAAGAAGGAAAGGCTTTAATAGATGTGAGTGGTCTGCAATTGACAGATGAATTGCCAAGGAAAAGCGTGTTAAGCTCAGAGCGCAAGACACACTCCGGGCAGCAGAACATCGAAAAAAAGTCCCAAAGTTTCTTTCAGCACAGTTCATATAAAACACATAAGTTTTCATTTTCGAAAGACATGAATGACAAGGTGGAAAAAGGAACAACTGCTGCTTTTTCAACATGGAAAAAAAAAACCACCTCGGCTACACACACACACACACACACAGAGGCCTGCTAACACTCCCAGGTTAGTAATTATCGCTGTGTGTCTAATGCATCCCCAGAGCACTTCTCTTCAACTGCTATTCTTTTCATTTACACCCCATACTGATGTGAAAGTGAGCGAGAGACACAGGGAGAGACAGAGAGAGAGAGTTCAGTGTAAGTCAATTTGTAAAGCTATTCCTTTCTCAATCAGGACAAGATTGATTTATTTAGCACTTCCACTTTTCCGCCTCAGTATTCTTCATCTCTTCATCCATTTTTTCCCCTCCCTATCCATCGATATTTTGAAGCAGAGAGCGTGAAGTTTCTGCTATAAATGCTCGGCCATGTTGTGCAATCTGGCTTTGAAAAAGGGCTTAAATTGGAAATGAAAACAGGAAAGAGGCTTAGCCACCATTACCCAATTTCTCTCTTTCCCTCTCTTTCTGTGCCTCTCTCTCTGTCTTCTCTTTATATCTTCTTTCTTTCTTCTCTTTATCACTCTCTTTCTCTCTCTGTATGTATTGCACTCTCTCTCAACTCTCTTTCTCTCTTTCCTCTCTCTCTCGGTCTTTAAATCTGCTCCCGATCACTTTCTTTAACTCTCTCTAACACTTTCTATCTCCTCTCTCTTTCGTCACTCTCCCCTCACTCTGTCTATCCCCCCCTCTCATTTCTCTCTCTCTCTAGCACTCTGTCTTTATCTCCTCCTATTCTCTCTCCCTCTCTTTGCCTCCATCTCCTCCTCTCACTTTCTCAGTCTCTCTTTCTCTCCCCCTCTCCCTCTATCTCCTCTATTTCTCTCTCTTTGCCTCTATCTCCTCCTCTCACTTTCTCAGTCTCTCTTTCTCTCCCCTCTCCCTCTATCTCCTCTATTTCTCTCTCTTTGCCTCTATCTCCTCCTCTCACTTTCTCAGTCAGTTCAGAATATCTTCACTCTCTGTCTGTCTCTACCCCGTCACTTTCTCAGTCTCTCTCTCTTTCTGTCTCTCCCCTTCACTCTCTTTGTCTGTCTCTATCTCCCCTGCTCTCTTTCTCAGTCTCTTTCTCTATATGTCCCCATCTCTCTTTCTCTGTCTCTATCTCTCCTCCTCTCTAGCCCTGTCTTTCTTTCTATTTCTCTCTCTCTCACACACACACCCACTTTCTCTCTCTCCTGCTCGCTCCTCTTTTTCTCACTCTCTATATCTCCCCCTCTCTCCCTCTAACTCTCCCTCTTTGTCTCTACCTCTCTCTCTTTTAACTCTGTCTCTAACCTTCTCCCTCTCGCTCTATCTCTCTAACTCTCTCTCTATGTCTCCCTTCTCTCTGTGTTGAATTTCTCTCTCTCTCTCTCTCTCTCTCTCTGTCTCTCTCTCTCTCTCTCTCTCTCTTTCTCTCCATTTTAGATGTGTTACTTTAATTCTTTAGGTGATACACAAGATGCGAGAAACCGCACACCTTTAAAAAACAAAATAGCCGTGTGTGTGTGTGTTAGTGTCCTGTGTCTGTGGTTGCTGTGTGTAACACACTCACACACACAGCTCTTTCCTGTCTCTGGGTGCTTTTTAATGCCTGTTATTTCGAGCTGTTCAGGCAGGGGGGATTTCAACAGAGCCAATCTCACTAATAAAGCACTCTGACCAGCCACACACACACACACACACACACACACACACACACACACACACACATGCACGCACACACACACACACACCACACACACTCACATATACACACTGTCCAACACTCTTTCACTTACTGTTCTATCTGCAGGAAACAGTTAGACCGATTGAGCATTACATGAGCCATGTTTCCACTCCCTTTCTCTTTCTATCATTCTCCCCTTCTCTCTCTCTCTCACTTATTCTCACACACACACATACACACACCTTGAGAAGGCATTTCGCTTAAATAAATCCGCACAAAATAGAGTTTTAAACCTCTTGAGGCGTTACATTTGAAAGAAATATGTGGCTCACTCTGCCAGACTACACTGTGTCCCAGTGTAGCTGTTGAGCTGTTGTGTGTGTGTTTGTACATGTACACAAACACACACATACACACACATATACAGCACTGTCAGATGCTACTCTTCACTCATGTAATTTCCAATCAAACTAGCCAGTAAACACAAGTTAATAAAGTTAATCACAGCGTGTTCAGCTGTCTAGTGGCGTTGCGTCAGTGGCAGTTCAAAAAGATGCTGCGGCTGGCTTCACAGGTCTCGGAGGAAGCCTGTGCTAGCCCTCGCCCTCTTAGCGCTGGTGGTATCGTGTGACTGGGGGAGTCCTAACTAGTGGGTGGAAATGGAAACAACTAAACTGGGGAGAAAACTGGAAAAAAAGACAAAAAAAGATGAGAGAAAATGCCTAACAACCATGGAACACATAGAAGACCACCAAAACTGTCACCATCACATAAACAGTACTTGAAGCTTTCATCTTTGAGAGAGTGGAGAAAATCAAGCTGAACTCTTGTTTCAGATCTGAAAATAATCATAGACAAAAAGGAAGAAAATTGGCAAACCAAACAAAGAAGCTGCTGGTGTTGTCGCAACAATGGACTGATCGCCCCAGAGCCCAGACCTCAACATCACTGAATGAGTTTGGGATTACTTGGATTGCAAGAAGCAGAAAATGCAACCAACTTCTAAGACTGAACTGTGGAAAAATATGGAAAAGTGTGGAAAAATATCCCTGCATGCACATCTTCCAAAAAAGAAAACAGTGGAGACTGTGAAGGATAGTGAATGATAGTCTTTTGCACATTACTGTATATACTTCTTTTACTTTAACTCAACATATTAAACCTATTTTTCCCCTAAGATATCATAGTAGATACCAAAGAAACTAGATAGACACTTTGACGCTGTTTTGTGTGTTGACTACATTCGTATGTGTATCTCCCTAATGCAAAATAAACCATTCAGAGCATGACTAAGCTAAGCTCCCACAGACCATGCGTCCTGTCACATGAGGCTACTACTGCTTCCTGTTCTTTGTCACTGACAAATGTTTCACTTCCCTCTATATGTGTGTGGGTTTGTGTGTTTGTATAGTGAGTGTGGAGCCACACTTACCACATATAATCAACTGTAATGCTGTTCCTTTGCATTTTTCAGACTCTGCATGTTCCCCCATGCTTGTAATTGTATGTGTGTGAATATCTCTTATTAACATTCTAACACTGTGTGGCGATTTTAGCACTATTAGAGCTGGATTAGACTCTATAATGGCATTTGTACGAGATCTGACTGGGTGATTCATACAGGATAATGAATCTGTGTCATTTCCCCAAGTTAGCGCACATAGTCCAGACTGAAACGTCATAGCCTGGATGTACACATCAGCATTACACAACAATAACAATACTGAAACAGTGCATGACCGTGTCTGTTAGCCCATTTTTGTTATCATATTAGTGTAAGGGGGTGACTGGAACAGGACTACTATTACTTAGAGAGCTATTATAAAAGTTCATTCAGTCTGCAATTGTCACTGTCTGACTTGTAAAAGCCACAGACATGGCAGATTCATACTGGATTAACATTGTGGATCTTGTCTGTGATCACTCTCTACGTAAAAAAAAACTTTGTCTTCTTTATTTTTGGGGGGGATTTTCTGCCCAATTTAGTCATGTCCAGTTTCACCTGCTAGCTAGGTCTCCCCCATCGCACAAGCTGGAAGGACAAAGGCTAGCACCAGCTTCCTGCAAGACACATGAAGCCACCCACGGCCTTTTTTCTGCTAGTGCAATGTCAAAGGACAGGTAAACGTGCTTGAAGGAGAACGCTAATAACCAATTTTGTTAGATCAGCTAAAAGACACCCGTATTGGCAAGCATCATTCTGAGTGATGAGGGGCGAGGCAGGGCCAGAGATAAAGCAAGGCCAAATATGCTAGACTCCCAGCCACGGAAGGCTTGTGGCATCACCTCATCGTCTCCCGACAACAGAGCTAACGCTTAAACTCGGGAGCCCATGCTTTCCACTCTTAACCCCTTAATCTGCAGATTTATTATTAGGTTATTATCTTAAGACCCACAAGACCCACAAACAGGCAAGTGGTGCAGTCATGAGAATGAGGAATCCATGCTACCCTCACAAATGTGTTCTTTCGTAGCAACTTTTGTGAGGCTGGACAAGCGGTAATGCTTTCTTTTACAGTCCCATAAATACTACGTATTAACCAGTTAACTATGAGGTACATTGTTTTGAGTAACATGATACTAATTTCCTAGACAGTTTAACTAAATTCAAACTAAAGGCCCAACAGCTTTAAACAATAACTGGGCAAGTCTGAGATACAAACTCCCAAGTGCTGTGTAAGACAATGTAAGTTACAATAAATGCCTAACAAGTTCTAGCTATTCAAATGAAAATTACATAGTAAAATACCTCTTAATTATTTAAAGCAACAAATTGGCAAGAAATTTAATCCCTTAACAAGCTATGGGCCTGCTGGCGGGGCCAAAGTTTTATCACACACTTCTACAACCTTCTACAACATTCTAAAACAAAGAATAGGTCTATTAGTTGGCATTGAAGTCTCTGTTGTGACTGAATAACAAGGCTTTGTATGAAATAAACGTGGATTGTTAAGGGGTTAACTCACAAAGAAACTCACACTTAATTTAACTGTAGTGTCACATGTTACGCAAACACCTCCAAATCCTAGGCAAGTTATACTGAAGCAATAAAGTACACAGATAGTTGTAAGTGACTGAAGTAAATGGTAAGGAACCAGCAGAATCACAGTAAGAATCACTATTTAAGACCAAATTATATTTCATTTCTAGGTAATAAACATGTACACACTAAGATTCTTAGCACCTTCCTTACAATCTTCTTTATGACATATAACAACCTGGTACTTTTTATCAATAATAATTTCACAGTATTGTGGAGTCTGTACCTCACACATATGCAGTTAATACATAGAACAGTGTAATTTAGTAAGACCGTCTTGGAACTTACCATCATGGTACCCAAAATAATTGATCTGGTACTTTGGAGTTTATACCTTACACTTACCTGGTTAATACCTAGAACTTAAATGACTGTAAAAGAAAGTGTTGCTGCACAAGCTTTACAAAATGCCAAAATACACACCCTGTTAAAGCTGGACTGCTACAACATTCAGAAGCATGATAAAAAACAGCACTGGGTTTCTCTTAACAGTGTGACCTTTCACACATATACAAAATAAATATCAACTGAAATGAATACCACACTTTAACTGTAGGTTTGTCCACTGAGACTGTGTTATACACTTCAGTTTCTCATTATGCTGAATGTTCTGTAAAGCTCATCCAACCTTGCAACAGATGAAGAACAGAGCATTTGTGGGTGGAGCACGGAGAGATCAACTGAAGTGTGAGCTCAAATACGGGCCATTAGAGTGTAATGTGGAAGTCAGTATGCAAGTACGTGCTCGTGTGCATGCATTAGGACACTTAAGCCTACCTTTTGGACGGTGGGGTCAGGACACTGTGCTCTGATTGGCTGGCACTGGTCTCGCGGACGACAGCTGTTCTCACACCAGGCGCACAGGTGCCCCTGCTGTTCTCTACCCCAACACTGAGAACAGTCACTATCGCCACCACTGCAGCTATACACCTCCACTAGAGAGAGAGAGGAAGAGAGGGGGAGAGGGAAAGGTAGAGAGAGAGGGGGGGGGGGTACAGGGGGTTTCCAAATTTAGTCCATCTGTCCAATCACCTTGTCAATCCACTGAGTCACGAATCAGTGTGTTACTTTTTCTTTCTCTCTTTCTTTCTTTTTTTCTTTCTTTCTTTCCTTACTGCTTGCATTCTTGCTCTTTCTTCTTTCTTTGTCATCCTTCCTTCTCTGTTTCATGCTTGCTTGTTTGTTTTTTCGTCCTTCTTTTCTTTCCTTCCCTTTTACTTTTTTTTCCTATCTGTATCTCTTTCTTCCCCTCCTGTTTCTGCTTTCCTTTTTTATGTTCTTTCTTTCTTTCTTCCCTCCTTTCTTTCTGCTTTCCTTTTTTATGTTCTTTCTTTATTTCGTTCTTAGTTTCTTTCTTCCCTTCTTTTTTTCTGCTTTCCTTTTTATGTACTCTCTCTTTCTTTTTCTTTTTTATGTTCTTTCGTTCTTTCTTTTTCTGTCTTTCTTTCTTTCTTTCTTTCTTTCTGCTTTCCTTTTTTTTACGTTCTTTCTTTCTTTCTTTCTTTCTGCTTTTACTTTTTTTATGTTCTTTCTTTCTTTTGTTCTAACAGATTACAAATAGGTTTATTTTTTGACCAGGTCCATCTGACACAGCCCACATTTGTGTATATGGAGTGCACTGAGTCTGCTGCTGGAGAGCCGTGAAAGAGGAAATAAAAGAGAAAAGGTTGAGGGCTGGAGGAGTGGACCAGGTCTCATATCCATGCCTTTGAATTCATTAGCATCCGAGACGCTAGAATTATAAGCATGGCTGCTTTTTTCCTGCCATACACAAACCTATTAGCATATTCACACAAAGTGCTGAAAAAAGGGGGAAAAAATGACAAAAGCAATTTATGCTTTTCTTGGATCAGACAAAGAGTGAAAGGTGGAGGAAGGGGTGATAAAGAGCATGATAGACGGAGAGAAATGGAGAGAGCGGGGAGTTGAGAAACAGTGAAAAGATATGGAGAAAAACCGAGATCGGTGTGAGGATGTGTCTCCCAGTGCAGAGCAGCCAGATGTGTGTGTGTGTGTGTGTGTGTGTGTGTGTATATGACTCATGGGCGACCAGACAGCCTCTGGGAGAGTGTGTATGTGTGTGTGTGTGTGTTCAGCTCACACACAATGCTGTAATTATGTTGTGTGCTTTCCCACTGACCGTGTTTGTGTTTAAATACCTGTAACTGGCTGAGGACTGTCTATGTACTTCTCTTCTCCTCTCTTCTTCAGGTTAAGGTAGAATATCTCGCTCCTCTTCGTGGTACTCAGCTGCACAACAACAAGAGACATGCAGTCATGTGTGACACTAAAAATCAGATTTCATTTCCTATTAATCCTTTAAAGTCTATTCAAAAACAGAACTTTTTCTGCTGTGTAAGCTGTTCTCTGTTCATAACGTGACTTCTCAATATTGTTGTTACATTTATTTCGAAATAGCATGTGACAAAGCCAAGAATTCAGTCTCACAAACTACGTTGTGTATCCAAAACTACCTTTTTGTAAGAGAACATGCATAAATTGGAATATAGTTTTGTCTTTACTCTGTTTACACAAATCAATAATAAGCTCTTACTAGGGATGCATTGATACAGGAAGTGTGGGCTGATGCTGATGTCCGATATTTTTCATGCATATATCTACTGATGCTGATACATTAACATTTATAAAATGTAGAATTTGGGACGACATCCAGCTGACTTTGCATGACAGATATATGACATTTATTTCTGTAGAGTAACAAAAGCAGTAAAATGAATAAAATGCAAACATTTTAGAACAGCAGTCCAGAGTCGCCTAGAAGTTCTGCTCTTCAAATACAATAAATGCATCATCAAATATTGGTTTGAAATATATCTGCTTGACCTTGATTTATTTATCAGCTGATAGAATGATTCTGAAATTATCATGCATTCCTAGTTCTTGCCCAACTGAATTGCATTCTAAATGAGTGCATCTTTTATACAGTGATAGACACACAGTAGCACACAGACACTACTTATTCTACATCCTGATGCATTTCACAACGACCAATGTGCACATGTACACACCATAACTCACTTATCAGTACATTTAAACAAGTTTAAGAGGCATCACCAAAATCTCAGAATGAGTCACAGCAAGATGCTCAGTTCCATAGATTTAAATAAGAAATTTCCCATAAAAGCCATTGCCCCTTTTCTATTACTTTCTGCCACTGTCATTTAGTAAGTCCTAATTATGCCTTAACGTATCATATTAATGAGAAAGATTCTCAGATTCTGAGTTTCTTATAATATCTCATGTCTTATTATCATGAGACATTATCTTACAACATTATAATTCCTATCTCATTATTATAGTGTAATTAGGAGAGAGTATCTTACAATTTTATTTTCAGACAGTTTCTCATTTTTATTTCTTTCCAAATAGTGAAAAAAAGTTTCCATAATTTTCCCTTCAAGTGACCGATGATTAACCTTATTTCATGTGAACCTGTCAATGAGGGCACAGTATGTGGAGAGGTGGCTGTACTTACCATCACTCCACTGCACTTCACGGCCGACTGTCTGTCCAGCCAGTGGGCCCCGTATAAGTGCCCATTCCCGAAGTCACAGTTCAGCTGTGTGTCCTGCAATCACACACACACACACACACACACAGATTACTACAACAAAACCACAGCTATGTCCATTCAATTCAGAAATCCCAGAGGCAACAAATCCATTTCACAACATCACAAGACAGCAAACAGAATTGCACTGTTTCTGTTTCTGTCTCTGTTTCCAGTCTATTCTCGGTTTCTCAGTCACCATGCTGACTCTCATCAGCCCTTCTGAGCGAAAAGTCTGAAATCTGTTCCCGTATCTTGCGTAAGCTGGGGCTGCCATGTTTCCTGAATTTATGATATTCCTAATTTTGGATTTCCACCCCCGCTCCTTTACCTGCTGACCTTCCACTTCACACCACTCCATTAAAAGCTACAGTTCTCCATCAACACTCACTTGGAATGAATGGGTGACTCCAACATATACACAAGCACTAAGTACAACAACTCGCTGCGAACAAGTTTTGCTCAAGCATTTCCATTTTGTCCTCTAAAACATGTGGAAAGTAATTCATCTCGCCACAGGAATCCATCTGGAAACCATAATCCTACTTATGGATTCAGCGCTGGCCAAGACCTCCACAGAGGGACATGGAAGGGATTATAGACACAGAAAGACATACTTATCACCATTTCGAAAAGAGAATGGTAAATGGGCGAGGTACGAAGGATAATTATGTGGTTTCAGATTGCCTCATTGTAATGACATTCTACATCATTATTGTACTGGCTAGTATACATTTATGACGTCTTTATGTCTAGATCTATGCTTGTCTTGAATAGACAGTTAATGAAGTGTCTGTGAATTGTTATGAACTGAAGGCCATACTGCATTTTGAAAGAATGGGCACCTACATCCACCTTGATAGTAGCAGTGGGCGGTATGGTCAAAAGTTTTTATCATGGTATAATTAAGATTATTGACGGTTTCAGTATATATCACAGTGTAGTGTATTTTACAAAAATAAAACCTTGCAGGATGGTTAAGTAAACCTATATTGTGGCTTAACAATGGTGTATTTTTCTGGGATGCCCTTCACTTTCGGTAAGAACCAAAAGCCAAGCGAGGGGTACCGAGGCGAATGTGCACAGAAAGCCAGCTAGTCTCCATGCTAGGCTAATTTCTAACGGCTATCCACAAGAGAACGGCTTTTCTGTCCATTCTCCTTTTCCTCTCTGACTCCTTACAATTCTTCAACTAATTACATTCTGATCTCCGCTGTCTAAACCCACCAGGCAAAGTGAAGGAATTAGCATGTTTTTCACTATCTGTACACTGCGTTTGGGGCATGCCAGTATGATGGTAATGACAAAACTAATCCCTTAAGGCAGGGGTCGGCAACATGCATCTCTTTTACTGCCCTGTTGTGGCTCCACAGCAGAATTAGATTTTAAGGTAAAAATAAAATAATCCTCCTTTGCAGTAAAATAAAGCTCTGCTGATCGTTCTAACGCAGTTTTAACAATAAATAGCCTTAAATGCTGGACTTAATGTAGCTTATATCTGCTAATTTACCCTTTAACCTTGAAGGTTGATGCACAGACTGTTGATCACAATAGCAGCACAGACAACAGTCTCGCCTAGCTAGTAGCTAACGAAAAGGCAAAGAGAAAGATTTAAGACCAACATCAATAATTTGGAGACGAATGGACTTATTTGCATTTATAATCACTCCAGCTGGTTTCCTGATACGTTTAATCTGCAACAAGAAACTGTGAAACACTACAAAGTTATGAGGCTGAAGCTTCTCATTTGCTAGCCTCTCGGTCAAATTTTCCCATTCCACCTTAAATGGTGCAGCAGTTACATTCTGCTGCATCAGGCACCATTTAAGGTGGAACGGGGAAATTAGAACAAGAAGCTGATGAATGAGAAGCTGACTTCAGCCTCGTAAAAAATTCTTCTTAACGTTTGGGTTAACATTTGGGTTGCCTTGAGAAGAATTTCAACCAGTACACCAGACATTTCCCACTACTCCTTAGATAAAAGCCCATATGTTGATGTAAAGTTTGTGTTAGCCTCTAGTCCTCTAGTCCTTCATCAATGGACAGTTTCTTGCTATAGAATCACTCTTGGTTGTCACTTTTTGTGACTCTAAGGTGTGTAAATGTGTGTAAATGGTCCATCACCCAAATAATACCTGATCAACAGCAGTTCTTTGGTCAGAAACTGACCAATGATGAATGGAGTAGAGGGTGGCTGACAAATTGTGACAATAGCTGGCCATCTACAGTCTGTACAGACTGTAGATTCTTTCAGACAGTTGTACAGCATGATACAGTCAAGCAATTAACATCCTACCATGCTCTGTGGCATGTATGAAAATGCTTAGCAGGTCCAGTTCCAGATCAAAACGGGAAGAAGAAAACATCTAATTGACATTTAAGGAGGGTTCATTTTTGAGGTGCGGAAGGCAGGAGCTTCAGTCACAAAGACTGCTCAGAAACTACTGTAAAGTCATATCTGCATTTAAATGTATAGATAAGACATTAGTAAATAGGTCTGGAAACAGTGAGTGAAAGTACAAGGTATATATTAACTGTAGGTGATGAACTCAGAACAGCTTCCCTCTGACTCAAAATACTCTAAAACACTGAAAGACAAATGAGTGCTGACCTCAGATCTGCAGAGAGACTCAGAGGAAGGAAGACATTGGAACCATATGTGTTTCAAACCACAAAGAATGATAATGAAGCAGCCAAACTGAAGTCACCATTAAAAGCCATGGTATATTTGGTCAAGATGCAGAGTTTCCACATAAATATTGATTTAAAAGGAAATTCAGTTGGAATTATTTGTTTTACTTTTTAAATACTTCTGGTCCAAACCCGATCCCAAGGCTAAGGCGGAGATTGGTACAAATGAAACCACACTGTGGTTTCAGGTTGGGTTTCAATATGTGTGCGAGTAAGTTCTTGGGGCTACTTTTAACTCTAAGCAGTTGTGTCAGTGAAGCAAAAGTTTTTTAGTGGTCCTGACCTTACGACCGTGTGTGCAGGTGTGTATGTGCTACAAGACCATTTCTATAAACTCTCATTTGTATGATGAAGCACTAAAGTATTCATGGAAACCCACACACGATCTAAAGACATGCTTAATAATATCAGTATTAGTTAGGCAACTAAAGTGAAGGCAAAAGGAATGGAAACCCAAATAACTGCAAAAAGAATAACAAATAATATTGCTTTGGGGTTTATCTTGTAGATTTGCATATAATTTTGGGAAACATCTGTCAGACATTTCATGAATAAATGCTGATCATTTCCTGGCAGGTCTCACCACTGATGGATCTTCAGCTTTGCTTTATTGAATAAATGTAGAAAAAGTCTGATGCTGTATGCCTGTGCATGGAAAAGTGGACATCCTTGCAGTAAAATATACTTACATATCCAACGTTATATGAACAATTAATAGAATACGTGTAATGTTTAGTCAAATTTAAGCATGAATTTAGATGAGCAAGACATTTCAATTGGTATTAGCCATTTGATTGCTGTGTAAAAAAACGATTTCATTTAAACTTAATGAACTACCACAGTTATAAGTTAGTTCTGCCTTCAGTTTATTTAGTAGGCATTTGATTAGCATAGCTGCACCAACAGTAGGCCAAATCTCCTTTAACTGTACTAAAGTAAAAGTTCTTCAGACATCTTTAAAAGTTACTCTTAACCTGTGAAATTCAAGCCAGTTTTATTTATTTATGTATTTATTTATTTTTCAAAATTGAGAAGACTGCCATGCAAAGTTCATTCGCTTCAGCTTCATTTCCTGAACAACTGACCTACCCACCTTAACTTGCTCTGAGTAACCTTGACATGCTGAGATATTAGGACTGAACAGTGAGGCCCCTACCTGCTCCACATTGCTGAGCTGGAGGGTGACGTCTTGAGTGATTCCTGTGGGCCATGGGGGGAATTCCTGGTGTAAGACACTAGGGCAGTCAGCTGCATTCTGGGTAACAGGAAAAGACAAGAATTGAGTGGGAGAGAACAATAGCCGCCCATGTTTCCACTGCCATAAATACACCCTCCGTCCTGTTTGGCTGCATGTATGAATGAGGCCACTGACCAAAGAGGAAAAGAGTATACCTGATTGTAAAAACATCCCTCTATGAAAAGCAAAACAAAGGGAAGGGCAGAAACTGACAAAAGAAGTGAGACACTGCAGATGCTTTTAGTGTGCTGAGTAGGTCCACTTTTGCACATCTGACCCATCTCTAGCCCACACTGTGCCATCATTTGCCCAGCCTGCCAAGACACTGTGAAACTAAGCCAACACGGTTTGACGGCACTCTAATAGCAGTAATAATAAACGAAAAGGTTTATTCAGTGGAAAAGCGCTGAGAAAGCCTGTTGATTTTTGGAAACTAAAAATACATGTCAATTTTTTAATAATCATGCTTTTCGTAGGAATACTCTTTTCCATTGTTTGGCTTTGGAATCAAAAGAGTTAAAAACGTGTAATGGAAAATGTCTGGGACTTTTTCTCTGTGGTATAAAGAAAGACCATCTGAGCACTTCCTTTGGTTAGGGCTTTAGGAGCTGGACAGAAGGCCTTATGTAGTAGATCAGCTACCAACGTAATTAAAACCTTACAAACTTCGAATAAAACATGTGGTCTTTTACAAGCTTCAAATATGCCTGTTCAATATATAACTGCCAAGAAATATTCATGTGTACCAGCATTAGTGCTAACATACCATTAGAAATACAACAGGGGCGCTAGCAGCAACTGGCATTTAAAATATGTTTTTTTTTTTCTTATTTTCTGTCTAAGCTTTGACATTTATGAATTTAAGGTGGACTCTAATAATCATCGTTCACCATTCTTAAACCCAAGGTTGCTTTAGAAAAATGACAGTTTTCAAAGACACAACGTAGAAACAAACAATAAAAATTATTACAGAGAAAAAAATACAAAAAATGATACAACAAGACTAGGAATATAAGATTATTTAGTATTTGCAACATGCAGGAGTACTGGATACAGCTTGACCCCTTTAAATGGCTAGGGCCCATCGGTGGGCCCAAAGTTCTATGACTCACTTCTATGACCTAAGAATAGCTCATTCAGTTTGCACTGAAGTCCCTGTAGTTACTGAATGATAAGGCTTAATATGTAATAAGCCTGGAATTTTACGTGTGCTGCTGCAAAATAAAAGTTTTAAAATGTACAGTTCTGGTTCTAAAATCTGACTGGCTGTTAACATGTTCCAAAGTTTGAGGGCAGTTGCAGTAAATGATCTTGTCCCTATAGCAGGCGGTTAAGTGTGAGGAATTGAAAGTGATTTAAGTGAGTGGAACTGTTTGTAAGAGTTCAGAGAGTTAGGTGGGAGAAAGATCATAAAGTCTCAGCAGGAAAGACCGGAGACGGGCAACAGGAAGACGCTAGCTTGTTTTTACCGTGATGTTGTTGGCACTGAAAAGAGAAGCGGACACGGGGCAGCAGCTAACGTTGGTATGACTGTGACTGGAATGAGGTCATAGCCTTTTAAGCTTGGAAATCACAGAAGAAACTGCCGGGCCTTAGCACACACCCCCCCCCCTTCTCTCATTCTCTCACTCTGCCATTTGAAACTGCTGACTGGTGCTTTGTATCTCTGGCAGACTCTGTTCCTTTGTTTCTTTGCCATTGCTTATTTCAGAATTTGGACTGGGGTGTATCATGGAGCTCATCATTTCTCTGTCTTTATTTATACATGCTTCTGGCTTGACGGTTTTAAATCTCTCTCCTTCTCTCCATCCATCTGGACCACAGCACCAGAACTGTCTTTGTCTGTTTTTTTCTTTCCTGCAATCTGTTGTTTCAACCTATGCTGAAAAAAGTCGAATTTACTTGAGCCACTGTGTGTATCTTTCTTGCTTGATCTTTCAGCCGTACCTCTTTTTCTCTTTCTCCTATCCCTCCTGGAGCGAGGTCATACGTCATTAGCACTAGTTAAATGGTCGTACATTGTGTCCACTCTGTAGAGTACCAGCTCCTCTGGGCCCATTAAACCATACAGCATTTCAGGGATGGGCAAAAGCGAATCGTAATGCCATTTAAACAGTCACGTGGCTGTTAAATATGGCATATTATCGCATTAAGAGGGTTTGTTAGCCATGAGAGACATGAGCGTGTCTGTCTTTTATGAGCTCTGTTAAAATGGCCTGCCTTGTCCTCAACTGACTTTCTGCGCGTGGATGTCAGCCTTGGTCTCATTGTGTAATTGGTTGTGATTTTCATTATGATATTAGTGGATTTTTCTTGAAATAGATGATTCGTGAGCATGTGTACGCGTTCTTACACTCAAAACCTGGGATACTGTGGATATACCTGTACCGGTAATGTGGTAAAGTTTTGCGTCATTCAGATTTGCAGCCCTTACATGGTATTATTCAGGGATGCACACATTTACTTTTGCCATAAAAGCCCTTTTTACGCAGGATAGATCCCACTGGCATCAATTATTTGGTGGAATTTGTTTCAGAAATGGAAATCTCCGCCAACAGCTCTTTCATTCCTGAATCACTCCAATTTTCAGACATTTTTTCTCTTCATCTTCGTTAGTTTAAAAATAAAAGTGCCATGCCAGAAAGGGTTCTTTGAATCAATGCCATAGAAGAACCACTTCTGGTTCCCTGAGAAGCACTTCTGGTACACCTAAAGAACATTTCACTTGAATGGATTCAGAAATTTTAAAGAATCATTCACTTAAAAGTTCGTTAGGTGAACCACAGACAGTTCTTCTACAGCACAGTCTTTACTTTCAAATGGCTTACATTCTACTGTATTTGACTTTTTCCCCTGAGGTCCAGTTATGACATCTGATTCATTCACACTCTTTATAACTTCAGTATGAATGGGCGGAGCTAAACTGCTGAATAGGTGTATCTGTTGGTTATCGTGACATCACCAAGATGAATTTGAAACAGGTTTTTGGCCGAGAGAGGAAGGTTTGAAATTTTATCATATTTACATACTGCACCAAATGCTTGATTCAGAAAATCAAGGACATAACATGCACTGCAAAAAATCAGAAGTCCGCTCAACTTAAAATTATATAGTAACTGATTACATGGCTTTTCTTGAGTTTCAACTTGAGGACACCAGAGTTCACACAACTCAAACTAAAAAAAATCTCCCGGCGACTGTTTCTAGGTCTGCATCTCAGTTAGATAAACAAACCCGAATTTTTTTAACTCAATTTCCCCGACTAGCTGCCGTTCCTTCTTTCACTTCTTGGGCTTCCAGATATGGAAAGCTGTGGTATTGCTGGGATTCAAACACGCAACCTCCTGAATGGTGGGATGAATTATTAGACAGTTGCACCATATGAGACTACGCCATGCTGTACAGTTAAAACAACAAATATTTTCTCCAGTGTATTAAACATTTGTAGACACAAAATCTAAGTTACTTAAGCCATCACCCCAACAGGAGGTTGTGAGTTTGAGCCCCAGTGATGCCATAGCCATAGTGTGTACCCAAGAGGAAAAATGTCTAGCAGAATTGTGTGATGGAAAGAGTCCTGGCTAGTGGGGAAATTGAGAATAAAACAAAATGAATAAAAGTTCATTTTGTTTACCTAACTGAGTCGTTCTCATAAATTTTTAACAACTAAAAAATTACGAGAACTTTTGACTCAACTAGTAAGTCTGAGTTGTGTGAGCTTTTGTGTCTTTGAGTCAATGCAGGAAAAGCCATGTAATCAGCTACTATATCATTTTGAGCTGAGCTGACCTCTCATTTTTAAGTGTGGGCCCCTTGAGAGTGTATTGTACTGGTTTATGTTCTCATATAAACCCTCTTGACAACTTTCGGAGCAGTGCCGATCAGTGTTAGTTTTAATGCAGTGCAGAGTAACACTTTACAGTAATGTGATTAATGTGAGGGCTTTTAAATGATGTTCACTGTGATAGGCTGTTTCTTTCTGAATAAAATACTGAACGTACTGGGTTTTTCCATTGTACTTACCAGGTGGTACAGATTTGTTTGGTTATCAGAGAGTAACAGGTAGTGAGATTACATTCCAGAAAGTAATGAGTCAAGTAATTTGTAAGCAAGTACTTTTTTAAGTAACTTCCCCACACTCTACCTGATTAATAACCACTCAACTGAAGCATAAACGTGAATGTGTGAAAAAGACGTGATTGGTTGGTGTTGAGATCGACAATGCTCACCTCCAGCACCAATGCTTTATCTTTATCAGAAACACATGAGTTCTGCTGCTGGTCCCAGTAACACCGCCACTTAGTGCTCAGACAGCTTGTACACCTGGATAAAGTTAGAAATGCATACAGACGCACAGAGACACACAGACACATACAGAAAATTACTACAGGGGTTATAATTTAACTCAGGCAGATCACACACACAAGCTATTCAACACCTCCCACGTGCATCAAACACACACTTCAGGGGTCAGAGATCAAGCAAGTCTGAATTTTTTCCTAAAGGGGGTCAAATGGAACCTGGGGAGACTGAGGGGATCCCTTTACACAGTCCTTCAGAATGAAAGAGGAGCCATAAAAGCAGCATATAACAGATTGTATGATGTCCATTAAGGCTGAGCGTGTCTGGACAATCACACACACTTACTCTCTCTCTCTCACACACACAAACACACACACACAGTGAAGTCAGTGGAGCATTCCTCCAAACACAACTTACTTCAGCCCTCCATTCATTACTGAGACAGATAGAGATGTAGTGTATACTTACTCAAGATAAAGTCAAGACTCCAGCACCTCCAGTGAGTGTGTGTGAGACTCAGTGGGGCACGACAGATGTTACTGCTGGCAGAGATAACGGCTTTCATGATAAGGATGAGTGCTTTATGATGGTGGGGAAGGGAGGGTGGGGGGTGCGGATTGCGTGCACTCTTCGTGGGAGGCTCTGCGTGTGTGTGTGTGTGTGAAAGTTCTTAAGATGTCTCAATGTAACCACATTCAAGGAAACCTTATCAGAGCAGAGTTATTCTTTTCACTCCTATCTCTCTCTCTCTCACCCATTTTCCCCATCTGACTCTCTCACCATCCCATACCAAATCTCTCTCTCCCTCGCTATATTTTATTCTCTTCTCTCTCTTTCTTTCGTTTCTCTCTTTTCCTCTGTCACCCTCTCTCCCCCTTTTCTCCCTTTCTATATTTCATTCTCCTCTTTCTCTCTCTCTCTCTCTCTCTCTCTCTTTCTCTCTCTCTCTCCCACTTGTTCTCTCACACACAGTTGCTCCTTGAGAGCTTTGGTTAAACAAACACTCTGAATTATCTCTCTGTCAGCAAGAGAAACAAGCCTTACGACCCAGCGTGAGAGAGAGAGAGAGAGAGAGAGAGAAAAAAGAGAGAGAGAGAGAGGAAGAAGAGAATGAAATACAGAGGGGGGATAGAGAGAGAGAGGAAGAAGAAAATGAAATACAGAGAGAGGAGGGGAGGGAGAGAAAAAGAGAAAATGACAGAGAAAGAAAGAGGAAAAAAGAGAGAAGAAAGTGACAGGGAGACTGAAACATGCCGAGAGAGAGAGAGAGAAAGTAAAATAAAAAGAAAAAGAGGCAGAGAGAGAAGAGGGAGACAGAAACAGAAGATAATGCAATATGGAAAAGAAGGAGGAGAGAGAAAGAGAGAGAGAAAGAAAGAATGAGGAGGTAGAGAGAGTGAAAAGAGAGAAAAAAAGAATGCAATAGGGAAAAGGAGCAAGAGAGAGAGAAATATGAAGAGGGATAAAGAGGGAGAAAGAAATGATACACAAACAGTGGAAAAAGAAGAGAATGCAATATGGAGGGGGGGATTGTGAGAAAGAGAGAGAGAGAGTGAGAAAGAGAGAGAGAGAAGAAAATAAAATACAGAGGGAGAAAGAAAGAAAGAAGAAAAGTAGGAAAAGAGATATATAGAGAGAAACACAGAGAGAGACAGGGAGACTTAGACATATATATATAGAGAGAGAGACAGAGAGAGAGAGAGAGAGAGAGAGTCATTCACTGTGAGTAATTGATTCAGGGTTGCCAGAGCTTGTGGTACGGAATGCATGTCACTGCTCATGTCTGGTTGTCATTAGCCGTTCACCTAGACACGGCCGTGCTGAGACCGTGGGAGAATTCTAACTGCACAAACACGCACAGCCCAACTCACACTGTCACCCAAAACACACAGACTCTACACCAATTCACACTCTCACCCACAACACACACACTCTACCCACTCAGACCAAAACGCACATTCCACTCAGTGATGCAGGATTACATTTCAGCCTAAGTGAAGAACACTAGACCTGAGCTAAACTCCCAGCTCATTCCTCTACAAGTGCAAATTAAAGTTCTACACATTCTGAGTTCGCTGGATTAGAAATGGGAAACATAAATATTGTGGTAAGAGATTTTATGAGGTAAGAGAGTTTATAGTGGGTAGATGTGTGTGCCAAGTTGGCCGCATGTAATTGGGAGGCCCTTTGAATTTGTCCAAATCCAAACCATATATAAGACACTTCCTACTCAGCTAAGCAACACACTGCAAATCTGATAACAGCTCCAAGTCCAGTTGATATTTTGAAATCCAATGTTAATATGAGCTAATGCACAGATCACAGCTTCAAATACACCTTATCAATAACTAGTAGAGATGGGACCGATCTGATATCATATCAGCAGAAAATGCTGGATTGGATTTCGAATTCAATCATGTAACAAATCTGTCCTGAAATAGCACACACTCACATTGGGTGAAGCGATGTTGTTAGCTGTGTAGTTCTTCCTGTGGAGTAGTAGAGTGTTTGAATAGTTTGATTATAGAGACTACTTACAGACTACTTATCTGCTGCTTAACCCCCGAAACCCTAAGGTCCTATGCGTGTGTCCACACATCCAATTCCTCACTTTAATGACTACATAACTTACATATGAGTTTCATAATTGTTAATGACTAATTTATAGCAGTTACTGAATAACAAGTCTTAAGTTGAATACATGAATAGTGAACTTGCAGTTAAAAGTCAATATGAATTAAATCTCATGACCTCATTTTCCTTCCACACCGTGACATATTTCTCAGTGAAACACAATATCAAGGAGGTATCTGAGCTAGCTGAGGGTTTTACTCGATGATCAGTGGGCGTAGTGGGAGTGGGAGATGAAACATGATATTATTGGTTAATATTATTTTCCCTCCCGCTGGTACACGTGAGGTGATCAAAGCATGGAAGAAGTTTTAAAAGTTATGATCAAAGTTCATAAGAAAACAAGAATTTAGTCATTAAAATATGATAAATTGTGCCTAAAATGGCCAGAAACCAAAGGCAAAAAGCAGTTTAGCTCCGGCCATAAATTCTGAAGCTATGAGCAGTGTTGCAGTTTGGATTGCTTTTTTAAAATAAGGCACAACATAGGGCAGCCAATCATAACAGAGCTCATTTACATGTGCTCGTTTAATTCCGAAGGATCAAGAGAGTTAGAAAAATGGTCATGTAAAAAAGAATTCAGACCATTTTTTTATTACATAAAATCATACCATACCACTTTGCACAGGGCTGCTGCACAAGACAGGAAACTTTGCAGGCAAGTGTAAGAGAGACCAGCCGAGAGAGACCGTCAAGGTTGGAACTGAAATGAAGCCACACGTCCGCTCTGCTCTTCCTGCGGCTCTTAGCTTATTATCACCTTGCTCAAGTGTGACATATTGCACATCTTTAGATGCCCGCTCACACAGGCTCTTTCTCTCTCACTCTCACACACACACACGTACAAGAGCCATTGTCCTAAATGTCTCCCAACTCTTAAAATACATTCTATACACTGTACGCTATACATTAGGGATGTGTGTTTCATGTGTAACACTCACGCAGTCTTCCAGTGAATCTCTCCTGTTCTTTCACAGTCATAGATGATAAAGTTTCCGGACACCACAGAGGTGCCGTTCACCTTGATGGACACAGGAACTACAATGTGGTCTAAGCAGAAGAAAAAATCAGAACATGCAAGTCAAACCAGTATCTTTAGGATCTGATTTATTTCAAAGTACCATTTTTTTGTTAAGTAATAATATTTTAAGTAAACAAATGTATTCAGGTGTCATCTTTGGGAGCTATGTAGTATTATGTTACATTAGAATACATATAAATAAACATACAACGGAACGTGGCAAGAACTTTTAGTTTTTAAAAAGGTTATTGATTTGATCTCTAGAAGATTTAGCAAAACATCAAATTCACTAGTCTCTCAAATTGTTTCCACAAATAAATGCAAACTTCTTTCAATCCACTCAAACTGCATCCAGATCTTAATTCAGGTCGCACAGACAAACTGATGTGGTTTACGAAAGTTGTTGTGATATTAACTCACTATGAACTATTAAAAATGTAAAAAAAAAAAAATGTCTTAAAAGTGGCAGCCATTTAGGGGTAACCAAAAACTTGTAAGTTTACCTTGTTCTATTTTCATAACACCTCAACATTTCTTACACTTCTTACAGTAATTAACACTTTAGGTATTATTGTGCTAACACCAACACACCACTGAGCTCCGGCCTCCCAGAGTTTGAAAGCAGAACAGTGCTGGAAAGCCGGACATTATGCAGATACTAATGTAATATCAACTGCAGTTTAAATATGTAAATAAGGCCTGTCTGTGCCATTATACTAAATTGTTTCTTTAAAGAAGTTTACACATCTTACTGACGTAATTTGAAGCAAATATATTAAGATTTTGACATGTACTTGCAGAAACGGTCTTGGTGACTATTTACTTCCAGTGTTTGTTAGCATGGTCAGCCTGGCAGCTCCAGTTCTAAACTAGATTTGGACACAAAACATGTCTTGGCTGATCGGCTGCACTCGAAATACGCAGAAAATCATGTAAATTTGCTTTTCTGACAAAATATTTTTTTAATGAAGGACTGATTAGCTGAAGCAAGTATTGGATGGTAACTGTAAATGCTGGACTTCCACGAGGAGAACTGTAGAAACGGTTCATCTAAAACACTGACACACAAATTCACAAGGTATTGTTTATTTGTTTGTATATATATGACACATATAGTTGTTTTTCTCAAATGTCCCAGTGTAAAAAATGTAACTATATTTTAACTTGGTTTGTGCAAATAAAGGTAAATTTATGGACTTTTACTGTAATTGCATTTAAGCAATTACTCTGTTATTTTACAGCTTTCTGCTCACTTTTAGCTAAATCTTTACATGATTTTTTTTTTTTACTTCAGAAATACCATATCAACAATGACTACAGAATAAATCTGTAGACACAATAAACCTACTCCAGTGTGTTCATCGTGTAATTTAAATACAGTGCAGTGAGCTGACCCAACTTCAATGGAGATACAGTTCTGTAAAGCTGAGTTTAATGACTGTGAACTTCATTAGTTTTACTCTGATAACTTGTAAGGAAATGAGAACTCCAGTGCTCACCTTTGCCCAAAGGAATCTCAGGAAGTTTGCTGGCAGGCGGCAAGGGGCAGGTCTGGATTTTGGCAGTACCGTCGTCCAGGTGTACTGTGGCGACCGTTGCTATGCCAACCCCATAATCACATTCGAGGTCGAGACCGTCCAAGTCTGGAACACTTCCGTCAACCAAGATCCCCACATTCTGAAAAAGAAAGATGAGGACAGTGAGACAGAGAAAAAAAGAGAGATGCTTTTTTGCTTTTTTTTCTAGGTTCTGCTAACATCTGTTATCTTTCATTAATCTACACACCAGGCTAGGTGTATGTGGGTACGTGAATATGTGCTTATTTCATCCTCATTATTTCATAATCTGTAATCAATGAGTCACTGTGATTGGCTGGGTGACAGTGATGACTATGAATGCTAACGCTGCTTGGCTGAGTAATCTGATTTTTTTAATAAATGCCAGACAAAGCAGGAGCAACAGGGACGAATGAGTTTCTCCTGATTGATTTCCTCTTCAGCTTCAATCAGAGCTCAATGGTGGAGGGCTGAAACGTGAAGTCATGGAATAAGCCTGCATCTCTCTTTCTTTCTTAACTCTTATTCTTTCTCTCCACCCTCAGCTCTATTGTCATCGAGATGGAGCACTTCCTCACAGTGGCGCCTGCTTCCTGCTTCCTGTTTCCTGTTTGGGCTTAGGCCGGAGCAGAGCCATTTCCTGTGGCCTTGAATGATGGACAGGTGGAAGATCCACCAGAGAAAGGCTGACCCACTTTCCCAAAATACATCAGTGGGACCCTACGGACAAGTGTGCCAAACACCTCTGCCTTTGAAGCCATTCAAAAGGCAATTTGGCAACTGTCTGGAGGCACTGATAGTGATCTGAGGATATGGATCTAAAGATATGGATGAGAAAATATGGCAGTGAGGTGGGTCTGCAGACCCAATGATTGTGATTACTGACATTTTCAGGCACTTTGAAGTTCTCAGAGTCAAATACTTTGGCTTTGTCACTTTTAACTGATTAAATTCTGCCCCCAGAACAGCTGCAACACAAGCATATCCATATTCGACACTCCAAAATGGATCAGCATGGGGAACTGGAGCTTTCTGTGCGCTACTGTGTCTTCTTTCACTGTGTAAAAGAGGCTTTATTGTGAGATGCATTGCAGTATTTTCTGATTGAGTGTGTGCACACATGCAAAACAGAATAAGGACTTTTTATCGATCGTTGTAGTAATGATAAAATGGGACTGAAGTGTGAAATACATTCCTTTTCATATGTTGGCTTTCTCAAAGTGTTAGTTTGTGACTCAAACTGAATAAACATTTGAGCTTTGTTAGATCTTGTTCCTAATAAATTTGGTAGAAGAGCAGGTTAAACGGCAGAAACAGCCATATTCATCTTCAGCATAAAAGAGTGTGAGTTTAGTCTGAGACAGATTTAAGCTGATGTGGGTATGAAGCACCGTAACGCTTGCAGAATGCCTGAATTCTGCTACTCAGTATTTTGAGGTGCTTAGAGTCTGATATAAATTCTTTAGTTTTTTTGAATGAGAGAAGATGTGTTCTGTTCCCGTGAAACTAGAGATATTGGAGCAACTTTCGAGCCCCAATATGTCAATGTGGACATTCCCTTCATTTATCAAAATACCATGTAAATCTGTAGGAAAAACAGAGAGCTTGTTCTATTGCATGGTGCATTGCTTGCTCTATAGATCAGTTCTCATCCATCATCTTTGTTGGTGATGTATAGCATGATGATGCAGATATGTTTTTGAATCTTTTGGCTCAGGTGGGTTGTTTATGGCAGGCATAGCACTGCAGAGTTTACGATTCTTCTTCAATTTAGCAAGGCCAATGTGTTGAACTCAAAAAACGCTAATCTCTGCAGAGCCGTGACCCACCAGGAACTGAGTTTGGCAGTGCATCCTATTGTGGTATATCTGAATCTTCATTGTGTGCCAAATCTCATTAGACTGAATTAGGCAGAATCTGGGGGTATAGCTATAAACCTTGATGTACTTGTCAAATATGACAAAATGAAGCCAAACACAAAGATACACAAAAGTGAGAGAGACTCAGTTTGGGTCTGAAAGGGTTCAACTAAAGCCTACTGCTTAGTTATTAAGCTTAACAATTATTATTCAGTAACTACTATAAATTACTCAAAGGATGTAACTCTTTAAATATGTATTGAAACATCACGTTTGAAAAGGTGTATTTTAAAAATATTTCTTCCGAGGGACTCTCACTTACTATCTTTCGTGGAAGCCACAGTCAATTTTCAAAACTAGGTGTCTGGGTGCGTCTTATCAGAGTAAAGTGGGGGCAGAGGAGGGGCTTGTGTTATGCAAGGCCTCATGCTGAAATGACTTGGCTTTTTATAAAGCAATTATAAATTCTAGGGGTTGTGACTTTGGGGGTTTATGTTGTTTTTATTTAGATTTTTTTTATTATTACTATTATTTATTTATCCATCTGAGCCTAACCAAGTTGTGTAGTATATGAATAGAACTGTAGAATGATTTTCAACATTTTAGCACACAGAATATAAAAAATCGAATTGAGAATTGAAAATTTGAAAATATGTGCTTCTTTATTTTTATATATCCTTCTATATATCTTCATGGCCTTAGCGGACATAAGCTGAGCACATATTAATATATTATCATTGACACTTAAACACGAGACACCTATTCAGGCACTCCTTATTTACTTACTATATTTAAATACTTACACTGTACTGTATTGTATCAAATCAAATTCTGTGTATGGTTACACCTCTAGTAATTACTGTGAAACTAAAATGTAAGTTATGCAGATATAAAAGTGAGCAGTAACGTAGGTGCAGATATGGTCCTTTAAGTTTAAGGGGCAATCATCTGCAGTGTTTTAGTCAGAGTGTTTCCGAAAGCCGTGTGGATTTGAAGTAGTGTCCATCTGCCGTACCGTAATGTTTGCAGTCCTGCTGAGTTCTGCTGGAGTAAAGGTCATTGAGGGACACTGCTGGGGTCCTTCCCTTATGTTGATCCAAGAGCGGGCCACACCGCCACTGGAGCACTCCTCCTGAATGGAGCACCTGCAGAGGCCACACAGGATTATGGGAGACTGAATTTTATTCATAGACAGAATGCAAAACACATGGATTAAAACATGGTAGAAAAAACATAATGCATCATTAGAGAAATAGCTACTTTTCAAGTGTCATGTCAAAATGTAACAGAGAGTTTTTAGCAAACACACACACACACACATAACAGGGGTGTGTTTGATTCCTCTCACATACGTTCCCATGACGACAGCCCCCTCTGGCACTGAGATCAGAGTGCTGCTAATTCAATTAAAAAGGCTAACAAGACAAGTCTTTATCTATACACGAGCGAGAAAGTGTGTGTGTCTCTGAAGGAGAGTGGGCCTATCAGACATGGAATTCCCTTCCAGACAGAGGCCTTTTATTATGACTTATGTTTCAGTTGTTAATCCAAATATTCGCCGTGCACAGCTCCACTTTACACTGCCCACACACATATCCCCCCACCACACACACACAGAGGGAAGCAAGGACACACTGCCCTTAAACCATAGACTCCAGCCCTGTTTATGGGAAGTCAAAGCAGATCCTTGTGATTACTCTTCATGATCACTTAACAACAGCCAAATAAATACATGAAAACACTTTTCAGAAAATCTCTCTGTTATGTCTATAATCTGTGGTTATAGTTTATATAATAGTAGTTTACATAATAGTTGGCAAAACACTGATATTCCTGCTATGTCTATAACAAAAGTGAATACACCATGATAATGCACAAATAATAGCCTTATGGGGCCAGACGTGATCTCATAACAAGAATGTCTTGGGTCATTCATTATAAATTTTGGGCTGAATGTGGGTGGGAACATAGACTTACTAGAGTGGGAACAAACTAAGCGTGAAATGGAGCTCAAAGTAGGGTGCGCTTGTCAACACGATCCAACGGACAATAAGCCTGTCATTAGCCAGCGGATGTAATATAAGTTAACATGGCTAAAAAAAGTCTCCCCTAAAAATTTCAATTAAGCATGTAGGCATGCAGAGAACACATTACATAAATATTACCTCTTGGAAGGCAACAGTTCTGTTAGCTAACACACAGTAAAGTTAACTGAACTTCAAATAATACGTTAATATTATAAGATTCTTGCTCTGTTAAATTAAGCCCAATCCCATTTCACCCCTTGCCCCTACCACTTAGCCTTACCCCTCCATTTAGCGCATTCATGTCTAGGGATAGGGTGTCCTGATTTTTGTTGAGATAGAGGGGTAGGGCGAAGAGTTAGGGCTACATGGCCCTCCAAACGGAGGATTTTGAAAGGCATAAAGCAGCAGTTACACTCTGGTCCCTCAGGTGTCAGAACTGCTACAAGGTACTTTAAGGTAGAATGGGAAAATTTAGCTAGCCAGCTTCCAAGACATCAGCATACTGCTAGCAATTTTTTATGCTTGTTATGAAGAAAAGGACCATAATATATTGAAAAGACATTAAACTAAGATAATACAATAATTATCTGAATTTTTAACAGAGAAAATACCCCACCCCCACCCTTTGAAGGCATTTGATGCCATACATGTATTTAAAGCCCAGCAGCGAGGTTGCTGAGCTTCACCCTCATCTGCTATCACTGCAGACTGGCAGGGTCGCCTACAGAGCAGCACTAGTAGCTGTTAATGAAGTAATGTTCTTTTTATTTGAGGGTCCCATTTCATAGGGAATATTTCAACCACAACCCTTGTAACTCAGTTCCAAGGGGCAACACAAAACAAGGGGTAGGGGTAAAAATGAGAAATAGGATTGGGCCTAACTATACAAAATTAAACTAACTGAATTAATTAAGGCAGTCCAAACACTAACTTTTTACAGTTAAAACAACTATTTTTTTTACAGTGCAGCACTTTTTTCTAGTTAGCTTGTTTTCCTCATGTTATTGATTGCACTCAGGTGTAACAAAAATAGTTGACTGTTAAAAGCTGATTCATTAAGTTTGAACTCCTATTCGCAGAGGTTTGCATACGAGCGGAGTACACACGACTAAACTTGCATAAAAAGTAGAGGAAGATGTTATCAGGAAAGAATTTAGCTGGCTGATGGAACCAAGGCCGAGAGCACTCAATCAACTTCTTTAGGTACTGTTCACTTTCTGTACAGTGACCACTAAAAATCATTATTTAGTTTGAGAATTGTTGAAATATTACAACAGAGCTGTGCATCAAGTTCAATTGCACAAAGGAAACAGAGGACATTTATGAACATGATATTCTTTTTTACTAAACAAACTGCCTCTGTTATTCATAAGTGATGGGAAATCTTTTAGCCACTGTGGGTTAAATTGGTACATAAGCTAAGCTAGAGCTAGCTGTTTAATATTAGATGAGAAGCAGTCCATCATAAGGTAAATTACCTTCTGCTCAGTGGGATGATGTGGAAACATGCTGGCTTGTCAAAGTTACTTCAGACCATGTTTCGTAGTAAAGTTAGCAAAGTAAAAATACTTAATACGCTGCTGTCAAAACAAAACCTTGTCTCTTCCATTTTTCAGTTTTTGACATAATTTGAAAATGCATATTGCCCGTTACATTGGGTATAGATTTCATGATGAATGGACCAAAAGGAATGGACCAAAACTGATTGGAAATGTGTCTGGTTCCACTGACTTACATTAAAAGTAAAGTATGTTTTTTCCTTCTCCTGTAAAGTTATCATTTTGGAGATAAAAGGTTTTGTTCTGACAGTTATGTTACAGCAGTAACATACCACAATGAATGAGAAGGTACTAAGCTGCCAGTTTATTAGGTACAACTACCTTGTAGGCCAAATGCAGAGATGTAACTATAGGACCATGGAACAAACAAGTCAACCTTTTCCAGTATTAACTTCTTTCATCGCGCCAGACCTTAAAATAGCACGCAATGCAAGAACTTGGAGGTGGGATTTATAGGGGTCTGTCTTTGTTTGTGATTTCAGCCACAAACTAGCACCGAAGATTTAACTAGTTGTCTCCAGATATGAATTCTCATCTGGCCCCACAAGACCCAAACAATAACGTAGTTTTATGGCTACTGTGCTCCAAAATACCCAAAAGCATGTTTAGTCTGTGTTACTGTCATTATTTAAACAACCCAATAACATTTCTCTGGTTCTCATGAGAAATTCTTGTCTTCAAAATGCTGTTTTCACTTTAAGCTTTTCTATCTGAACACTAAGGCTAGAATTACTCTCCAACATAAATCAGTGAAAACCCTCCATGAACATAGAAATACAAGACAGTGTGTGTACATGTGAATGAATGTCTGAACTTTGAAAAGAGCACAGAGAACAGCCAGAGCAAAGAGGTCAGGCTGACCGCCAGAAATAGAATGAGTATACCATCGCTGAAAAATCCCCTACACACCACACACACACACACACACCACACACACACACAAGCTCGCCAAAACACTCAAGAGTTCAGTTTGAGAATTTTATAGCTGCAAATAAAGGAACAACAACTTCATGAAAGAAAGTAAATGTTATTCATAAAAGACATTTTGAAGCCCAAACGAAAACAGTTCAAGACTTCTATTAGTGAAAACAAGTTTATGCTCATACCTAGTCAGAGCTCTTCTTATATTAAAGCTATAAATCTCCATGAAGGACATACTTTAACCTACAAGACTGGATCTCCCGCTTTCAGTTTTATCCTTTAGAATTGACAAATATAACTAGCAATAACAAAAGCATGGTGCAATTTATAGAAGCAAAACAAAAGTAATAACTCTCGACTTCTAAGGCTTAAGGCTTCATTCTTAAAAAGTGGTTCTTCAAGGGTTCTTTAGTACAAGTGGTAATCATATATAGAATCAGGAGCCCTTAAAAAACATTTGAATACATAAATTCTCTGCATGGCTAAATGTAGGTATGGATTGAAAATTTGCTGTATATGGTTCTTTAAAGAAGATACTTATGTTTTACTAAATTATATAGCACCAAAAAAGGGTTCCACTATTGTTACAAGCCTTTGAATGTTTTTGGTAGCATACACAACCCTTTTTCGCTAAGAGTGTATAGCTCCTCATAAGAGTCACACTTTCATCTAAAAGATTGGAGCTCTACTGCTTACAGTGTATAAGCTGTAAACAGCTATATCAAGTCAGTCCTCATTTGTTTCCATACTTTCACAATACATTTTCTAACATTTGTTCACAGTACATTCCCAAATAAAACAGAGCTTTTCTGTGTATAAGTCCACTGTACAAGTTTATGAGGCCTGGCTACAATCAATTTCATTATAGCTAATCTGTTAATACAAATACCTACCAATTACCGTAATCTGAGGGAAATGTTTTTGAATATTAAACACAACACATGAATGTTTACCTGATGTTAGCTACTACAACAACTGAAACTGTGGTGGTGAAGGTTAATTAACCTGGGTCCTACCTTTTACAGCACTAGATGTAGATGTTAAGAGCACATGGTTGAAAGCAGAGATGCTCTTCTTGTTTATTTTTGCAGTACTTTATCCCAGTCAAGTACTACTTGCTAGCAAGTGCTATAGGTAGTCTATACAGACTAGCACAGCCCAGATAAGTTCTCAGGAGAAACAGTGAAGCAAGCTAATCATATTGGCTTTGAAAAAAAGTGGATTTCCATGCACAACCACAGCCTTGTACACACACTGATGTGATGATACAGTCTGTTGGAAATTTGTGACGCTCCAGAGATGGAAAAAAGTAATGAGGATACAATGACTCGGCGTCTTTGCCCATGACGACCTTACATTTTATGTTTAACATTTTCATTTGCATTGGAGAACTTTATTTAATAGTCAGTAATATGGGAGGACTGGCTTCTAAGTGGGGTGGCCTAAGCCCCACTAGCTGTAACTACACCCCTGGTATCTACTGGTTTAAAGTCTGTCTGTAATGAGCTGTGTGATAGTGAATAGAGTGCACTGAAACGGCTTGTGGAATTATTTACCACATAATCAGATTAAAACTGCCTCTGTCACACACTGGGTCAATTGAGATGAAGCTGATACATGATGCCAAATACACTGACCTTGCATGACTCGCATAATGCGCACACACACACACACACACACACACACACATGCGCAGAAGTGCCATAATACATGATCCCACTTGACATGCCTCTAATATCTTCAACGTCTTCAAAGCATAGTGCACACACACACATACATGCATGAACACACACACGTTCATGCACAAATCTTTCCATAGCAGCATTGTCCAAAATGCCTTTCAAAGACACCCTAACAATTACACACACACACACTCACAGGGTCATGGCATCAGCTAAAAAGATTCCCAGTGCTGTCTGACATTTCCCCCTGAAAGAGCTAGTGTGATGACAACATCAACAAGCCTTTGTGGACTGGTTGAGAAAGACAGATGAACAGGAATGGGGAAGACAAATAGAAAGAGGGAGCGCTTTCAGCAAGCAGAGGAGACAAACACAACTTCAGCATTTCTTGAGCGTCTCAGACATCGCTTTTTCCTCTCCATTCCTCGCATTCACGCTAGGCTTCAACAAAAGATAAAGATTACAATACACAATCTGACTCAGAACAATCTGTATTCATTTGCCTTTTTCAAATCCACATAGATGCCCATACAGTAAGACTCTGACTTGGCAGTGTTCTTTTACTCTGTTCCAGAATCAGTTCCCCAGTTAGGAAAACGATTTGGATTTACATACTAAAAACAGACCCTATAAAAGTAATGCGGTGAATTTACTTGATTAAAAGTGTGTGCATCATTTCCACATGAATAAATTGTATTACATCAGCATGGCTTTGTCTCCTCTTACTTGTGGCAGTAACTGTGTAGATGTAATACAGCTAATTCATATGGAAATGATGTACACATTTGAATCAAGTTCAGTGGAACACATTTTTCAGTGTAGATGAATGTTAAATGCTAGCTTCTGTCTTGATTACTGAATAATGCATGTGGAATGATTAATGCCAGCAGCTTCAAAACTTTACAGCCTAAAAATGGAAAGACGTAATTGGTCCAATCCAGCGAAAGTTATTCAGCAAACCTGGCAAGAGTCGCAAAATAGGGGCCAAAAATGCCTACAAGTTTCACTTGCACAAACTTAAACCGCAATAACATCAGAAAATATCTCTGAAACCTCTTTTGCTTATATAACTACATTTTTGCTTATCTGCACTAAAAATCCACCCACTGCTATTCAGTTACCCCCTCAGTTTACAAGAATAGCACTGCAAGATAAGCACACATAAATAGAGCTTAAAATCATACTTCACTGCTTAACTCACTGACACGCCAATCTACAAATATCTTACCTGCTCTCCAGTGTGCACCACCCACAGTAGGCATCACTGGCACTGAGACAGTCACTGCATGATGTGTACTGGTCACACACAGCCACCTGGACCCTGAAGATCTGCACAGAAAGGCAAAATTAAACAATGTCAATTAACTCATACTAATGAATACTAATACCATCATTAGTCCTTGACACAAACACATTGCTGCTGTCATATCAAAATATCGTTTATTCTATTCTAAAAAGCTCACTGCCCTTCAAGTTGAGTAAACATTTCTTAATACAAATTGTCACAAAAATTACATGAAACAGTCTTGCTGCCTTAAAAAGTCTACCTAACGAGTGACATAAGCAGGGCCCATACCACCTAAATATGTAGAAAGTAAAGCATTAGAATGGTAAAATAATCAATGTTGTCACCACTGCCAGCAGGGTTAGATCCAACTAAACTTAAAGTTAAACGAGTTAGCAACAAACAACGCATCATGTGACAGAGCCCTGGATTAAGAATGCTGAGGTTGTCTGTACCTTAAACTGTAACTTATTAGAACCCCAAACAAGCATCCAACCATCAGCAACACACAATCTGCCAGTTATAAATTTACACAGCATGTGGTCATCATTGTTATTAGTTAGCCTCTGATATTAGAATACATCAGCTAGCAAGATGAGGAGGCCCCCCAAAAAATCCTGCTTAGGCTAGAGCCAGCTCTGCTGCATTAACACACACTGACGTTAAGAACGTTTTTCCTTCTCCTACAAAGCTACTATTTTGGAAATATGAGGTTTTGTTACAGCAACCATGACACTGTAAGAGACACTGGCACACACTGAATGTAGACACACACACACGTACAGCATATGTTTAAACAGTTTGCCAGGTCAAACGTTAGTCTTGCGCTTTGGGCTCACACGTTGGTCTTTCACATGATTGCGCGTTCACCTTCAATTTCACACCCCACAATAAACTCCTCGCTCTTCCCTCCTCAGATCTGACACGCCTAACAACCTCTTTTCACACTTCACACCCACCACGAAAGCACTATTAAAAAGGTGTGTATGTATGAGCGAGAGCAAGAAAGAGACAGCGAGAGGGAGAGAGAGAGAGAGAGAGAGAGAGAGAGAGAGAGAGAGAGAGAAAGAGAATAAGCAGGCCCAATAAAATGCTTATCGAAACCATCCGATTCTGCAGTCTCTCTTAAATAATATCTCAGCATGAAAATAAGGTTAAACCACAATTTGACTTTTCAAAATCTAAGTAACATCAGCTAATTGACAATGTAATCCATATTTTGGGTCATAATTGATCAGGGTAATCGAATCTGATGCAGTTATTGATAAAAATAATCTGATATCTTTGCTATGTAATGTGCATTGTGGATTCACCGGCGTATCTGCTGTGGATAGTTACATGCATGTGAATATGAATTACTTTCTCTCTGTTCTAATTACATTTATCCTCCTTTTTCTTCCTCTCCCTTTTGCACAGACTCTGCTTTGATTTCATTGTATATGTTGGCTACAGCTGAAATATACAATTAAAAACAGAACTACTTTAAAGATCATTACTAGAAACTATTTTCTAGTTATTAGTGAGCAGTTGATGATAATAGGCTGAAATACAATGAGTACATATTGAGCAAAGATGTATGAATTATATGATGAAGGATTTTATATAGAACTACACATACATATACCCAAAATATATTTATATTTATACACTGTCACTGTCATATCAAAACTTCCCTTTTTCTTTGGTTTATTTTTTGCACCATTAGAAAACAGCAGCTGCCCTTTACATTTATTGACATTTACCACAGATAACTCAATAGCTGTATGGTGGGTTATTACTCTTTTATTCCATTTACATCTATGTGTCATTATATTCAAACTGTACTGCATACAAAAAATGTATTCAAGTATTACAAATCTTAGTCAACAAAGCACATTGTATAAACCATATAACTTGGTAATAAATATGTTTTCACTTGTAAAATCACCACATATCAATAAAATAGATGCAAATAAATCCAACTATAATAGAGATGAACCAAGATTTTTATATGGACACTGTTGCATGAATTTATTGAATACCACCACCAGCACACTTCATTTAACATACTGAAGCACTGATTAACCAAACCAGATATTGGCTGATGCCCACAAGTAATATTAGGTTTCCCTCTGAGGAGAGGTTTGGAAATATGTAAAATCATTACTCATTGTATTAATGTTATTTGTATTTTATTATATTATATTTATTATATTTTATTTAACAATATTAGCATTTTCAGAGCAAATAAACACTTACTGCCTAATTAAGTAGCTTCCATATTTTTGCATTTTTCAAATTACATATTATATATGTCCTATTCAGCCAGAGAAATAATTTCAATTTTCCATTCTTAGTAGCCCGTTTCACCCTGAGATGCCCTACAGTCCCCAGCATGTACTGCAACATAGTGTGCGTTCTGTCACACAACAATCTATGGACCAGTGGTTAAACAAAAAGAAAAGATGCCTGGTGTCTAGTTCAAGCATATAGACAGCTGTAAAAAATACCTACAACAATTTACTTTTATTTAGAATTATTTTTGAATAGGTATTCAATGCCTATTTTGCTGTTGCAGTTTTGGCATATTTTGAATAAACAATGGCTGTTCAGGTTGTGGGAAATGTAATGTAAGTACAAAAATTAATGTAAGTAAAAATGAAATAAAAGCACAGCTGGCTCACGGATTTGCTGAGATTATTTAATATGGCCCTATTAGTGGTTGAGTTTGACACCCCTGTTTTAGTAGTATAATAAAGCTGCTCATGCAGACAAGCAAAATACTCACATGGTGGGTAGTCATAAGGTACAAGTAGTTTCTGTCATTGGGGTCAAAGGTCATAACATGATGCACTGATTCACCAGCAGCGAGCCGCAGTGACCACTGATTGGCCACTGAGAAGTTCCCCCGCAGGGACAGCTAGAAGTGGCACAAAAAAGAAAACACTTTCATTAATGCATGATCCACGACCGTAAGTTAGAGTGCCACATCAAGAACAGTTTATTTCAACCAACAATCAGAAAAAGATGTTATTAATATCACTGTCATATTACCAACTACCTGTAGTATGAACAGGCGATTAGGAAAACACAGTGGCATTTAACACATTTACTAAGATGGCTGCTAAAATCTGACACTAGATGTAAAATGATCCAGCAGTGTAAAGGTGCTAATTGCTGCCCTGGGATTGAAGTGAAGTGAACTGTTGATTATCTACTTAAACTTTTGACAGCCAGATTCTGTGAAAACTACAGGAATAGCTATGTGAAAGTTGCACTTTGCACTGCAAATATATATATATATATATGTCATTTCAAAACCTTTACATATAGATCATCATTTGGGCATGTATGAAAATGGCTTGCAATACATTGTTACATCACTTACAGTAAAATTTAAGAGGCACACCGTTGTAGCACTGCCTCCCCCTAGAAAAGTGAACCTCACTATTTTTAGCTACAAGGTTACTTTCTTTGAAGGTCTGATTAGTGGAACCAATTGCCGATTGCACTCTCATGCATAAAAATTCAAACAGAAACTTGATTGCGGGAAATAAAATAAAATAAAAAATAAAATAAAATAAAATCTTAGTAGGTAGTACTGGTCTAACAATTGTTTATTTGTTGGTTAACGGCTAATCAGTCAATCATTTACATCCCTATTTTAAACACAAAACACAATTGGTTGAGTCGCAGTTCAGTGCCTGGTCACTGCGACAGATCACAGCACACCATGGTGGGTTTTCTTTAATTAACCACAGGCCTACACCTTTCAATAATATGTGGCGAAAGATTAAAGCCATTAGCTAGCTAGACCCCACAGGCTACAGAAATACTGGAACACAGTAGTTCTAAATTTACAGTTGACAATAAAAATGAGGCCATTCTGTCTTATTTTCATGGCAGGAGTGGGCATCTTTCACATTTTGGGAGGTCTAAGACCACTTTAAGCCCCCCTCAAAGCTACAATCCTGATGTAAGAGGGCTGAGCTCCAGTTTCATAGTGTGCATGATGTAGTTTCACTGGGGAATAAAGGGAATGGATTCTGATTGCTTCTATGGACAACAAATGGACAGACAGGGATACAGTCCAGATGGCCCAGGTAGCGCGCTGAAGTAACAGCAGTGGAGGAGCTGAAAGATCAGCAAAGTCACATAACACACAAACACACACACACAAAAACACACACTCCAACACCTGCTCGGCTACGGGGTCAGTGTGTCTCGCTACCAGCACATCAAAGAACTCTTTCTTTCAAAGTCACTCAGCTGCAACAGGCTGAGCATGCATGTGTGCGAGAGAGAGAGATTCTCTAATCAAAGGCCCTTTTTTGTTTAGTTTTTCAACAGGAGCGATAGAGGGATGTGGAAGAAAGACAAACACAGATAGGACAAAGAGAGACAGACAGAGAGAGAGAGAGAGAGAGGAGAGAGGTGAAAGGAGAAAAAACAGAAAAAAGAGCACTGATGTGCATAAACAGCTCTGGTGAAGACTGAGTCTGTGTCCTGTTCCATACATCTGCTCACAAGTGCAATGTAAGGCATGGAAGGATGAATGGATGGATTCATAGATGGAGGGATGAATGAATGGATGTATGGACTAGCGGAAAGTTAGAGACAGACAGCTTTCATGGATGGAGATGACTAGGTGAGTGGGAAGATTGGACAGATACATGTGAGAGAGACATAGTACGAGAGAGAGAGGGGGAAAATGAAAAGAGAGAGGAGAGTGAAGGGAAGAGAGTGAGTGAAAGAGAGAGCGTGGGAGAGAGAGAATGGGAGAGAGTGAGAGGGAGTGAGTGAGTGATGGAGAGAGAGAGAGAGATAGACAGATAGTGGGAGAGAGAGAATTATTAGAAAGAGAAAACAGAAAGAAGGAAAAGAGAGAGAAGGAGAGAGTGACGAGGAGCGAGTGAGAGAGCTATAGAGAGACAGAGTGAAAAAGTGAGAGAAGGAGATAAGAGAGAGTAGGACAGAGTGGGCGAGAAAGATAGACAGATAGAGTGGAAAAAGTGAGAGAGAGTATAAAAGTGAGTGAGTGAGTGAGTAAGTGAGTGAGTGAGTGAGTGAGGGAGGGAAAGAAATGGGAAAGAGAGAGAGATAGAGAGAGTGGGAGAAAGTGTGTGGGAGAGAGAGGGGAGAAAGTAGGAGACACAGTAAGAGAGAGTAAGCGCGACAGTAATAGAAAAGGTGAGTGAGAGAGAGAGAGAGAGAAAGAGAATGGGAAAAAGAGAAGAGAGAGATGGAGATAGAGAGAAAGAGTATGTAGTTGTATGATCAGGTTTGGAGAGTGGTGTGTACGCAGTGGTTGAGCAGTAACTCAATCTGACTGCACTAACACATCCCCAACTCACCATCCATAATGACATTACATACACCACCACAACCATTAGAGCAGCCACACAACTGTCTGCAGGGCACACACACACACAGGTCTGATTTTATGTCAGGACGCTGGGCCATACACATGTTGTGTATGAAATATGCAATATATGTGCGAAACTAAATGTATGTATGTAGTAATAATATGGCCCATTTGTGATGTCTGTCTATCTATCTATCTATGTATATATATATATATAGCATATTGTTTAAAATCATTCATTTCAGCAGTAAGTGTATTCTTGCTTGTGAAAACACCATATTAACATTGCAATAAATACAAATAAACATTAATACAGTAAAACATAATACAGTAATAGAATAATATAGTAAGATTTGTTTTTAAAAGAACAGAATTTAGAGGAGCACAGGTTTGGTTCCAGGCTGCTCAACGCCTCCAGCCACTGTATGGATTTGTTCAAGTCCATGAGCAGCACACTTGATTTAACCTAATGGAATACTGATTTGCCTGTCAGGTATTAGATGGTAACTTCAGATAACATCAGGCTGCTAGAGAAGAGGTTTGGAAACAGTTCACCCTTTTCGTTGTATGTATAAAATGCATTTTTTTTGGAGATTGTTCAGTTGAACTATATATTTTTTCTTTAGTAACACTGATGAAATACATTTCGATGGAAACACAAAACCAAAAGTGAACTTCTTTCTAATGAGTAAGCTAGTCAATATTTATACATGTATTTTAATTACGTGTAATTGCTGTTGTTTATTGTGCTGTTCTTTACTGTCTGCAGTTGTACTGTATCTCTGCACAGTCCTTGTGCGAATTGTTTTTTTTTTTTTAAAGCAGGGGATTCTCACTCATCCCCTTTCTCCTCTCATTACTCGCCAGCAGCTCAACACAGACTCACAGCATTTTAAACACAGAGAGCCATCAGTGTCCTAGTTAACCTGATAATAGAGTTTCAGGAAAAATTATGTTATTTTATTATATTAATTTAAAATATTGAAGATATCCTGCTGGCAGAATGGCCACTAGGGGCTTACGGAAAGAGACTGCGCAAACACAATGACATACATAAAATCACTTATAGTATTAATGTTATTTGTATTTACTCTAATTTTTGTGTTTTTTTCAGAGTAAATAAATTCTTACTGCCCAATTAAACAGCTTTTTAGATGTAATTTTTCTGAGTACTGCATCTGTCCTAAAAACATACACACACACAAGCACACGCACACCTAAACTCCAGGCTCTGCACAGCACATGCAATTGAAGCAAGCAATTACTCCACCAGCACACATCTTCACATCCTGGCATGGAAACAAAAAGGCTTTTTTTGGACTAAAACATGACACCCTGCAGTCAAACAGGTCCCAACTCTCTCTCTCTCTCTCTCTCTCTCTCTCTCTCGCTCTCTCTGTCTGTCTGTCTCTCTCGAGACAGACGAGCCTCTTCCAAACAATAGAATAACACAATAACCTCACTCACACAGGCCTCTCCCACTTTTAATAGAATTTTTCCGATGCCGCTGAGCGACCCTCCGCGGCTTTTTCCGACTTTGAAGCTCCCACTCAGAGGTGATTCCATACGGGAATGAGACACAGCGCTGGAATTTCGCCTAATTAAGGAATATTTTTTTTCCCCTCTCTGAAGGCAGGGTGCCTGCAGATGGCTTTAAGACTGGAGTTCTGCTGAGTGTTGTTTTGGCAGGAATGTAAAGGTAAGTGTGTGTGTGTATGTGCGAAAGAGAGAGAGACACAGACAAAGAAAGAAAGAGACAGACTCTCAAAGAACCAAAAGGTCAAAAAGTCATTAAATAACATTTGCACAAATTCTTTGCATTAATGTCCCCTAAAGAAGCATTATGTTTCCTCCACTGCAGCCCACCTGGCCCGTTCTTTGTCTTGTTATAAGCCTGAATTGAGCATGGCACAGAGGGACTCTGTTAAAGTGCCCCCTATGAGAACACGATAGACACAACAAAAACCCTCACAGACAAGAAAGAAGAAAACCAGGCCGACAAAACTCTGTAAGCCCTAAATGCACATATTATCTCTCTCACAGTCACAGACAGAGTCTGCAACGGACTCTTAAACACACAGTTACTAACGCAAAGCAGGCTTACATCAGCTGCACCAGGACATTTGTTCTCAACCAGAGTTTTTCAGCTTCCTCTGCACTGTATAGTGTCATACCACTAATTTCACTCATCAGCAATTACCAAACATCTGTTTAGGAGAAAAAACGGGGTCATGGGTTCCAGAGTAGGAACCCCCCCGCTCTCAATCTCGCCCTATACAAGTCTTCAAGGTTGATGTAGGCCAGGGATTTTCAGTCTAGGCCTTGGGAACCCCAGCTAGTCCACAGTGAAAAATGTTAATGTTTGTATACATTAAACATACAGTAAAATCTGAAAACAAGATCAAAATATGATAAAATATGATAAAAACATGGCACTGATCAAATCTGTCTGAGAACTGTCTAGACGTGATCCTAATATTGTAAAGGGGCACCCTTGATTGACATCCCCCTGTCCAGCATTTTGAGCTTGCTACACCACTGAACTGAACAAAACAGCGGGAGCGAGCAGAAATTAGTGGAATGGGCTGAAGACATGGAGGTGTTGCTGTAGACCGCCCTGCTGTGTCCACGGCTCGCTTAAACATTACCCAGATTTTATATGGCAAAGTCTTAAAGAGGGTAAGATTCTTGTTCACTTTACTGCTGGATTTGCATCCACTAAATAATGGCATGACTAAATGGATGAACAGACGAACAGACATTAAACCGCCAGACAGATGTGCTAGTTTGATAGCTCAGTTGTGTGCGCTAGGTTAACCTTCGCTTGGTTGTTAGCTTTTGCTCACTAAGTTTCTCCACTTCCAACAAGCAGAGACCATAGGGGGACATATTTTTCTTAAAACTGTGTAGGCAGGACAAGCCACATCAACCTTGTGATTGGTGAAGGTACTGTTCATGCAAGCTTTACCCACTGACCAGTTTATATCAAAAAAGGGGAATTTTACAAAACACACTGGTTATTTATATATTGCTGTTGTCAGAACAAAACCTTGTATCTCCAAAATGATAACTTTACAGGAGAAGGAAAAAACTTTCTTTGCTTTTAATGTAAGTCAATGGAACCGGACTTTTTTCCAAGTCATTCTGGTCCATTTATTTTAGTCCATTCATCATGAAATTTAAATGCAGTGTAAAGGCCGAGAGGCATTTTCAAATTATGTCAAAAACTGAAAAATGCCAAAAATGGAGATACGAGGTTTTGTCCCGACAACAGCGATATAAATATATTTATATATAAAAATTAAATACATAGGGGATATTTTGTACATGTATAGTGCGTGCTCACGAAACTACAATTACCCTTAAGAAAACACAGATTTAGGCTCTCTGAGGTATAATAAATGCGAAAGGACCTTAGTAACAATTAGCAAACAAAGGGGAAATTGTTTGGAGAAGTGAAAATGACATTCTAGCAATGGCAGATTACAATAATAACAGTTCATTTGAGAAAAGAACTAAAGTGGAAATGTGGAAATGTCCCAAATCAGTGTTAGTATGTTAAACTTATGTCCACTTGTACAGATGTAATTTACACATGCAGTTTTCATGCTGCTAATTGGTGGTCATATGCTTCCATTACATTAGCTACATTTTCCTTGTACCTCTAGTGCAAAACTAAAGAAGAAAACTTTAGAAAGCAATCATATCTTGGCTGACTGATTATTTTTGGGGTGAAGGGACGGTTAACGTTTTAAAATCTCAGGCTACTTACACACTAAAGATTATTATTAAGTAACTTCAGGGGCTTTAGTCCAAACTGGCTGAGCTATTCTCAGGTTATGGAAGTGTGTAATATTTAAAGGGTTTAATTATATATTTGGCAGAACTACTGCTCTCTATGGCCTTTATTATCTGGTTGACATATTTGCAGGTGAAACAGAATAAAGTGCTCTCAATAATTGACTGGATTGAAAACCCCTTATCAATTACACGCTTAACTCCTTAAACTGCAGACTTATTATTCAGTTCATAATCCCAAGCCTTATTATCCAGTAAATGCTAGTAACTATTCAGTGAGTACTATAAAACGAATCTGTAGTTCTGTAGTGAAGAACTGAAATGTGGATCCGCCAACAGGTCTACAGTGTTTAAGGAGTATGTCTGTCCTACCTTGCGCAGCCACCCATTGCTGGTTCCCAGGAACACTACGTTGTGGTTATGGACGTCTTCCACGGCAACAGAGCTGAGGCCGGGCGCCTCGTACAGCGGAGTAGATCTGAGAGGCTTCTGGAGGGCGAGTGGGTGCTGCAGGTGGGCTGCCCCACAGTTCAGCTGCTCCGGCTGGAGCTGAGAAAGTAAACAAACACTCGTCAGCAGGGGTGTAAATCTCTCACCACATTCATTTTGACTGCATTTCGTTAGGAAATGATTTAGTACATCATGAAGTTTCACCATGCGAATCGCTTCGATTATTAACAGCGAATACACAGATGTGACGGGATGAACTATGTACAGTTGTGAAATATAGACAATAAACGCATTACACTGTGCTTTACATTCACGACAAACTCATTGCCAACATTTATTTTTGTTATTTAGCAAACCAATATTTCATTTTTCAAATAATGAGTATATACTGTATTGAATATTATTACAAATGATTACTATATTATGAAAGTAGTTGAATCACCACCTTCAGACTGATACATCATGATGCACTGATGCATTTTTTAAATCCCTACTTGTTTTGCAAAAGTGTCTCAGGTTCTTTCACTTACACTAGGCTGATTAGGCTATTGTTTTAATCAGTCGGACTGTAAGGTAGAGCTGACCTTTCTGCTCATTTTTCCAGATAGCTGAGCATGTTCCGCGAGCAGCATATAATTTAGGATCACGGATAAAACGATCCATTACAAGTAGTCTGCTAAAAGTAGGAATATTTATTCCATCTCGCATGAGTGGAGTGCTTAGTGGGAAAACTTCATGGCCGGTTTGAGAGAGAGAGAGAAAGTGAGAGAGAGAGAGAGAGAGAGAGAGAGAGAGAGAGAGAGAGAGAGAGAGACTCAGCGGGTGAGGCTTTCCCACGAGTTTCTTAAAGCACTTATCTAAAGCCTGAAGGACTCTCAGATACGCTACACGCACAAAAAAAGTCAAATGAAAATTCCTCTGGTCACACACTTCACTTGAAGTATAAAAACCTGCAGCCTGAGTCACAAGCAGTGACTGTTCACACGCTAGCGGAGGGAGTCAGGGAGGAGGACGCGGGGGTGTGTTTATTTATGGAGAGATAGTCTGAGATGAAATTCTTGTAACTGCTGAAATGTTTTGATGATGATGAGATTATCAGTTGGATGAAAGGGCCTATGACATACAGGTACCCTGTGTGTGTGTGTGTGTGTGTTCATATACAGTACTATGCAAAACAGACCACCATTTACTTAGTCAATGTCCAGTCAACAGCCATTGCAGGCTATTAGAAGTACAAGAAATCTGCAGGGATATTTTTCCACACCTCCAAAGTTCAGTCTTAGAATTTGGTTGCGTTTTCTGCTTCTTGCAATCCCAAACACATTCAGTGATGCTGAAGTCTGGACTCTGAGGTGGTCAGTCCATTGTTCTGAGAACACCAGCATCTTCTTTGTTTAGTTTGCAAATGTTTGTCTTTGTTGTCTATCTATGTCCCGTTCACGGTAAAGGCTTCTTTACAGCTACACATCCTTTTACAGGATGTGAATCGTCTTTTTACAGCGGAAGGATGGACACGAATGCCTGTAGATTTTTTCAGATCTGAAGCAAGAGTGGAGTTTGATGTCTCCTATCTCTTAAAGATGAAAGCTTTAAGTTCGGTTTATCCGATGCGCACAGTTTTGGTGGTCTAGCAGGGCTGACACTGCTGTTAGGGTTTAATAAATGAAGGGTGGGCTCTGACATTTGCACAGTAATGTACATATTGTCATTACATTTTAAAAACAACAACTGACCTTTACACTGGGTGACCATTTCATAATAAGTGGACCATGGCAAAACTACCTAAGGTACATTAAAAGTTAACAAAGTTTTGTCCTCTCCTGTATAGTAAACATTTTAGGAATGCAAATAATACATACATGCGATATACAGTACTGGGCAAAAGCGCCTATGAAAATGGTTTAAGGCCATTTATCCTGCTAGTAAGTGTGTTTTGGTAGTAAAAACAATGCAAGATTAGAATACAAATGAACATAAATATATTAAAATGCAATAAGACTTTACTGTGATTTATAAGTGATTTATATCTTAGTTAGAAGAGCACAGATCTGCTTACTGACTTCTCTGTGCCCTCCAGTCAGTGCATGGATTTGTAGCACACCTGATTTAATTTAATGAAGGACTAATTAGCTGAAGCTGGTATTGAACCTGTAAGCTCTGTGCTTCCTTGAGAAGAAGCTTTGGAAATGGTTAAGCTAACAGACTCACACACAGTATTTTATTTATTTGTTTACTAGTATTTATTCAAATGTTCGTGCACTTTGAACTAATAAATGCTTACTGCCCAGATAAACAGCTTTACGTATGACTTTCTTTTGAACAGTGCTGAATGTTTGACCCCGTGTCCTGAAAAGACATAAAAAAAAACATAAACGTGTGTGTGCAACGAATGTCCACCTCTCACAAACTGGTCACTGTGTTACTGCAATCTCAAATCCTGAGCATTTAGGAGGAAGAGCTTCTGAAGAACGTGAGGCAACAGCATCCGACTGTGTCTGTAAGACTTTAAGAACTAAGCGTGAATAAATAAAGACCCTCGCCAAACACACGCCAGGCCACCATGTGTTTCTGATAATAGCATTTCAGCTTCATACTGTAAGAACATATGGCATCATTTGGAGACCATCTGTTCATCAGTGATTTCAAAATCGTCACAAAGTTTAAATTCAGTGCAATTTTTATCAGCTTATTCGAGCCCCTCTCTGATTGATGGCAGACTCTTACACAGCAAGAACTGCCAGTTTCAAATAACTAAGTATATTGAAAAACAAGTGATGCATTAATTGTAACTGACTTAAATGTTTACATCATTTCCGCATGAATAAAATATATTACATCAACACTTTTTTTCTCTTTCAGTTTATTTACTCTCAGCAATAATTGTGTTGATGCAATATATTTTATTCATGCTGTACACATTTGAATCAAGTACATTCAACACATAACATTTTTTTTCTGTGATATGCCATACGCAGTCTCTGAAAAGAATCAGAATAGAAACATACACGCTGACAAATAGCGGTGATTTGTTCAAAGAAAATGATGAAAACCACCAGAACGTCTTTAGCAGATGATGAACCTGAGTCTGTCGTCTCTACTGCCCAATATCATGTTTTCATTACGCCTGAGCTTACTCACTATGCCATGCGCCCTTAATTCTGAATACACACTTGATTACATTATCCACAAACTCCCACCAGGGCTTTTTTTTCCTCCGCAAATGACAGTACTGCACAAGGGTTTCTCAAAGGGGATTTTGGAGTGACCACGAAATTTCCAACTAGTCCTAACTACCTTCTCTTCCTGTTACCACTGCGTGTCTACTGGACAATTACAGTCATCTTAACAAAGAACTTTCCGTTTTCATGTCTAAACAAACAAAGACTGCAGAAATTAATGAAGCTAGTAGGCCTATTCAACCCACTGTGGTGATCATTTATACTTTTCAAATGGCTTCAGATAAGCTGTACTCATGTATGTCTGTGTGGAAAAGAATGTACATTTTTACTCCATTTTAGGCTCAATCCCGTTTCTTATTTTACCGCTACCCCTTGTTTTCGAGTGTCACCTTGCCCCTTAGAACTGAGTTACAAGGGTAGTGGTTGAAATCTTCCTCTACGAAATGGGACAATCCTCAAATAAAAAGAACATTACTTCATTAACAGGCTACTAGCGCTGCTCTGTAGGCTACCCTGCCAGTCTGCAGTGAAAGCAGAGGAAAGTAAAGTTCAGCAACCTCACTGCTGGGCTTTAGTTCAATTTAGGGAATCATATGCCTTCAAAGAGGGGGACGAGACAATTATTTATTATTGCCCACCCCTAATTCTTCGGTGATATGAAGCTGAAGTCGGCTATTCACCAGCTTCTTGTTCGATTATTCCTGTTCCACCTTAAATGGTGCAGCAGTTCTGACACCTGAGACACCAGAATGTAACTGCTGCACCATTTAAGGTGGAACGAGAAATTAAGCCAGCTAGCTACCGAGACACTGGAGTACTACTAGCGATTTATATGCTTGTTATGAAAAAAAGGCCCATAATACATTGAAACGACATTAAGCTAATACAATGGTTATTGTAATTTTTACCGGAGAAAGTTCTCACATTTGGGTTTCTTTCGTCGCTTGTGCAGCCATCTTGCTGTTTTTTCTTTATTTCACTCTGTTTGGAGGGCCATGTAACCCTACCCCTCTATCTCAACAAAAATCGGGACATCCTACCCCTAGACTCTAATGCACGACGTGGAAGGGTAAGGGAAAGGATTTTTGGGGGGGCAAGGGATGAAATGGGATTGGGTCTTGCTCCTTCATATTTAGTTCCTAATTTCTATATTTGGGGATGTTTTCAGTACTGTTGTTTCAGCACCTGGACCACTTTGCCGTTGCTCACACCTCTCACTATCAAGTTCAGTATTTTATTTTAGACCCCAATGAGAAAAAAAGGCATCTACAAACTTAAGTCTCTATACTAAAAGATGCAGACAGTACTAACAAGTTAAACTGCAGTTCCATAGAAAAGTCAGTCAGGTGCTTTTTGACCCACTACTTTTCTTAACTCCCACTCAAGCTATTTTTCAGTACTTTCAAGGGTTATTTCATTGAAGTAGTGGTTTTAGGCTACTCTGCCCACCTCTGCCTTTAACTGAGGCCTTATATAACCTGAAATCCAACATTTGGAGAGAAGTACAGAACTCCTGTCTTTTCACTGATGCAGACTTTTAGAAGGCTGCAGAGCTTTCAGTTTGTGAGTGCTGTGTGGATCAGGGTCGTGTACGAGGATGCAGCATCAGCCTCCTCGCACTCTTCCCATAACCTTTCAGCGCTTTGGCAGACCCCTTGCTCAGAAACAGCGCTCGTGCAGGGCGCGTCTGAAACAGCCTCACTCGGCTGCTTTACTTAACACGTCATTGCCAAGAGCAACATGTTCAAGTGAATCCAATTTTAAGTGAGTCCAAAAACAAACACTGCGCTCTGAACGCAAACATCTGTTGCAGCATTTATGCAATTATTAAGAGACGAAAGAGCTTTCCAAACCAAACGCTACCGAGGAGCCACAAGTCGTGAGAATATAAACTACTGTTTTGTCATTATTACAGCTTACGCTAAGTGGGGATATAAAGGCATTATAGGCCCTTGTGTAATAATGGACACTTTAAGTAACTCTTGTTTATTAAAATGTCAGCTGATACTAGTGGATTCTTTCTAAATGAGCAAAGCAATAAGCTTTAAACCAACTTATTACATTATCAAAACATTTTAGTGGGAAATTATGTAAAACAATGGACTTATTACCTCTGACACAGTTAATACCTTAATGTACTGTTTGTTAAAACCTACGTGCCATTTTACTTAAGACACTGTTCCATAATACCGAACACAGTGTCCAGTAAACCCTACCACAATGCCCCAGAAAACCTAACACAGTGTCCATTTAAACCTACCACACTGCCTAATAATATGTAATACAGTGTCCATGAAAACCTACTGCACTGTCCCAGAATACCTAACACCCTCTCCATTAAAACCTCCTGCACCTTCCCTGAATATGTAACACAGTCTCCATTAAAACCTCCTGCACTGCCCCTGAATACCCAACAGTGTCCATGAAAACCTCCTGCACTGCCCCTGAATACCCAACATAGTGTCCATTAAAACCTCCAGCACTGCCCCTGAATACCCAACATAGTGTCCACTAAAACCTCCTGTACTGCCCCTGAATACCCAACACAGTGTCCATGAAAACCTGCTGCACTGCTCCAGAATGCCTAACACAGTGTCCAGTAAACCCTACTGCACTGCCCCAAAATACCAAACTCACTGTCCATTAAAAACTACCACAATGCCCCAGATTACCTAACACAGTATCTATTAAAATTACCACACTGCCCTAGAATACCTAACACAATATCTATTAAAAACTACCACACTGTCTCAGAATGCCAAACACAGTGTCCAGTAAAACCTGTGCCAGCTTACAAGGTTACTGTACCATAAAGTCAAATTGTCCCATCTCACACTGTCCCATGCTCCCTAACACACTGTCCCAGAATACCCAACACAGTGTCCATTAAAACCTCCTGCAATGCCCCTGATAACCCAACATAGTGTCCATTAAAACCTACTGCACTGCTCCAGAATGCCTAACACAGCGTCCAGTAAAACCTGTGCCAGGTTACAAGGTTACTATCCCATAATGCCAAGGCTTCCCGTGGTACCTCTCATACTGTCCCATGTTCTCTAACACACTGTCCCACAATACCTTTGTCCATACACTGTTCATTTGACCTCTGAACTCTAGGCTACTTAATTCCAGCTCTTCAGGACCCAGTAACTGCCGTGAATTATTCAGCCAGCTCTGTGAAACTACTTATAGTGAGAAAGGTAAGACAGGCCTGCAGGGTTTAAATCTAACACACCGTCCTGTCTCATAATACTGAAAACACTGCGCCATAACAGTGTATAATGTCCCCCACAAACAGTTTCCACTCACATGACGGACTCCTTTCGCCTCGCACTCGGCCCCGGAGCCCTGGATGACGCTGTCTAGCACGCGCACGTCTCCGTTCGGTCCGCTCGAGCAGTTGCGGCGCGCCTCGTGTATCCTCTTCTCCACATCGGCGAAGCGGAACGCGCACAGCGCCGTCCTCCTGCTGCCCGCCCTGGCGAACACAGCGAACAGGTAGGGCTCGGCGGCGAACACGGACACGAGGCGACCATACACGTTCCCCCCGGCGCCGCACTGCAGCCCCATCTGCACGTACGACTCGGTGAGCTTGCGCGCCTCTGCGGTTTTGCTCGGCACCTCCGCGTCCAGGCAGATGCGCGCGAGCACGCTGCTGGGCTCGCTCTCCTTCGCGCCTCCGCCGCCACTACCACCGCTGCCGGAACCACCTCCTCCGCCTCCTCCACTTGCGCCTCCAGTCCCGTCCCGGTTCATGGCCACGTACGCGTAGGTGTTCTCCGCGAAGGCGCGCACGAACGAGAGCTTGTTGCGCGCTTTGGCCTCCTGCTTGATCTTGAGCACGTTGTCCTCGGACGGGTTGATGTCGTAGGTGAAAAGGCGCGTGGGATCGGAGGCGTCGAGCGCGCGGATGGCTATCTCGGGCGTGTTCTCGAAGCGCAGGTCCTCACGGCTGAGGTTGCGTGGGAAGAAGTCGCTGCCTGCGCCCGTGTACGTGGCGGCGACCAGGAGGCGCGCGCTCACTCCGCGCCCTCCGCGCACGCGGAACACGAGGCCCGCCGTGCTGGCGTTGGCGTGGTTCGCCGCCACGTTCAGCATGCTCGGGAACACGGCGGCGTCTTGCGGCGGGAAGCTCACGGCCACGCGCGTCACGTTCTCCAGACTGCGCAGTTCGCAGAAGCCCTGGTGTACGGAGCCGCACGCGACCAGCACGCCCTGCGCGCCGTCAAGCGCCAGCAGTTTGTTGTGGTTGTCGGCGAGAGCGCGCGCGTGCTCGCACGGCGCATGCGGTAGCTGCGGCGCGTGGCACAGCGCGCTGTCCGTCACCGGACCCGTGCGCTGCTCGGCCTCGGGCGCGAGTGCGCCGCTCAGCTGGTACAGCGCGTTCACGGCGCCCACGTAAACGCGGCGCGACTTGGCGTCCACCGCGAAGTTGTTCGTCTCGCTCGGCGATGAGAACGTCTGGCGCACGCGCAGCGCTCCAGCCGCGCGCGTCAGGCTGGCGGCGACCAGTAGCAGCAGCGCCGCCGGGAGAAAGGGGCAGGGAGCGGCGCGCGGGACTCTCGCCGCGGTCCTGGACATAATAATTCCGTCTGAATTGGCTTGTGCCGCGCGCTCCTCCGCACGCGCACGAGCATCGAGAGAAGTGAGCTCGCGCCGCGACCGCGCCGGCGGAGAGGAAAAAAGAGGCGGTTGGTTTCCTGCCGGACAGCTCAGAACGGAATGACGGGAGGAGGAGCCGCGCGCTTCCTTTACAGAGCAGCGCGAGAGAGAGCAGGGGAGAACAGCGCGAGACACACCAACCACACACACACACACACACACACTGTAACACTGACTTTACGTTCTCCCGCATGTTCACACTATCAGTTATATTTGTTATAATGTTATAATTACATTGTTATTACCAATGCGTTATAGAACACGAAGTTCTCTGTAGTCAATCACGAGCCCCGTCGCTCCACACTGTTAAACTAACTTCACTCACCACAGATCACATTATCTAACGCATAATCCACGATACTTATACACTCTGAAAAGTGATGTGTTAAATAACACTTGTGCTGCCTGATTTAACACTTTTTGTGTCATTGTTTACTGATTTAACACATTCAGCAACTGGGCAGAGAAATATTTCAACACATTTTGTGTTTAATGTAACACAAACTGTGTTGTCTCCAACTGGACACACTGACACACTGATGTGTCCAGTTAGAGACAGAATGTGTTGTTTTTAACACATTTTAAGAGTTTACACCGATCAGCCATATCATTAAAACCACCTTCTTGTTTCTACACTCACTGTCCATGTTATCAGCTCCACATTGTTTGTAGGTGCACTTTGTAGCTCTACAGTTACAGACTGCAGTCCATCTGTTTTTCTGAAAATTTGTTAGCCCCCTTTCAACCTGTTCTTCAATGGTCAGGACCCCCACAGAGCAGGTATTATTTGGGTGATGCAGTGACACTGATGTGGCAGCGTGTTAGTGTGTGCTGTGCTGGTGCGAGTGGATCAGACACAGCAGTGCTGCTGGAGTTTTAAAACACCTGGACTGAGAGGTGAAGTGAGTCCACCAGCCAAAAACATCCAGCCTACAGCGTCCTGTGACCACTGATGAAGGAATGGAGGATGACCCACACAAACTGGGCGGCAACAGATGAGCCACTATCACTGACCACATCCACAAGGTGGACAAGGGTAGTACTGTCTAACGGAGTGGACAGTGAGTGGACACAGTGTTTAAAAACTCCAGATAGCACGACAGTCTGTGTAACGTTTAAAACGAGTCTCCCTGCGACAGTGTCGTTCAGATAACACCAGAATCTGCCTTTCTGCTCAAAACGTCACAGAATGAGCCGCTAAGAGCGCGAGAGTAGCGCGAGCGGAGCCCACCCCGCGCCCCCTCTGTTATCTCTTATGCAAACTTAAGCTTCGCAGTGCTGCACAGATAAACTATCATGATTATCTGCGCTCTTGTTGCTTTATTGTCTTCCCTCGCTACGCGCAACGAGCTCAAACTAGTCACGTCCATCTGCTAAACTCACATCAGTTTACGATCCAGCTCACAGCTGAAGTCTCTACGAGCCGAGCCACTTTGCTGATCCCCGTTAAAACAGTAATTTCCTGTTTCTGAAGAAACTTAATCTCCAAATTACGAATAAAAATGTAAATAAGCGAGGCGCCGTGTGAAAGAGCACGAAAGTTTGTTTTTTAGGCACTATTGCTGCTCTGAAGGCACCGAGTTGGCCGTTTTTGTTCACACGCGTATTAAAAGGGCTTTTTTAGACGACTAACAGCAGGTCGTGGTGCTGAAGTCCCGGTAAGTACCGTGAAACCACTACCAGCTGTTCCAAGCCGAAAGCAGGACTCGTCCCCGCGGCTGCTGTGTGTGATGTGCTTTTAGGAAGATTTGGACACGATCATAAATATTTAAACGCGGCATATGTGGCTCAAAAGAGGAGAGCATTCAAAACGCACTCACAGTCCTGTGTGGAATAATCGAGTACGACATGCGATATCCATAACATTTCACACTCACACACACACACACACACACTCACACACACGCACACACACACACACACTCACACACACACCCACCCACCCATCCACACACACACACACACTCTCTTTCTCTCTCACACACACACATACACACACACACCCACCCATCCACACACACACACTCTCTCTCTCTCTCTCTCTCTCTCACACACACACACACACACTCTCTCTCTCTCTCTCTCTCTCTCTCTCACACACACACACACATACACACACACTCTCTCTCACACACACACACACACACACACTCACTCACACACACACACACACTCACACACACACGGGGGAGCCCACGCACAGGTTTGTATTCCTGTCTTAGTGGGGTGTTTCCATATTTCCAACCTAAGCCTAAACCTTAAGCCTAAGCATTTACCTTAGGAACCAAAGGGATATCTTGAGCCTAAACCTTAAACGTAAATATTTACCTCAGGACCCAAAAGAAAATCTTAAGCCTAAACCTTAAACCTAATAATTTACCTCAGGAGCCAAAGGAAAAACCTTAATCCTAAACCTTAAACCAAATCATTAACCTCAGGAACCAAAGAGAAACCTTAAACCTAATCATTAACCTCGGGAACCAAAGGAAAAACCTTAATCCTAAACCTTAAACCAAATCATTAACCTCAGGAACCAAAGAGAAACCTTAAGCCTAAACCTTAAACCTAATCATTAACCTCGGGAACCAAAGGAAAAACCTTAAGCCTAAACCTTAAACCAAATCATTGACCTCAGAAACCAAAGAGAAACCTTAAGCCTAAACTTTAAACCTAATCATTAACCTCGAGAACCAAAGGAAAAACCTTAATCCTAAACCTTAAACCAAATCATTAACCTCAGGAACCAAAGGAAAAACCTTAATCCTAAACCTTAAACCTAATCATTAACCTCGGGAACCAAAGGAAAAACCTTAAGCCTAAACCTTAATCCTAATTGTTTACCCCAGGAACCAAAGAGAAACCTTCCTGAGGTAAATGGTTAAGTTTGCGGTTTTGGTTTAAGATTTTATTCTGATTCCTGAGATAAATAGTTCGGTTTAAGCTTTAGGTTTAGATTTCAATTTTCCTTTTGGTTCTCAGGTAAATATTTAATATCTGGATTTAAGTAACAACACTATTTAGCTACTGTAGCAAATACACAAATCGACGGAAACATTAATCGGTGACTGGATTTGGTCCCCATAAGGACGGAAATACAAAGTCACTCTCCCTCTCCCTCTCTCTGTCTCTCTTTCTCTCGTCAAGTCTCGGCATGAATTTATAACCCAGTCATTCAAATTCACACCTGTACAGTCGCCTGTGGCCGTGGTGTGAAAGCCGAGGCGCAGAATGTGTGTTTTCGTGTTGGAGGAAAGACTCCGACTCTCCGCAGACATTTAGCAGCCGCGGCGGTGATAAATCTCAGTTTGAGGAGCAGATTCAGTTACATCCACTGCTTCCCTCACGACTCTTATGAAGTGCGTACGGCTCGCTGGGCAGTATTTGGGGTGTCTGATGTCTGAAGACTCAGTTGTAGGAAGTCTCCAGTCCTTCAGGAAGGAGCGCCGCCTCGCGCTCTCACTAGAGCTGATAAACTCGCGAGCCGTTGGCTGTGGCTTCCCGCGCGCCTGAGGCGGGGAAAAAACGTGTCGTGAAAAGTGACCAAGCTGATGGAAATGCAGAGAGGCTACCTTGAACACCAGATAAACACACACACACACGCAAACACACACCGATACACGCGCGCGCACACACACACACACACACACACACCTATACACGCACACACACACACACCTATAGACGCACACACACGCACACGCTTGTATTCCTGAGTTGGTTTATCTGCAGATAAACTGTAGAGCTGAAACCAGAATGACATTTTAGCCCCATTTACATCTTCAAAAGAAAAGTTCAGATCTTCCAGGTAAAAGTTTGCGCGGCGTAATACACGTTTTCCCCCTCATCATGTTTTCACGTGATCAACAGTTTAAAGAGCCCATATCGTTAAAAAAAAAGTACACCCTTTTTGAAATATGAGTTAAAGGGCCCCATCATGGAAAACTTGCTTTTTAAAAAAATAAAAGTGTAACATGTTAACACAGTTAAAGTTTCAAAACGTCCCATTTATTCCCCAGACCACACTGCCCATATACAGAAACTAAGCTGCAAAACAGCCTGATTTTAATTCATTAATTCTGTGATGTCACAAAACATACATCTTCCTAATCAGCCCACAGCAGTTTAGCACCATCCAGTTTTAAGGTTTTAGCTCTGGCTGTTTTTTCAATGAGGCACAATACAGACAGCCAACCAAAACAGTCTATTTACATATTTCCACCTTAAAGGGACAGTAACAAAACCAGACTGTTTGATTATGAGGGAGAGGACGGCATTTTGTCATGTAAAAGGGAGAACAGAGCTCATTTACATATAACCTAGCAGTCTTCATAAGTCAGTAATAACAAAGTTTTGAGTAATATGTAAACAAATGAAAGTTTCAGAATGTACCATTCACTACTCAGTTCATACAGTTCACACATGGTACTATACTGCAGAAACAGCCTGTTTCTGTGATGTCACAAAAACCAACTAATTTATATTCATACACCTGTTCAGCCTACAGCAGCTTGGCCCCACCCACTGACACTAAAGTTATGAGGAGTGTTTCAGTCCAGGCTGCTTTTTGAATGAGGCACAATACAGGGCAGCCAATCAAAATGAAGGTCATTTACATGTATCAGTTTAACAATAACACAAACTGCTAATTGTAAGGGATAAAGAGAGGTTCGGAAATAGTCATGTAAAAATTCACCATGACCATTTTTGATCACACAAATGTCAGAAGTGGAGCTCAGAGGGAAAAATAAAATACAAGAAAAATGTAGGATATGGGCCCTTTAATACACGCCCACCCACTTACACACACACATAAACCAGGTGCCAGGTGTCACTGTGTGTTTCTCTTTGTGAGCGTGTGTGTGTGTGTGTGTGTGTGTGTGTGTGTGTGTGTGTGTTCATCAGATACTCCCGTTACGCTTCATCCTAAACGACACTAACGGAAGCAGCTAATCTGGAAGAGTTTCCTCTCACTGCCTCTGTCACGGAGGCTTCGCTCAGAAAGTCAACATTTCAGTCATTTGTGTTCTTTCTGCATAAACTCTT